AAAATAGGCACACGTCGAGCACGATCCTTGGAATTTTCTCTTTATCTAATATAAACGATTCTTTTTTTGTCAACGAGACTGTTGATCTTACTGTCTCGCAAAACGCGATGCCTCGAAAGAAAAAGAAATCTGTTGGCGAAATTTGATTTATAAAATTCAGCGTCACGAATTCGCACTTTCTTCCGTGTGATTTACGGAAGAAACCTGGTACGATAACGCGAAGCTGGTTCCTCGAGTCTTCGATTTCTTAATTTTCATAGCTCTACCTACGATTGCAAAACGTATAAATTTTCTCGTGTTTTCTCTTTCTGTCACGAGGGTACGATTAAGATTTTACGTAACCGCATCTTTTCTCTCTTTTTTTTTTGGTAGAAACGTGTCACCATTAGAAACATGAAAGAACCTCGATGAATAGCATTATGTTCGGGGAACATAGAAAAATAACGTGTACAGGAAATTACGAAGTAGCATATCCGTGCGACGTTAAGAACTTTTGTCGCGCGAGAGGCAGACCTTGGAATTTTATTCCCTAACAAACACAGACCGAAAATCAGGACGAGAAGATATACAATATAATTTCGCGCGAACGCGCGTCGCACGACAATGGTCGCTTTGTTCGCCAACCAGTATTTACAATATACGTACGTATATTCGCCGATGTAGACAACGAATCGCGTTGCCACGGTCTGTAAGCACTAATCTCTTTCGCGAGCAATCCTTGACCCCACTTGCGAGATTACATTTTGCCTCTTTGCCGCATCGATTCTCATCGGAGAACTGATCGTGCCGTTACACCGAAATGACAGAAAGTAGAAATTTAACGCTTCGTAGGATCTACGACCCCAGTAATTCCTTAAAAACAGAAATCTTCTCGTCGTGTCATCGAGATAATTGAAACCATCGCGAACGATTTCAATTTCTTTGGAACGATAACCTTCGCGGTCGAAGCAAGAGAATATTAACGCCTGTTGGTATTTTCGTAGAATTTCGATTCTATGCTCGATGTTGATGCTTCGAATTTCGAAACACCGTTGCGTCGTGCGCGTGCCTTGAAAAAACAATCGTACTTTCGATTTCTTAACGTATCTGACTTCGAAAGATGCCCGGTTTCTTTCGTCGCGCTTGGAAACGCCGAGGGAAAGAAAATCCCTATCTTTGGTAGCGCCGAGACCGTGTCAGCGTATGATAAACTCTTGTGTTTACAGAACATATTTTTCTCCTTGCTCCTCTTCAAAGATTTAACACTACGACATTATATAGAGTAAGCGATGTCTCTGATACCGACTACTTGTTATCGTAGCAACGATTTACGGCGACTCGCACATATTTATTCGCGTAAATCTGTTAAAGTTTAAAAAATATTTTTCTTTTATCACGATCACTGTCGTGGGTGGCAACATGCACAGAAAGCGTGCTTATTTATTTAAACTTATCTACGGTAATTATCAAATTTAGAGTCACCTTCGAAAGCGAATGCAGGTTAAAAGATTAACGATACATAGCATGAATAATTACATAAAGTAGGTATAAACGCAGTAACCACGTTTTTTCTTGGAATTCAAAAGTATGTTAACAAAAGCGCGAGTCATCGTGTATGGAAAGGTAACACGGTGAAAAATGATCGATCAGAAACGGATTATTTCGAGCGGAGATGTTTCTCGTAGTTTCTCCACGAAATGGAAACATTCGTATTTCCAAGAAACGCGTGCGTTTACGCTGCCTGATAGATAGAAGGAGTCGAGTAGTTGTTTGCACTCGCTTAGAAAGACAATTTAAAGCAGGTGACACAGACGACGCGTATTCTCGCTCGGGCACCTGCGTGTAACCTCCTTGGAAGATTACGAGCCAATGACCTCACATCTGATAGCGTGTAGCGTGACAACGCTCTCTCAACGAAAAGAACACGCTCTCCATTCTTCGCCGAAACGAATTTTTTTCCTATTATTACCTTCTTGTACCGTAAGTCGAGCGCGAACAGCCTACGCGAAAACAAAATTTCGTATTCGTAACCTTCGTAATTATCATCATTTATCGTGTGTAATTATCATTTTTATAATTTAAAGTGGACAATGCTTTATCTACCTGTCTACCTTTTATCCGGTAAATACGTTCACGACGATTAAACGTAAAAATGTATTCTCACGAGTGACGAGTCTCCCTCCCGGAAATATTTGATGCGTGTTCCTAGAACGAAATAAAAGCGGATCGTGACTGGAATCACATTTTTCCATTTTACGCATAACACTGCTAGCTAGTACACACGACTTCGCCCACGCGTGAGCGAGCCAAGAATTGCACAACGCGTTTGAAAAGCGCTCCTCGAATAGGCTGATTTCTATTCCGTTGGATCGCGCGTCCAGACGAAATTGCTTGCAACCTAACTACTTAATTAGATCTAATTTCATTTCACTTTGCCTAGTTGAATCGAACGTCGTTACAATTTCGTCTCGTCGTTCGAGGTTCCGAATATTTCAATTTTCGAGCGAAGACAATTTTTAATTATGACGACCAAACGAAAATAGGCTCCTATTAATTAAGCAGGCAGGGACGATCAATCTCCATTTCGACAGGGAGCTGGGATCGTAAAGATGGCAATATACATGGCCGATTCGATCGTGATACATAGGGATAGAACTTACGAGATGTAAGTTATGGGCAAGCAAGATAGAACAATCGAGACATTGACGGTTATAAATGGCAACCTTACGTAACTTGTTTTTTTCACTCATTAGACTAATTAGAAACTCGAATAATGGTGCGACATTATCGTCGTGTGCAACATCGTCGCGCCTGGTAACTCGGTGCTCGCGGTAAAAATATTTTTTCAAACAAGAAAATAGTCTACGCAACTAGTCCCCTTAGTTTTCATTCTTGGAATAAAAGGAAATCTCCGAACTGATTTAAAGGGGAAAAATGGAAAGCATCGAAAAGCAAAAAAAGGTCAGTAGACATACCGTTAGTGGATACATAATTGTAACAAGAGGAAAGATAGAAGAGAGAATGGAGTAACATGGTTATTACAAATTCTGCGGCATGCCGTTGCCAGCAGCGATCGCGACCTGGTTTGCACACCAAGTCTAATGTTTATTTATCAAGTTTACGGTTCGTCCTCTTTCCGGCCTAGTTATCGTGTCGTGCTACGGTTGCCGGCTGTTTCAATCTCAAGAATAATCTTCTTTTGTTCACGGAACACTCGTTATTTCAGATAACCTTACGCTTATGTCTACGTCGATTCCGTAGACACGCGTTCTTCTACGATACGTAAAATCTTAAAAACCTTACATCATTCTATCCGGAGAAGTTGCACCAGTGAAACCACGGAGTAAATTACTTCTTCCCCTGATAGAGAGTAAACGGAGAAAATTTAAGAAACACACGTAGATCAGTGCCTAATGCACCGATATCCGTGTCGCCTACTTTTAAGCAGAGCAGCCTGGAAGTCGGACAGGCAATTTTGAATGGCTATCTCGAAAACGTAGCTCTAGGTATTAGGCAATGGTAGAGAACACGTACTATAATTCCAAGTACTCTTTAACTGTAAATTTTGTAATAACATTCGGTGAGTCAACGTCGACTCGTTTAATGGAGTTACTCACAATCAGTCAAATAATGAACGCGAAAGCACGTGTGAGCTCCCTGTGCCACTAACGAAACGTTAACCGACCAATTTGTATTTCGACACGCGCGCGACCCACCTCCTGTCGACAACACAACTCCAAATAGTAGCCTGGTATTTCCAGTTAATCTTAATTCGTGTCGTTTCCTCCCGAAAGAGCGCACCTTGAAAATCTAAAACGAACTACTAAACATTACGCAATGACCGAGCCAACGTTCTATGCTCTTCCAGGTAAAAAGTTTCCCAAAATATAAATATTTATCGTGAGTATATATTTATAATTAGAGATCCTTTGAATATTTATGACGGGAATTAAAGCATTCGTTGTAGATTAATGTTTGCAATTAGCGTTGCATTAGAATTATTTTTTTTCTTTTTACACTCAAATACATCTTGCGTCACGCAACTGCTCGCTCCTTTATCGTTCGTTACCGCCACGCCAAGCCTGCATATGCTTTTTTTTTTTCTTTTCCTATCAAACTTGTAATAGACTGCACTATTGAACGACGAACTCCTTTCGCTCGAAACAGAATGCGTGCAACGCTTGTTTCAAGCTCGAATAAAAAATACCTTTCTACGATTAATTAAAGTCATGTTCCGTGTAAGTACCACGGATCATCGATCGAGTTTTTTAAGGCGAACGCAATGTAAAAAAGGAAAAAATGATACCCGATGCGACAGCTTGCAAACACACACGGAATGCAATTTTGAAAGTCAACGAGCTGGTGCTCGATGAGGAAAACGCGCTCTGTAAAGGTATAGCCTGTTGAAAGATCGTACAATGGAAGCCCCGTTAATACGATTCTGCATTCGTCATGGTAGCCCGAGTACATTGCACCAAATACTCGACGCATCGTTAAATACCAGGAACTTGACACTGATCGTTGCGGAGATTGCACGTATGGCATAAAAGCACGGTTGCGGATAGCTATTTTACTCCGTGTTTGTTAATGATTTACGTTACAAAACAAGAGTAACGAAAAACTAAAAAATGAAGTTGTTTCACGTCGTTTCACGATACTCTTCGTATCGTTTGATTTGTTAGTTTAAGCAATAAGAAAGAACCGTTTAATCGTACACATAGAACTTTTCTATTGAATTATCTACAGCAACGGCGAGCATGTGTTCACTTCGTAAGCACGGTCTTTTTATTAATGGCCACTGCCATATGTACGGAACACCTGTGATGACTAACAGTACCGCGTAGTCAAGTATAATAAGCGGAGATTACGTTCGCGTATGTTACTTTGCAGGGGTATCGATTTCGTTTTATCCAAACTTTTCTACGAGCAAATCCAGACAACCTAATGCGACGAGGTAATTTCATCGGTTATCTTATAACGACGAAACTCGTTGGGGTGAAAAGCAGAATTTTCCAATTTACCTGACTTTCCCATTGGTGGTTGGCCGAGTCTACTGAACCACCTAAGGAATCTTCTGGCCGTGGTCGCGGCGGGCGGTCTACATCCCTCCAGTATAACAACACCATTATTATTGTTATTATTATTATTGTGGTTGTTATTGTTATTATTGTTGTTGGGGGTAGAACGTTCCGAGGGTGCTGCTCTGCTGTAAGGCGACATCCAAGCAGTGGTGGTGCTTTGAATGGTGGCACCTTTGACAGTGGTGATGGAACTGGTTATTTTAGCCGGGTGCGGCACCCAATCTTCCGAAGCGACGGGCATTTGTCTCGCCCTCTCGTCGGACGAGTCGAAAACGAAGCCACAAAACGGGAAAGTCATTCAAGGTGTTGCGCTTGTACCGGAAATTCGACCGGTACGATGCATCGTCTCCGAATACACACGATTTCCTGTTGTTTCCACGCTTTTTTCGTTGGTCGTAATCAACCACCGATTACAATGCAATCTTTCGAAGCTTCCTTCGGATAACTCGGCCAGCGAGTTATAGTTTTGACTCGACACGCGACATGCTGCAAAGATTACGCAGGAGGATGGTTTTTGCGCGCATCTGTATGTTTGCGGTCGTCGCCTCCAACCCCTTATCTACGCTTGCTCGGATGTTTGCTTTGGTAGTTATAGTCACGTGGTTCCCCCTTAACTTGTTGCACATACCTCGATCGACTCTTTCCGTATTCTGAATACGGTTCCTACTCGGTCTTTTTTTCTTTCTTGCTCGTTGTGCGCGATTAATTATGCGGTTATACGTGTAAAATTGTTCTTAATCAAGAGGAGAACTAATTGATTTATTTGGTAGATTAGTAGGTACTTCGTTTTCGTAGGAGGCTTCCTGTGTAAATACTACGCTACCGTGGAATGGTCATCGAATACTCGAGGATCGAAGAAGCAACGACCTTTAAACCGCGATTCAACGATATCCTTCGAAGATCCTCGTCGTTGGCTTCCTACGGTTCGCGAAGGTACACACGGCATAGGTTCCTTCTTAAGTAGGATTATTGCACTTTGTCCTACTTTGCACGATCCGATCCAGTCTCGATTAACGGTTTCTCTTAGATCGGTGCAGGAATCTGCTCGTCGACGCCAACAAATCTTTCTACGATCGACTCGAAGTCTCGCACGCGAATAAGGATAATCTTTTGTCCTTCGTTGGGTAATTGGCTAGACGAATCCTTCGAAACTATACTCCCCGTGGACAATACGTTTGGAGGTCGAGGTTGATCCACTGAATCGCTGAACGTGGCTCGGTCGGTCACGTAGTTGCCGCATTATCCGCGTCTCCTCGACAACCAACCGACCATCCAACTATCCCCGTCGTCCTCGTCTTCGACGTCGTCGCCGACGCGCACGATTCATTCGGTTCGAACCGAATCACACTCGTACCTACGCGTATCTCTTTCTTTTACACCTTTCTTTCCTGATGATCGAGCGAATATTCTTCCTCCTCTCCTCTCTTATCGAAACGATCTATCCGAAAGAACGAGTAGTACACGAACCAGCGAGATATCGTTCGATCCGTACAGTGCATACGAAGGATCGAGTTCTCGCAACGAGCACACTTGTTTGCACTTGGAAACACTGCGAAGTTTGCACACCAGGTATACGTATGAAATCGAATTACCGGTCTTGCGTGAAATCGCGCAACGTTTCGGGAACACCGTTTAACCCATCTTGAGATATGTAAGTGGTGAACGAAAACGAGTGGATCGCACGATTTCCTTCCGCCCGCGGCAAACACGAGGAAGAGAAAAATAGAAAAATCGTTGAAAAACGTGGCGAAGCTCGCGAACGGTTCGATACTGACCGCGCGTCTCCCGACCTGACGACAGACTCGAACTGCCACCGACCGCTTCTCTCGACACTGTCTCTGCCAACTTGCTCTCCGTGCTTCTCTACCACTCCTCTACCGTTGTCTACCGATCGTCTCTCCTCTGTCTCCCTGCTGTTCTCCTTCTCTCTCTAGTTCCTACTCGTGTTAGTGTATCGGTGCTGTATCCGTGCACGCGTATACACCTTCAAGCAGCACCGACACCCGCGTTACCACTACCGGTGCGATGGTAGACTGTCGCTAACCGCCCCACCACGCCAATACTTTTTCTTCGGTCAACTCCCTCTCGCACTCGGTACCATTTCTTTATCTTCTCTTTCCTCCTCTTACCCTCTTCTAGCTAGCTCTTTTCGCCTAGCGAATACACAACTGGGAAACATCGTGGCCAACACAAACGTACATGCGTGTATACATATAGGTTTGCGGTGGCGGCAACTCGCCTCTCTCGTTCCCGGCCAACAGCAACACGTTGCGCTCACACCGAACTGCACACGGAACGCGTTTTCACGTACGCGAGACGACACACGTACTCGTTGGGCACGATTCGTGGGCGATTTTCTAGCGAACGAAAAACGGAACGAAGCAGAAAAAAGGGAAACGAAGGATGCGCATTCGCCTCAGCTGACGCGCCGTGACTGCTGACTGACAGAGAAGCGCGGCTCTCGTGCGGTTACCTACAGCCTAACCTGACTCGTCGCGGTTCTACCCTTCTCGATTCCTCTCGCCCCGTGCATCGTCGTGCCCGCAAGGGCATGCGAGCTCCTTGTTTACCTGCATACCACGATCACGCGATCCTAGCGCGCCAACGTTCGAATCTTTTTCACCGTCGCGTTTCGAGCCCGCAACGAGTAACCTTGTCATTCGACTCGATGCGGTTTCAATTTTAATACTTTCCTGCATTATCGAAGCTGCTCGATTTCAGCTGATAACGAACGATAACGCGAAGCAAACTCGCGTCCAGGGTGTCGAGAAAGCGTCCCGGTATGATCGAAGCGTGTTTGGTCGCCGGCCAAAGCGCGATTTCGTAAGGATCCACCCACGATTTCTTTTTGCAATCGACGAAACATCGTTTAAGTTGAAAATGGAAAGTCGTTGTATTTATTATTCGAGCGGGGAGCGTAACCGCTCGTTCTAAAGACGATGTAAAAACAGAAAGCGTGTCCGATCGAGTTCAGTGAGACTTCACGGCTCTTCCCGCGTCTTCCTGTTTGCCCGCCGTTGATACTCTTTCGAGTTGCAAAATCTCTTGATAAAAAAAAAATTTCTTTTTCTAATTAAAAATTTTTAATTTTGCAATATTCCTTTTTCGCCTCTATTTATCTGAGAAATAACAAGCTTGGTTTGAAGTGATATGAACGATACGTAAGATATTTGATACACGTCCGATAATGATCACTTAAGCGACTAACAGGAATTCATTTATATGCGACATCGTTTACATTTCGTGCTGGCTATATATTCCGATATCAATCGTATAGTATAAATGTTTACAAACTCCACTATGAAGATTTACTTTGTGAAACAGTGCTAGCATTCAGAGATAAATTGCATTGAGACGAAACAGAGATCCAAGACGCGTCGAAAAACTGATATTGTTATATAGCAGAAACGATCGACAAGCTTCTTATCTTTTATTTGTCCAGATTAAAATGCTCGATCGCAATAATATTTATCACGCTCGGCTTTAGATCGGAAATTGTTAATCATCGCTAGCTGGGATTCATTTACGTCATTTCGTGTCGACGGTGAATGAAATCACATCGACACGAAAATACAATATCACAAAAAAGAAATTAAATTTCAACGTTCTGCCGCGAAGGTCTGACACGAATGTCAATAAGCGTTCACTATTGAGTACGCGTTCGCGTTCAAAACGACGACGGTAAAATCAAGATGTCTAGAGCGGACGTTGATCGGCGTCGTCGGTCAGAAGCTGCACCGATTTCAGTAATTAATCGTAAAACGGTTGGACGCCAGCACGGTATTCTCGGTGTAAAAATAGAGGCGCCACTGACGTAACGAGTGTAACTTATGCAATACATTAAAGACAGTGCCCTCCGTGTATAGATTACTTTGAAAATGTTCTCGCATATTAGCCGCATTTGTTAACGCGTTCGGCATCGACGAATGCGTTGAATTGTTCGACCGAAAGATTCGAGCATGTGGCACGCGCTAATAGTCTCGCGATTTCTTCCACCGATCGCGACCAAATCTTCCTAACTCACCTTTAATTACTGTAATTTAATCGCACGCTAGCCGAGCCGGCGAGAAAACATGGAATGAAACGAGTCGGATAAGATCTACGAATCGAACGATGCACCCTATTGTTGTTTGTTCTTCTCGCGGAAAAGAAAGTAGCTCTTTAACGTCCTACCGACGACGATAAGACTCTGATACGCGTGCCACTGATTACAATTGAGAAAATTCAATGAAAAACACGACACTTGATACGACATATGTACTGCGAGACGAAATTAGGGCATGCCGCGGATCGCATCTGCGAGAAGATGCGTTCAGAGAACGGTGCTGAGAAGATTACCTGGTTATCGGTCAACCACGTGGTTTCTGCTCGATCACTCTGCATCTTCGAATCGAAAAATCATCGTAAACGCTGATCGTTAAAACACACACTTGACCTAGAATAGACAGAGGTGAAACGAACGCGAAGACCGGGCTACAGAAGGCTCGAGAGACGAGGAGGTAAAAGCAGGATGACGAAGAGGAAGACGTTGTTGGCAGCGGTTCAAAGCGCAGTCCGACCTAACTGAAATACTGCAGTGCTCCACTACGTGTCGCATACCAGGTGAAAATATTGCGGAACTGTTACTTTACCAACCAAGAATATATTGTATAATCTACAAGGTGGAAAACTGTCGTTGTACTTTCTCCGCGAGATTGAATTTGTTTCAGTTTTGTTTTAGTCCGCTCTAGAGATGGATTATTTAAACGCTGACCACTTAAAAATTTACATTCTCCTTTCATTTCACGTCTCCTTTCAGCATAGAACGGATAATTTTCACGGAAAGAAAAGAAAAAGAATCGGTAGAACGATCGCGTAAATACCAACGAGCAGGATTTCCACTCTAATAACGGTAGCACAGTAGGCGTTAACAATAGTGTAGAATCTAACAATAGCAAGCTACGTGGAGGCTTTCGGCAATTTTCCTGAAACACGGCATCGTTCCCAAGCGTGCTTAGTTTGATCACCTTTCGAAGATATCTACCTTATCAACCAGCGACAGCAGGTAAACCTGTCCAACAGATAATACCGCTAACACGATCGAAACACTTGGCTAGCTCTTTGTGCCCATTCGAGCCAGATGCCTATCAATTTTCGATTCAACATAAACTAATCTGTTCACCTATGATACGTTTAATCCGAATAGATTTTCGCAAACATTTCAAAAGACTTTCCACGAAGAAAGTCGTTCCCGTGCATCACAGGGAAGATTAACAGGAAGCCAAACACTTTCCATTTCTTCCAGACAAGTCGTGAAAACAATAGATCTTGCGCAACAAACTATACGTCGCACACTGTGTACGATCCATCTTCTCTGCAATTATTTCCTTTCTTTGCTTGAAAAATACGACGCAGAAAAACAAGAGAAGAAAAGAATCCGAGAAAAACATAAAGTTTGAGAGCCACGTTTAAATTTGCACCGTATCGTACGCGAACGATCGACACCGTCAAACAGATCTAATTAAAATCTTTCGTTGTTCGAATACTGTTCGAACTAGATGCTACGTTAACGATAGTGCCACTTCAGAGACGCCATTACACAAAAGCACCGTTCCTTCATACGGAAAAAACCTGCTTCGATGGTAAAATAGCGGAAGTAACAGCATAGATAAACATCTAGCACAGGATATCTTCGATTGCAATTTCTATAGTCAATTTTATATGTATCGTAATCTTTGCGCTTAAAAGGATAGCTTCTCGGTAAAGTATCTCGGTCTTAGCACAGATTTCACACAACATATCTTAAATTTTTCGTGTGCCTACTCGTATCAGTTCAGAAATGGGTAACGCGATCGATGAACAAGCAGGAGAATGGTCACGCGAAACAAAGCAATTTTCATCAACTGGCTCGAACAAATCTTCCCGACCTCGCAACTATCGTTCTCCATTAGTCACGTTTATACATTGGGAAAACGCATATTATACGGTCAAAATGATAAAACTTTTCCTTGGCGTAACTACGTCACAAAAGACACTTTATTCATTCGCGACAGGTTGTCCTTCGACGATTCGTTCTTCGCGAGGACACTCGTTATCGTTACGAATACGAATAACAAAATTGGACAAAGTACAAGAACTAATCCAGATAACTATAAGCGAAGGCAATGTAAAACTGAAAAAGGAAAGTCACGTTTGATAACGGTAATTACTATTTAACTTCGTTCCACTTTGTTTCTAGTTTACCAACACCTAGCTCTAGTATTTTACTATTCTTCCTACTAACGCTAATCCATCTTCCTACGAATATGGAGTAGACTCAAGGAAAAGGAACGAGTAGGAAGAACAGTGGGAAGCTTCTTTCCACACACCTTTTCTTAACCGAGGGAAATGTAATGTGTGCATAGGACACAGCACGGAAGAGACAAGAAAGGATAGCGATCGTTAGGTCCGGTACGGTGATCGTTGGGTGAGAAGTGGCATTGCACGCTTCTGTCGCATCGGTAGTTTACTGCTTCCGTGTCGGCATAATTAAACGGATTAATGAGCGCGCGTTTTGCGTTGAGACTTGGTTTCAAGTTAAAACGCGAGAATGTGCAAGGTTAACGCGAGTCGTGATTAACGTCGATCGCGAATCCGGAAGAGAGCCGTATATTCCATTTACAGTCGCCAATTTACATTATCAATTTGTCAATTAATCGTTTGAAGTCGCGAAACATTTACATTTAAGTTGTTTTAAAATATCCCCTTTAAGCATAAAGAAATGCAATATAAAAATATCCCCTTTAAGCGCCGAAGTCCATCAATGGAAACGTTGAGCTCCGCCGAAGAAACGGAAAAAAAGGAACAGGTTTCAGGAAGACGATAAAAAGTGATGCCATTCACGTATCTCGAGCAAGCGAACAATAGAAAAAACTAAGCACCGTGAGATCTCATAAAAGAAACTTGTAAAAAAGCAGCTTCTCCGTGTTCGCGTAACCCGAGAACCATTGTCGTAAGTATCAAACTATTTCTAAATAAGTGGCGTAAAATCGAGTTTCTGAAGAAAATAAAAAGCTTCGAAGCCAATGCTACAAGTTTTGAAAGGAACATGGTACATTATGAATGGTAAAAAAGAGATAGCTGATTTTCTTCTTATTGTTTCGATAAATTGCCGTATTAAGTACACAATTTTGCTTCGAAAGTGAATGACCTTTTACCTTTGTTCCTTTTTTTACTTTGAAACTTTCTCTCTGTAGAAACGAAGTATAAAATTCGGATAGGACACGTACCTTCTTGATTGGGGTTATTAACGTTAGGGTTCGGATGAGAAGTCAAAGAGGACGGCGTCTCATCCTCGGCGACGCCCATCGTTGTTGCTGCCGTTTGCTGATGATGCGTCTCCACTTCTGTAGCCTCTTCGCACCTGCAATAAAACAGACATCGCAAATCGTTATTTTCTATTAGGATGATCACTTTATGACGTGTGTACGCGTGCGCGTAAAGATACACAAATAGAACGATATGTTACACGAGAACTAATCCTTTCTCCTCTAATTTTCTTCTGCCAGACACGAAACTAGCAATCAATTTCAGCATCAGATTCACGACTGTAATAAAGAACGAAAGACCGCGGTGAAAGGATTACCCCTGTCGTTTAGAAGAAAATTCGAGCAAGGATGGAAGGTGGTACGGTTCGTGTGGTGAACACCCACGACATTATTTCCAAGCGATCGCGGTTCGCCACAACAGGCTGTTTTTTACCGATCGTCTTTTCATGCCTTCGCAGGCAGGTAGAAAGTGCTTACATAAAGTTTCGCTTTACTTACTGACAGTGGCAGAGAGTCGAGTCAAGGACCCGATGCAGTCGCAGCGAGAAACGAAAGAGCGCGAACCGACTGCGACGTTTACACGTGTAAACACAGTTCATTGATAGCTAACCGAAATGTACGTGTATATACACCTATTCGAATCGCGAAATACGTTGACCGATGCGACCATTTGCGGACATTTCAAACGCTCGAAAGTACTTTAAGACTTCTCAGGAACGCCTTGTAAAGGGTATTATCGAGCATGCTAGATAAGAGAACGTTTTCAGGACAAAGGAATCGAGTTTCTTCGACTTACCAAAGTATTCGGTCTGTACAACTCGATTTCTGACAAGTTCGCGACCTTGCTCGTCCCGTGAACGCGAGTACAACTGAAAGTTGCGTGAACAACAACGGTGTATCCGTATAGAAGTAAACTTATCCGACGCAACGTTATCTGGCTGCATCCTGTGCGGTTCAACTATACGAGTAACGCATTGATAGAGTGACGCGAAGAAGAAATAGATATTTTAGAAAATAGGAAACACGCGGGGATGCTCACGAATCGAGGAGCGACGTCGCGGCGCGGCGGCGCCACGCGTGATGCGCTCTGTAAAACAGAGCGTAGAGAGGAGAGGAGAGAGGATATATCGCGGTGTCTCTAACGGTATATTGACCTCCGCGATGCCGATTGTCGTAAACACGTATTCTATATCTCGCACGCGACCACTTTGCTCGCTCGTTTAAGCTTTCGCGTCACGATACTTCTTTCTTATTCCGCGACGCTTTGCCCCGCTGAACGATTAAGCGGTCTTCTACCTCTCCACTGGCAAGGGGACTCGTACGGATTAAACTAGCGAGCAGAAAGTATTTGCAGTCATCGGGGAGGCGCTGTTTCGAATTCTTAAAACGAATCGCAGAAACGTGATCTTTGCTTTTCTGAAAAATCACTCGACATGTAACATACGAACAAAGGCCAGGATCGAAAGTACAAAACAGGCTAATTCCTGTGCGTGTTAGCGTAACGTTATCGTTTCTTCGTGGAACAGCTTCGAAGTTCATAGGCTGAACAGAGTCGACGCGCTTCCCGTAGCGAAACAGGCTCCGTCTACTCTCGCGAGACTCTTGGGAGACTCGGCTCGTTTCTCCTTCGGCCAACGACCGTCGCTACACCTTTAGTTTCAAAGACGCTCCCTTTGCATTAGCCTCTACGTAAACGCGACATTTCCCGCCCTCCCTTCAAACAGACTATCCCTCTATATCCGAACAGCGCATAGATCTCCTAGAGCAACGTGGATACCTTGCTCTCGATCGATTCCGCTTGGAAACCCGCTACTTTCTAACCTGCGTATCCTGCGCTGCGACGCTGAAAAGCCTTCCTCTCCTACCTACCATTATTTTCTCCCGTCTCATCCTTGTTTTTATTCAATTATGTATCAATTTGCGCTGTTTAAAAAATAGAAACGAGAACGATAGCGTATCTCGCACGATAGAGTTTTAAAAAAGAAACTAGCCAGTGTTCGATCGCGATACAATCGAGGATAAACGAGATGTCGAATAACGAATTAGGGCGAAGCGAAATTTGAAGGTGAAGCGAGAGTGACGTTTTCATGGAGGAAAGAGAGCAAGGAGCGTATCGAGAGGCACTCGAAAAGAGACAAGACCGGTTTCACTCGCGTCCCTGTCACGATATTCACGCACAAAGGTGTCGTAGAACGATACCCGTTGATAAAACGTACGACAGTATGCGTGAAAAGAGGCGTACGCGCGTCAACCGCGAACCGTATAATAAAGGATCTTGCGCAGAGTTGAATGGATATGATTAGTGTTTACAAGAATACTTTTTGTTAGGTTATCGCCAGTATTCCGTACCGTCTACGAAGACAGTATTTTCCACTGTCTTACACTCGTTGAAGAGACGTCGTAACGGATGCAATGCTCGCTGCCAACGAAACCCTTTCTTCTCCTTTCGCCATAATTCGCCCGTGAAACGTCGTGTATTCGAAGGCACACCGTACTCACATCTTAATACGCGACTCCGTCTTGAAGCTGCATTCGTAGGCCCGTTTATTCGATTCTTCGATACAAGGATATCGCGTCAGCTATTTCGCTGGATGTTACTCTCGGTCTTTGATATTTCACTGTACTCCACTCCACTCACTACCGCCGCTCCCCGCGATCCTCGAGAAAAGATAGCCAATATACTCGCGAGACTACCACCAACCTACCAGCTATCGTTCAGAGTCCCGGCCAGTTCTCGTTCTCCCTTTTCCGCGCCGAGAACACTGTTCACTTTTTCAGCCGCGTCGAACTTGTTCTCCACCCGCGACAAATATCGAATTTCCTTTATCCGAAATCACCCCGGGACCGATAGCCGACAAATATCCGCGATTTGATTTACAACGAATCCGTACGGACCGTGAAAATCGTGAAAACGATGAGATATTGACAAATACGTCGCGGCGTCGCGACACCATCGACTAAATTTTATTCCACCGCCAGGTGGCGCCACTTTGCAACTTTAAGGTCCTTTTGACTCGTCCAAATATTTTTTGTCAAAATTTATAAAAGTATCTGTTTTTTGGAAAATGTTTATATCCCATCTTCCTCGAGGCTTTTAATTACTCTTATTTTAATGATTCTTCCCAATTTCAATGATTTGGATTGATATGGTACTTACAATTTATATGAAAGATCACAGGTGTCCCACGCACAAGAAAAATGAAATTATATGTATAATATCTATAATAATACAAGTTTTATTATTTTTTGTTATTTTATTATTAATAATACTGTATAAAATAATATGTACTCTTATTTTTGATCAATTTTTTTTATACCAAAAATCGTGATGGAGTTGTCAAAACGTATGTAAATAAAGGATTAGTAGAGGGGATTTGACGTTATTTCAAAAGTCGAATTAATATAAAGAAATAAACGTATTTATTGTTATTCCTGCCAATAGAATTTATTTTCCCTGTTTTAAATAAAGTATTCTTTTCTAGCTCGTTCCTAAAATATGTACAAATACCTTTCATATCCCTTGCAACAACTATACTAACCTAAAATAATATGATCTTCGTTGTATTCTAATGATTTCTGTTACAAGTCAATAAATTTTATTATACAATGGATAACATATTTGGGAAAGAGGACTCTGGAAATGAAAGTGAGCACATAGATGTGGAGGAAAAAGAAGAGAAGGGTAGTCCTTCTCCACATTCTGGAACTAAGGATGCGGAGTCAATGGATATTGATAATATGCAGGTCAAGGTATAATTATAACACACAAATCATAATATTTTTAAGTTTAATTCATCTTACTATTTTAAATTTGGGTAACTATTAGATAGAATCAGATGCAATGAGCTCTCAATCTCAATCCGATGTTGAAGAAGTAGGATCCAATTCATTGTGCACAGCAGTGGAAGATCAGTTGGAAATTGTTAAACATGAAATTGAGATGAGAGAAGAAGAGCAAGCTACAGAGGACATGTTTGAAAATGATATAGTTCTACCTCATGCAAATCCAACAAGTATTAAAGAAAGAAGAGAAAGCAAAGAAAAAAGCAAGAAAGAATTGGAAGAAGAAGAGAGAGAAAAGATGCAGTACATGTCTAACTTTTCCATTATTATATTTACTATTTTCTACAAATACATAAAAATATATTTGTTTATTTCCTAACAGAGTATTAGTTTCAAATTTTACCGAAGATCAATTGGACAGATATGAAATGTATAGAAGAGCTGCTTTTCCAAAAGCAGCAATAAAAAGGGTAATTTCTTCTTCTTTAATTATATTAATTTGTGCTCTTAAATATTTCATGATTACATTCTTTGTTATAGATTATGCAAACTATAACAGGTTGCTCTGTATCACAGAATGTAGTTATTGCTATGTCTGGTATCGCAAAGGTGTTTGTTGGAGAAATTGTAGAAGAAGGTAAAATTGAACGGTTTAGATCAACATTTTTCACAGAGAAATTGAATTTATCTAATTTATTACTGTAGCTCTTGATGTTATGGAAACGCATCAAGAAACAGGGCCATTACAACCGAAACACCTGAGGGAAGCCGTTCGAAGATTAAGACTTCAAGGTCAGATTCCGAATGGTCGTGCTCATAAGGCGTTTTTCAGGCTATGAATACTTCGTGGCTAATGTTAAATATACGTTAATATAGAAGATTGTTATTTTTCTACAAAAGAGAAATTTGATAAATGCATGATACAGAAGCGAGCTAGTTTAGAAGCAAGTACAAACGAGTTTCAATTAGAGGTGTAACAAATATTTACTGTAAATGTTTTGTGTACACTGAAATACTTATATTATTTGTATTCGCATAAATAATAACTTCCATTATATAGCTATTATATTTATACATACGAAATAAGACGAATATCAAAAATATCGTTATCTCGATTTTATTGGGTATTAAATAACCTGAACATATTTAATGAAAATTATTTTCCTCACTATTTTTAATCGAATTAACAGAATATTGGCCAGGATTAGTATGATATGCAATTATTATCTACTCTAATACTAACACATTGTTTCAGTTACGTTTTCTCAGAAGATTCCAACGATGTAATGAAATTTGAAAACTTTTACGTCTCTAGATCGACGGACAATGTCTTAAAACTTACTTCAAATATTTTGGCAATTATTTTAATACACGAATGGTACATTATAACTTGATTTATTAAAATTTTCCTAACTTTTAACGTTAAGCTTGTAAAATTAGCATACGTGATAAGCAAGATGGAAATTTCTTTTACGTTCGGTTAAATTCCACACAAAAATGTCGGGCGAATAATAGGAGGAAAATCATGTTGCATTATTTTGCATATAATATTAAGAAACATAGATACTTAAAAGTCAGTTATTTCAAACAGTTCTGCTTCTTACAATTTTAATATAAATTTTGTAATGATACCAATTAAATTCAATCGAATAGTCTTGCGAATTAATACCAGGAGGGTACGGTAAAGAATTATCAAATTTGAGATCTTATCAATGCCCATCTTGTGATGAAATTTTTCAAAATCATCGTCGTAAATTGCTCAGTTATACAGACGAAATTAATTCTCACTTAGATAATACAGGACTAAACGATTTTCTTAAAGTAACCAATAAAGATACCGAAAATCGTAAGTAAATAAGAATTTATTATCTAGAATTTGTGTAACATTCTTTCTTCTTTAGGGTTGTTAATATTGATAACTTTTTAAATACTGTAGATGGTGAATTATGGGATAACTGGAGCAACTGGAGTAAATGTAGCGTGACCTGTGGAAATGGACGTCAAGTTCGTTGGCGTCATTGTTTAGCTGGGGATTGCACAAAAGGGTTGAAGAAAGCACAAATGAAAACTTGTCGACAAAAACAATGCGGTTCTAAAACTTTTCTTCACTGGCTTGGCATTAAATCTTGATAATAAATTTCAGATAATTTCAAGCGGTAATAAATCCGGCTTGAAGTGATAACAGAATGCGGATAATTAATTAGTAATGCAAATGTTAAACAAATTGCTGAGAAAATTTGTTGAGTTATTATTAATCGTATTTGTTGTTACGAAATGTACATCAATGTTACAGTCTGAGAAATCTTTAAACGATGCCATAATAGTTCCTTCACACGAACAAACATCTTCTATATCCAAAATAGTGAACACTGAAAACAAAAATTTGCAATATGTAACACAAACATCTTCTGTAGGGAACAATAATCCGAGTAAAGAAAATGAAAAAGTCAAGAACATCGTTAAGAAAGATAAAAAAAGTATAGTTTAATTTATATGGAAATATTTAAATTTCTGATAACGATAGTTTTATTAAAATAACTTTTATAATCATTATTTACAAATTTATATGCTATAACAGTAGAAATTTATTATATAAAACACATGTAACAAACATTATGAATTACAATATATAATCTATACGATTTATTTAGAAAACTGTAATTTATAAAATATTGTTAATAATTTTATCGCTAATTTTTACTTTGGTAACGAATGACAACTAATACATAAACAATTTAATGACAGGTAAATTAGATAGAGAGGGGCCAAAAGTATGGGATCACTGGGGAAACTGGTCTAGTTGTAGTGTTACTTGTGGAGTTGGAAAACTTACAAGATGGAGACACTGTGTAAGCGGAGGTTGTCTTTTAGGCGAGAAAAAAGCACAATTAAGGACATGTACTCTTGCAGCATGTTAACATTGTTTTCCAAAACATACTTTTTACAGCATGTTTATAATTGAAATAAACAAAATATATTAGAGTTGGATAATAATAATAATAAGTCTCATTTGTAACATTTTGTATCTATCCTGAAAAAAATCGTAATTGAATATATTGAAGTATATCTGCTCTGTGTTTGAAAAGAAGTATATAAAATTCATCTATTATTACAAACCTCTAGATATTTCATTAACATCTGACACATGTATATGCATGAGACTAATTAATGGATATTATTTCTTTGTAAAATGCACTGTTTATTCGTTTTTGAAATAATCATCACTTCTATAAATTGTTGGAGGTTCAAATGCTGGTAATTTACTTGGTACCATGGGCTCTTGAGCTTTTTTCTAAAACATAACATAGTAAATTAACTGAAAAATCAACATTAGATATTTAATTAGAACTTACAAAGAAGGATAAAGGATTTAACATTCCAAATAATCTATCAGAAATGCCTAATTCAGCTTCTGCATTATCAACAGCAGCTTCTAATGTAGTTAGATTTACATTAGCCATTGCAATAACGTGCTCTAAAGCATCTATTCTTCTGCAGAGGTTTATGACTTCTTGCTGCATATCTTGTAATCTTGGAATATGTTGTTCCATGCATTGTGAACTTTCAGACTGAACCTTTTAACATAAAATATAACATACATCTAGCCCAATTATTGAAAATTACTAATTAATGTGAACAGTGATTTCTAACCATTTCAATGATTGATTGGAATTCTTCTAAGCGCATCATCACATCTTCGATCGTGTCGTGAAAACTTTTCATCTACGACACAATTTTACATTTCATTTATATATTTTTACAAATACTCCTTTCAAACTGTAAGATTCAACAGCTGTACGTAAAGGTTATGTTAAACACAATACTTGCCTGATTGGATAAATCTAATTTTGCATAACTTGCATAATCTTTGGCTAATTCTTCAATAACCGGAGTAGTGTGCGAAGTCATTTTTATTTCTTTAAAATGATTTATTCAAACGGTAAATTCATTAATTCTAACACAGTACTTTTAAACATCCAGGGCGCCATTTTCTTATGATAAAATTTTAATCAAATAATCAAATGTAAAACCTAATTAGATATCCTTTTTTTACAGTTGAAGAATTATTCTTTACTGTTCTCGTTCTTTTTTAAATTACTTTGACATCATCAGTTATGGATTTTTTTTCCATATAGAAGTTTATTGTTCAAAGTTGTCATTTTTAATTTCACGTAGTAATTTCAAATTTTAATACGACTACTTGTATCCTTTTTCGCTAATAATAATTTGTTGAGATTGTTTACTACCTTCGAAGACCTAAATCAGGCAGGTAAATTATGCGTTGCATATCCATGTACTCGTATAACGAGATTAAGGAAGAGAAAAGAGAAGAGGGAAGCAAAGAGATATTTTCCAAAAGGTAATGCAAAAAGCCGATGAACTATAATGTGCATCGAGTTTACGTAATATCTTTGCGTAACAGAAATTTTTGACATACCCGTAACAAGTTACGGAACAACGAATACACGTTTAGCGAAAGCAATCAGTGTAATTTATTTTATTGCACCGGTGTTTTTGGTCAAATGTCATTAAGGAATCTCTATTTCGGCACGAGATTCCGAAAAGCATTAAAATTCCTACACAAGATACAATTTTCAACAATGTAATTAACGCAGACGTTGCTCTAAGAAAATAATTGTACCTACATGATTTTCCATACTCTTTAATAATTACTCCATATGATCGATGATTTGTTGCATAATTTCGTAGTTACAACATGATGATTTTTATCGCAGACTTGCAGCGTAATGCTTCCCCTCGAAAGCGTTAATAATTTAGAGTGTGTGTAGTAATAGGGAAAGTGTAACAATATTTCTAAGTGAAAGGAAGTTTTTGCTTAATTTCTAACTAATCGAACCTGCAGGCATATTCATGCACACAGTTAGGAACTGTTTTTTAATAACAGTTTTGTTTCGCAGTCAACCGATATATCTTGATAAAAAAATAAATAAAAAGAGGTAGACCATTAGCGCTTTGACTTAATGCGACTGCAAAGGAAACGATGAAATAGTTGAATGAACGTTATACATTCGGTAGTACTAATCACGATGAATTAGTAGCAAACAACCTCCTCGGTTTCAATGTTTGACCATGTTTCACTGGGTTAAGCAAGTAAAAGGCATAGAGAAATGATGAAACATTGAATATGGCCCAAAGTGTGGCTACAACTTTCGGTAAAAGTTGATCGCACGGTATTAATATCGTTGAGTTTCGTCGGTCAGTATCTCAAGAGAGAGTACTTTCAGTCTCGAAGTAGTCTAGTTAGTGTTAAGTGGATAACTTTACTTGGTGTCCTGCTTGCGAGGCTATAAAAAACAGTAAAGAACAGTCTTGATTCTTTCCAACTTTGAACGAAGTTTTTATCTTGGAATTAAGGTTTAATTGTTATGTCAGTTTTTCTTTAACGCAATTATTTCGAGGTAGCGACTGGGAAAATCAGGAACTCCAGTGAATCGTGAAAAATTTTGTTGTCCGGTTTCATTACCAGATTTTTATTCTGAAATATTCTAAATATATTTAAATCACGTGTAGCTGGGAATCTTATATACTTAAATAATCGAGTGAAAGTTTCGGAAGTTCATCCATAAATCTTTTTTTTATTCTTTTAAAATAAACTCCGAGTTTACAAAAAAATGAATGGAAAGTTGATGGTTTATCGTGGAGAACGTACGAGGAAAGGTGAAAAATCGTGTGAAATCGAACGCAGTTTCCGATTTAATTTACGACGAAAATCTTTTAATCGTCGCAGGGCAATCGTGGAAACTTTTCACGGGGATAAAATGAATGAAATAGAAAAAAGGGAAGAATAAAGAGAAGGAAAAAGTGTATCAGTTGGGTGCATCGAGCGATGAAGAAGTTGGAAGAAAAATTGTCGGAACAAGAAGAAAAAGCGTAAAACGAGAAACTGGATGCAGGTGGGGAGGCAACTCTGGCTACGACTTCCTACACCGGCTCCAGGTTGAAGCTCAGTGAGTTCGAACGCGTGGTTCGCGACTCTTCCTCTTTATTCGCACAGGCCCAAGTGGTTGGTTTCGCGTTGCACTCGCGATTACACAGCTCCTCCTCTTCTTTGCTAAAACTTCTTTGAGGATTTTATTTCCCATCGACAGGATTAATACCGTTAGGTAAGCACATTCTTCCATTCTACATTCTCTACATCCGTTTCTTGTTTTTATTGTTAGAGATTCATTCACTCCATTTCTTGTCGTCCACTTTGAAAAACCTTCGTTTTAAATTACATTACCTTTATTTCTATCGAACTCGGTTCAGTCGATATCGTTGAAAGCAATCGAGGCAAATAACAGGTCAAGCAACTATCGACAACAGTTTGTTTTCATTCTCTCACTCTTTTACCGGCTTTCTAATTAAAAGGTGAAAATACTTTTTCTTTAGAAAACAGCATACAATAATTTCTGACCTTGTATTGGTACATTTGAATCTTACATAAAGTTAGCTAGTCTTAAGTGTTCATTGATAAATGAAAGGAAACAATTAGTTACAATGACAAATTTAATATTACGCCTCCTTATGAATGTCAATATACAATTGTGTAATGTATTTCTAACGATGAATGAAATTTATGAATGAATATTGTCATCGAAGATTACTTCCTACCTGGCTCGTAAGTGTTTCTCTTCTTGCAATCCTCTTTTTTCTGGCGTGGAAACAGGATTTTCTGATCTATCGTAGAAAAACTTGCGTTTGCTATTCACGGTAAACGTTTGCGAGCACCAAAGCGAAAGTACCCAGTCCAGAAGGTGAGGAGGTTCAAAACCACCACTTCTATCTGGGTATCATTTTTCTCTAGAGAATAAATCTTGTTGCTAGATCTTTCAAACTTATTTGCATACCTTTATCAAACGTTATTTGAATTTTGTATGTAAAATCGTCCAAATGTCAATTTAGTGATAATAATGTTTGCTAATTCTTATTGAAAAATTACATTAACAGAACGTAATTGGAAATAATGTTGCAATTGAAAGGTAAATATTTTATGCTATTCTCGATCGAATTGCTCAACCTAAATGAAACTTGTTTAATGTTGCAACATGTGCTCTCGGCAAAATGTCGAATTTCACGTTTCCATATATTCAGTTAAGGATTTCTCCAATCTATTTATCGATTCAAAATAAAAAAATTGGCACATATTTAGGAAAGATAATTCTATTGGAAACTTCTCTCACAGAATTTTTTTCTGCTGTAACTGGAATTTTCTTTAATATCGCAAAGAAAAAGGTTGCAATTACATGTTTTACCGATTCATTTGATTACACGAATGGTCAGCAGTGTATCGTCCAATTTATACTGTTACTTTCTCAGGCAGAGTTCCGCAATACAAGCCTGTTGGGTCACCGTAAAATATTAGCTTCCTTTAAAAGATTAATTATATTCGAGAGGTTCGAGTTACAACTTCTGCTTCAAGAAATTAAGCACATTACTACTTTGAAACGTAAAGATAACAAATTGAAATCAGTTTTTTATATTTGATAGTATTTTTAATATTCTAAATTTAATTGCAACTAAATTGAAAGTACTAATTAATAGAAATAGCCGTCCAATTATAATAATCATGGCAACTTCAATTAACTGTAATTTTATAGAATTACACGCGTATGTAATTGATTGCGATCAATTAATTAATCACAAATACGTCAGAAAATGATAGTTAATCAAAGTCATTGGTCATTATCGTTCGATGAGAACTGTTTTCGATAAAAGCGAATTCTCACGATGTTACGTAACGACAGCCGATGAAAATGAATAGGTACGCGCATAGAAAGTTAAAGGTAAAGGTTTTATTTTCACAAATTGCAAGGTCAAAATCGGTCTCCCAATTTTCATTCCTCTCAAGAATACATACGTTGCGAAACATTTTCACGCCCACGGAATGCTTACACCATAATTCAAAAGTTTTGAAACGTTTTTAAAAGTATAAAATACCTATTCAAACGATAATAGGAATAAATAAATCAGAAGTGCACTAAAGTCCGGATCAAGAGTAAAAAAATCTGTCTCATATAAAAGCATTGGCTGACTTGTTCTCGTATGTCCTCTCTCGGTTCACATTCGTTCAGGCTTTCACCGATTTTCTCTTTTATAGCGAAATTCGATCGAACTCGTAGTATATTACAAAATGACAATATAGGTTTCGTGAAATGTTCCCTGGCGAGCCAGTGAAGGGAACGAAATGTCAAACGATAACAAGACGATGGCATTAACGTGTCACAGTTTTTGTATCGTGGCTTCGATTCAGTAAACTTGACCCAGATATTTCGAAGAAAATCAATATTCGATAAGATTCGGTACAGCATCAATAAAAGAGAAAGTTTTGTTTACCTCTGATTTATGCCACTCAAGGATGAGGAACTTATGCAATCGAAAAGATACATCATTAATTGTTTCGGGATAATTTTGTATTTTGATAAATGTCAAAGTGGCTTGATTCGAGTTTACAGCTCATAGTTAAATTTAAAATCGAAAGACACCACGAGCCACGATTTTTATTTATAAAAATTATTCATGAAAGGTAATTGTTCTTAGTAAAATATTATACAAAGTATGCAAAAATTTTTACTTAATATGTTTGCCAAGAGGAGGTTTCATTTCCGGATGTATGCTATGCAAATGATGGTAAACGAAAGTATCTTATCTTCGTCCTTGATCAACCGCATTTGGTGGTCTGCAAGAGGAGATTGGAGCTTATGTACAGTTTAATCAAGTTTACCTTACTGTTTTGTTGCAGATTTTCAGTAAACATGGGTGAACTATCCGAAATACAATCTTTTTATAAGGGGAAAACCATCTTTATAACCGGAGGCACCGGTTTGATGGGAAAAGTTCTCGTTGAGAAGTTACTTTACAGTTGTAGTAATTTAAATAAGATTTACCTTTTGGCACGAGCGAAAAGAGGTAATTCTCCCGAAGCTCGTATCACCGAGATGTTTAAATTACCCGTAAGTTATTCGTTTCTATCCCTTCACCAGCAATTAACGACATTCCGAATATTTCCAAAGTTTCACACTTCTTCCATACTATTTCGAGCAGCTGTTTCAAAGAATACGAAAACAAAAGCCAGAAATGATGAAGAAAGTGATACCATTGAACGGTGACGTTACCACGGATAATTTAGGACTGGCCAACGAGCAACTAAAAATGTTAATCAACGAAGTTGACATAGTGTTTCATTGCGCGGCAACGCTCAGGCTAGAGTCCAAGTTGAAGGAAGCTATTGAAATGAACACGGTAAGTTTCAATTGACAATTACAGTCAATTGAAAAATCTTTAACAGCGTAATATTTATTCGTAAGTCTAAAATTTCTAAAATCACTTTGTTTATTTTTATTTCTCATTTATTCAATCGCAAAGATTGTTTTGTTATTAATGAAATACGATGTTGTTCAAGGTTGGAACGAAACGTATGCTAGATCTTGCGAAAAGGCTGAAGAATCTGAAGGCTTTCGTTTATTTGAGCACTGCTTTCTGTTACGCCGATAAAGAGGAGCTGGACGAGCGAGTTTACGATCCGTCGGAAGATCCACGCGACATTATGAGAATGGTTCAATGGCTAGATGAAAGTTCCATCGATCAGATCACGCCCAAGTAATTGATTGATTTCTACGGATGAGGGTTTCGTTGTGACGAGTGCCGTTGGTATATCTATACACTTGACCTATCGAACTGTTGTCATTATTTTCTTAGGCTCGTTTGCGTCACGGAAAAATTCATTAAATTTCTGTAAAATCCAATGATTGCCTAGAGATTACCTCCTTTTTTTTCCAAGAACGGGTAAAAAGTTTCCAAGTGTTACAAAAAATTAATAATTATACAAATTACTTTTAATAACATCGCTATTTTTATCCCATTAAATACAGATTACTGAAGCTTCATCCAAACACTTACACCTATTCGAAAAGATTGGCGGAAAAGCTGGTGGCGGACGAGTATCCTAATTTACCGTGTTGCATTGCCAGGCCATCGATCGGTAGAAAAATTTATATTTTTGTTCTCTCTCATCGTTCGCGCGTTTACACCGAGTTATTAAAAGAAGAAAAATGATACGTTTAGTAACACCAGCTTGGAGAGAGCCGGTCGCAGGGTGGGTGGATAACCTGAACGGACCCGTGGGACTGATGGTGGGCGCAGGAAAGGGTGTCATAAGGTCGATGCACTGCATCGGAACCTACCACGCCGAAGTGATACCAGTCGACTTTGCTATTAACGCTTTAATCGCGATCTCTCATAAAACGGCTACCGATGAAAAGTATCTTTTTCTACTGGATTTTATTGTACCATTAATAATCTATCAACGATCTGAAACGTATTAACGTTTTTTTCTTTTAGAACGAAGGACATACAGGCATACAATATCACCCAGAATCGTATCATGCCGGTCACTTGGGGTGAGATATTGGACAAAGGTAAAAAGATCGCTTACGAGTATCCGTTCGAGGGTCAAGTTTGGTATCCAGATGGTAGCATACACAGCAACAAATTCGTACACGATCTCATCGTATTCTTCTTTCATATTATACCAGCTTATTTGATTGATTTTCTTATGTTGATATTCCGACAAAAGAGATTGTAAGTATCATTTCTATTTGTACTTCACGTTTTTACGAGTCATCATTCTATTCGTAAGAAGTGCCTTTTCTCCTTTAGCATGGTTCGACTACAGAATCGTATATCGACCGGACTGGAGGTTTTGCAATACTTCACCACCAGGGAATGGATCTTCCATAACACAAATTTATTAGTGATGGCCGCCGAGATGAGTCGAAAGGACAAAGAAATTTTTCCAATTAATTTCCTGGCCATCGACGAGCTGGAGTACATTAAGAATTGTATTTTGGGCGCAAGACAATATTGCATGAAGGAAGATTTGTCCACTTTGCCGAAAGCTCGTAGACATCAAGCTGTGTAAGTGTTTTCAGGTTTGAAAGTATGGAAATAAGTAGACAATATTTTTCTTTCCTTTTGTTACAGGATGTACGTTGTTCATCTGATCGCCGTCTACCTATTCTATTTTGGCATGTCCTGTTTAATTTATAAGAATTTCGAGATCGTTAGAATATGCGTAGATTCAGTGATGGACCAGATGAAATCATTGCCTATTTTAGCCGGGGTTGTTAAAATAATTCATCGCTAACGAGGTCGTGCTCTGGAATGTTGTATCGTAAAAATGTAATGTAAATAGGGTATTTAATATTCAGTAAACGTTTACGAGGATATTAAAAAAATGGAATTTTATTTTTCGACAATTTTGGTGGACATACTCAGTTTCCGGAAGCTTTGGCTTCGGAGTATGTAGGTAGTTAAGGTTTTGTATATTTTTGCCTCTCAAATGGAAACATTTATGTATACGAATATTTTTATAAAAATATAACTTTTTAAGTTGACGCCCTCTTATGTACCCTACGATAATTGAAAGAAGGATCGATAATTGAGAAAATGGAATACAGTGAACTAGTGAAACGAATCGCAATTGTGACTGACTGATCAATTCAAGTAGAAAAATCAACGAAAAATGCAACAGTTAGTTCCAAATCTTATGATAGGGTGGCGCTGAGAAATTTTAGACCCAACTTCTATTCCATTATTGATTTACCCGCAACATATCTCAAGAACACCTTTCTTAAAATAACTCGGTAAAAAAGAAAAAATGAATGTTAATTCGATTATCATGCTCGTTTTTTATTTGAATCTTATTTTATCCCCTGGTACCTGGATAAACTGAAATTCATTTCGGCTACTTTACGAACGTATCGTGACACATTTCCAATTCAAATTCGCAACAGATTGTAGAAGCTCGATAGACGAAGGAAATATATTTAGCCATCAATCGGAAATGTGCGTCGAGTCCTCTCAATTCCACCCACGATTCCAATCATATTAGTAGCACGTATCAATGTACGAGCTCGTATCCACGTTTTGAAAACGACAGCACTCATCGTTCTCGTTCGACTGGAATTTCGAGGAAACAGCCCATAATTCCTCGACGCGCAATTTAATTAAAGGTAATATCTTCTGTATTAATATCCTTTGAAAGAATTTTTATTTTATTATAAAAATGTACCGGTAGCCACAGGTTGTTTCGTGCTTGACAGCGATAGTCGATTATAGCTTTCCAATCGCTACATTGAAAAATAATTACGATTTATCGTAAACCCCGTAAACGTAATTGAAAATGCTTTTGTAGCCGCTTGCCCTCCGTACTTGACCTCCGACTTTATTGAAACCTATTGGCTAGAAAACTCGGTTAAAACGAGAGTACGCATCTTTTATAGCCTCGCATGAAACGAGCGTTCGTACGAGTTGCGTTATTCCACGTATGTGTAGGGATTGCTAGAGGAATTTCAGTAACGAACGGTCCGGGACAACCAGTTCGCTTTCCTGCATCCGTATGCTGACTATTCGAACAATTTCTTAGTTTCAGGAAACACACGTCACCGATTACGGCGAGCTAATGCAACCACCCTCCGACACAAGGGTGAGCGAAGAGGAGGGCGAAAGGAGGTGGTGGATACCTGCGCCGATGACGCGTGATACGGTGTACACTATCGTCCACAAGTATTTTTACGCTTCCTTATTCCTGTAAAAAAGTTTCATTCCGTACGGTGTACATTAAATTCACCAAGTTCGTTAACGTTACAATCGGCGCGCAGTAGAAAATAATTTACTACTCGCTTCTACTCTTACCGTTCCATTCGAGGTGTTAATTAATAATCTGATTTACGAGCGAGCGAAGAAAAAGCATAATTTCATTCAGAAATTCACACCATTCATCGGTACTCGCACGGTACCGTTGCTTGAAACGGATATTTCTGAACGATAATGTACATGTGCGATGAACGAGTGCAAGTAGCGCCTGCGCTAGTTCTCCAGGATAGCAGGTTCGGGTTAGGGTAGGTTGGTAAGGATGGAAAGGACGGGTAGGGCGGCCAGGACACGGGGGTTGTTCGAGGCGCGAACACGAGCCAGTGCGAAGCTGTCGGTCGGCCGACTCGCGTACACGCTCGTTACTTTCCTACGGCTACCGGTCTCGGGATCATCAATTTCCACGGGTCTTTACTGAAAACCACCACGGCGAATCGAAGTCACCCTTGAACCAACGAGCGGAGAATCGCGGGATGACCGACGAAACGGGCCAACCATGCGTTGTAACGCTAACGTTCGATTATCCTGGAACGCGTAACGTTTACCAATATTAAAATTCTCGCGAATTAAATCGGTGGAATAAGGTAAACGAAGAATGGCGTTGGTCGTTACTGTGAAGAACTTTCAAGGATTGAAGCACAGGGGGGACAAGGTCGTGAAGGTTGATTTCCGGGGTAAGTTTCAGACTGAAACGTCGATGAGTGAAAGTTACTTTGCCATTTTCTCTTAATGTTACAGCAACGCTCGATTCGAATTTCAATATTTTATCCTAATTAGCTACATTTCATACGTATACACGTACGCTTTCAAATTTAATAGGAGATGAATATTTTATGCCAAGTTTCTTCAGAGAATAAAAGGTGCTTTAAGTAGCTGGGTCGTTAACGGGACGAAAAAACGGAAGCATAAAATATCACTTAAAGAGATTTGAAATTTAATTACCAAAGTAGTTTAACGTGCAAACTAGTATAGGAAAAGCGCTGCGAAGTGTGAATACTTCTGGAAATAAGGTTCCGTCTAAAGTATCGAAAGTTTGAATCAATTATAAGATCGATACTAGGAAATAAGCAATTTTGCGCGCAGAATAACGAGCTCTTCCACAACAATTTTCTTTGATCTTAAAATTTTCTAATCTAAGTAATCCATCAGTTGAAAAGTTTACTTTCGATTGTAAGGAATTTTTTTGTTTATTATCGCGAGGTTAATCAGAGGTATCGATTAAAATTAGTTTTTCTATAAATAAATGCTTTTTCCAGAGCAACGGGCACTTGCCGTATTATCGCGTTTAATTTACAAGCGGTTTTCGCGACATTTCATCTTTAGAACGTTATTATGGTCTGTGAAATTCACACTGAATCGGAATCGGGTAACTTTTATTCCTTTAACTAATTATATCGCTAACCACAAACTGTTGAGCACTGTTGATATCGTAGCGCTTACTAGGTTGAATCAATTACAACACACCACTATTTTTAATACCCACCCACGCAAGCCTGCTATCTGTATTTGCATTTCCCGTTTCTTTTTTTTAAATAAATACAATTTTTTTCTCTACTCTCCTCCATAAATCCACTTTAATAATACTGGCAAGAGTGGAAATAGCCATTCTACACTTCTATCGACTGCAATAGTGGAAACGAACGTGTGCGGATGTTGACGAGTAACGCTATAAAAACGTAACCGTAACTGTGGAGAGGAAAAAAGGCGGATACGATAAAGCGATATCGCATGGTACGTGAGATGAAGTGTACACGGTTTGCATAATTCCTTCAGAAATTGATTTACACTTCAATTGGCGCAGATATCGCGTTCCATCCTCTCGTGGAGATAGCCACGAATTGATTGACGTTTCGTGGATCGTTAACTTGTTTCCACAACCCGCTGTGAAACGACGGTGTTTCATTCTGAACGCGATTGATTTTTTCGAGACCAGTCTAGCTGGCTCGTCAATTTGCAGCGTTTCGATAAGCAGCTACGCCTGTAACCGGGGGGGAAACGGGCGTTAATCGTTCAATTAGCGGTCGGAAGGGAAATATTGGTAATCCGTTTAGTACAGGCGAATTAACGCACGATTTAAGGTATACAGGACACGTCAAAATTGATGCGCATTGATAAAAGACAATTTGCAATTTCCATAGTGTGCATCTGTTTTTGATGGAACCCATAAGTATCTGGAGGATACATCTAGGAAACTTGCTGAACATAGGGTTAAACGAGGCAGTCAGTGGTCCGGTTATCTCGCGGGAGCGTGCAGCAACTTAAAGGTAAATTCGTAGGCGAATTTAACAGGGTTAACGATGAATCGTTAGTCGGTCGCCTGCACTCCTGTTGGCTAAACTTTCATTTAATCATGACTGCCCTAGTTCACCGAGTCCTCGAGCTCGCGTGACATCAACTTTCCCGTCGCGAGATTTTCTGCTTGACCCCTTTAAAACCTTTGGGCAGTTTCTTTTCTGATTTCCTAGATTAACGGGTTGATTGTATCGTCGTTTTAATTTGCCTTTCAAAATAATTACCGCTATTATTTCTTTACTCTTTTAATCACTCGACCGAATGAAATTCGTTGCCACGTTTATCGCAACGAAAAGTTATGAAATCGAGCTCGAGGGGTGAATACTTGGAAATTGTCAGGGAATATAGGGGAGAATTAGAAAGGGGCAGGGGTTTATTGTTTGTTCGGCTGTGTAAAGTGGGTATAATTTCTCTGTCTAGGTAGATAGATACTTTTGCTTCCTTTCCTCTTTGAGCAAATCTCGTGCACAAAGTGTTCCGCGCTAGAGAGGAGTAAAGCGTGAATTTCTAGGGCAAATGAGACTTTGTAATCCCAACGACAGCTTTAACGTAAATAACATCCTCTGGTAATGAACGCCGAGCCTGGTGTAGGGTCAGAGATTGCGTGCAACGTTTTGTTGTTAACAAGAAAAGTAGCGAACGCGTGTTTGCGTGGAAAACTTTAGCCTCTGTTGAGCTTCGCTGAAAATGGAAGCTAGACTGGATGAAAAGTTAAACGAAGTAGTAAATGTCCGCTTTTAAGTCATTCATTAATAAAGAATACGGAGAACGCGACTTGAAGATTTCCTCTGTCAAAGAGCTGAGAGCGGATCAAAAGAGAATGCTTAACAATTTGACGATCTGCGTTGATTCAATTATTCCATGCTCGCGAATCTTTTGTTACACCTACAGAAAAATCTGACCTGTGCAGTCATATTTTTGTTAAAAAGTAGGGCATCGCAGTTGGCTATAAATTGATCGCAGGCTGCGCGAGATTAAACAATTTTTATGGAGCATAAAAGTTCTTTCATACAATCTCAATGATTTAAGTTACTACTTATAGTTAGATGTGAATAATTAAAAGCACAGATCGTTTTTCACCGGTCTATCTATATTATAAGTAGCTACTTAAAAAATTACCTTGAAAATTTTCGACCACTATTTACGAAATAATCACCGTACAGCGAATCGTAACATCGTGAAAGCTTTCCATGGCTAGCTGTCAGGAATTCTAAAATACTTTTAGCTTACACTGTAATACCTTCGAAAACCCTATTTTCCTTTTCCCCTGGCTTTTACGTGAATCCAGTTCTTATCGTGAAACGAACGCTCCTTTACATTCTTTGCTCCTTATGCTAAGGTTCGCGGTTTTTTCGGAAATTATTCGAAAAAACTCCAGTCGATCGTAGGAAAATAACAATGTTTTCCTTTACAGGTGTTTCTCATTACTCGAAATGTTTGGAAGAAAACGGAGACCACATCGCGGTGGAGGAGGTAAGATTTAATACGAATCTTTCTATAGCGTTTATAAATCACTCTAGAAACGTTCACTTTTTATGCGGACGCTCATTAACGAATCAAATACGCTGCTCGTTTAAATTCATTCAAGTACTTTGCAACTCTGTTTGAAAAGGGAAAGAAACTCTGTAATTGATTATATCACGAAAATATTTTACACGATTTTGACCACGAAACGTACAGAGACCAGATTCTGAAAAAGTCAGTAGCAGTGCTTTTTTATTTAAAAGCAATTTAGCTTTTCGAATAATGACAATCTGTTCGAAAGCGATGAAAACGCATTACGTTTTCAGTCGAACCGGGCAAGTCGCCGGAACAACCTGCTTCCTTTCATTATTCATACAAATTTTGTGCACGTTTGCAATATTATATACTGGCGTGCTCGAATCCAGATACCGAAAGGTATTCATTTTACACAGTCATAACAGGCTCCGGGTGAATATATTTGCATCAAGTTCCACGTTTGTATTTGGAAATTTTCGTTGCAAGAGGCAAACGAACAGACTAAATTGCACGGTTGAGCAATGAATATCTTGTATATCAGCCGCTTATCTTGACCCACTTTTTCTTCCTCGATTAAAGAGTTGTTTACGAAAACGGTTTTTGCGATTTAATGCTCTTTATATAAGGTGAATACTCATGTGAAGCTAGTTTTGCTTTATTTTTAGCGCTCGCATGTCTCTTTTTCAAACCGAAACTGATATACGAAAAGCGTATTAAATGTATTCCTTGAATTAATTTTCTAATTTTCGGGCACGTAGGTTTCTCGTTAATCATCCCGTTGGTTACAGAGAAAACGTGTCACGGCACGGTTTAATACGAATTATTAACCCTTTTCGGTCGATTACCCGCGTAGACAATTCGATCGAGCAAAAGAAAAAACTGCGTGATAAGAGGATCGATTCAAAAACGGGTCACTATGAGCTCTATCTAAAAACATTACGACTACGTAATTTATCATAACATATCGAGGAATAAACGACTGCTCCGCTTACAAATTGCTAGCCAGGAATTGTACGAAAGGAAAGCGGAAAATTAACGGTGACCTAGTTATCAAGTCGATCGAGACGAAAACCGATTTTGAGTAGTTTTAGATCTGGTATCTTAACTACCTCGACGATCGGCGGCTCCATATATCACTCAAGTTTCAAAGCTATTTCACACGATCCGAACTGAGTGACGTAAAAGCAGCGATCCATTATGTTGCCCCGGTATACGGTTAACGCTTTCGAATATCCCTCGATTACGTTTCTGATTGCTCGTGACATAACGCGTCGACGAACGATCAAAGCACGCTTAAATCTTGGATTAAGTTATCCTTCCTATCTTCCCAAATTTCAATTTTTGTTGCAGAGTTTCATCTGGAATTTGGGCAGACCGGTCGACGAAGCGGAAGTACTGCAATTGACAGTGGTTTCGCGAGGAGTTCTCCGAAACGAGAAGGTGCTCGCAAAGTACGGCTTGGTTCTGCAAACTGTCGCGAGAGAAGGACGAATCGTTATCACCGATTCCTTGGTAGACCTCAATAACAAACCTCTTCCGGTACGTTTTCTATCTGCTTCCACGTTTAACTCGAGTATCACGCTCTGGATACTTGACTTCTCCCTTTAATTTATAAACGAAACGCACGGTAAAGAGCAGGGAAACGAATAAAATGCCGTAGGCTGTCGTTTGCTTCGAAATTCGATACAACCCTCCCGATGGAAGCTGCAGCCCGTCGGAAATAATGGAGCCGTCCGAAATAATGGAGGACGAGCAACAGATGTTGATTGACATCGAACAGAATATCGCGAATCTCGAGAGATGCCTCGACCAAGCCAACAGCGGTTCTGGCAGCGGGAAGAGGAAGGGTTCTTGGCATAGCCCCGAGAAAAACTCTAGAAGGGGTTTCCTACAGAGGGGTAGTTCGATGTCGGCTGCCGAGAAATCGCCGGAACGTAAGAGGTGAGATATTTTCGATAATTCGATACGGCTTCTCGGATTTCTTACCTATTTACCTTCCTAGTATCCAGCTTCCTATTATTTCTTCTCGAGAAATTGGAAACCTCGAACGGAAGCCGTTAAGATAGAGATAGCCAAGAATAATATTTGATACCCTCTTTCGACCCTAGAGTTTCCGATCAGTTTCTAATTCCAGCAATTTAAACACGCTCTGTTCGAACAGTAGAAGCTCTACGTTGAAAAGTATGAGGTCTTTCATGAAGTTGGGTAAGCAAAGACCACCGCGAACTCGATCTTGCGACAGTGGCTCGGACACCAGGGAATTGCTCGATAGAAGAGACTCGAGTTGCGCAACATCCAACGAACCTTCCAGGGCAAACTCGATGACTTCTTTGGAATCGAACGCGTCCGACTACGATAGCCAGGTCAGCGCGAATCCGTCGGAACCGCAGGAGGCGATCGCCAGACCCGCGAAGAAACCAAAACCAAAGGTTCGAGCTAAGAACACATCTCCTAATTTTCTTCATGTCCTTTCTTTTTCTTTCACGATCGATAGTTTATCGCACGGCTCTTAGTTTTCTATTTCATCGCAGCTTTTCATGCTAGGGTGGAAGTGACGTTAATTAACGGTCGCGTCGCTGGTTAATTCATTCCGCGTCAGGGTGTCTCAAGGGGCTCGAGTGCAAATAAAACGAAGTGCATTGAAAAGGGTGGCATCGTTTCCCGACAGGAAAAGAAAGGAAATAAGCAAATTGCGGGACCAATTGAGTAACAGGTCTTGCATAAGAATTAACTCGGTCGTGTTCGACTCGGCGATCGATAGACTTTTCTAAGGCGAACTTTTTTAGAAATCAACGTACAACGTCGATGTGTTCGTTTATTTTTTACAGACCACCGACACGGGACAGACCGCGTTGAAGGCGCAAGATTATCAAGTTTGCATCACCATTATCGAAGCTAGACAATTGGCGGGTCTGAACATGGATCCCGTGGTTTGCGTGCAAATAGGTGATCAACGAAAGTACACCAGCGTCAAAGAATCTACAAATTGTCCGTATTACAACGAGGTGAGGATTCGCTTTCACGTGGATATAGTAACAAATTGATCAATTGAATTGAACGACCGCGTCCTTAATAATCGTTATTGAAATCTGCTGCACTCGATACCTATTCCGCAAACGATTATCGCAGCTTATTCCGATCTCTTTGATTTTCAGTACTTTGTCTTCGATTTTCACATGCCGCCTGTAATGCTGTTCGACAAGATCATCACCCTATCGGTAAGTCGATCATTTGAATCTTCTCGATTCTATAGTGCTGCTATTTTAGATAAGTTAGGATGCTGATACTTGTCGAGAAAATAATGTAGATAATGTGCTGTGATTAAATCGCAAATCGCTAATCGCGCTTGCCTTTTATACAGAACACGGGATCACGGTTTTCGAAAATCGATGGAATTCGCTTTGTAAAGTTTTCGATGCACAGCAATTTTTAGAATTTTCTATACCTGTAGACCAGCTGTTTGGGAACAGGTAGCTCGTAAGCTGAAAAGTGAAGTTTACGTGTTCGATGTTAACAGACCAGACGGGTAGAGATTATTTGAAGTGAACACAGTTCTACTGATACGCAGGTGCAGCAATCGCGGAATCTCTTACGCGCTAATCTAACCCTGGGCATCTTTAAATTAGACATCGCGACTGTATGGGCACAACCAGGTACAATTTTTCAAACGTCCGAAAGGAACTCCAAAGACTAAATTCCTGATCATTAATAACTGTCTATCACTGTCTATCGAGCCCATGACAAAAGATAAAGAATCCAATGAAGCGTACAAGATACACAGGCTGTCTCGTAAATCTGAATTTCGTTTCAATAAATTAACATAGTTTCCAAATTTTTCGCTCCTCTATATTATAAAACACCCTGTGTAAATTTTACGCTGATCATCCGTCATGAACAACGTTAGAAATGTTGATTCAACAGGCAATCAATTGACTTTTATCATCGTGCATGTTCTTTATCCGATCAACGATCTTTCTCCTTCTCATTTAGGACACGAAACATTACGAATCTGGTTCCCTTCGTTATCTTACCATCTCTAGACGAAGGAAAATGATAAGAAGCACGGTAACCACCGGCTGGAGAACCGGCATCGAAACGTCGCATCTCATTTTTTAATCTCGCATGCGTCTTCCGATATTTTCACACGCATATCGCTTCTGTAGCTTGGAATCACGATTCGCTTTTCTCGTAGAAGGTATCCTTTAAAGAATTTCAAATGAAACGTAAGTATATCTCGAAAGGACTGATCGGAAGCGGACGACTGCTGGGTTGCACCTTTGTCTCGCATATTCATAAATCTTCTTCTGTAAATGGTGTCGCGAAACGTTTCTTCGCTTCGAACTATCTTGTCTCTTTTCGTGTTACCGTGTTGTCGGAGCATTTTCAGCCCGATTCTCGTAATAACGCTCGCGTTTCGCTCCGTAGATCACCAATTTTACCATAAATGGGCGCTGCTGACGGATCCGGACGACGTGGCAGGCGGACCAAAGGGTTATTTAAAGTGCGACATAAGCGTGATCGGGAAAGGCGACACCGTGAAAATTCCGCCAAAGAGCGAGAAAGACGAGGACGATATCGAGGGGAATCTTTTGCTTCCGGACGGTGTGCCTATCGAGAGACAAAGGGCAAAGTTTATCGTAAAGGTGTACAGGGCCGATGGGCTGCCGAAGATGAACAGCAGCATCATGGCGAACGTGAAGAAAGCCTTTACAGGGGAAATCAAGGATCTCGTCGATCCTTACGTTCAAGTGTCCTTCGCTGGATTGACGGTAAGATCAATCGAATTCGATTTTGCTCTTGAAATATTGCGACGCTTTATTTACAACCGAGACGATCTTAAAAATGTCTAAGGAAAAGTTTTCGCAACGATAATTCAATTCGAATCGTATACGTTGGCTGTACGTGACAAGTGATCTTTGTACTTTTTGATGGCACATCAAATGAAAACTTACGGTTGTCGCACATTTATGTCAGCGGTCTCTCATGAGAAATCTCACGTATTTGCTTAGGCGAGGCTAAGATTTATTTTATCGATTCGACCCGTGTACTTTTAAAACGATTTCCCGTCTACTCAACGGTCGTAAACGAATTGGTTTAACTTTCAAAATAAACGAATCGTTCCTCGCGAATAAACATAGTTCGCAAATTGACAAAGTTTTAAACAAGTTCCTTACCCGATTCAGGGCAAAACAAGCGTTAAACGGCACAGTTACGCGCCAGTTTGGAACGAGCAAATCGTTTTCTCGGAAATGTTCCCACCCCTTTGTCAAAGGATTAAAATCCAACTGTGCGACAACGATCCGGTACACGCTACAGTGATCGGCACCCATTTCGTCGATTTGAAACAAATCAGCAACGACGGGGAGAAAGGTTTTCTACCCACATTCGGACCGGCGTTCATTCACTTTTATGGAAGCATCCGAGATTATAGTCTCATCGATCAGCATTCAACCCTGAACGTTGGACTGGGCGAAGGAATCTCTTACAGAGCAAGGTATTTCCTCGGTTTCGTGTATTTATGAATTATTTATTTTACTTATTTTCGCCAGAAAGTTAAAGATGAAATGAAATTTCAAATCTCTCAATGCCAAAAAGATTATTTCGAATAAATTGATTCTGTTATTTCAGATTACTTGTTGCGATCAGAACGGAAATAAGCGACAACATCGAAATAGCTCAGTCGGAGGTTGAAGTCGAACCTACGGTGCCCATCAATGAATTAGCTTACGCGAGGAACGAAGAATTCTTCCTGTTCGCCACGATAATGGACGCCACGATGATCGATAAGAAGCTCGGCGACAAACCGATGTACTTCGAGTTATCCATAGGAAACGCGGGCAACGCTTTGGATGGTCACAATGAAAGCTCCAAAGTAAGCAATAGAGAAACTAAGAGGCGGGAAGGGTTGGAAGGTACGAGTTATCGATGAATAAGCCGAACCGAATAACCGAAGGGCGATGAATAATTAAAACAAAGTTTATTTTGTTAACTTTGTTTTTCTATTACAATCAATTACGATAAACTCGTTTTCTCCTAATCACGATAAAAGTTGGAAATTGGAAATAATGAAAGATAATTGGAATTTGTCGGTGACAGATGTGCGAGCTGGGACCAAAAAGTGGAACGAGCGGAGACCAAGAAGAATTGCAGGAAGTGTTGAGCGGATCCTGGCAGAGCACCACCCCAGCTTCCAAACCGATGACACACGATAAAATTTATTATTTCTTACCGTACTGGGATGATAAACCTTGTCTCCACGTTAGGAGCATCTGGCCCGACTACAGGCGTAGAATGTACAACAGTAATATCATTGGTAAAATTGCTGACAAACTGGTAAGTCAAAGAAAGAAATTAATTCGATCGTCGCCAGTTGATCGAATCTAATTTACGACCCCCGTCCGGTTTTCGATCTCCTTCAGGAAGAAGGATTGTCAGAGACACAGTTGCACGTGGACGATTGCTCCGGTGAGAAAATATTAAAGTCCACCCTGGAGGAATTGAGCAGCAATTGCAATCGATACGTGAGTATCAGTAAATCGAGTCTCACTGGACCGGGGGTTGGAAAAACGAAGCTCGATAAAGAAAGAACGAAGCTGTGTCAAAGGGAACTGGAGAATATTGGAATCATGTCGAGGAATCTCAAAGCGGTGGTCACTAAAAGTAGCTTCAAGGAAAGATTGAAGACTGCTCAGGGTTACCTGCAGAAATTAAAGTTTCTTCTCGAGGATGTGAGTATCGGACTCTGTCGAAAATAAAATGCCTCTTTCATTCTGGGTTTATTAATTATGTATTTTTATATTTTAAAACGCTTTGATCCTTCGGTATTAAAAGGTAGTCACTTTCCAGCCTCAAGATTCTTTGCCGGATGTTTTTGTTTGGGTGATCAGTTCCGGAAGAAGGGTGGCTTATCAAAGAATACCTGGCAGAGATTTGATCTACTCTATCGTCGACGAGGAGTGCGGCAAGTCTTGCGGCAAAGTGCAAACGATGTTTCTAAAAGTATGTCAGTTTCGATTTTTAGCGACTAAATGTCTAGACGCTTACTAACGTCGTTAGCCTATGACCTGTCATCCACTTTCTCTTAATCCTATTAATTTCTTTACTCTCTAATCACTTCCCTCTCTCTGCTCGTTACATCTGTCCCTCTCTTACTTCGCTTTCAAGTAACCGGATGAACTTTGCCTCGCTATTTTTTTCTACCACCTGTTGTACTTTGACCCTTTAAGTCCACTTTCTCTCTTCCCCTTTCTATTCGTCTATTTAACTATCTAATTTTATTTACACCTCGTTCACAAGTGCTTCTAATAGCGGTGTAATTGACGTAGCGTATCGGCAGCTTCCAGGTAAAAAGAGATTCGGCCCTTCCGGCTGGGCGATACAAACGAAATTGCAAATTTACATGTGGATGGGTATCTTGAAGCACAAAAAGTACTTTATCCAAGGTTTACCAAAGGGATACGAGATCAGTCACGAGGTGAAAAACGTGGAACGACCTCGTGCTCTACCGCCTACCATTATTCATTACGTCGAGAAACACGTAGGTGGCCGATTTTTCTTCGGTAACGAATAGAAACAAGTTTCATAGGACTAAATTTGTTTATAATAATTATATCGAGTAGAAGTTCGAGTTAAGAGCGCATATGTATCAAGCCCGATCTTTGATCGGCAGCGACGCATCCGGTCTTTCCGATCCATTCGCCAGAGTAATATGCGGCGAGTTTTGCAAGTCTACGCAAGTGATCGACGAAACTTTGAGCCCAACCTGGGACGAGCTTCTACTTTTCGACGACATCTTGATCTACGGCACTGCCGAAGAGATAAAAAAGGATCCACCATCGATCGTCATCGAGATCTTCGATCAGGATAAAGTGGTACGTCCGAAATATCGTAGAATTTCATTTTACTTTCCAAGTTCTGACTATTCTTCTATTTAGTCGCCCCGATACAAGTTTACAGATATTAAACGCATCGATTTTTATCTTCTTCTGATTCTCTTTTTACAGAGTCATTTTGTTACTATGGACATAACACTGCATGAGGACTCTGCTTTAACAGTTTGTATACAATATATACGACATTCATACGGTATCGAATCACACGATTCACTACATGCCACACAACTCGATCACCGTAGGTAACACGTATACGCACGAAACATGCTTCCAACTTATTCTTTCTTCGGTATCGAACAGTGTATCATTGCGTAGGCGTTTAGTGGTGGGGGAAGTCTCCCCGGACGCCCTTAGTTCGGGTCGGCGACCGCCAGGTGGCAGCGGGATTGGGCCCGTTCTCGCTAGTAGTCCCTCCGCTTGCGATTATAGGCGTCTGGGGCAGGGACCGTCTTTCATTCATTTATAACGTTATTGTTTCACAACATATCCGTCATCTATTAGCAAGGACGTACATGATTTGAAAAGAATCATTTTTTCGATAATTGGTGAAAATTGTTGTGACGTTTCAGGGGAAATCAGAGTACATAGGACGAGCTGTCGCGCGACCTCACGTAAAACTCGCCTCGGAATCTTACACGCCACCGGAATTTCCACCGTCGTTGGAATGGTACGACGTGAGCAGAGGTGCGGCAAGAGCTGGCGAGCTCCTCGCTGTTTTCGAATTGCTCGAATATCCTTCAACGAAGGATTACGGTTTCCCAACGTTACCAGACCCGAAGGAAAGATTGCCGCAAACGACCACCTCTCTCCTCGATCAGGGACCTATATTCCCGGTACCGGTTGGCATCCGACCGACCCTATCAAAGTATCGGTAAGTACCGTCGATGCAGGGGAAAATAATAAACATCCTTCGAACTATCTGGCTATCTGTCGCAGAATCGAGGTTTTGTTCTGGGGTTTGCGAGACCTGAAGAGGATACACTTGATGACCGTGGACAAGCCTCGCGTGGACGTCGAATGTGCCGGTCACATCCTCTACTCTTCGGTTATAGCGAACGCGAAGAAGAACCCAAACTTCAACACGCCGATCAAATTTCTGGAACTCGAGCTACCGGAACAGGAATTGTATCGTCCGCCGTTAACGATCAGAGCTGTCGACTGTAGAAGCTTTGGACGGTACACTCTGGTCGGCACCCATACGATTAACTCCATTCACAAATACATGTACTGTCCGCAAACGAAGAAGGCAAAGGATGCCGAGGATCGTAAGAAGAATCTCTATCAATTACAGCAATACACGGCAGGTTTCGACACATCGAAAACGAAATATCATCAAAGCTCTCTGCCAGAGTCTTTGACAGACGTCGAGTTCAATAACGGAGACACGATCATTACCTTAGGTTTAGAGCTGGCTTGGCCAACGAAGAGAGACAAGACGGAACAGAACATACGAAAGAAGCAAAGTTTGGTCAACGATCAAAGCACTGGTGATTTCTCGAACTTCGATGACGAGGACGGCTGCCAAGACTGGTGGACCAAGTACTTCGCCTCGGTCGAGGCGATGATAGAAGAGAACAAAGAACTCCGTAAGGAGAAACCAATGTTCCCTGCACAATCAAACGGCACCGTGCCGATGTATTTGGAGGAGAATTATTCTCAAGCTCAAATGAACCTCTCGGGAGAGAGGAGTCCAGGCGTTGCCACGAAGAAACTGTTCGGCCTAAAATCCACCGCGAACGCGGCGAGGTTCGTCTCGAAGATCAGTCCGAAGCAAACGTATCAGAAATTCCCGAAGACGGCGTTGTTGAAAATTTATCCGAACGAATTAGAGGCTCAGCCACAATTTGAACAATTCAAGGAATGGTTGCACACGTTCGAGCTGTATCGAGGAAAGAAGACCGGCGACGAGCCCGAAGACGAGTCCAGGATAGTTGGAAGCTTCAAGGGTGCTTTGAAGGTTTACAAATGGCCTCTTCCCAGGGACTTGATAGACCACACGGTGATGGGATTCGATCCCCAATACGGTTTCTTTCAAGGTGTACCATCGAACGAACCGATCCACGTCCTGGTGCGAGTCTACATAGTCAAAGCTAACGATCTTCATCCTTGCGACTTGAACGGCAAGGCAGATCCTTACGTTGTTTTACAATTGGGAGGCAAAAGAATCAGCGACAAGGAACATTACGTATCGAAACAACTTAATCCTGTGTTTGGCAAGTACGTAACGATCGATCTTTCGATACCCGAGTACGTAATATCTTTATCCTGTCGTTTATTTCCAAGGTGTTTCGAGATAGAAGCAACCTTTCCCCAGGACTCGTTGCTAACCGTACAAGTCTTGGACTGGGACTTGGTCGGTGCAGACGACATGATCGGTGAAACGAAGATCGATTTGGAGAACCGATTCTACAGCAGGCACCGTGCCACCTGCGGTTTAGCCAAGAAATACGACGAGTGAGTTTCCAACTTGGAACGTTTACCTGATTAATTAATCTACGCTTCCTGCTATGGAAACATTTCGTACGATTCAATAGATATCGTTTCGGAGATCCGACATAGTTATTGAAATCGAAGTATTCCAGATCCGGTTACAACAAGTGGAGAGACGCGATGAAGCCGACGCAAATTTTGTCGAAATTATGTAAAGATGGAAAGGTTGATGGACCGGTGTATTCGCACGGGAAAGTAACTATAGGAAGAAAGACTTTTTCCTTGGCGAACGAAGAAATGGAATACTATGTTCACGCGAAAGGTAAGAATGATTCATACCTCGTTCCAGTTCCTTTCCTATTTTTTCTTTCGCTACTCTGTTAGGCATTGAAGAACAGCTCGCATTGGCGGTTCTTCATCAGTGGCATCATTTTCCGAGATTTGGTTGCGCCTTGGTACCGGAGCACGTGGAAACGCGTCCTCTTTATAATCCAGAGAAGCCAGGTATCGAGCAAGGGAAGTTGGAAATGTGGGTCGACATGTTCCCCATGGACATGCCTTCGCCAAGTGCGTCGATCGATATTTCACCTAGAAAACCAAAGAGTTACGAGCTTAGGATCATTATTTGGAACACCGATGATGTTGTACTGGAGGACGATGCCTTCTTCACCGGGGAAAAGATGAGCGATATTTACGTGAAAGGGTATTGGGCTTGATAATTTTGCTAATTAACTAATTTAATCGCTGAAGATGTACCTATTCCTGGTTAATTCGCTAGGTGGTTGAAAGGTCCAGAGGACTGTCAGTCGACGGATATTCACTATCGATCCTTAACCGGGGAAGGAAATTTTAATTGGCGTTTCATATTTCCGTTCGATTATTTGGTGGCTGAGGAAAAGATTGTCATTAATCGAAAGGAGAGCCTCTTCAGCTGGGACGAGACCGAATGCAAGATTCCAGCTCGTTTAGAATTACAAGTAATTAAATCTTGTACTTTACCCTTTAGTTTCAGCGTCGTACACTTTTGTAATCATCGCCTTTAAGGTCTGGGACGCGGATCATTTTTCGGCCGATGATTTTCTCGGTGCCATCACTCTTGACTTAAATCGGTTTCCTCGAGGTGCAAAGAACAGCAAACTCTGCACGTTGAGTATGTTGAAAACAGACGGTACTGTGCCAACGGTAAATATTTTCAAGCAAAAACGGATAAAGGGTTGGTGGCCGTTTTATGTGAAGAAGGAGAACGAAGACATGGAATTAACGGTAGGTTTTTCATTCCGTTCGATCCTGGAACATGAATAATTAAAAAATTTCTAAATACCAGGGTAAAGTAGAAGCTGAAATTCATTTATTAACGAAAGAAGAAGCTGAAAAGAATCCAGCTGGCTATGGTAGAAACGAACCGGATCCGCTGGACAAACCGAAGTAAGAAATATTCAATTTCAGAATTTCTTTGTCTTCGACATTTATCCTGAGGACATCGATGACTTTTATGACAAGAATTACTTGATTTTTCTTCCTTGTTTCAGGCGTCCCGATGCGTCTTTCATGTGGTTTTTGAATCCCTTGAAATCCATCAAATATATTGTATGGCACAATTACAAGTGGGCAATTTTGAAAGCGTTCGTAACAATCGGTTTAATAGCACTCGTATTATTGTTCTTCTACGCGATACCTGGTTACTCTGTTAAAAAATTGTTGGGAGCTTAAATACGACTTTCAAATTTCAGTCGTAGGTATGACCGTGATATTTTTGATAAGAGATACAAAATTTGATGCGACTGTATTCGCAGTTTTATTTTTTAAGCATAGACTCGAATGTTGAAGAAAATAGTTTTCTCGTCTGCTAATAGATTCGTATTAACAATCGCTTTGATATCGCATGTTACAGGTATACGTAAACGTATATAGCATATTTTTTCAAGATCTAACATTTATCCGCATTGCACTGCATTTATCACATAAATTTGATAGGCCTTAATAGTTCGATTATCCTGTATCTCTATTATTTTAGATCGCTCGAAAAATGTTCTCTCTTTTCAAGGAATTTTGAATAGTGCAATAAAATAAAATGGTTGTTCTTGTAAAACAACTAAATTTAATAAATTATTGCTGTATAGTGGACCAACGAAACAATGGCAGAAGCAAAGGTGTATATAAACAGCAGTACAATAAATAATTAGAAAATATTAGATGCAGAACAATAATGCGTGTAATATATATATATAACGTTTTTACTTATGAAACATTTCATTATAATTATACTCTACCTTGTTGTAAATAGATAGCCTAATGTAAGTAACATGTATTCAAAAATTAATAAAATATATATTTAAGAGTAATCGATAACCAGTCGATTCCTCGATCAATACGCAGACAGTGCTTCAAATTTATTAACAACGCGTGGAATTTCTGATTCTTCGCTCGATGTATCATCAGAATTATCAGATTCCTCTTCTTTCTGTTGTTTCTCATTTTCTAAATTTTCTTCCTCGTCGACTTCATCTTCAGATGACAAATATACCTTTCCCGTGTCGGCAGGATCTTCTCCCTTGTTTCTAGCTTGAATCCACCTTACTATTTCAACTTCTGGATGTTGCTCCCATTTTTCTGCAAAATTGTATGCGTTACAAGAAAAAATGTGAATTAAAATAATAAATTACATTGATCTTTAAATGGTAAACAATTACCTTTGTTACCGACCCACTGTGGTGGATATACGTATATACAAATTTTGCCTTCAAGCGCCATTCTCAATATTGAATTAGCTGCTCTGTAACTATCCAATCTACCGGTTCGTGCAGTTACGAAATTCCGTTTTAAGGCCCAGCCATCGCAAACGTCGACGGCGGACCACGTATCATCGTTCTCCGGATGTTGTATGTTCAGTAACTTTGGTACATCTATTCGTTCGGCTAGAAATTTAACTGTTGTATACGGTTCTCTAACTTGAGCTATCGGAAAGCAACCCATTAATATTTGTAATTGTTTCGGTACCGTTGATGGAAACACCAGTCCTGGACAATCGCAGAGACAAACAGTTTTCGTAAGAAATATTGTTTGAAAATGTTTAGTATGTCCAGGTGTTCGCGATACGCTTACAACCTTTTTGCCTGCAAAAATCGTTGTTGATCAATGATTGATCGTTCGATATTTCTTCGCATTTCGATGAAATATCAATGTTTACCCATTAATGCATTCATCAAAGATGATTTTCCAACATTTGGAGTTCCAATACATCCGATAGTTAAAATTCCGTTTTTATAACGTTCGTGTTCAAAGTAACTTGTATCTTCCTTTTCAATTGTTACGCTATCCTTATGACTAACGTCGTCTAAATCAAATTCCATTTGCATTTCTTCCTGAATTTTATTCTGCCAAGAAGTCAAATCTACATTATCTCCGACAATCTGTTTGCAAGTATCCAGTAATTTTTGCGCCCCCTCTGCAGCCATCCTTAACTTCCCTTTTCTACGCCTTTGCTTTAATCCTTCCGTTTCGCTTACGTTCCCGCGTAAATTGTAAGTAGGATAGGACGTGAACATTAAAATATGCAATTTAGGATACATTGTACTAAAATACTCTTTCCATGCTACCACTAAGGCTGGAGGAGCTAGATCAACTTTGTTTAATACCAAGATCATGTCTTTCTTCAATTCGTTTGTTATGTGACGATATAAATATGGGGGAAACATTAACACAGTATACCTGATGTCAACAATAATTAACAGGACATCAGACATTTCTAAGACTCTCCATAATTGTCTCCAAGTTTCTAAATTTAGTTCAAAGTAACTGATGGAGTTCAACTTTATCATATCTTTTATATATTCCTAAAAACAAGAACTTATTAGAACTAATAGCAAAGCTATATGTAAATAGACCTAAGTGAGATTTACAATTGCTTACAGTAAAATACTTTTGCTCTCTCAATTCTAACTGTGCTTTTGACATGCTAAAATCCCATGGTGGCCTTTTGGGAATATCAATTTCTGGTGGAAAATAATCATCAGAAACCTCTTGATCTTTAAGAGATAAAGGTTCAATAGTCTGTCTAGCTTGTTCCCTTCGTTTCATTAATTCTTCTTTGCTCTCTTGAAAGAACTGTAAGGCATATCTGTTTTTGGAAGAATTGTCATCTTTTGGTTGTTTGTTGATCTTTTGTATGCTACAGAATTCCAAATTATCACCATAATTTGCTCTCTGTTCATTATCTCTGGTATGACTTCCAGCTCCTGATTATAACATATAATTAGTTTTTTCACATATTTATTGCATACAATTAATTGTTTATTATTACAACATACGTACCGAACAAAGTGGAAGTCTGTCGCTGTTTTTTAGCTTGCAATTGTTGTTTTTTTGCTTTACCGCTAAATGGTTTTTTCCTTGTTCCTTGCGGCATTTTTTTTTGGTTATCTTAACCTCATAAATTTGATAAAATCTTTCAAGTGAAAGATTTCTGTAGTCACTGGTATATGCTGGTATATCAAGCCGTTAGTTGGATGCAATAACTGAGGTGCCGCTTGAATCAGTTTCTGTTCAGCCTAATTTTCGATGAAACATTGACTGTTTTACCAACGCGGAATTCGGAGTTCGGCCTCGACGCTCGCATCGTCTTAATCTTTTTACATTAACTTCGACATTTGTTGCCAGATAGCGTTATAGGTACCGTTTTCAAATCGCGTATCGATATAAAATGAAAAAAACATTAATTATATATTACAAATGAAAGTAATCTTTAAGTAGGATGGTGTACGGGATTCAGTGACAAAATAAAGTATAACTGTGATAAAAATATTCTTATCTTCTCCGTTTAAAATAGTGCTATCTACGGTATGTTTCGAAACTTGTGGAACTCTGCTTCTTAATTCAGGAACCCTCATTAATATCGCATGATACATATTAATTTTGGAGCACTGTTTTAAAACACGCCAATTACTAGACTATACATATGTATGTAAGATAGAGGACAATCACTATAGATAAAAATTTTTGATCTATACCTTCAATGACGTATCCATGTTGACTAAAGTAATAACACGACTTTAGTGGTACATGCATACAGAAAAGGAAGCAACGGTCTTTTCAGTTTTAGTTTTATCCTTTTAAAAAAATTACTAAATGTGATAAAATGTGCATATGGAGGTAAGATAATCATAAGGAATTCATTGAAAACCATATTTTGAGGTACGTCATTTATATTCTTATGCATTTATTGATACCAATTCATATTATTGTTAGAATAATTATAAATCCTTTTTCGCCTCATTAACCTTCTAATAGATTAATCCTCTGTACATACATACAGTCCTTTGCATTTTTTCAATGCGCAGTTGAATATAAAAAAATAATCGCAAAATTATCGTCTATTAAAATGAATGATCGTTAGATGGCGCATATGTTTGGGTAAAACGAGTATCGATAATTGAACAATCTAATGCACTTTGTAATCATTGCACCTTCGTTACACATCAATACCGAAAAGGTGTTGCGCTCATTTGTGGTGGGCGCAACGTCTCCGTACCAATGGTCGTTATTTAAAGAACTTATTCATTGAAATTACGATTGTATTTGTACACAGTCGAAAATGCGAGAAACGGATGTTCTTGTGCGATATATTCGCGGGACGTCACCCGATCAGATCATACCTATCGCTTGATTAAAACATACGATAATTGCACCCGCGGCAAGTCTGCAACCAGTTCAAGAGCAATGTCGACCTCATTAGTAGTATTTTAAGAATCGTGACATGATAATTTTCACGAAACAATATTCAAGTTCATTTAAGTACCTCAAAGTAACAAGTACCTGAATGAAATTGATTACCCTCTCAATTTTTCGAAAATTTCCACACGTTGACAATATAATATTTAAAGATTAAAAATAATCTGTGATTTACAATGCCACGCAGTCGTTTAGATGCAGTGTACAGAAGTATTTTACTCACAAAATTTTTTACAAAAGGCTGGGGTAGCCCTGAAAATTTGAAGAGGTAAGGAACAATGTTTTAACTTTGTTTTCTTAATTTAAAACACATCTTATCAATATATTTGCATTCGAGAATCTTCTGGATTATTTATAGAACATTGACATTTCAATGAATTTTCTATAGCACTAACTTATTACCTATTTTTCTTTTTCAGTTATTTTTATAGAATAATAAACAAAATAAATAATTTAAAAAATATACAATAATATTATCAACATCTGAATATTAGTTTTCAAAAGCTAGTGGTATCTAGTTAAACTATATGTACTAATAACAATCTGTATTTCAGGATTTTTGAATTCAGAAAAGTTATTGCTAATAGAGAAGCATGTTACAACCTCATACCTTCAGATTATCCCATCAATATAATTAAGGTATGATATATTTTAAAAATAATTTAAAATAAATAAAAAATTATTCTGATATATCTTAGGATGAAGAATGGTCAGACTGTCACATAATAGAAGGGAACTTTGAAACTCCGCTTCATAAACATCTTCCTGGTATAATGCCCAATGAAACAATAACTGCACATTTTCAATTAGTTCTACCATGCAAATGGTATTCTCATAAAATAAAACCCATTTGTTTACACCTTGCAGGTACAGGAGATCATGTAAGTTGAGTTTCATTTAATTAAATTTATATTTTGTTACATGTTATATACATTTTAGGTAATAAATTTATCTCTATATTAATAAACTGATTGTGTCATTAGTATTTTTGGCGAAGGAGACAGTTATTTGCTAAACCCTTGTTGAAAGAATCTGGAATTGGATCTTTATTATTAGAAAATCCATTCTATGGTTCCAGAAAACCAGAAAATCAAATGTAAGAATTTGTACACCGAAGGTTTGTAATAGTAAAGACATATTGTACAATAGAATATATTTATATTTACATTAATATTGATATACTTCACAGACGTTCTTGTTTACATAATGTTTGTGACATATTTATCATGGGAGGATGCTTAATAATGGAATCAATTGTATTATTAAATTGGTGTGAGCAACAAGGTTTTGGACCCTTAGGTTTGACAGGACTATCAATGGGTGGTCATGTTTGTATCTTCAAGTTTAAGTTTAATTCAAAAATGAATATTAAGTGAATATTAATCCATCTATACTTGCAGATGGCTTCTTTAGCAGCAACTAACTGGCCAAAACCAATACCACTGGTTCCTTGCCTTTCATGGTCAACTGCATCACCAGTGTTCACTCAAGGAGTAATGAGTGCCTCAATTAATTGGACTCTTTTAGAAGATCAGTATTTTGCAAATGAACTTTACCAAAACGATCTCGCTAAAATGGTTAGAATTATTGGCGAAGAGGCAAGTAGATACAGCATAAGGAAGTACATAGTATAAAATTATACGCGTATAACAAATATTTAATTTATATATGATTTTTAGGATGCATTCCTAGCTGGACAACATTTTGCTCAACACTATCCTGCAAGTATGAAAAGGATTAGTGAATTACAAGATAAGCCCCAAGGTGCTAATGAAGAAGTAGCTACTATAACTGCCTCTCCAACTGTGATTAAAAAAGAAACAAATAAGGACCATGATTCTGAAAGTGAGGACAATAATGTAAAAAATGAAATTAGTGAAGATAGAGCAGCAAGAATATTTCCTTTGAACCTTATATCTAACAGATTCAAGTTAAAAGATTCAAGTGTTCTTAAAGGCAGGTATTTTGCATGTATACTGTCATAGTACGCACGTACAAAGTAATTGTAAATAATTTATTATGTTCAACAATTGTAACTAATTATAGTTCCTAGCTACTGAACAATAACATTCCTTTTCGTTTATTTTTACGAAAGCATGGTGTGATATAAGCGTGATCATAGTACTTGTTTTTTTTGGCAATAGGTATTTGTTTGTTACCAGTGCCGCGACATCCACTGTTTTCGGATTGTAAATGGCGTGAACGAGAAGCATTGCAATTTATGTGCGGAATAATGGATGAATGTACGCATTTAAAAAATTTCGAAGTACCTGTTGATACTGAACTGATCATTGCTGTCTGTGCGAGGAACGATGCATACGTACCGCGCGATGGTTGTATGAGTTTAGATAAAATTTGGCCAGGAGCTGAAATTCGCTATATAGATGCAGGGCACGTATCTGCGTATCTTCTTCACCAGAAAGTATTCAGGTATACTAATAACGTTCCTCTGTATACATGTTATCTTAAGAAGCATAATTATGTTTTGCATACTTATTACTTTCAGATCCACCATTATCGAAGCTTTCAAACGATCAATGAAGAAATATCCTTTACAAATCAGTTGATATATGTGTAATTCTAGCGATAAACTAAATCGACTAGAAATAATGTAAAGAAACTTTTCTAAGCGACTATTTTTAGAATGCAATTTTGTGCGCTTTCTTATGATATTTATTTGACCCCTTTTTTAAAAATACTTTACAATTTTGACTATTTTTTTATATTTAAACAAGTTGGTTACTTTGAATATCGAAAAAGGTAATCATGTACGCCCCCCTTATATTTAAAATTTTTACGAAATGTTATACTATTAGATATAATAAGAAAATGAAACGTGTATTTTATGAAATATGAATAAATTGTATATAATATATTCTGTAAAAGCAATAAATTATTCTATTCGTCTATTACTATTATTAAACATTTTCTTAATATGTGTTAATCATAGTAATATGTAGTTAGATTATAAATAAATATCATAAGCATCGTATGATTTTTGAATTCAAAATAACCAATGATTCATAATATTGAGGAGAAAATAAATGGTACTTAAATTTTGCGGGTAAGATAAAACAGGAAATAGCGTGGCGCTACCTACAGGAGCGAGAATAGAATCGATTAAACCGGAAGCTCCGTAGCCGCTCGCGTAAAGGCCAGGAGCAAGCGTTGGCCACATGTGTTTTGCAGACCGCTTTTCCGTGGAAAAAGATCGTCGAAAATGCCGTGTTTACGTAATCCGTGGTAACGTGACGTTGGAACGGTGCTCCTGAACTTGCTGCTGTTGTGACAAAATTTTTAAGCCGAACACAAGCACACCAGGGAAGATCCATAAAATAAGGAACGTGAGGAAGAAAAATTACTTGTACTAACGAAGTGTACGCTGATTGTCTACTAGTTTCCCTTTTGTACTTGGCACGCACGGTGTATATCCATGGTGCATCTTATCAACACTTTTCATCCGTAGAAGGTAGATTTAATCATTGTTTAATAAATCTTCATTGAACTAGAAAATTCGTACCGGCTGATTTTCGATCATCTTGTGAAATCGCCGAGTCAGCGTGTTCTCAACTACGCAACTGATCGCCTCGTGTAATATTATATTCGAAATTCCTTAAACGTTCAGTTGGATTATAAGAGGAGTCATTTTTTTTCGACGCTTTTCTCTATTGGATTTGAAAAATATTCTGACACGAGTGAAATACGAATTTCGGATATTCGGTAACGACCGCGTGTGCACACCGCACCTTCTGGAAAAAGCGATCCCTCGTGACGAGTCTGAAGTGGGCGTTCTCTTGGCCGGTAAAGAACTAGCAGCTGGAATTCTACGATTATCGTAGAATTTTCGTTGAATTCAGCTTGTTCGTGCAACAGCACGGACTTTAGAAGAGACATGCGTCCGGTCCACGGCATGGAGGATGTCCCTAGATTGGTGCTTTAAAGTCAATTCGACGCAAGGAACATTTCCGATCTCTGATCACGCAACGAGGTTGCTCGGGTAGATTAATGTGTCCGAGGGTGTTCGAGGTTCCTCGGGATTCCTCGACTGCCTGAGAGGAAGCAACATTTTGTAAAAGTTTCTCGAGTTAAATCCTCGTGGTTCAGACCTCGTGTTTTGTCTTTCGGCGCGTACTATTCAAGATGGCGGCCAAGGTGGCCAGCGGCACTCAGGGAGGTACCGATAGAGAGGAGGGCCCTGGGGTCTCTTACGCAAGTATCCTTAATCCTAAGAGTGGAACTGAAAATCGGGTTGTTAATAAGGGTAATAATAAGGAAAATATTAGCGGTCAAGTAGTTCAGCAACAGTCAGTACCGATTAAAGATCGTATTGCTTCCCAAAGTCTAACTACCAAGGGAAAATCTTATCAGAGAAGCGAAAGAAGATTTAATCCTCAGAACAAACTGGAGAAGCACTATGGAAATGAAACACCATCTCCTACTGAACAGAAACAATTGCCTGTGCAGAAGAAAGCTCCAGCTGAACAACAACAAGATAATGTTGTTGGAAATGAACAGATGAACGGCGATGTTGGCAGTGATGGAGAATTTCAAACAGTAGCACCAAAGAGTGCTAGGAGGAAAGAAAAATTACGAGAACACCAACGTGATCACAGAGATCAACACAGACACCGTGATCACAGGCATCCTCTTCGTGGTCATAATGGAAGTAACGAGAGATCTTATAAGGAACGAGATCGCGGGGACAGGGATCATTTTATAGGAATTAAAGATGCGGTAAAAGAAAAAGAGGAAACAGAGACAGACTCTGAAAACCAATCCTCAACACCAGTCAAATATGTAGAAGCTCCTCTACCTACTGTTAATCCTTGGACCAAAAGCAAAATGTTGACACCACCAGCAGCACCTGTAAATTCAGTTCCTGCTGTACCTTCAGCAGTTGTACCACCTGCTGAGAAACAGACTGAGAAAGAAAAGAGGGTACTTCAACCGCAACAACAAGGGATTGTTGGTAAGTGTTGAAATACACCTAAACAATCTTTCTTTGGTTTCTTCTAAAACGAAAAAAATAAATTTATTGCATTACACAGATATTTATAATCTTTTTTAGAATTTCAGTGCTCTTATTCTTTATTGTATCATAAAATATCCATAAATGTTTTATTCATCTTGGAGCATAGATTATCGGTAATCATTCAAATTTATGAAAGATTGAATATAGAATCTGTTGAATGTGGCTAACACAAAAAGTTATAAATTTTTAATTTTCCTTTTTTTTTTGTACTTTCTGTATCAAAGAAGCCTTGTACTTTGTACATATGTTGAAAGAAGTTCTTATCTAATTTAAGCTATGAAAGTATGCTTCTGTTTCTTCAAAGGTACTCCTGATATGGGTTAAATATTAAGAGAGATCTATGGTAACTTGCTCAATTCGTATTACATGAATAAAAGTATTAGATAAAAATCGAGTAGGTCGATTAATCTTCATCCGTACAATGTAAAGATTACAAATATTGTTGTCTGCTGATTAGCTTTATACTTATTTGTGTTAATGTTATGTAATGAAAAATTATCGTTTAACAGTTATTCGTCGAATATCAATTCGATCTAATTTTACATTGCAATCAAAACCGATGTAAAAACTTTATTCAGTTAAATTGCAGTGTGATCCCCGTGTAAAATATGGAAGCATGCATTTCGCAATGGATGGATTCGAAAAATAATTACGGATGCCCAATTATGGACACGAAGCTTCACGGAAACCGCGAACAATTTTGATCGTAATCATCGTATAAAATTCTGATTTTAAAGTAATACGTGGCGTTATCGTGTTCGATTAATTTCAAAGAGAATTTCTTCGAATCTATAAACTGGATGGTATATATAAAATATTCAATTACTTTAATTTTCAACAATTTAATACGATATTAGAAAGTTGGGAAAACACTTTTTATCTATGAAATAGATTTAATCGTGTACATAATACATTTAACCGACGGCTAAGCGTAATTTCATTTTTAGGAAAGTTACAATTATTTTTCTTGTCTGCCAGTTACGAAAGCAGTTATGTGTTATTCGTTACCAAGAGAGCGAGGAAAATAATCTCCGTTTTTATATTCATTGTAACGCATATGTAACAAGATTTGTTCAGTTGTCACAGCATTGAAAGAAACGGGGTATATTTCGAATATAAGTAGCCGAGCAAATGCTACACGCATCGATAATTCAGGTGTTTGATCATTACGATGATAATAATAGGCAATTTCGAACGTCCGATTCGATCATCTTATCTGGCAACGAGTCCGCGGTACACGTGGCAAGAAAACAACCATGCTGGCAATCAACTTGTAACACGTCACCTATAGTCTTTCTTCATTTGCATAACAAATTTTTGTTTTTTTTCATCTTCTTCTCGCGACAACCCTTTCTTTACTTAATTACAATATCGGTTCGCGCGCTCCAATACTATTTCACCTATCATTTTACGTATTGCAATTCCTCTAGTCAGTTGCTAACTGGTTAATCAGACAGTCGAGTGTCTGATAAAAAACCGGTTTTGATAATATCATTATAATAAACCCGAGTGTTACGTACGATATTTCAAAGGGTAGATAATTAAACATTTTATATAGAATGTTGGAACGTTCCCTAATTAGTTATAATATGATGAAGTAATTAATCATAGAAATTAAGAGTAGAAACAGAGCGATCGCTTAGCGATGATAATAGAAACTCGTAAAATATGATAATTAATATTCTTCGTACTTTGATCGGATTCACTTTTTAAAGTCTATTTGTTACTTCTGATTTAGTTATATCATCTTCGTTTATTGATCCAATTATTGCATTCGTGCACGCAAATTGCAAAGACGATGGGGGCAACGACATTGACACTCTTTCTAAGCGGTTGACAGTGGCTCGGAGTACGTGATGCAATTACGCGAGCCTCGTAACTGCATTACATTTTTCGCTGTAATCGAGACATTCACTCTGGAATCCCTCTAGTATCTATCCGATAAACAGCAAACACGATTGATCCGTAAATATAAAATCCACGTGATTTTAAGGAAAATTAAAATAAAAGCTACAGACTTCAATTTAGCAACAATTTGATCATTTTGCTAATGATGAATTTTGGAATTTTTTTTAATCGCCCGAGTTTTGCAGCATGTTTCACACACCTGCGGATGAAAAATAAAATTAAAATAAAAGCTACAGATTTCAATTTAGCAACAATTTGATAATTTTGCTAATGATGAATTTTTGAATTTTTTAATCGCGCGAGTTTTGCAGGAAAAGTATAATAATTTTACGTTTCACACACCTGCGGATGAAAAATAAAATTAAAATAAAAGCTACCGATTTCAATTTAGCAACAATTTGATAATTTTGCTAATGATGAATTTTGGAATTTTTTAATCGCGCGAGTTTTGCAGGAAAAGTATAATAATTATACGTTTCACACACCTGCGGATGAAAAATAAAATTAAAATAAAAGCTACCGATTTCAATTTAGCAACCATTTGATAATTTTGCTAATGATGAATTTTGGAATTTTTTAATCGCGCGAGTTTTGCAGGAAAAGTATAATAATTATACGTTTCACACACCTGCGGATGAAAAATAAAATTAAAATAAAAGCTACCGATTTCAATTTAGCAACAATTTGATAATTTTGCTAATGATGAATTTTGGAATTTTTTTAATCGCGCGAGTTTTGCAGGAAAAGTATAATAATTATACGTTTCACACACACCTGCGGATGAAAAAAAAGAATTGATCAACTGTTATCGATTCTCTCGTTAAACGGACGGTCGATATTTGTATGAAAATGTGTCGCAGAAAGTGAGAGTGGTGAGAGGTGAAACCAGTTTCAAGTTGTAGGCCTTCTACCTTCGATAAAAGTAGAATCGTAAAGGCCAATCAATGCCTTTCAACGGTATACACGCGTAGAACAAGTATTTCAAATAAGAATATAAAGAATAGCAAAAAAAAAAAAGACGAAGTAAAGTGTCAAGATCATTTCCTTTTGCTTTCGAACAAATGTAGTTACGTGATAAACGTACGCGTAGACAGCTTTGGAATATTGATGAACCCGAACGGTTCGAATATTCGCCTTCGAAACGGTAAAACATACCCGATGCAATTTGTAAACTTGTCTTCATTCTTCGAAAATTTTACTTTCACGAGGTGTTCATTTCCAGAACCAAAAGAGATATTTTTCAAAAATATTTCATTATTTAATTACTGAAATCTGTAGCTTTTATTTTAATTTTATTTGGACTTTTGTGGCAAAACTCGGGCGATTAAAAAATTCAAAAATTCATTATTAGCTAGATTATCAAATTGTTGCTAAATTGAAACCGTGTTTTCCTTATAAACCTTCTCGTAACCAGCACCCATGGCTTGTTCCTGCGACGAATTTATGTATTGAATTAACCGGAAGTTGTTCAACGTGCGTACGTGCAGTATTGTGTTAGTTGATTATCGATGTAACAAGATGGAACAAATCGGTTGCCATATCAAACTTTACTTCTTTACTACACTCACGAGAGACACATTGATTTGCCTGCGTGCTGCATGATATGGAAAAATTTAATATTCGCAACGCTATGACACGATAACGATAATCGTAATAAAAACGGTATCGTTTCATTTTTTATTTCCATTTTATATATTTTCAACTTTCGTTATTATTTAGGGAAGGAGACTAATTTCATTATCTGCAATTAGTAAGGGATATAGGGATAATAATGTATAATCTTCCCACGGATTACGTACTCTTCATATTCTATATTGGGTCACCGCAAGCAAACATTTTTTCGAACCCATTTACGTCATTCGGCATAAAAATTTGTTAAAAAGATCTTGAAACCTTGACTTTGACGATAAAAAAATCAAAATTCTCTTTTACGAGTACGCGATAGAGTTATCGGTATACTCTTAAGTAATATCGAAGGCATACCCGTTCTTAGAGTTTTCTGCGCCCGGAGCAATTCCAAAGAATTTCATTTTTATCATAAATATTTCCAGTTAATTTTTGGAAATATCGTGGACTAGTGGCTCATCTACTCGTTACAAGTACTTCATTAGATTTGTTCGATGTATCAGTGTATTTGTTCAATTATTACTTTGTAATCTAACTCGTTGGCTAGTGTGTCTGTAACATATAGATAACTGGGTAAAAAATATTTATGTAGTACTCGAAGGAAACGAAATCGGTATCGCTTTATTCCCAGTGTATCCGTTTCTGTTCCTATCTAACCGGTAACGGTCTTTCCGAAATCGATGACAAAAGGGCTCCCGGCTGGTTTGGAAGGAGATGAAAATTGCATTTAATGCTGCTTGCACGTGAAAAGGCCTAGCGAACCAGCAGCTGCCAGTATTTACCGTGCTTGGTCGCTGCAAGCCTTCTTCGATTCTCCCTTTTTGCCTGCCAGCTCAGTGCACCGTTGACTCTCGAGCTGCAGCTGCGTTAACAGAATGGCGGGCTTTTCGTTACGTCTTTAACTTGAAAAAAAAAGGGGACAATTTTCTCTCGGTGTGTTCAATAACGGGAGTGATTTAAAATATTTAAAAAAAATCATAAAATTTCAGAGAACTTTAAAAAAGAAACAAACAGAAAAAGCTTTAATATCGAATAAAAAAATATCGTTATTTAGGAGGTAGGGGAATATTTCTTCGTGCAATTGGATCATACGTTGGGAATGAACCTTTTACCGGTTTTAAAATGATAAGATTCGACGTACATTGCTCGTATTTTGTTCCTTAAAAAACAATAATTACCAGTAAAATATATTTATGTAGTTTGTTCGTGTTGTTCGTTATCTTCGACAAAAGGCAGTGAAAAATTTTCATAGCATATGGCAAGGAATTTACGCTACTTTTATCTGTCTCTTTTTTACCTTTATTAGGCTGGTGAAATAAAACTCGAGTAAATATTTAAAATTATCTCTTTCGAACCGTTAAGTTGATGGAATATTAAAAAAATTTTTGTATTTTTTCTCCAACATCAGATTTCGTGTTTTTCATTTTCTTCGGCTCCAATTGGATAAAATATTTAATTACGGAGCAAGGGAAAAATGAATGAAGTCGTATACGAGCACACCTGTTGCACTATTTCAAAGGTTGCTCGAAATAAGCCACGGTAATGTGACCGTTTGAGCGTTAAATACGTATGCAATTGTAACGTCGAGTACAGTCCTATTGTATTATCATTTTTTCTTTTATTATTTCTATCTCGTTCTTAGAAAGTATACGCGCTTTATGTAAACGTTATGTAAAAGTGGAGGTATCCTCTTCTACGCGCGAACGACGCAAAGTGAACTCCAGTGAAAATATAATAAAGTGTTTAAGGAAGAAAATTACGCACGGTTGTTACAATGAAGATCAATAAAAATAAAGGTGACATCGTTCAACGTGAGTTCCTCGCACTCTTTTTCCTGCCACCGATATTTGCAGAGTACCACGTAATAAATAATCCAACGATACACTCTTATCTCACCGCGAACCTTCTGCACACACGTTTATTATACTTAAGGTGAATTTTAATATGGAGTTAAAGTATGAAGTTTAAAATGTAATCTGCAGGGAAAAAACAAATTTCATTTTAACGATCTCTTTCCTCGCGTGGAATAATACTGCGTGTAATATAATCGTTCATAATTCTTTTATCTCCTTTGCTTTATTTCTTACCCTTTTATTTTCAATTCTTCCCGGCACTCGAGATACGCAAGGCTCGGGGGCTGGTTACAAAGAGTAAATAACAGTTTAAATCGCACCCCTTTTATATTGAAATCTCAGACACTAGGTGTCAATAGCTCTCGGTGCGCCAGTTTTCAAACACACCGCCAAGGTATTCGCACTTAGCTATAATTGTATAAACAATGTTGTTTATTATTTTTAATCTGGCGGTTGTTGATAATGCAAATTTACATCTGGCCATTAATATTCAGGCTTCCACCCCTCTCGAGTGCTAATTTGGCTACGAGACAAAATTGGGGTAGCCCGGTCTGCCAACGAGATAATGCCTCCCGCACCAGCAAACAATGAGTTAAAATTCCAACCATTCGGACGGTGTCAGAAAAGCAGGCTCGAAAAGTTTTTTAACCGACTTAGAAAAAGGAGGAGGTTGACTCAATTCGATCAGTATTTTTTTTTTCTTTTCTTTTTAAACCTGGAACGTTCAGGTCACGTGCGTTCCTTTATACACAGAATGACTTTTTGCGTTTCTTTACAAGGTGACACTAATAATTTACCTCGCGCTTTGTTTCTTTTTCTTTTTCTAGAAAAACTTTTGTACAGGAAAGATAGAAGAATTCTACATCGGTGTCACAACACGTCGACAAATAGAGGATTAACTTTAGACGATTGAATAATCAAGACTGACCGGAGAAACGCGAACGCAATGATTCACTTTAATAACCGTACGACGTTTTTATAACAGGCGCTAGTTGATTACATTCTAAAGAACACCTGCAGTTACATCAATAGTTCATTACTCGTTGAATTTTCATGGAATTCTACATCGGAGATAAGTTTTGTCCAGCTCCCAAGTGTATGAGATAATCGAGTCTGTAAGACGAGAAGCGCACCGGTGGCTGGTTACTTTCGCTTTTGCGCTGATTTGTGTTTTTGAAGCAAACGAAAGATCGACTACCAGTGAAAAAGAGGTCAACGAGAAAATCTACGACTGTGTATCACTTGCGTAACCAGGCTGTGGTTAGAGTTAGCTGTTCGCTTCTAGCGGCCTCACGCTGCATTGATTATTTATAGAAAATAAGGAAATCAACGATAATGTCAAACTCTGTCCTGGGAGAGTGGTGTCCGTTGAAAAATTCGTGAAATATTTATCGGATCACCTCGATGTTTACGATCGTGTATTCTTAAAATACTAAGAAATTTACATTTCAAAGAAAGATTGCCACTGGAAGAGACAGAAGCATTTTTATAACGTTTTATCTCCTCGATAATATCGATCAGATTAAATGCAATATCTACCTTGGAAATAGATTACTACATTGTACTTTGATGTAAAGTTTTAACTATTTTTGCACGATGTAACAATATAACGCGACACTTTTATTTCTTACCACATTTTTTGAACTCTAGCTGCGGGCAGTTATAGATAAAAATATTTACGAAACACGTGTGCCGAAGATAATCGAGGTCACCAAGTTCTGTATAGATTATAAGTGTCACGATAAGAATGCAAGTTTCAATTGAAAAATTTATCCTTAATTCTATAAATTTAATATTAATCTAATGCTCTGATGTTTGTTACAGAGAACGGTATCAACGCAGGAAACCACCCTACCATTGTTACAGCGTCAAAGGATAGGAGAAAATTTAATCAAAAGGTTCGTGGTGATTCTATCGTTGATCGATCATAGCAGGATTATTATAATATTAATCAATATTTTATGCATTAACTGGATATATGTAAATAATTTATCTGTTAATCCTTTCGTTGCCAAGGGAAACTGCATACAGAAAAGGGGTAGAGAAATGGCAAAAATTGTTGTATAAAATGGTAACGAAAGGGTTAATAAATATAATTTCAGATTTTTTGTTTACGGGATATAATTAGAATTTAGTTTGTGACTTTAACAGGCGAGCGATTTCTCAGACATCGGTGATTGGCCCTCATTGGGAGCTCAAGGAGATGTAGGTTGACTTTATTTACCGTTCTTATTCATATTTATGTATCGTCTTTGTCACTGTTCTACGACGTTATGGCAGTATTTTGAAAATGCAAAAGCTAGAACTTATAGAGTATGATTAATATACCTATGAGCGTAGAACTTTTGCCAAAGTAACTTCGAATCTGGCCTCATTACGGACAAACTGTTTGTCCGTGGGGTTATTATTCGACTCGTACAGTCATTGACGACTAAAGTTCTATTATACAGTAGTTAATATTTCTGTACACGTTTACCGAACAAATAATATTTTTCATTAGAAAAAGACAACTGTGACCGCGCCGAAGCAGAATGGTGTGGTTGAACAAAATACTGTTAAAGAAAGTAGTGGAACCCCTACTGAAAATAGAGGGAAGGAGAACAAGGAGCAGAATCACTGTCAGGAGGACAGTGATGAAAATACAGATGTGACTGAAAAGAAAAAAAAAGGTATAATCTTTGATTTTCTCTTGTCCGTATAATATAAATAAGGTAAAGCTAATTGTCTTTTAAACTTTCAGTGAATAAGCAAAAATGGGTACCATTGGAAATAGATATAACGAAGAACCGAGGTAAAAGGGAACGCTCTCCAAAGTATCACAATCAAAGAGACAAAAGTGGAGACGGTATTTAATTTAGCTTAGTTCGTTGCTGATGGTAGTTTCAAATGTTCCTGGATAATAATTTTAAAACAATTTTTTCAACAGACACAGATTCTTATAGAAACAGAGAACACGATAGACCGACTTATAATACAAGAGGTGGACGGGGTGGCAGAAGTTACAGGGGCAGAGGAGGACGAGGTGGACGAGGTGCTTATCGTGGTAGTTTTAGGCATAGGCAAGACTATTCAAATTACACAGCAGATTATATGCAGGTGATTATTTACGTTCATTGTATTATATCTTAATAAGTAAGGAATTAAAATAATTGGATAATGATAAACATGATGAAACAATTTGTTGGGAATCTCTCAGAACATTATATGTTGAGAAAAAATGAAAGTAGACCTGATTTTATTAAACATTTTAAAATAAAGACAACCTTTTTGAAACAAGTATTACAAATGATGCTTTGTTTTTATAGATGCATAAATTCGGACATCTGGATCCTCCTTATATGATGCCTTACGTAGGAACGTTTTATTACAATAGCACAAATTGCGTCTTAGACACGGTAACGCTGAAGGAATACATAAGGAATCAAATGTAAATTTAACGATTCGTTTTAAACGAGTAAACTAATGTTTAGATCTTACAGTGCAATATTGTAACTTTTCAGAGAATATTACTTCAGCGAGGAAAATCTTTTAAGAGATTTCTTCCTGCGTCGTAAAATGGACGCGCAAGGCTTTTTACCTATTACTTTAATAGCGTCCTTCCATCGGGTACAGACTTTAACGATGGACGTAGGACTCGTTATCGAAGCGATTATGGGATCGGATAAGTTGGAATTAGTAGATGGATTCAAGGTAAACGAATATGATTTGAAAATGTTGCACAAATTGTAATTTAAATCCAACTACATTTCACGTGTATCGGATAAAAAGATTTGTGCTAGAGAAAAAATAGAAGAGGATTCGCTGACACCGTTCGGACTTAAAGTCCAATGAATGGGGTTTGAAAGTAGACCTCCTCACAAACGATTTTAAAAAGACATCAGATTAATTAAATTTGAAACGATAATATTATTTTTCTATTTATCAGGTGAGAACAAAAATAGATCCTTTGAAGTGGCCGATTTTGGACGCAGCCGGAAATCCTGTATTCTCGGAATCGTCTGACATTTCAAATCCGTCTCAAAATGAAGTAATACTTTCCGCGTCCGAATCGTCCGATTTTTGCCCCGCTGCCAGACCCTTACCAACGATTCCTATTCCCCCAGTTCCACGTGTACTTCAATCCAACCACATTGTCTCAACAGTAGGAAGAGTCAGTGAATCAGAAAGTGTATCCTCGTCGGTAGGCGACAGTTTGAATCCTGACGTGCCTGAGTTTATACCAAATGAATTGACAAACAAGAATAATGAAGCTGTTGCGCCTAACAGTGATAATGAACCAGCAAAAACCGAGGAACAGTCGGATGAACTGAATAGCATTCCAGCATCGTCGAATAACGATGATTCAGAGACGGTTTCGAGCAGTGAATCATCTAAAATGTCAACAACGGTCAAGTGTTCTAGTCCAACCCAAGCGTCGGAAGTACAAATTAATGGAGACTCCCAATCTGGCGTTAACGTTTGGAAAGAGGTAAATTCTTTTTCGTATATCTTCAATGTCACTTTGAATAACTTGAGTTAATGAAAATGATAGGTAAGGCGAAGGGTGAAATCATCGCATAAGGAGAGAAATGAAGAAAGAGAGAAAATTGATAACGTTAAAAGCCAAGAAAGAGAAGAGTTGGACTTTCAGTTTGACGAAGAACTCGATACTCCACCTCCAACTGGTCGTCACAATGCCTTCTCTGAATGGTTTGTTACTGTTCATCCAACATTTTCTTTATGTAATTTAAGTTAATCTGTAATTAATTTGATAGGTCCGAAGACGAAGAAGATAATGAATTGTCAGATGGTGATGTCAATAAGCTATTAATTTTTACACAAACGACGGTATCTATGCCTACACGAATTCCAAAACACGAGGGTCATGATCGAACTGGTGATTGGACAACTAGGGTAAAAATGACTCAAGATCTTGAACAAGCCATCAATGATGGATTGTATTATTACGAAGAGGATTTATGGATAAAAGATGGTCAAAGGGTAAGTTGAAACATTCCAAAACATTTTATTAGTATATTTAAACTGTATCATCATTTTATAGTATGGATCATCTTCCTCAATTGGAAGTTATAAAACTGTTAATGTGATTAGTCAAGAAGATTTTGAAAAAATGGCACCCAAAATGCCTAAGAAAGCTAATCCAGAAGTTCCTCCGCCACCTCCTTCCGCGATGGATGATCTCGAGGTATCTCATTCGCTTCCAACACAGGTACTTCGTTTTTCTCTTTTGAATGTTACTTAAATTTACAATGTTTATATTTTTATGTTTTAAATCGTCAGGTGCCAATAGGTTTGGACAATCAAGAGAGAAGGAATCGTCGAATGGATAGAAACCGGTGGAATGACAAATCAAGACTCGGTAGAAGTGGTAGAAGAGGGGTGGTTCCTCGTTTCTTCGCTGTAGTGAAGGACGAACCATCGGTAGATCCTAGAACACCCCGGAAAAGAAAAACACGACACAGTAATAATCCTCCTGTCGAACACCATGTCGGTTGGATTATGGATGTTCGGGAACATCGACCGCGTACATATTCTACAGGGTATGTTTTCGTTATGCAAACGAAACTAAGCTCAAATTGTCATTGCTTGCTAAACAAATACATTATTTCTGATTTTAGAAGTAGCGCAGGAACAAGTCCAAACGAAGGTTACCTTGCAAGCAGTTATGGAAGCGTACCGCAATCTTTGCCCGCTTTCCAGCATCCAAGTCATGCTCTCTTAAAAGAGAATGGCTTCACCCAGCAAGCTTATCACAAGTATCATTCGCGTTGCTTAAAAGGTACGAATTCCCAAGTATTTATTAGCCAACCCGTATCTAAGATTATTTCATTTTAAACTAAATGATGATACATATTATTTTGTCTTCTTTTCCCGACTGAGGGACAGTAGTGATGAGAAAAGATGATCTGAAGCTTTCTTAACGTATCGTGATATGCTTTAAACGATTCAAGGATATTGATCCTAATCACGTGATACTTTATTTCAGAACGCAAGAGGCTAGGAATCGGTCAGTCTCAAGAAATGAATACACTTTTCCGTTTCTGGTCGTTCTTTTTACGGGAAAATTTCAATCGTACCATGTACGAAGAATTCAGAAGTATAGCCAAAGAAGACGCGTCCGAAGGTTATCGATACGGTCTGGAATGTCTTTTCAGATTCTATAGCTACGGTTTGGAAAAAAGATTTAGACATCACCTATACAGAGATTTCCAAATCGAAACGATACACGATTACGAGACTGGTAAGTATATTTAATTAATCAATACTGAACTTGATGCACACGATAGATTGTTTAGCTATAATTTTCTTTGATAGTTGAACAGTTAACTTGTGATACAGCAAACTATATGTTTATTTACCACAGCGAGGATGATCACCTCGGACGTGGCATATAACATAGCAACAGGTTTATCTCTTTCTTTGTGTCGTGCAGGTCAGTTGTATGGATTAGAGAAATTCTGGGCGTTTTTAAAGTATTACAAATACTCCGATCAACTTCAGGTAGATCCAAAATTACAGGAGTATTTATCCAAGTTTAAGAGCATCGAAGATTTCAGAGTGGTTGAGGTAAATACATCACTTTTCATTCTCATTCGCGATCGATCAACTTTTCCGATGACACTGAAAATTATATATGTTGCAGCCTCAAATAAATGAAATGTTGCAAGGATTTGCCGCCCACTCGCGATCTCAGGCTGCAAAGAGACGCAACAGAAGCGTCTCCGAAAGTGCCGGGGATGGCGAGGCTTCACCGACGAGTAGAGTTCGTCGATTGTCTGGTGGTTCCAGTACCGTAACACTGCCAACCTTGGGTTCCGAAAACAATCATAACGCGTTGAAGCTTCGCGTTGATTCGGTTAATCTTTCTCAGCTTCGTAACAGAACCGGTTCGTTCGGTTCCGGCCGGTTAGGGCATTCCAGAAGACGGAACGATACCGCCTCCTCTTCGACCAGCCAACGTGATTTGAATAAACAGCCACCCCGAAGCAGACACAATTCCGGTTCCTGTACGAAGCCGCAGGAGGTGAGCAAATCTCAGTCCACTGCCAGAGATCGGTTGCAAGCGACCTTCAAGTCTGAGCAGACGAAATCGGTCACGATCAAGACGGAGACCACGTTGATCTCTCAAAAGTGAGATCAACCGAAGGGTAAGTGCGCGCAAAGCACTTGCTCGATTTGCTAAATCGATACGAACGCGTTCGCTCCTGGAAATATGATACTTTGTGTTCTAAACAAAGAGACGAACATTTGAAGTAAACCCAGGAGTACTGCTAAACGTGTAAAACTGTGAGCACAAAAACTTTTCTGTATATAGACAATGAATGTCAGGTCCTTGACGTTGAGGATCGTTAGGAAAGAATATAAGTGAAACACCCCTGTGGACGAAGGTGAGAGAAAGAAGGATACCTTCGTCAACGAGACAAAAAGTTCATCGAGCTGTTTTTAAGGTAGTTCGTTAAGGTTGTATTTACGGATATATATATATATATTCGGCTGTTCTTGCTTGCATCAGGATTGTACTGAATTAAACTTTGCTCAGTTGTCCTGTTAGGATGCTCGTTAAATACCGTAGCGGAAATGAGAAGGACCCAGAGTGGACGAGTAAATGAAAAATCCAGGTACGATAGCGTGTACGTTTGATAAGGTCAGTTTGAATTCATACGTTTGCTTTAAATGATCGTTCGAGCGAATTTCTTTTCTTTTTTACGAAGAGACGTGACACGAAGTCACAGGTTTGTCATCGTTCTTCAAACACCTAATTCGTTACCGATAACAATTGAAAAATGAAAAATGCTTTTCTGATTATTTTTTATTATTCCATTGTTATTATCACATTTATCGAGGGTGATTTATAATGAAATTTTTATACCTGAATAGGTATAAAAATTCCTCGTGATTTTCAAAGTGAACGGTACTAAATATTGTCTCTTTAATTATTGACATACTTAAGAATATAATTGATCGTACTCAAAATTCTCATTTCGAATGGACACTGACACTTCAAGTTACTGAGAACGTCAAAATGTACAAATATTTAACGGCAGCGTTTGAGCTGGTTTCGATTTTTAAATTTACGAAACATATCACGCGTGTGGTTTTTGTTACTCGTCATTTTTCAATACCAATAACTGTACTGTCTTCGTGTAATTTGCACAAAGTGTTGAATTACTGGCCAGGAAAAGTTCTAAAAGATCCGTCGATTTAAGTGAACGTTTAGTTACACGGGAAAATAATTAGATTGTTAAACGACATCAGTGCTTAAAGGGTCGAGTCAAGTGAACCTTTCAAAATTACACACGAGGTTGTATAAAAGTTGATAAATGAAACGTACTCAGTTCGTGGCCGGTGCACAATGAATTATTATTAGTTTTAAGTATAGAAATGTACAAGGCTATTTTTTTCTTTTTTTTTAATTAAAATACACTTAATTCTGTTAATGCTGATAGAAAAGAACTATTACCAAGGATCAGTTACCAATGGTGAACAATTATGTCAATTTTAGATACATAATACTTTGCTTCGTTTTACTTGCACTGTCAGTGAGAAAAAAAGTCAATTTTATCATCAAAAACGTTCTCAGCCATGTGTGCTTTGACTCGTGGACTCAAAACATAGAGCTTCTAATCAAATTTCTTTGTGAATCCATTTCTCCAATTCTTTGTGAATCCGAAAAAAGGCACATTTGTCTACTTTTTGCCCTTTCGCATAGACTGTGAACACAATAACTTGGACTATTGCTGGCCAAGAGTCGCTTTTCCTTTAAAAATAATCACGATTCAGAAATAAGTTTTACGTATAGATTATATTTCTATAAATCTAACGAGTGTACAATTAATCTAGAAAATGAAAAGGATTGGACTTCCCTTGTGAATCAAAGTAATTAAAAGCAAAATGAAATATCTAAGATCTTTCACTTGGATAAAAGAAACACGTACAATTGTTTGCAAAGTACTACTGGTTTTATAAAGAATGCAAATTGAGTAGTTAGAATTTATTAGAAAAATAGTCAAAGCATTGCTTGTTAAATTGACGAAAACTTAATGAATTTTATTGTTTACGAGGAACAACAGAAAAAGCACAAAGCAATTAGAAAAAGAATCCTGAGAGACGAATGGCTGGCTCATTCTCTGGATACCCAGTGTTCTCAGTTTCTTTTTTTTTCAGAATGCGAAAGGGTTGAAAAGTCGACATATTACACGCATAACGAATGCTTTACACTCTTTGAAACATGATGTTCTAGCTTTTTAAATGGTACTAGTCACGCACTGAGTCAAATGCAGTCGAAATGCACCGTTCTGAACTTCAGTCGACCGAATATCGTGCTTGTAACAAATCCAACAAGTCGTATAATTGTAACACCGTAGTAGTTCTCTTGAAATTGTTTGTAACAAAGTTGAGTTTCTTTTCTGAAAACTTGATTATTCGCCTCATAGCGAAAGAGATCATCTTCGTTTGCATTCTTCATTGACGGAGTACTTACAACAGAACAATTTATCCAGATAGGATGAAAGATTTCTTGTTCATATGTTCCTTAACACGTTTGGAAATTTTGAATGATTGAAAGCATCAAGGTTTCGCTCTTTTCCGTGGCTACGAATTATTTTTTTTCTTTTAATATCCAGATGATACTTCTTTTTTTTTCTGTTTTTTTTTATTTTTTGTTTTAAATATTTGGATAAATCGTTAGTTAAATCCATAGAGAAATCTTGACGATGATCAAGTAGATAGCAATATTGCAATTAGCTACCGGAACTTATTGAAATTTCTTTTTTTCAGTGGCGTTAAAAATAGAAAAATGAATTTAATCGCGCGTCGAACTTCGTCCGAGTTCTGTTTAGCCAGAAGCCACTGAGGAAATTTTCAAATGAAATTAGCAATATTAATGTTTCATCTATTGGAACTTACTTTCTCAACTTTTCAATGGCTCAAGAGAGAGATTTTATCCTCCAGAGAAAGGATAGGAAATTTTGTAATAGAAAATATGACAAAGACTACCTTAAGCGATACGGTATGGTTTCGTTACCATCTGAAAAATTGATAATCTTTCATGTGTTCATTAGTTTCGTGAAACGGCAAAGAATATTTTCATTCTTTCCACGATCGTTTATACACATCCATGCAATTATCTCAGAGCAGAAATCGACCTAACTTTTTACATTTTCAAGAATTTGCATGTATCTTCTAATTATGTGATCCTCTCAAAGTGAATAACAGAAATATACAATTATTTATTTATTAGATGAGAGTAATATCAACTCAAATCAGAATGGACATACGAATGCAAAGTGTCAATAGACGAATAACAATAAGCTCTCTGCATTCATACAGTTTCTTCCCTCCATCGTCTTCCCATTGAATCTTTGCTAGAACCAAAACATGAAGTTCATATTACAGTTTTCCAAACTTCATCCACAACTTTATTTTTGCACCAGAAATATATCGACAAGGTTCACAGATTCACTTAGCTAGTACTTGTTGCCTCTTTGAATCAATTATAATTGTAAAATACACAAGGGTGTCTGAAGATGATGGCCTCCTTAAGTAATACATTTTCAGTATCTGAAAACTTTTAACAGAGAATCCTTAAGTAATTAAAAAGACCATTTTTTTCATAGACACCCTACAGATTCATAATTGTGCAAGTCCTTGAGATGCTAAACTCGTTCTAACGAAAAATCAAAAAGACGATCTAATTGTCTTTGGAAATAGTGATATGATTTTAGAGTTCCTATATACCCCGTTCGAATTAACGATCAAAGGATTATTCATTGCTTTCCAATCGATAATTGTTTGCATCAGACTTCCGGTTCGTAAGGTGTTAATACACGATCATGACTCGTTATAATTTCCTGTTAAACTTCTGTTTTCTTATTTATCTTCAATTTCATGCCATTAAAATCCCGTGAAAATATACAGTATTACAATAGTTTCAAAATTAACTGGTCATCTTTCAAGTCACTCGATCGTGTTCTTTTTTTACTTTATGTATAACAGGGGAAAGAATGGCAATCGGTCAAAATTTGACCCTTCATTTTCATTGACTGACCGACCATTTAAACTTAGACGAAATATCGAGCGGACGAAGATCGATTAGCACAACGCGAATACTAAAAATACGGTGCCAGAAGTTTAAAAAATAATTTAAAAAAAAAAAGGAAAAATGTCCCGCGGTTACTTTACGTACATAACAGTCTCCGTTTTGCCATTTTGTACACGGTGACACTTGTAGAATTAACTAGGCTAGCTTTTAAGCGAATGACGATTCTCTACTTTAAAAAAGAAAAAAAAAAAAAAGAATAAAATGTAATATTACAAAAGGAAAAAAAATGAATGATCGTAGGATTAATCGAAGTATGATTAGAAATAATGATAGATTTTTCATAGTGATCGCTCATGAACGCGGATTTTGTATATTAAATTAATTCACCCCCTTATCGTACTCTACCGTTTAAGAACGATTCATTTGAAAATTGTTTAAACAATTTCTTACGTAGTCTTTAAATCGATAGTGAAATTTCTAAAAACAATAATATATAAAAATATAAAATTACGTGTCAGTGAACACTTTCGTTACAAAAGATTGTTATAGTTGAATATGAATAGAATTATTTATAGTTTGCAAGTATTCTGGATAATCTAGATAAATAAATCATTTCTTTTTTTTTTTTAGAATGATTTAATCCCTTGTCTTAGTTATTTATTGTTACAGTGCTAGAGTAAAATAAAACAGTAGACTTCATTTACGATGGAGATTTATGGATTATAATGCTACCACTCTTTGCTTTCCTTCGATTAATACCGTGTGGGGCTTATGGTGAATATCTTTATCAATTATTTTTCAATGTTTCATCAATATTGTTCTATGTTTATCAGAAGTTTAATAGGTTTAATAAGCTCTGGCAATTGTTGAAGAAAATGAAATCTTGTGTTCAAATCTGTGCTCTGAAATGTGATATGAAACTAGAGGGGGTAGTTTAATCGTGTTAGTGGAAAATAGAATACCGATTGTACTTTACATCATTGTTGTTTAATAAAAAAATCCTGCTTCCAATAGACAATGATACTTTGATCTCAACGTGGAATCCAAGATACATTTGGCTGCCACGAAACTTAATAACAGAAAGAAATAATAATAAAATGGTACGATAAGGGGTTGAAAGTGATCTACGAGGATGGGTCGAAATGTTTTCTTTTCATTTCATTAAAGAAAATAAACGAGTTACCATTTTTATTCAACTAAATTATACAAAATATGAAAGCTTTATTTATACAGAGATAATAGTGAAAAATTAATTAAAAGAATCAGAAAAGGACAGAGCATTTCAACTCACCCTCGTACATTTCTCCACAAACGACGATTCTATAAAATAAATGTAAATAATTTTTACCGGAAGTCCTTGGAATCACGTCACCAGGCCAATACCCTGTTATAAAGGGGAGAAAAAAAAAAAAATAAAAAAAGATAGCACATATTGCAAGTTCTTATACTGTTACTTATATACATACATACATATATATTCTATATATATATTCTATATATATGTATTTTGCTAATAAAATATTAATTTTACACTTAAGGCTTATGCTAAACGTACACTCACATGGGTGGGGGAGGGGGTTGTCAATAAAGCGGGGTTAAAAAAAGAAGATTGCGTGTTTGGAAAGACAATGTTTCCTATAGAAAATGTACTCCATAACAGTTTCGTGCACGTGGTTTGTCACCAATTGAATTTCATTGGCACGAAATGTCGAGGAGATTCAAGCTGGATTTTGCAAACCTCATTTAAATCGTACATTATTTTATAGACTATATTGTTCCTATCTTTTACAAACACGAATTGAAAATATTACGATTATTTATTTAACGAGAATTTATCTTTTCCGTTGTTACGATGATCTCGTGTTTCAATCGATTTTGGCTCACATAAATTTTTACACTAATTAAATATAAATAGTCTTAATGAACAGCGGGATATACCAAACGCCGTGAAAATAATAGACGAAATTTGGCAAAAAATGAAACTGGCGGGACTTTGCGAGGGAAATGCAGCCTCGTTGAGATGAAAATGGTCGAAGAGAAAGAAAAAATTCTTTTATTTCTCCTTTTTATAAATTTATACGCTTCAAGGGTTGCAGGGAAAATGATGGAAGATTTTCATTCGCGCGGGTAGTGCCTTCGACTGAAATGTATCTTCAACACTCGCCAGTTAGTTCTTCGGTTCTTCTAATTCTGCTCTGGATTTAAAAAAGGTGCCTGACTGAAAAAAAAAATACCAATTTCGAGCATTTTTTCACTCGAGCGATCAATGCTTCCAGTGGTATGAAACCATAGAAACATGGCATCAATTTCATAATATAATTAACGAACTAACACTGATTTCCAAGTTTCAATTATTTTATGTTATCGCCGTATATTCGTGATTTCAAACCACTGTAAAGCTTCACGAGACAGAACTGACGAAAAATCCGCAGAGAAACGTTTAAAGACTATCATAGCTGTATTAATCGATAACGAGAAACACGCCACCTAATTAATTTCCAATAAATAATAAAAAAACGTATTTATTCACAGCGAACTCGCCGTGTCCTTTAAATAAAACAACCAGGCGATTAAATTCGGTCATTTTCGCTAGAATGGAGGATAAACCGATGTATTTTTTCAGATATAGACGAGCACTTAGACAATGATAGATAGTGGTTTCTTACCGATCTGAACGTACGACGATCTTTTTTGCATAATACACGATTTAAAAAATTGGAGAAAAAAAATAAAAAATAAAAAAATAAACGACGTCGAGCAGACTTCGACCATGTAAATAACGGTATACATATATTAGCGTAATGAGCAATATACATAAAATAATAATATAGAAAGGTGAAAAATACGTGCGCGAGGAGCAATTGTGTATGCGTGTGTGTGATTGAATACACGGAGAAAGCAAAATGAAAAAAAAAAAATATAGATATATATATATATATTATATATATATATAATATAATTTACATATTATAGATGTAGTATATTTGCCTAGGGACGTACGCGAAATTAAGGGTGAAAATTGTGGTGAAGAGAGGTGTCGTGTGAACGATCTCCGGATCCTGTATGAATAGTAAGGTTGTAACGTTTGTGAATGTATAAAATAAAACAAAAGAAAAAAAAAGGACAAAAAAACCGGACTGCAAAAGAAAGTATCGCGTCGATTTATTTATTTCTCTATTCATTTTGTAGAATAGAGGCAAGTGCAATGGAATATGGTCGAATTTCTTTTTTTAGTGTAAGAGACGGGGGAGGGTAACTACGCTTGTAATTTCTCGACCGGAACTACCGTGGGCCATGTGGCAACGTACAACTCCGCTCGTAACCATAAAGCTTGGAAACATTGCCAGCAGATACAATTTAACATTCTGCCTCTCTTTGCCCGAGTAACCATTTACCATCGCCGCAGGACACAGGAATAACACCCGTTTCCTATTTCGATTTTTTTTTCTTTTTTTTTTTTTTCATTTTAATTACATCACGAGTTACGAATTTTTAGTAGTGAAAGGAAAATAGGATAGGATAACGAGTTCTCGCGGCTTCGTTATAATACAAATAAATACAAGTCCTTTATTTTCTTACGCTCTTAATTACACTATTTCTTTTGTCTATCTTCCAGCCAGTCGAACTAGTCTTAAAAACGTGAATCCTCCGGATACTGTCTTGATTTCTCAAGGTAGCTGTGTAATTGACGACCCAGTCTAGGGGATGGTGTCCATGGTACTCGACGTCCTAGACGAGGCGCGAAAAGGGGTGGAAGCAATTGTTCTTCGGCGTACAATTCCTCTTGATCATTCGGGTAAGCGTAGGAGAAGAATTCCTCTCCCGATTCTCTTCCCAACCGAGGAGTGAATTGAGTCGGTTGCCTCTTCTCGCCTCCTGCAAAGAAATTAACAGAATTTCTAATTAGACGTTGTAAAAAATATTAGCCGGATCTCACGTATTCGAGGAAAACACGATCGAGACTAAACACATAAATGTTTAACCGGTCGGCAAAAATACCTGGAATCGTGATGACCGCCCAACGGGAGCCATCGAGGATGTTCGCGAGAGTCTCGAGATTCGGATCGGTTTCCAACTTCCTGTCGGCTCTTCGTCGTCGCCCTAATCGCGGACCGAACCACATGCCACCACTGCTGATTTCCTGTGTCGTGCGTTTTATACACTTGCCGTCGGTGCACGAGCCAAACTCGTTACCCGGTGTTCTGTCATTGCTAACGCTGCTCGGTGATTCTCTACCTTCTAATTAAAATTATCGTTCGGTGTAAGGCAATGCCGTGATTTTTCAGAATAATTATTTATTTAACTTCTAAACCGGTGAAAGCCTTTTTATTTTAATAATATTTTGAATTAAAAGGACGTACCGTATTCGCCGGAAGTGGATGACACCACGCATAGGAGGCAAAGCAGGGCGCAAATGGTGGTGGCGCGATGGGGTGAAATCACAACGGAACCGATCATCTCTCGCTGAAATGCACCGTATCAAGAGACTTGTCGCCGAATGATGTCGATACAGTGGCGATGCACAGGTTTTATAGGGTCGCAGAAGCTACCCTTCTTCGGGGGTTGCTTACGTTCCCGTTTCTTTCTCTGTTCTTCCACTTAATTCTCTCCCTTTTCTCTTCGTTCGATTTCAATTCGAACGCAAACATCCAACCCCGCTGGGGACAATCTTGACGTCCCACGAAGCGATTCGTCTCAATTTCAATCGTGATCCACGCTCTTCCATACTTAATGAGTAGAGGTATGCGTCCTGCAAAACCACCCCTGACGCCTCTGCAAGCCGGAAACGTTTCTACGCTTTCCATTCATTGACTCGACTGGGATTTCACCGCCATTTGTTTCCACATTTCCCTTTGTTTCTCTTATTTTTCTCTTTTTCTCGTTGGAGGGCTAAATAACGTTCCTAGGCCTAATATAGTAAGAATTTCAAATAGTCCTTTCAACGATGAGATATTTTGGTAATTTCGTTATTTTTCATAAATTCTCAAGTAAAAGGTGATTTTCTTAAAATTAAACCGTTGATTGGCGATCAATGATTTTACAAAATTGAAAACAAAAACGAATGCCTGGCAAATGACTTGCAATGTTCAACATAGGAGCAAAAATAAAGTTGATTCTGGAAGCGAGAATCGACGGATCACCCTCGGTTTCCTATCGTATGAAACTCAGGAGGGTTCCGTCGGGACAATCTGTTCTCGATTAAGCTTGTCAATTAACCAATTCAATTTCGGGATCGACGAGATGGTGGCGCGTTGAATATCGACCGTTTCCTCTATAAAAGCTCGATTGTTCCCGTTGATCGAGGCATTTATTGCCCGATCGCCGAGCCACGCGTGTCGTTTGAAATAATTATAAATTACCCAGGATATACCTAAAATTGTTTGTTATACCTAAAAGCATTCGCGTCACAACAAGTGTTCCGTTCGATATTTGCGAGACAGTAAATTCGAGCAGAAGACGCGAACCATCTACCATTGAACAGCATTGTTTACCAAAGCGCAGTAGTTTCGAAGGATAAACAATTCGATGGAAGATTTGTAGCATTCCTCGCTTACGTTTCCTCATTTTCTCTACGATTTCATTTACGAGTAGCAGGGTTTGTTCTTTGATTGCCGTTGGTTCAATTAAGGAAGGCAGACACATGCGAGAGAAGGGACAGTTTTTCATAACCAGGCCAAGTGGCCGAGTTATTGCTCTGTACTTAGACCTTCGATACTTGTCAAAGCAAACAAACGCTCGCTTCATACTTTTTTTTTTTTTCTCTTTCTTTACTTGCGTTCAACACATTTCGAACTCGCTATTACACGCTGTTCCCTAGAATTAATGTCTTCAAAATATTCCCACGTAAAGAAATCTTTTTCCTTCTCGTTTACTTAATCAGATCCAGATGCAGGTTGAAAATTCATTTCATTTCCAAATTCACCAAACAACATTACCAAAGATTAAGTTACAGGCAATAAAGCATTACCGTTTAATCTTGATCTACACCGATGATGGTGATCGATCGTATCAAACTCATGGCTACCATCAATTTCTATTTCTCCCTCTGCCCTATCTTTCCTTCCATCTTACAGCCATAAGGACAATCTTTCTAATGTAGCTAATATTTTTAACAAGGAAGCAACGATCTCTTCGTTGCTACCGAGAATAACCGAGTTCCTTAGGTGGCGAGGAGTGTTTATATCGTCGATTTGGGGTTGGGAGGTGTTCTGGGCTTCGTCAAGGGAAGAGTTTACAAAGCGGTAGCGATTTACCTTCTCGTGTTTAACACCTTCTAGCTGGATACCACGTGCCATGTTTCCTTAACCCTTTCATTATTCTTTTTTTGAAGAATGACTCAATTCTCGTGAATCGATCAAACGAAGTAATTAAAAAAGAAAAAATTTATCTCCTTCGGCAGAGATGTTGTTGAAGCGACGGTAAGCCGAAGGCCAATACCAGCAAACCGATTGATGACTGTTTGTTTATTGGAATGTACGTCGAGTGGTACTATATTATAGTTACGTAAATACGCATTTGCGTCTTATACACTTCAGTCAATTTCTTGGACCGTTTCGAACGTGAATTTTCTCAAAGGAAACGAGACTAATAAGATGTTAAGCTAATTTACAATAAACAATGTAGAGTATGTCGTCAGCGTGAAGTTATCGGCTGGATTAAACAATGGAAGAGATGTCTTCGAAAGGTACCGCAAATATTTAGTCTCGATCGATCGTCGAACGAGTAACTGTTTATTTTACACTCGGCTAAGCGATCTAGAGGATCATTGAAGACGCGAATGACAGTTCGATGATGTAAGAAATAGTTTTTTTTTTCTTTTTTTCAACGATCCACTATCTGAGAATTAAAATTGTAACATATCATTCGAATAAATGGCTAAGTGGCTTCGATAGGATCACGCGGGAGTCAAAAGCGTCTTCTTCTTTTTCGATGAACGTATCAGGGAGAGGCGAGGATTAAGAGATCAAGTACCGGCGCCAGGATATCCAGGAAATCCGAAACCGTCGCCGTTCAACAATGCTTTCTCAGCATGTAGCTAAGGAAAACACGTTTTCCACGGAATGGGAAAACCTTGAGGGACGGAAAAAGAAATCTGCGCCTGTTAAACTGTTTACGAACTTCCGATTTCGAAGAAAAATAAAAATCATTCGATTCGGTGAAGAATTGTTTGGAGAAGGGTGAAAGAAAAATTGGAGAATTTAAGTTACGATAATCCATTTATTGCTAGTGACTTTTCATACCTCGCTGACGGTACTTTATACAAAAGTTTACAGGCAATTAAACCCAATTGATTAAAAAAAAATTAATTAGAACAGGTAGAAATTGAAATACGAAGAGTTTTATCTTGTCAAGTTAGAATGGAATGAATTTTAATGATAATGAATTTAATATTGCACTGAAATAATCAAGGAAGTAGTCCTACCAGTTACGTAATTAATTACACTCCTTCATCCCTTATTTTTCATAGGTTAATGGATATACATCCTGTACTTTAATTAGCTCCCTGCATTTCTTCTAATTATTAGAATTTTGAAAAAATTAAATGAAACATTTACTCACCATAATCGATGAATAGAAACGAAGATAATGCAGAGGACTAATTAATTCTAATTATCAACTAAGAAACAAGACACTTCTATTTACACATGTAACTCGTAAACGCGTATTTACAGAACGATCACTTATCGCTTTTTTTTTTTTTTTTTACATCTACTCTATCGACATCGAATCGTTGCAAAAACATGGGTGGAATAGATAGACAGAAATCTATGATTTTATTGCATTTGGTTGGTATTTGATTCCTGTTTCAATTCGAGGGCCCACATATGTTGCGGCCATCCGGTTCTTCCTTTACTCTTCGACGATTCCTCCGAGCCGAGACTCGACGCGGCGTGCAAACACGACTCGTTCTGCAATCAAAAATAACAATACTTTACTGTAATAATTATTCGAACGTTTAATAATCAGTAGAACAGAAATGGGAAACTTTGGGAGAAGGTTTACGACCTTAGAAGGGAAGAAAATACAGCGTGGGTGGCAGGAAAACAGGGAAAACCACAAACTACAGGGTCCGATGGAAACGCGTGTCCCTAAAATGAAATTTGAAATAATCATCCGAAAACCTGCGGTACCTGGCGATCTAACCGCGATCCATTTCCTCCCTTGTCCATTAAATTCCTCCTCGATTTTCTTGAACGTACGTCTTTAAATAGAGGATTGTTCATTCTACGATTACTCCAAGTTTTCAAATAGTTTTGAGAATAAATTTCTAATCAGTAACATTTTGACAATTCGAGTCCTCCCTTCGGATTTATTCGTGTTTCCCTTCAATTTCTCAGCTCCACGTGTCGGAGTGAAACTAAAATCTGGTACGACGACGATAAAAAACGTTTTTCTGTCACAACACGACGGGGACAAATCAAGAATTCACAAGCACGCGAACGGTACAAGAGATTTTTCTCTTCTCCCTCGCTCTTCAACAACTTCGTGGTACGATGACGAGTTTAAGGTCGAGTTTTTAAGAGTCGAAGAACGAGGCCCAATTAAAAAGAGCGATGTTTACTCGATGGCAACGCTTAAGAAAGTGTTCCGGGAGAGATTTAGAGTGCATTCGTTCTTCAGTTATTTTCTTATAAAAATTTTAAAGACCTTGTTTTTTATTTTATACACTATTCATACTTGTCGTTCGATTTCTGAAAATTTCACCAACCTGATTTCCTTGAGCCGTTTTGTTCCTCCTTCCGTTCGACAGAATTTCCGCTCTGAATGTCTGCGGTTCCTCTCCCTCGTCGCTCTCGAGTACCGCCATAAGATACCCGATGTACGAGGCTGCCAGCCTTAACGTCTTAATCTTCGATAATTTCGTGTCAGCAGGAACGTTCGGTATGCAATCACGGAGATCGGCAAACGCGTTGTTTATACTCTGCGTTCGTCTTCGTTCTTTCTTGTTAGCTGTGTTCCTTCTTTTGGGTCTGATCACGACACCACCCTCTCTTGTCCCTTGTCTCAAATGTTGTTGAAGAGAAACATCCACCTGATTAATCGAGGTGATCGTTGAATAATTGCTGTCTCTTCGATGATTTTGTGGCTGTTGTTGCTGATGATGATGGTGGTGATGGAGATGATGGGGAAGCTCTTGTTGAGGTGGATACATTAGATTCGAGTAGTGTTGGTTGATGGAAGGGTGAGAGTATTGTTGCAAAGGGGAGTAACTGGTCTCTTGGACACCAATTTCTTCGATCAAGGGTGGCGTAGAGGCGGTGGGACTTCCCGCGCCGGAACTACCCCCGGAGATCCCGGAATCCGCACCCCAGTACGTTGATTGGCTGTCCGCGTCGGGAACGTTCAATGGACCTGGATTCAGAAATGGTTGCTTTTCGATTCGATTCCTTTTGTCCCTACTAATTTACTTTAATTAACATTCAGACTAATTTTACTGTAATATGGAAATAAGCTGTGAGAAGCGTCGGGTCGGTGAGTCAATCCTTTTCCCCGGTTTAAAGAATAATAATCATGTTTTAAAAGAATCATCAAATACCACTTACCATATGGTAATTGTGTGACATAATTGTAGGGCTGATGCCACTGCGGATAATAATCCGGTTGCGTCTCGTAACCCCCCAGCATTGCACCCTCTTTCCACACAAACTTTCACTAGAGAATCCACCAATAGAACTATTTAATTTCGTATAAAGTAAACACTAATTTGTCACACCGTTCACCGTTCACCTTCCTCATAGAATATTCCTAAAATTCACCGCGACACCCAATGACCGAGTAACAACCCTTTGTTATTCGAATGGCTGCAGTGTCAGCGGAGAAAAATCAGCGAGGTCACGAGGGATGCAAGAGACATGCGTTTCCGGATGCAGTCCAAGTGCCACTGAGAAGAAGGGAGATTTGGGTGACGCGCACCCACAGCATGCGTTAGCTGCCTGCGTTATCCAATGTAGTGGGTGTAGACACGAACGAGAGGATCGCGTAGCCAAGCAGAAAGGCGGAGCTTCGTTTCGTTTACGCCCATGCGGACTTTTTCGATTCAATTAGTAAATTGAAAGGGGATTCAGCGGAGGGACATGATTTAGGATACCACCATCGGAACTTCCACGTCCTATTCGCGATTCTGTCGGTATCAATCGTGCAACTATAATTTCTTCTTTTTATTCTTTTTTTTTATTTTATTTTAAAAAGGATACCAGGCCCCTTTCAATTCCCTTCACTTCCGATTAAATTATTGAAGAAAAGACTCTGAATTTCACCGAAGTGTATTCTATTTTAAATTCGTGGCGGGCTTTTAATCTGAAGCATCGAGCCTTAGTTAGTCGAGTGGCTTTCGATAAAGGTCGCTCCTTCCACGAGCGCCGTAATTAGCGGCAAAAACGGCTGAAAATAGTATCGGTCAGCGTACGAAGCTCGCTTTCAAGCCAACTTACATGCGTAAGTGGCTTTATCTCCCTTTTTCCCAGGGCGATGCTTCTCTAAATGACAAAAAACCATCTTTCTGTCACAATTGATTACCGTCAACACCATCGTCCATCAGCTTCTTCGTCGACTCGGTGTCTAACGAATTAAAAATTCTATCTTCCAAGATAGGAGTAAATTAATTCAATCAACCGGATGATCTAATTTCGTACCAGTGAAAATCTTTCATCTCGAAAGAGCAAAATTTTGTTTGAAACACGCTGCCAATACGAAAGGTTCAAAGTGAAGTTTAGGACGATAAAGATGATTTAAGGGTCATTTTCCGGGAAGGAGCATCTTTTTCGGTAGCGCCTGCCGTCTCTCAACCCCTTTTCAAACGCGATCAAAGGACTCTTCGATGACTCGGTGGCAGAAGAATGTTGCGTCGGTGTTCCTTGAAACGCGACACCCGTGTTCGAAATTTTTATTAACCCAGATCAGGGAACACCGTGTTCCCTTAACAACTACCCACTGTGTACTGTCGTTCAGGAAGAAAAAGGGTTTGTTTATTATTCCAGAGGCGAAGAGTAACCGTTTGTCTCTTCCTCTTCTTCCATTTCGATAAACTTTCTTCGAACCTTATAAATATTAATGTCGTTTTCACGCTGAAAACGGACGGTACGTTGTAAAATAATAAAGTTTCGAGGGGGAAAAAGTTTTGAATGGGAGAAAGTAAAGAGTATCCACGTGCATCCATAGTTGACGGTTTTTAAAGGGCTGTCAGATTTTCATGAATGAACCCGGGAAACGGACGTAGTAAGCAAGAGGAAAAGACGAGCGTCTAGTTTATGATATACAGAGTACACGTGTACGCAATGTCACTGTTTACATTTTCGATTTGTGACACCGGAACTGGCCACGGTTTTCTTCGTACCCCTTCCGAGGATTCTTCCTCCTCTACCTAATCTTCTTCCTCTAATTTCATTTCTAACAGTTTGACTTACGATAGTTCCTTCAGGTAGAATAATAACGATAGATCTGAAGGATGTTGACCTAAAACCGGTATTTTCATTCGATCATCTCAATTTTTGGTCACTGTTTTCTTGAAAATTAGGACCACACGGGAGTTCGAAGAATCATTTTTATAAAATATTCTTGGAATGTTGAATCAATAAAATTTCCAGATTTATACGATTACAACTTCCAAAGTATTTTACAATTTCACGCGGTTTATTTTATTGAATTTTAGAGTATATTTATTTGAGATTCGAGAGTTTACTTTGGGCTAAATGAACGCAAAGTACATTGGACGACCTCGTTTCCATTCGACACGAATCGCGAACGATTCGTGATACACAACAAGAGATACAGCAGATACATTACACGATTTACAGAAATCAGTTACACGAGACATGGATCAATAAACGTTAGATTTCAGCGTACAAGATTAACAGAATTCCAAATGATCGTCTTTCGTAGATTATAGGTAAGGAATAGAGAGAAGTTATTGATGAGAGATCTGAATTTTCCTAGCTCGACGAGTAATACCGTGTCTGTGTTGGTCTTTTCTATAGGAGTATCCATTAATACTCGGTAACGCAATAAACTATATTTAGGGGGCGGCATGGCGTACACGTAGTATGATTTGATATCTCCTGAAACGCCACATGGCCCCTCTGAATTTCTCTCTTCTATCCTCCTCTCTCATCTCTTCCAATCTTTACTTCCTCTCTCTTTATCCGACACTGGAACATCACCATTTACTCGTCTTACTTTTGCTCCTCTTTCAGAGATTAACTTTTAACGATTATCGATTTCTTTACAAATTAATCCGGATGCTTTCTAATTTCCTTTTCTTTAAAATTCAGAAGAAAGATGGAATCATATTTTAATAATGTCACTCATGGTAGATTTGAAGAAAAGGTAGTTCTTGAAAGATCGAGGTTTCGAATTAGTCGGACGGGAAGTTGAAGAAACCGGGGAAAATGAAGAAAGAAGAGAAGAGGAACCACGTGTCATCGCGGGGAAAATAAATAAATTCCGGTAGCTGCGCTACCGATAGAGCACAGAACACCGTCGTTCAACTCTTTGTTTACGTCTGCGGGTCTTTCCTGAAAAAAAATAGCCTACTTAACGACGGAAATAATAATTAGTGAACGGGTAAACCCCTATGAAACTCGAGGCCACGAGACTGGCACGCGTTTCATTAAGAAAAAAAATCTCCAAATCGATGATTAATCATTAGATTTTTAATTACCATTCTCGGTTTATTTTCTTGTTAAAAAGTTCGACCGAAAACGTCTGCCAGCTGAAACTTCTACGTACCTCTTGATCCTCTTATCACCGGAAGTCTGTTTAACCGCGATATCTATTAAGTAATAATCGCGACAGCTCCACACGAGTACTAATAGGAGGGTAAGAAAAAAAGGGAAGAAGGGAGAGCGTGCGTCGCATGGCTGTTTGCCGATAGAGAGGGGGGAAAATCCTGTCCAACCCCACGGTATCAGCCCCTGGAACACGATTCGGTGTCTGCTACTCGACTCGGGGGTGTAAAAGTGGCGAGGGGAGCATTTGGACACTCAGACGTTTCGAAACGCCGGCGCTTTTACGGTGGTGGGATGCAATCCAGAACACCTTCTTTCTAATCACCCTCTAATCGCTTCTGTCTGTTTGTGGGAAACCGCACCGCACCCTTCTCCCTCCCCTTCTACCCTTACGATTGACGAATGCACTTTAATTTCTCTCTTCTTCGTGCTATTGTCGTATGATTACTTTAATTCAATTTGCTAATTGATTATGTTAATTATACAACGATTTAGATACTAAAATTTTTTAGTAATTAAAAAGATGACACCTCCTTCGGTTTCTTCGGTGACATTACACAAGTACTCGATGAAAATTCCCTGGACGTGGAAATTGTGACGGAAAAGCACCGTTCTCTGGAAAGGCGTGGTAATCGGTCGCCTGGCATCAAAGGGAAGAAATTAGTCGCGTTTAGAAGTGGTTGCTCGATCGCGCGGCGTTCTCTTTGACAACGTTTTCAGCTCTGTCAAGAAGTTTCTGCGACCAGACCGCCGACCAACCACTCGACCAATCACTTTCTTCGCTATCTACCAGAAGAACCAGAAAAAATATGAATGAGAAAAAATGAAAGATCAAGAGTAATAGTGTACCTCTACAGGGAAGAATTCTTGAAGAGGGCAGAAAAAATGGAATATCCTGAAGCAATCTCCATATTTTTCACTCTTGCCATGCTGTCTGACAAGTAAGATTACAGAATTTTTACTTAAAATGCTATTAATACCTACGACCGATAAATAATTAGCATTAACACGTGTATCGGGTCTGGCGACAATCGGGTATAGAACCAGACGCCTATGCTTATCGCCAACAATTTACTACACCTTTTTTTCCCTCATCAACTTCTCGTAACTTCGTAATATACATTTATGAGTGTGACTCACTCGATTAGCATCCTTCGATGATGATACATCGTTTAATTCATCACTTTAAATTACAGATATTAAAATAACGACGCTTAATAGTCAGAGGTGTAATTTGCAAAATTTTCAATTAAAATGATTAATTGGGTAATTAATTAGCGCGGCGAGCAGCACGTGTGGTCGAAAACAGGAAAACAGGTGGCAACTTTGGTATTTATGCGACAGGTTGTCCCGGTCAGAGAAACGTCCCATGGGATTGTTACCGTTTAGGGTGAATCCCTTTGGCGGTAAAGGATATTCCCGGACGTTCCTTCAACTCTGCTCGTAACACTCCGTACACGACAATTAATTCTAGCGGGCCGGAAACTGTAAATATTAAAGTTTATACTCCTTCATTTCCGTACCATTGATCTCATTAATTATGCTTGATATTCTTATTTTTCTGTTTGATTTATAATCCTTTGTGTAAAAAAATGTAGTAGCCATTTTGAAGGTAACGGGTGAAGAAGAGTCGGTAAAAGCTGAAAAAGAATAAGAAGAAGCTTGTCGAGAAGGGAAAGAAGTGGATGGTTACGCCCTTGTCTCAAATTACTTAGGACGGAGGTCGTAGCAGTAGTGGGCGTCGATCGGTAGGATCTCTTACATGAAATTCGATACCGATTTTTTTCCTCTAAATGCCACGCAAAATTTTTACTGTAACTTGTTCATCTTCCTATTTCTGCATCTAAAGAACTTCCAACCCCTCGAATCCCTCTGACTGCAGATGTGAAAGAGGATAAGAATGATGCGAACGTTGAAGAGAGTAGTTGACCTTCGAAATTTCACTGGCGCCAGCCACACTCGTCTAGAATCTTGTCGTTCAGAAATTTACGAGTTTTCCCTTTACTTTCGGAGAGAGAATAATCGCTGACGTAGGTAGCCGAAAAGTTTCGTCCCTCATGTGCAACCACTTGAGATTCTTTCTTTCCTTTTTTATTACTGCCTCTTCGTATTTCACACTCGTACCAACTCCTCAATTTGTCCTCTTCTCCTCTCATCTTCTTTATTACGATGAAATCGAAGTTCATTGAACGAGGCTGCTTCGAACTCCTCTTCGTTTCACACGAAAGCTTGATGGAACAATTTCTCTGTTGGTAACGCACCTTGCTTCCGGTTCGGCGTCTCCAGTTTCAAGGACACCGTAGGTCCGATCCCGTTGGACGTTCTCCGATTTCTAGGACACCGATCCCGTGTCCTGGACGATTTTTTTTTTTTCGCGATATCGACGGGGAGGGAGGATGAGACTGGCGCCGACCACCCTCGACGTTTCTCTTTTCTTCTGTCAACGAAAGAAACGTCTTCCATAGAGGAAGAACGCGTGTCGCGCGCCACCGTGGAAGACAAGTAACGCAATAAAACGTAACCGGACCTCTGCGACACAATGCACCGAGTTGGCTGCATCTGTTCGACGTTAGCTACCCCGGTCACAATGCACCACCCTTGCAATCGTCTCAACCCAACGAAGGAAACACGGTTCCTCTTTGTATCTGGTACGCACGTGCATGCTTTTCACGATGGGGACCTTGAAAAAATCTGCGAGACACTCTTTAATTGGATAGAGATGTATTTTCTACTAGGACTTGCCTTTTTTTTTAAAAGAAACTCAGAATAAATTTTAGGTAAATTAACTTGTCGATGAATCAGATGCAATTCAGGAGGATCGTTCTGTGTATTCAGAAAAATCACCCCAAGAGATTGATATGTTCTTCATAATCTCATAAATGACGTTCGTGGAACGCATTTAGTTATTGGCGAAGAACGAACAGCGAATCGTGATTGCGTAAATTGGGGTGTCGTTTGAAGAAGGACTTACGACACCCCGTGGCGACAAACACAGAGAATAGATTTCAGCCGGTGGTCGACATCTGCGAGCCCACCGTTTTTCCGCAATGAAAACGTAACGGAGCACTGTTCCTCCGTTCTATTGTCTTCTGGATTTATTTATGTGCCTTTTTTTCCACGCGTTATTAGCATGCACAATGAACCGGTGAACGGAGTTTAACCATATTCATTGAAAATGGAATATTCATATTTCATCTTCTTCCATTTATACGATTTTTGAATTGCAATTTTGAAGGTTCAAGGAGGAGCATATTTTTTTTTTACAAATGTTAAAGGTTGAAGTGTACTTGACCATAGTTGTTCGTGAAAATATTGGCTCTATTTTCCCACGGCAGGGAGAGGGTCCCAAGGGCGTTTTAAGCACGTGTTGCTACTGCACTTGCAACCCTTCGAACGCCGCCATCCCTCTGTTAAATAGTGTCATCGAATTCCCACATATCAGCCAGTGTTTTGGCAATCTTTCCTAACATTTCAAGTCACCCCTACTCAATTTTCATTTTCCAATCTATTAATGGGTGGTAAAAGTTGCCCCCTGATATTAAAAAATGGTGAGAAAAATTTATTCTTAACGCAAAGGGAAAGATTCCACTTAATTTGAAGTGACAGTGACAACATAAACCCACATCCGAAATAAGGAGAAAAAGGGTTTCACTGGAATTTTAGGAAAATCAATTTCCCGAAAGAGCCCTTTTCCCCAATTGTATCGATTACTTCCACGGACAAAAACAAACGGTCTATTCTCTTTTCAGTTTGCTGTTAGTCCCTCTCAATGTAACTTTTTGGAAAAGAGAAATACATACAGGGTACACGTGTTAAGGGTAAAAACACCGGCCTAAATAAACTGTGAAACCAACCAACAGTGGTTAACGAGAAATTATATGATAAGGGATATTAAAGAATAAACAGCTTTATTGATTGTATAATTTATCTCTGTTTTTTTTTTTTTTTTTTGTAAAACGGAATATTGATTCGCAATTCAAGGAAAAAACATTTCGCGTTATAAAATGTACTACTGGATAATTACAATTATATAGATAGTATATAATTATGAGAACAATCGGTGTTATAAAAAAGTTCGTGTCCAAGCAATAATAAAATTAATTATACAACTATCGTATACTTGACAAGATCCAATGATCTCTGTAAGTTTCAATTCCCCAGCTTCAGAATTGATTACTCTATGATTAAAGGAAATTTATAATACTGTACTTCGTATTAACTAAGTTCGTGGTAAAAAATTAAAATATTTGTTGCATAAATATTGAATAATGGATTTTTCTTATTACAAAGTTGTACGAGGTGTTCGACTAGGGATGATTTTAAACAACTTTTTCCTTTATCAAAATGCTCGCTAAAGTTTCGTTTTTGAATTATGAATTAAATACACCGCGCAACGAGTGCGCGCATTGCGCAGGCGCAGCCGCCGCAGTGTCGGCTTCGAACCGACGCGCAGTAGAGTCAGTTTGTTCGCGACCTCGGTCGAGCGCGGTTCTCGTAACCTTCACTCACGCGGTCGAGCCTGCGCACTATATACGCTCCAATTCGGTGGTGTCTTTCATTAATAACTTAAAAACTAAGCCTCGGCAAGTGTTTTGGTGAAAGAAGAAGTTGTCCAGGATCACTTCAGCTACAACCCTCCCAAGGGATGCTCATCCAGCCGAACACCCTGTACATCTAAATCTTAAAGCAACCACAACCATGTACGTACAAGACCACCATTTTTTATCGTTATACAAAATTGTCGATAGTAAGGAAAACTTCCGAAGCCGTACCCACATTATAAACAAATAGAAACATGTCATTTATGAATAGTAATCACACATTTTATTAATTCCTCACTGAATAAGACTAGTAATGACAGTAATTACGGTTTGTACAACATTTATATCGATTCGATAAAATATTCGAATTTCGGTAATTCGTTAAATTAGGTTAGGTTAGGTTAGATCACAATTAAATCAGTTAAAATATGCTCTCACATGCGCTCACTATGCCTAACCTAACCTACGTCAATATTATGCTATAATGTGGGTACAACTTTTACCCGATGGTATTATTAGTAGGAAGAATTACGCAACGTTAACAGCCAATTTGATATTTTAATTAAAATTGTAGAATTTGCATTAAAATTTAAAATACTTCGATTGAATTTATATTAAAGTCTCTACTCATTGTTGCCAATCTAAGCTACCAATAACAATGAAAAACAACAATACTTCTTTCATAACACATGGAATGCATCTCTCAAGGCACCGTATTTTAATTACACTTTAATTCGATATCATCAACGGTCTCACAGCTTATTTGTACCTTTATTTCCTAACTGTAATAATTATGCGTTCTCATTAAGTTATTATAAACGTCGATGGATCAACATCGACTACGTATACAGGGCAGGATTGAAATTTTGTTACAATAATTCTTCTCATTATTGGATCAAAAATTCCATCCCTTGTAATTGGTCCCCTATGGACAGACGTCAGGATATTCTCTTTATAAATGGTGTCTTTAAACTACATAATAGTACAACTGATAATATATTGATTAAATAGTAAACGTAAAAAGATATTTACATCGTAGCTTTAAGTTCATCACCAAGTTATCTCGTTTCCCAAAACGTCACATCCGTAAAGGATTGTACTGTGGACAGATGAAAAGTTTGAACGTCTAAAAAGACTTGAACTTTTCATCTGTGCACAATTTACCTTGATACTCAACATCAACAACCGCGCCAAGTAAATATATATAGCAGTAACTCAACGATACAGTCAATTACCAACGCAAAGAATCCTTGGACCGATAATAACAAATCATTCCAACGAATCAACAACCTATTTCTGCCTCGTTCTTCAATGTCTTTTCCAATTGAACGAATACTTGACCTGCAAGTATGTTCAATTTCGATCAGCGTATCCCTCGATCAACTTACGTTCACCGTTTCCGAGTGTCTAGATCTGTCTTTCCTCGACAGATCATCACTGATGATCGAATTATAACTCCGATCCAGTCTATTTTCATCATTTCCCAGTTTCAGGGAATCGTCAGAGTCCGAATCGAAACCGTTATTTTGATGAATGTTCCGAATTTTCGGCCAGGTGTTGTTCTTCGATTCACCGGTCACGAATATGAAAGAGCACTTGTCCTCGCGGTCGTGTTTCAAATCCTCCGAACAATTGGTGTCGAAGATACCTTGTTGATAATTAACGTTCCCAGCGGAATCGTATACGCTCTCGTTACTAGAATCATTCGAATCAAAGCTAGTTTGTGATATGGTGGCTGACGATTCTTCGGTAGATCGATAGATCTCTTTGCTCGAGTCCAGTGAACCGAAAATCTGTTCTTGATTCGTTTTGCAGCCCAGTTTCGATTGCCTTTTTATGTAGAAAAGGAAGGTGCGATCTAGGGTCATGAACGGCATCTCGAAGCAGAGGGTCCAGACTGCTGATAAAAGCAAAGTCAGGCAGAGGTTGCTGAAGAAACTGCGGAGCTGAATAAAATTTTTCCCATTTAGATTATTGGAATTTCTTAATGATTCTTTTGTAAATAATTAGTACTTACGATTCCCATTGTCGAAAGAATGCCAGTGGTTCGAACTGACCCGGCCTCTGTCAAGAGAAACACATAGTGACAAAGGTAGGCAGTGTAGGTAAGCTTACTGAAGGGCACCCATCCCTTCCAAGATAGCAATTGACCTACGATACCTATTAAATAGAAACATGATTATATTACTAGGACAAAATTTTAATTATGAAAATGAACTGTGAATTCTCGTACGTACCGGCATATCCATGAACGCTACAAAAGATGATCCACGAAACAGACAATGCAAATATTTGCCTGTGAAATCCTGCATAGAAACTTGCCTCCAGTCTGTCGTAAGGATGATCATCGTAATACATCCATCGAGGGAAAACAATGACGAACAATCCGGAAAAGACTGCGACCAACCAACCAAAAATCACATACATCTAAAGAAGAATGAAATTTAAGTGAATTTAAGTCAGATTTAAAATGAGATTTGTATATGTACGAGGAAATACTTACACGGTGAATTTTCAAAACTCTCAATCGGTATTTGTATAAAATATAACCGACAGCCAATCCAATGATGTAAGAGCCGTATCTACTGTAAACCTTTGTGTAAATTTGTACGTAAACATCCGCCACAGCCTGGATACTGATAAAAAAATAAAAATAGAACGATTAGTACAGACGATATGCAATTTGTTTGCTTAACACTTTGATGGTAATTCTTTCATTTATTTCTGTTTAAAATACGTGGCCATCAAAGTGCTAAAATATTTTTAATGTCAAGCGAGTGCATGTTCGTGAAAAGGTAAATGGAATAGCAAGCAATGAATAAGCAGATTAGGCGAAGGATGTAGTGATAATTGATGAAATAAATCAGACGCAAATGTGGTGAAAGTAAAATACGGATAGAATGATAAGAAAAGATGATACTACGTAAATTATCTACACTCACTCCTTGTAATAGAGCATAGTTCCAGTGAGCTCGAGACTGAATGTTATTAAAAACGGTATAAGGATTGATGCAACTATGCCAAACGCGAACACTAGCCAGAAGAAGATTTTTCGCGTGAACTTGAGCATAGGGTACAAGAAAATCGGCGACAGCCAAACCAGTTGCATATCGGTTGCCAAATACCAAGACTGAGACATGCACTAAAAACAGAATTAAGAAACAAAGTAAAATTATTCAACAGAAATAGTGATACATGTGTACAGTAAATCATCCCAAAAGTTAAACAGTATTATAAATCATAAAAACAGTGGAGAACAGAGAATGGCAATGATAGAAAAATTAATTTAAATAAGCGAATTGAAAGAAGATTATGAGATTTCATAGCTCTGTCTGACTAATATCATTTATACTACTGCTGCTGCAGTAGTAATCAAGCTTTCTTAAGTAGTAATCACTACGAAAGCGCCGACTTGTCATACGAATCAGCCTCATTTTATTACACTTACCATTCTATCTAGATTAACGTAATTGTTCACGTAGAGTAGATTCGTCCACCAGTTTTCTCGACAATAATCCCTGTTAGCGCCAACCCATTGATCCCAATGTGGGCCAGAGCCAAATTTATAGAAGATAGTAGTGTAGAAACCGATCATCATAGCATATGCTGGTGTTAATCGTAGGTAACGATGAAGATATAGACCAATCACGTTGAATTGCCTTTTTATGTCCTTCTCGTTCTTCATCATTTCCGTGTATGCCATTAAGACTCCGCTTATGAGAAAGAACGTGTCGGTGACAATGTTTGCGTTTAGCACGAACATGTTGGCCCAGTTCGTGTGCATCTATCAAGGGAAAATATAGATACGTAAAGATATATAGATTGCAAGCTTCGAAATTTCTGAATTCTCAGTTTCCTCTTACCTGTGATATCTCGTTCAGGTTCATCTTAACACCGACAACCTCGGTGTAATGAGTGTGACCATAAATGATCCAGCAAATGCTGATGTAACGAAGTCCATCCAAACATTTGATCGAATCTGTACGCCTGTCCGTTTTCAATAGATTCTTTCCATTCGTGTAGATCGAGAACGAACTGAGAAGAATATCTTTCCTATCTGTATAAATATAATACTTGTTATAACATTTAACGTTTAAGCGTACCAAATATCGTTTTACTAAACCATTAACATCAGAAGAGATTATTTTGTAAAATAAATGAAAACGTTTGAATTGGAAATTTACGAAGATGCATGCAGGAAAAATTATGTATTATGTACCCGGTAGAATGTTCATTTACGTAAGAGAACAAACAACCCACCTCGGTTTAACGTACTCAAATGGCCTTGTTTAGCGATGTCGTAACTGGTGCTAGCGATAATTATCACCAGGAATATCGCGAGGACCGATCTGAAATTTCATATCAATCACGTTAACCAGTTTCGCACAAACGGATTATATAAATATTATAAATTTTTATAATTTATGGTTAAGTACATCGTAAAATATGATATTTCTAATTGAACAATTTCTATAAGATAAAGTGGCGATAGATTGAACCTTGCCCTCGAAGTTTCAAGTAAACAACTACGCATTCAGTATTGCAATCTGATAAATTTACTTACATATAAATCCTGTCGGTTACGTCAATAACAGGTTGATCCGTTTCTGCGGTCCGGCACGATACGTTTACAACCATGTCCACGCGATCCTCCACCTTCAAAGGGTCGAGGGCGAGCTCAAGGGCTTCTTGTATATCCGTGTGGTTGCAACTAGATGGAACACACCACATCCACTCGTAGAACACCGTACGACCAGATTTCCATTTTCCGTACCCCTGAATCGACGAAAGCCAAGTTTCTGAGATTGTTTGTTGGGGAAAATTAGGATAATTAAGAAAATGACCGCGATTCGAATGATGATATTCTTCGCGTCAATCGTAATTCCATGAAACGATGAAATAAAAATGATATTCCTACTTGGAACAAAAAATCATACGTTCTAAATACGTTTTTTTTTTCATCGCAAACAAATAAAAGCAAACGATAAAATTAGCAATCAGGAATGTTATTTTTATTGCCAAGTAATCTGTACCAGTTTCCTTTACGTGTATAATTATACGACGATTCAATTAATGAATTTCGTGTTAATGAAGTACAGATAGCAGGCAATAAACAAAACTAATCGTTACGAAGATGAACGTTAATTGGAAAAGGGAGATTTCGAGTGAAATATAAGTTGAAATTAGTTGATTTCTGGATTTTTGGATCAAAGATAAGCAATCTTGATGCGATACGCGTCGAATGACTCGGTAAAGATAATCATTAATAAGATCAGCCGATGATAATTTTTTCGAGCAATGACCGATAAAGTGTTCAATCGATTCGGGTTCAAGCACATTATCAGGAAGAAAAAAAGTCCCGTTATCATTTAATTTTCAAAATGTCTCTTTCTTTATCCTTTGCTCTTTTATCATTGCATTTATCACGTTTCAAAATAATTTATCTATCGCCTCACGATATAATGTTTCATGGTACCGATGATGTTAATTAGGTTAATGAATGAATTAATAGAGATTCACTCACCGACGCAATGGCAGCATTGACAAGGAGATCACCCATATCAGGCTCCCGTGGTTTACCATTGTCCTTAGCGATTTCGAAATTCACCTTGGCACTGCAGGCCTTTCCGGTGAATCCGTGTCCGCTTTTCACCAGCAAACACCCGTCGTAATTGCCTAGTTGCTGGTAATTGCCCGTGATTACACCCGGTGGAATTTTCACGGACGCGTCGTACACTGGAATTCAGAGGAAGATCTTTACACTCTTCTCCTTATTTTTTATCAATTACTAGCAATGAGAATAATTTTGAAATTTCAAATTCCGAGCTACCACAGTTGCATTATTAAAATATAAATTTCGAGTTAGCATTATTCTCATATTTCCATTAATTATTCGAGAGTCCCCCAGTCGATAATTGCAAAAGATTCGTGGAATCGGGTGATATGTTGGGAAAGGGTAGAAAAACGATTTCCATCGATATTTGAGGATCGCGGGATCCGCGAACACGTGCCGGTCTCTTTGGCATTTAATAATCGCTAGTGGTTTATCAGAAATCCACTGGAACCGGTTAACGTCAGGCGTCAAGGAGTTCTTCTGTCCTCAATCTTCTCGATGATTTTGAAAAAAAAAAAAAGAAAAAAGAAAGAAAGAGGAAAATTCTACTTTTACTGTGTAAACAACGAGGTGACTGAACTCGATTCACTCGTTCACACGTTCCCTATCGAGCGGGTCACCGATGGCCCACGGGGTTTAACTTTGTTCTTCGAAAATTAACGCGATATGGATTATGGTAAAAAATGAATCAACGATACTCTTCGTGAACTCAAATTCTTCGAATTTAGAGTTCAGTGTACTGATAAGATAAACGAATAATAAAAAACAACTATTCTTATGGTAAAACAGATGTCAATCATTAAACTTACGACCGAAAATTTTCCTCGTTCTCTTTTCCTCTTCTTATCATTTTCAATTCTTTACAAAATCATTTTATTATCTGTTTCATAATTTTCAATGGATTTTCGATTCATATTAATTATTGAATAAAACACATTTTTATTAGGCTGATTGTTAATCTCTTAAATGGGAATTAATTTTAATTAATAAGAATATCACACGGGAAAGAAAGAAAAATTTATCATGCTTTCACGGTTGCCATGTATATAACATCAGAAATCGAGTTTGTATCGCAATAATTTATCGAGGGCGACGTATTTAGGTGAACGAGAATCGCAATAAAAATTGAACGAGATGCAAAACGTGGGATGACCCGTGCGATACTGCGTACCTTGACTTCGAAACGTGATTGGAAATTAGCAAATATCGAATATACTATTTCCATTGTAAAACGTGATGCAAATATTAATATTTCATGAACTAAATAGGAAAAGATAGATGTTTGAAAAAATAGAATTGTTATAAATAGAAGGAATCGTCCACATCGATGTTGATTAGCGATACGATACGATAGTGCAGCGGCTCAATGTCGCTCGTTCAATGCACGCTGCAACTGCACATACGGAAGTGCACCACCGAGAGGCGCGAGATATAACAGGCGGATGGGAAGTGCGCGGTGAACTGCGTGAATTGTGAAACGGGTCGGCAGATAAGGGATTAATGGGGAAAAAAAGTAGCAGCCGTTGCGATAGCTCGGATTTTTCATTGATTCGAGATAGCTAGGATGCATTGGTAAACAATCAACCGATCTGGTACTTTGCTGATTCCGCTAGTTTCGCGGTTGGTACCCTGCGAAAGGAAGTGATCAACGATATCGTCGATTGGAAATATTATAACTCACCGGATGACCTAATATATCTATTTGACGAGGCGCATCGATACACGACCGCGGCCGTGTAAACACGATCGGTTACATAAACGCCGGCTTTGCTTCTAGATATTGCGCAAAACTGTAAACGTCAATAGTGCAAAACGCGAGAAACGAACAATGCGAAGAAATGATCTGTCGTTGAAAATTTTCAGTATCGACTGGCAACAGATCACGTCGTCATTATATCGTGGAAACGATTCGTGGAATCGGATGTCTTTTACCTCTCTCAGGACCTTGAGATCGTTGACTCGATAGGTCTGGGTTAGGTTAGATAATCTCAACTGTACACTGGTCGCAATTTTTATTGTTTCGTATTACACTCGTCAGATTTTTCTTTTACCGATCTCTAAGTGGCACGCGGCAAACAATTTCCTCGAGATCGTTTAACTGCGCCATCGATCAGGATGAAGGAAGCTGCCTTCTCCTACGCGCATCTAGCTTATATAATTCACAACCGCGTTAATATTCTCTCGAAATTCAGATAAGGTAAAAAATACGTGATCTCATGCAGGTTCATCGATTACAAGGCTTCTTTCTAAATCACAATTCGAAGATTAATGACATTCGTCTTCCTATGTTCTCTCGTTAAGCATTCAATTCTCGGCATTCTGTTTCGGAATAAAAATGTTGCATTCGACCAGCCTTGAACTGCACGCGATCACGCGTGCAGCTTGTTTCTCGATCTTTTTATTCCCGTTCCTTTTCAATCGGTTCCTGAATCCATCTCTGAATAAACGATTCGTGGAAATGAAAAAATACAAAGAAAGGATACCGCGTAAAAAACAAGGAGAAATCAGAAGATCGATGGGAATCTTTCGAGCACGTTGATCGGCACAATGGAAATCACTATCGTGACTCGTTCGAATTAAAATCGTCAAGGACATTTCGTCCATGTTAATAATACATCGAATAATTTAAGCAGGGAAAGTGAAATAACGTTACGAGAACGGTGCTTGTTTGCGATCAATGGAAAAAACAGTAACAATTGCGTTACGATGTATCATCGAAACGATAGTTATTTAGTTGTGGCGCCAGAAATTGATAAGAGGATGCAGAATCAGAAAGAAACACGTCAAAACGTTTGTCAGACTGCGGCGTTGCACATTGGATAACGATATCGAAATTAGCAAAAAAATCCGTTAAACCGACGTTAATGAATAGCATCGTTAGAATTAATGAAAGACTAAACGTCGACGATAATTTCACTGATTGTCATACACGGTGAACAAGTAACATTGAAATTAAACGGATATTCTTCGCTAATTTTCCCACCGTTTTACCATTTTTACCATTTCTTTTTCTTTTTCTGGTCTGGTGATCGGAAAGAGGAAAGATCGTTCGATCATCGATCAGCGAGCAAAAAGACCGACTTCGATACACAAGGACGGTCAACGGCACAGACGTTATTCCTTATTGACCCAGTTCGTGCCTGTCTCATGACGCACATACCGATACAACGCAACGGCGTGCATCGTACGAACTTTTCGCCTTTCGCGATTCACGTTTCTCGGTATCGTTATTTGTATCTGGCATTTCCTCGTCACCTCGGTATCAGTGTCATTTTCATTCGAATCAAGGAACGCGTGCGAAAGGACGATGGAAAATGTCAGATGAAATGTTGTTGCCAATACCTGGGGTGCTTGACCGGTTCTAGGAATTTCTTCCCTGTAATTTCCTGAAAGCTCCGCGGCAAGGTACGATTAATTGGAAATATCTCGAGGAAATGTTCAATCAATAGAGAATTATTGTTATTTATACTTTTCTGATAGTTTGTATAAATGTCTAACCCAAAGACCAAGGAGAACACCCGGCCTAGAATAATCAAAAGCCACCGAAATCGGCAGAATTGATATTCAAACAAAGATGAATAAAGCTTATTTCGTTGTAAAGTTTCGAAACGATTTGTCGAAACGCTAAGATAAATGAAAGGTCGTACGGTGGAAAAATGTGTCGAGATAAGAGGGTGTAGCTTAGAGTGGTGTGTTTTGTTGCATCTTACAAGTGCTGCTATTTGTTTTCAATCGAAGTTCTGGGGAAACCGACGCGACGTTATTCCTGGATATGATGAAAACGAAGATAAATGTACAAATAATAATTATTCAACTATGATAATGTTATTCAACGATTAGATTTCCTTGTTTATTTTCTTCTACTATTACGCACAATTATCCAATGCGTTCGATTGAATTTTCAAATGTTAATATTTCTCACAGCATCCAACCGAAGAATATCGAAGAAATCGTGGAGGTGTTCAGGTATATAGGTTTATCTGTCTGCAAACTTGTCCGACATGCAAAACAGCTCGCGAAACATGTGTCACGGACACGGTTTGCAAAATTCGCCCGGGGGTTATCCTCGTCGCTCTTCCGACAGGCTCGTTCGGTCCCCTTGTCACGTGGCCAACAATTAATTTATAAACAAAAACCACGTTATGACGTAATGTTAATCTCTATAGATTTCTTTCAATGTCACTGATATTGCTTCATCGAAACTTGCGATTCCGAATATGTATGACCAACAATGTGCATACGTCGCGTCGTCCAAGGACGATTTTCTTAACACTTTCGTGTATCCGTGACTTTAATATGTACTTTTACATCATTTTACGACCTATATTGCAAATACATGTTTCCATGTCGTCTGCAAAATATTGCTAAAATTTTATTAATAATTGAAAATAATTAGCCTAGTAGGCTAAGGTACAGATCATTGGCGACCCTCGTTAAGAAGATAGAGTGACAAAATTTTATAAGTCACACGATAAAATGTGCAACAGAATATCAATGCGAACTATTATGCAATTAATGTGATCTTCGGCGAACATTATCAGTCGAGTACGCGTAAATTTCCCGTTTATCTTGGTATTAATGGATTTACGGGTCACCGGAGTGCGGTGTAATTAAAAGCACGAACAAATAAGAGAAAGAAATATTATTTCTCATTGCGCGACCCATTGTTTAGTTCACGGCGTAATTTTCTTACGTCGTATCGACACTTTCATTAATATGATTAGAGACAATATTGTGATCAACAATCACCACGTTTTATTTTCGATTGGTTACTTCGCACAACGTTTCGAACAATTTCAGAAATTTAATAGTAACAAATTGTTCTTGCAATTCTTTGTAAAGATAACGAATTTCTTAAAGTTACGCGAATGGGCACCTTCGTAGCATTGAAATTTAATTTATAATATTAAGAAACCATTCTTATAGTGTCTTTAGAAAATGTCTTCGTGAAAGTTCCAGAAGCTTTCGAAAAAAGAAAAGGGACAGAAATGTGCGAAATTCCACAAAGTTGCACGAATGACATTTTCCACGATAAATTGCCCGTTCATAACATTGAAGCTTGACCTTAAGCTGACGCAAGTAGACATCAGCAAAGGATGTAATCGCAGCAAGTATAACAAATAGCGTTCATTGTTAAATCACGTAATTCCCAGAAGGAAAGTCGGTTAATTTTCGTGACGACGATAAATCGTCAATCATTTTTTAACTCGTTACTTATCAATACCAGCATTTCCGTAATTTTTCTATTAATCAACGATGATTAACCGGAAATACCATAAAATATGTATTTTTTGTAAACAATAGAGAAAGTTCGATGAAATTCAATGAAAACTATCAATTATTACCGAACAGAACTTCTCTTCAATAAAATCGCAGAAACTTCGACGGTTACGAAACGTTTTCTAAATGTTTCTTATCGAAGTTTGATAAATTTCATATTGCGATAGGTTATGGATCGAGCTTATTATTATATTAATATCACTAGGTTAATTAAAAATGGTTTGAACCAATTAGTTTTTTATCAAAGTATTATAGTTTTACAAATTGATTTTCTATCTAAACAGTTAATTCTCTATTACAAAATCATTGATGAATAATTTTATTGTCTCCCCTCATCATCATTATTATTATTATTATCTATTTGAAAAGAAAAATCTTTGTAGCGATGTCATTGAAGTCTCTGAGATAAATGTAAAAATTGTTGCCTAGTTTTAGGGGCATGAGCCCGAAACCAATTTAGCCCACGACTATTTCTATTTTCTTTCATCCAATTGCATTGCCTTTCTTATATAATTACTTAATCACATGTAACTCATAACAATGCAATTGTTTTCCAAGTGCAAGTGACACATCTAATTAAAGTGCATCAAAAGTCCAGGAGTTGGACTTGTATCAAAAGTGCACAATTGTGTTATCAAAAGTTAAGATTAACTGTATTTTATAAAACAGTTAATTTTGCCCGATATATTTGCACTAATTCTGGACACTGATAACAACTAGAATACAAGAATTGTAAAATAAGCTTGGCAGAAAATTTGTCAAATTGTTAATCAACGAGTTAACAAACACAAATTGATCCTAAAAATTTGGCAATATTTCGCATAACTCTGGATATTGCTTCATGCTCGTTTCTGGGACTCTTCTTACACCTTTGCTAAAATTTATTACAATCTCCATATTCCATATAATTATTCTCGATTATGAAATTTCATGAAATTCATTTTCGATCTCGTAGGTCATACCGCTTTACATTTATCTGCAAATATTCCCAGCTTTCTGTCGTCTTATCGAAAGAATTCAATTCGTCGACATGTGATTCTTCGACGGTAAATATAGACCGGTGATTGTATATCATAAGGTGACTCTTGTAATTTTATGAATCTTATTCTTGATTCATTCTAGAAATTACTTAATTGAACATTACCGAAGATCAGTTCCTTGTTTACTATGAACAAAGGGGAAATTGAAGACGATGGCGATTGATCAATCAGTTTCGCATGAAAGAAAGATTGTAATTGCAATCGTATCTTCATTTTCCACCCTAACTCATCAAATAATTAAATTTCTATGTTCACACGGGTGATTTTTAAACTATACGAATTGTTCAGCTTCGCAAACTCTTGGACAGCATAAATTTCATTTGTCCGAGATGACTCAATCTCTGCCAGCGGCAATGTCTGTACGTTTTTAGGACACGCATACAATTTTCGGCTCCTTTTCATAGATTGCTCAATTGGTTTCGCAGGTCAGCGAACCGTCGCCGAATTTCTTCGGCATAGAAATGAAGCAATAGAAATCGCCGCAAGAATACCGTTTGATCGATCTAACTATTTAGAATTCGTGAATATTAGCCAATCGTTCGTCGACTTTCGGTTATCGTCTGAATAGATATCGCTGGAAATCTTTGTTTCGCTCGAACAGAAAACGAAGGTGAAGGAAGAATTCCGAAAGAAACCGTCCTGCATTAATTGCTGGAAAATATTATTATCTGAAGTTAATGCAACCAGGGGAACGAAAATATTTTTCTCAGGGAAAATGGTAAGGCAACGATTACGTTTTATCGTCTTGGATTATGCGCAAATGATTATACCTCCCGTTTTATTGTGGATTTCCGGCTAAGACGTTGCTAAATGGTGAAACGATTGATCCAAGAATCTTGAACAATGAATAGTGTTAATGTTCAATGACCTGTCGTATTCAACTTAGACCTTTCTCAAATTACTTTGGTAATTTGACAGATTTTCTGCTAAGACATTTTGGTTTAGGCTAATTTCTGTTTAAGTAAACGAATATGTTGGCAAAAACGCGAGAAGAAAACTTATGCACATATTTATGATTATTTTAATTAATTGCTATCGAAATTTTGTGTTTTATCATTGAAACCTTATACGAATCAAAAATAACTTAGCGGAGCATGTTGATAAACATACCTCACATGAAAAATTAAGAATTTATTTAATTACAAAATGAAACTTTAACGCTCTTAAAATCTTTGCTGAATTTTTATTTTAGAAGATAGACATAAACTTGCATAAAGTTTATACATGTACATACGTAAAATGAACAATCTGTCGTTAAAGATACGAACGATATCTCGAATCTCTTCCAATGCGGCACATTTTGAAATTCATGATAAATTATCGGGAGGTCATTGGAACGAACGAATTTTACTGAGTATTGAACTTGACATTTTTGCACGATCGATTATCTTCAAAAAAAAGTTATCAGTTCTTATCAGTTCTTAAATTTTAATATTGACACGTTGACCGACACTGAGAATAATGAATCATGTGTGTAGGATAGTTTAATTTTTCAAATATATTAAATTGTGGATAAATTTGAAAACGAAGAATGTTTCGAAACACCATAACAATAATATCAATTAGTAAATTCACTTAAGCGAACATGCGTGTCAATCATACTGACGAAATGTATGGTAATCTACATAATTAATGAGTTCGTATAGGGTGTCTCGATATTAAAAAAGTACAACCGATAAAGTTCACCAACCAGAAAGAAAGAAAGAAAAGAAACTGTATCGAAACTAATTGCTAAGCAGATATAGAAGATTTTTCTTAGAATAAAAATCGATATCTCGGTGAACTTGGTCGTGTTATTTATAAATTGTGTTCAAACTATTGGTCGTTCATCCCGATCGAGGCGCGAACGACGGTGGTGTTCCGATGATTTTCTTTTTGCATTACATTTGCTACCGATTCAATGTAAACAGAATTAATCCAGAATTAAGATACATCGATTTCGAAATCACGTACTTCGCTAATTGCGAATGATTGATAGCTGAAACATCGATTGATTTGAAAATCGGAGGCATTGGAGGATTGATACTTGAAATCGTTAAAGAATTGAAACCTGAAAACTCGAATGTCGTGGATTCCATTGTATGATGAAACTTAATTTCCTTTGTTGAGAAACACTGAACTGTAGCGAGGGATTTTCTTGCTGACGTTATCAAATTCTCTTGGAATTTTCTCGAGTTCGATCCCGATGACGAGAGACAATGCCGTCGATGATCTCGGGTCTGCAACATGTTCACAATGCACCTCGTTGCCCGATAATTCGGTCAACAAACCCATCCTATGAACCCTACCAGCATATGCAAACGCGATGCATCTCCTGCCTTTTTATTTTTTTTATCTGTCCCCTGTGTGCGTGTTTTTTCCGCGATACGAAGATCGAAGCCGACCTTCTTCTCAGGAAACACTTCGCCACATTTCTCTTCGACTCTATCCATCCACGTTACCTTCTTCCAAAATGGCGGGGTTTCTTCGACCGGCGCCAACGTTCACCAATTATTTTCCATTTAAAAAATCGACCAACCAAAAAACTATCTTTTCATACTTTCTACTTTTCTTTTCCTAATAAACCTCCATAGCAATCAATGCCTCGATTAATTAATAACTTTGACACTGTTTCTTAAAAACTCCTCAGTCGTAGAGAATCACTTGAAATCAAAGAAAATTTTAGCTACTCCCTTCGGATAAAATCAGTGCGCGGTGCAACGATTATCATTCTTATCTATCGCTATCGATAGATGCTGGTAGATACGAATCGTTGTTCCACTTGATTTCCAGCATCTCTTTCAGACGATCGATCATTTTAGTAATGCCCAAATTGTAAGAAGAAGCTCTCGATAGATATAGGAACCGTGTCCTAACGTTAATTAAGAAGAAAATAGAAAAGGGTGACAAAAATACTTACTTTGAAGAGCCCAAGGTGCATATCGAGCAAGTTCCTTCAAATAAATCTCGCTGTCCTTAAGGCATTCGACGGATGCTCCATCGGAGGGTGCGAAAGGTTTCGCGAGTAGATCGAATAACACGGTTTCCGGTTTGTCAGCTGTCATTTCCGGCACAACTAGTCCAAGTAACGTAAGAATTGAGAGACATGGACATAGGTAAGAGAGATGCCGGTGAAAAAGGATGGAACGCAACATCGTGAGCGAGGGTAATTAAGGTTGGCACACACGTGCCTTTTCGGCCGAAGCACGTGGCGTGCACTGTCACGTGTACACTCGTGACTTAAGTTGATGTTGTACGCGGTAAAAGGAGCGTAACAGACGTCAAAACGTGAACTGTACGTTCTGTCAATCGACGGTGCATTTATATATTGCCTCGAGGCGCTGAGAGGGGTAGGGTCCTCGATGGGCACGTTATCGATGCGACGAGGATTACGCGCGCGTAATGTGTCTCTCCTCCTTCTCCTCCTTCTTTGAACTGAGAAAATGAGAGAGAGGAGAGTGGGAGAGCGGTATCCGTGGTAGGAATTCGACTCGATCAGAGAAACCAAGTCGAATGTGAGATGATGAGTGGGCCAGCCACGCGCTTCTCCAAGACATCACTGTCCAAGAATTTGCCCTCGTGGCACCGGCTTTATCGCGCGGGTGCCAATGTCGTAGAAAAAGGGCAAACCCAAGTGTGCGCTCGCTTCTCTTATGTACGAAGGCAGCAGGTTCTAAGTTAGGCTCTCCCTAGGATCTCCTAAAACCAAAGGCAAATGGATCTACGTTAAGTTTTGCCCAAGTTATTGAAAAACCAAAACCAAAGGGTAAAAGTGCTCCTCCCTTCACACCTTGCACCGAGGTGTATCCCAAATTTCAAGATCCGTTCATGATGCAAGTTGCAATGTGCATAAACTGGTACCAATCTGCACAAGAATCCGTCATGAGCCCTCATCTTAATGCAATTTCATAAAACTTGGGACTGATGCATCGTAACTGCCCACCATCTTGGATGTCTGTTTTATCGGCCGAGATGGGGTGCAGGATAAAAAGTAAAGACAAATAATTTGTGATAAATTCGATATTGTTTAACTGATTCATCGTTCGGTTGAAAATCAACATACACTCTTAATTTTAATTATATTTAATCATTTTCTTCTTGTACTCTTACGTCAGACGCTTGAAACGGGCAACTTCCATCACGCTCCAAATTTGTCCAGCGTCGAATTCGAGCTGTAAGAATGAAATAAATGAAAAGAAAGAATTTAAGAAGTGGTTGGTGAATCGCCTCGATTGAAAGGAATAGCGGAACCACAAAATGGCTATAACTCGACGACAAGGGCAAGTGGGTCGTACGTTTATGTGAACCTTTTTTTATTGTTCCTTTTTAGTACCGAATGCTGCATCGAAGTGGGACCCCAGCAATAAAAGAATAAAATTTCCAGTACATTACACACATTTCGTGCACGTTGCGTTTGGAATTTGGGCATCATTTTAATACCACTTTCCGATCTATAGCCCCATCCAACCACTCCTTTCATAATTTTCTTGAAAATTAAAACTGAAATCTATCGAAGGATGAAAAGTGTTAAAAAGAAAAGCTGCACACCGATACATAGGTGGTTAACAATGAAAGGTCGGCCATGAAATCAAGGGGTGGAGACGTCTATTGATAAACGCTTGATTTTTTTAATGCCAAGTTCCATCACAATAGATGGAGGAAAGTTTGAGTCGGCTATGGAAAGGAAACGAGAGGGAAACGTAAGAAAATTGTAGTGGCATTACGTAAACTCGTAGAACAGGCACGTGTTGACCGCGTAATTGCCGCATCCAATTAGAGGAAAATATGGTGAAAAATACGCGACAGGTTCATTGACCGAAATCACGTGTACTCGTTACACCTGCTACGTTTCAATGATAAAGTCAACGAGTTACTATCAGTAAAATGTCGATTGTCCGAACAGCATTACAGTATCAAGTTAATTACATTGAAAAATAATATTTGAAGTAATAATCTGAATATTGGAAAACGACAATAGAAAAATCATTATTAAAATAATTCATTTTCAATACGTAAATGACGTCGTTCACTACAAATGGTTTCAAAGCGAGAGGCAATGACGTTTGTAATGACCGTGTCTTATCTACGTCAGTATGAATTATCTTGGAAAAACGTTTCTTAGAAATATTATTATCATTCCTCGTCATCTATTCTTCAATGAGTAGGGTTGCAAAAGGATTCATGAATAACGGTGGTTTCACTGTAATTAGTTCGAATGATCTATGCTTACCAAGTCGATTTAGAAAATCAGTTAACTGACGCATGAAGTAGATAAATAAACGAGGTAATAAATCCCCTTCGGGTCTTTAGTAAGTCATAGAGGACATTGTTCTGGAAATTATCTCGTCATCGATGGAGATAAACTCGTGCAAAAATTTAACGACATTCGAAAAATTAGAATTTCACGATACATTGACATGTACATTATTCAATTCCCTCGGAAAGAAAAAAAAAAAAATGTGAAGATTTGAAAATAATTCTGTAATCAAATAAGACAATGTATGATTCAATTTATAATCTTATTCAAATAATACCGAGATCTGGTCGATCAGAGTTTCTCGTTGCCTCATTAACGATACAGATTTCGGCTACTTGGATGAGAAAGTTGAAAACGGGTCGATCTTTCGACGGTGAAGGCACATTAAAAGTTGAAACACCAGGCACCGGGGATTAATTTATAATCGAGCAACGAAAGAAGTCAATGATCTCTTCAATGCAGAATTCCAGTTACCAGTTATGCCTTTTGTCTACTTTTAAAAATAAACTTGTCGATCGTAGGTGTATTTTTTCGGATTAAATTTATCGACCAGTCAAAAGAGAGAGGGGCAGAGAATTTCGCTTGATTCGATAAGCGATCAAGCTTGGAATCCCCGTTTTGTAACGTGTCATCTGAAATTCAATTTACATAATTAGTATGATAGAAACTTTAATTTACTTCATTTCGAAAAATTTGTATTTTTTAATAATTGAGATATATCATACAAAAATGTAAAATGTCTCACTTTAAAAATAGTAAATCAGAAATTAAAATCAATTCTTCTATTGAAATTGATTCATCTATACTCATACTTGCACGTGTTCAAAGTAGACTTCTTGTTCAAATCTTGCATAAGAAAATTCCATTCCGCATTTTCAAGTTATTTTTAGATCGAGAAATCGTCCTCTTTTTCGGTAATAGCATGAATTACAGGGCAGAGCCTGTCTTCTCAGTGTACGTACACAATATCTTTCGGGGTTCAATGATTCATCGAGTAATACGCGACCTCGGTACCGATACGTCATTGTTAATTAATATTATTTACATTTGACGCTAATATATTATACGAATCGTTTCGGGTAATGACGTCGTATTAAAAATGAACAACGAATAATGCGATTATTTTCCTTTTACAATTATTATGTACAATTTGTAACAAATGGCAAACGATTAGTTAAAATTATAGGATAAAGTTTTGTTTTATTTGGAACCTTCGTTCTGAAAAAAGCAACTTTACTTCACAAACATCTTCCCTTTTAATGAATTGTCCGCTAATCCCGCCAGGGTTATTCTTGAAATTCTGAAATATTCATTATTTGATACAATTACTCATTTTTTATAAAATCTAATTAATGATGACAACAAAAGTAGATATTCTTCATTTACCAACGTGAGATATTAGGTAAAATTTTCTTTTCACAATTATAATTTTAAAGAAAAACTAATTTTATCTCTTATCTGTAATTCACAATATGTAAGGAAATTATATTTATAATGTTGCAAAATCGTGTTTACAAAGTTGGAGATTAGTCGTGCTATGAAAGATCATTGGCGCCTGTAATACTGCAAAAATGTACCCGGTGAATTGGGTTGCCACTCTACAGGGGCTAGTACCTTGAAAATTATGATTGTGGTAACAAGAAAAGGATTTTACTCTGTTTTAAAGATACGATAAAAAGAAATGTATAACAAATGACTACTGACCAATGAAAATTCATAAATTATCTATTTTATAAAAATAAAATTTAAGACGAAAGTCTCGGAAGGGGAAATTTTCCAAAACAAGTCATTGCTGCATCAAAAATATATTTTAAGACTAATGTGATCTAGTGTTTTCATAAATGCAAAGATATACAATATAAATTAGACATAATATTGCTACAAAATAAAATGTCTCTATAAAAGATATACTTTTTAAAGTAAAATGATTAGTATATGCAACTGGAGTGTAATTTGATCTCACTGAGATCATTAATAACTACTCCACTGTTATGTATCACCATCCTATTTTGGATAAAATGTTCTTAGCATCTTCAAATACTTTTTTTGGTGACTGCATACTATTTACTTTATAAACTATGCCTTGTTTTTCAAAGAATTCAATTATAGGCATGGTATTTGTAATATAAGTTTCATGCCTTTTCACTAATACTTCTTCATTATCATCAGTTCTTCCACTTCCTGCAGCTCCACGTTTTAAACACCGCTGAGTACATACTTCCTTAGTGCATTCACAGAATAATACTCCCTTTATTATACATTTATCAGACATTGTCTATTAACATAAGAAAAATATCTATTATATAACTCTTTCTTTTGAATAATGATTCTTAACAATTTGAACAGTATTTATACCATATTCCAACCATCGATGTTGTCTTGATTTCGTGGAAAGCCATCGATCAAAAATCTTTTATGTACATTATCGGACATTTGCATTGCACGATCCAGAAGACTACAGGTAATCGCAACAGGTACGATCGTTCCATTTGTAATATGATTTTCAATAAGTTCCCCATACTGTGAGCCCGGCTTTGCGCGTTCTTCTCTTAGCAGATCACCAGCTGACAAGTGCACATAACCATAATTTTCTGTTATGTATCGACACAGTGTGCCTTTACCCGCACCTGGTCCTCCCAAAACAAATAAAGCTTCGGGTTTTTGGATTGCTGACATCGTAAAAAGTCGCAGTCCAGATACAAATACCTTAAACATAAAATACCACAATGCTCCGTTATATATCTATGGTTATATCAATGTTCCTGTATTTCTTGGTTATATACACGCTTATCATAACCCTTCTTCAAATATTGAGGTTATGGCGCGTTTTTTTTTTTTAACACTTTCAAATAGCATTAGACACTAATACGAATCGATTCCTAACTGAATATAATAATGTTTTACTTATAATATAGACCAAATAATGGTTTAAAATTTGATCAAAAAATTAAAAATTAATTTATCAAGAGTTTAATAAAATAGATAATGCATATATCAGTGTGTACATATTACAAGCATGTGCAATTACAATTTAATCTAAAAGAAATTGATATTATTTCAATCATTTAAAATTTCAACATAAAATAAAGCAAATATTTCATATTTGATTTCTATTAAATACTTACTTAATAAAATATATAAATAAGAAAGATATTTTCAAACACGATGCTCCAATAATTTCGAACACTGTTAAACAACTTCTTTATCGTTTAATTCTTTATGACAGTCATATATATACATATATATGTATACCGCAGTTCACCAGAGTCCATAACTGCGAAAAGACCAATTTTCGTTCTTCGCGCTTCTCCAGTACGCATCTTCGCTCTGATTGGCGATACTCCCAAACGAAGTGGAAAGCGATTAGCAGAGAGCTTGCTGCGTTCCCCCACCATCTTCCAACCTGCGCGTCGCAGTTATGGACTCTGGTGAACTGCAGTATATATAATTTTGTGAATCGCTGTGTCATAATTATTGTCTGCGCATTGCGCATGTCAAATTGAAATCATTATGCAACAACTGCATGCCGTAACTGCATGCATGCAGTTTTGCTACAAGCATGACAACTTAACCTTGTAACTTAGTTTTCCGGATTAATTACATAATGTATCATAATGCTAACAAACTTTATGTTACAATGACTTAAAAAGAACGAAATAGAAATATTGATGTCATAAACGCATAACGGCATTAGAACTTTTATATTTAGAACAAAATAAATTAAATCGGAACAAATTGAGGTTATATAGGATTCATGAATATCATTTATGACTGATAGAAAGCTCGAATAATGATAACAGTGTGGTGGTGTCAACACTTATTTCGTACTGGAAAATGTTTAACATCTTATATTCAATCTAGTCAAAGCAGATGTGTCATTAATCAATTATATTCATGCAATAAAATTCATGTTTCATCTTTTACACAGGAGAAACAGAATGCCGAAAATTATAAAATATCCACGCAAAACGTGCTAAAGCCTGTTAAACTTTTATTAGATGAAAAAGATGAAACAACACACTTAAAAGCAGCAAATGTACAGTCACAACAGAAAAATGCGACATTTGCTGCAAAAATAATTAATAATTCTCCACCTCAAATACGACCATACTTGAAGTTAATAAGAATGGATAAACCAATAGGTGAAATAGTCATTGTTATAATTATATTGTAATTGTAAATGCAATAAGAATATTTATGTTAATGATTAATAATTTGTATACCTAGGATCTTGGCTATTGTTCTGGCCCTGTGGTTGGAGTATAGCCATGGCAGCACCACCAGGTGCACTACCAGATCTACAACTTCTAGCTCTTTTTGGAGCAGGTGCATTCATTATGCGTGGTGCAGGATGCGTCATAAATGATATGTGGGATCAAGATATTGATGGAATGGTAATAATTGACATGAATAGTGTTTCAAAATTGGATATTATAAGAGCTTTTTAATATTAGGTAACTAGAACAAAAGATAGACCATTGGTTACTGGAGAAATTTCACCTCTACAATCACTGATTTTTCTTGGAAGCCAATTAACTTTGGGATTACTTGTATTGTTACAACTCAATTTATATAGTATTATATTGGGTGCAAGTTCACTAGGTATTTGTTACTTATACAAAGAAGGAGATTAGAAACTTATCTTATTAATATTTATATTTGACATTTTGTTAGATACTTTTATAAAAGAGTTAAACTTTTTATTACAGTTTTAGTAATATTATACCCTGTCATGAAAAGAGTAACCTATTGGCCACAATTAATACTGGGAATGACTTTTAATTGGGGTGCTCTTTTGGGTTGGTCTGCTGTGTACGGATCATGCGATTGGCTTATATGTTTACCTCTTTATATCTCTGGAGTTTGTTGGACACTTTTATATGATACTATATATGCACACCAGGTAAATTTGAACTGCATTTCCCCTTCACATATAATGCGATATTTTTTTATTAGTTATTTATACAATATAGGATAAAATGGATGACATTATAATAGGCATAAAGTCAACAGCTTTAAAGTTTGGCAACAAGACAAAAACTTACTTAAGTGGCTTTAGTGCTGTCATGATTACAGGTTTAATTTTATCAGGTGTATTAGTTTCTCAAACTTGGCCATATTATACAGCTGTAGGATTAGTTGGTACTCATCTTACTAATCAGGTACAAATTAAAAGTTTAAAGGAAAATACAATTAATATGTATTTATCCTTGAATTTTACAAAATTTATTTTTTTCTTTTTAGATTTATAATTTAAATATTAATAATCCTGCAGACTGTGCTAAAAGATTCATCTCCAATCACAGAATAGGAATGATTCTATTTGCAGGAATCGTTTTAGGAAATTTCTTGAAGGATTCTGAGCATAAAAAGGATGCCAGTGTTGCCCAGAAATTGCGCAAAGAATCTACTACTACTGAACAACAGCAGCATTAGTTGCAGTATTTCAATGAATAATAACTGTAACTTTATGATTATCTGTATAACAGTATACATGATAAGCAAGAGAAAGATGTAAATGACTGGCAGGTTCCAGTGAATTACGAAACTTAGTTCCAATCGTGTGCCATTAAATAATTTCAGTTTTTAATTTTGTACAGTACCGCTATCGAAATTGTGAGAACTATAGGTCGCACCTTGAAAAATTGTAAGTAGACAGTTTTCATTTACAATAACTTTACAAAGGTACACCAAAGATTACACCATTGTATATAACGATTAAGTTTACAATTTTAAACTTAAAGTATTGATCATAACAAAAAAGAATAGTACAAAGCAACACATTTTCTGTTATTTCAATGTTTGTTCTGATTTTGAAATAAACAAACATTTATTAAAAATTATATGAAAAATACATAGCAAATGATTAACATTTTTGTACTGTATCAAGATTTTCACTACACCTCATTGGACTATCATTATTTATTATCTCTGATTCACTGTTTAACAAACTATTTGTACATATTTTAGACATTTCCAAATGGTTAGCAGCATTTTGACACTCTAACATTTTCAAGTTATATTGTTCTTGAGTTAATAAGGATTCCTTCATTTTATCCAAAAGTTTTATATTTGGAAGCACTATAGCTAAGTATCCTCCTTTGTGTGGAGGTTCCAATAAAAGTTTTGGATTGTTTAATAATGCTTCATTTACTTCCACCAATTTTCCAATTATACAACATTTTATTTTATATGTTTGTCCATTTGAACAAGTAATTATACAAATGTTGGAATTAGTTTGCAGAGGTTGTGCACCATGCTTACTTTTACCTGACACTTTATTTAAAACTCTATCTAGTTTATCACTAACTTTAAAGTCTATTTTTGTTATTTGTGTGTCACTTCTAAAAACTACATGACTTGGAGCCAGAGTAAGCATACAAATACGATTACTATGCATTAAAATACAAATATCATCTCCAAGACATTGTACATTTAATTTATAGTAGGGAGTAAAATATCTATCTGTAATTGTAGGAAAAGATCCATCATATTTTACTCCTTGTAACATGTCTGTAATATCATCATCTGGAGGAAATGGGAATAGACTATCATCCTCATCATTATCTAATAATGCTGTTCCTTCATCCTCATTGTCTGTTAAATTTGCATTTTCTTGACATCCAGAACTCTTATCTATATTATTTTCTTCTAAAATGTCTGTCACATTACATGAAACTTTATCTATGTCATCAGAAGATTTTGCCCTTTTTGTAACTGGTTCATTGTTGTCTGATAGAACATTCATTGTTAACTAAAAAAAATGTTATTATTGACAAATTTAAATACAATGAAGATTTATTTCTGGTTACTGAATACTTATTCACAATGGCTCTTACATTGTTGTTTTATATATCAGCATTTGTTTCTCAATATAATTTTACAATTGTAATTAATAAAATCAACACTGCAATAAGGAAACAATAAATTTGTAGGTTGAGTTCACGTTTACTTGGAAGCATGTATGATGTATACAAAATACTTAATATATATATATGTATATGTAATTGGACAATATAAAGTAATTATAAGAATAGTTATTTGTTATAATAATTAGATTTACAACTAGGTTTTAAAGGCGTATTTTAATTTTACAAGAAAAATGATCACCCATGATTCCCTAAACTTACAGACATTCTATTGGTCAGATATATATTTATATAGAACGGTAGAAGCAAATACTAAAGTGACACTGAACCATTGCTAAGGAAGTCATATCTATAAAAGCAAAGTCAAAGAACGTTATGCAAAATCTAATAAAACTAGCCGTCTATGATTATTCTTTTGTACCGTGGTCTACTTTGATTCTTTTGAAAACAAATTGAAAATACCGTAAAAGTTCCTATTTTTGTATCTGTGGTTATGTTCACCAATGATTTGAATAATTCTAATATACATATACATATGCTTTAAAATGATAAACTGTGCCGAGTTCTCAGATATTTTGTAAATGACTTGGCAAAATTCAGCACTATTTTTATATATCTACCACGTCACCCAGCTGGATGGGAAAAGACATTAACGGTAAAATATGTGTTCATTGAAATTTTTAATTTTGTAATTTGAGGAAAACATGTCAGAACGAAAAGTGGATGCAGAAATTGTGCAGAAGCAGTGTATAAACGATACAAGCCTCATTGATGAAGCCGAAATTATTGATGTATCTGCTTTTGACTTTGATGACACTGGTAGCTGGTAAGTGACTTTATTGTAAGTTTCAATTACTATAGTATCTTACAATTAGAGTTAATTTTAGTCTTTAACAATCATTTCAATTGCTAAGGAATTTTAATTTCTGAAGGTCTCAGTTTTCTATGTTGTTTAATGATACAAATAATTTTTCAAAAATATATTATTAAAAAGATGATTCATAGAGTTTTAATTATCCATTATATGTATTGTTGTTTTTTACTAGGTTGTATATACCAACGCGATATCAAACAGAATCCACTGTTCAGGATTTGTATACCTGGTTAAGAAGTGAACCAGAATTAAACTTATCAGGTATTTAAAATATCAGTCAGTTATCATTGATGTTTTATATAATGTTGTATTTAAATATAAATGTTTTGTCTAGCTAATAGGAAGTCTGTGGATACAAGAACTTTTACAAGATCTAAGAAACGGTCTACTAAAACTTGTTTTGAATCTATTTTTGAAACTTTATCTTCACCTGTAGCAAATATATGGAAAACTTCAAATTTTTCAAATGTAGAAGAAGATGTAAGTATTATATTGTAGTTCTCTATTAAATTGTTATAAATATATTTTCAATGTACCATTTATTTATGTCTACTTTTTTTTATTTAAAGTTAAATAAATATTCAGACCTACCTACTGCCAACAAAGATGAAGCTGTGCCTCCTATGTTAAAAATGGCACCTATAACAAATGTTAGCCTTCTTAATGATGAAGCAGTAGTAACATCAGGCCAAGAAAGTATGGAAGTGTTTTTAAATATGTCTCATTCGAAAGGAATTGATTCATTTATTAATTTAATGGAACCTGGACTTAGTGATCCACTGATGAACGTTTCTCAACCCTCTATTTTTTATTCATCTATCACCTCATTGTCTAGAGATGATTCCTTACATAATGCAGATTGTGGTAGAGAAGAAGAATTTTCAAATTCAATTCATATGTATAACAAGGAGATTGACAAACACAAAGATGCTAAAAATTCAAATATGAATGAAACTTTTTCTAAAGATAATGAAAGCTACTGCCTAAGTCCAACAGACGAAACGTTTACAAATGGATCTGCTGTAATGAACAAAGTGGAATTGAATCAAACATATGATACAGAAGCAGTTTCTGCTGAAATTGTAGAACTAAATTCAGATAAAGATAAATCCAGTACAAATAGTTTGTCTTCCATACTCGTAAATAAAGATGATGGAAATGCAAAATTCTTACAACCAAGAGGTACTGAAAAGATAGATTCGTCTAGTTTGAATACTACATATCCATCAAATGCTCAGAAAGTTGGTAATCCGCTTGCTTTAGATAGTACATATTCTCCAATAAAAGTTGAAAACGTACCTGCAGGCGTGACTTCAACTTTTAGAAGTGATACAAAAAGAGATAAAGGTCAACCATTTAGCTTAGAAACAAATGCATCTTGCAGTACTTCAAAAAATGCAATAGAATCTTCCGCGGGTTTGGCGAATTCTACCTTTTCATTGGACAATGATGTTTTGGACTCTCCATTCAAATTGCCTCCTGGCTATCAATCAACCCCTATAAGTATGGATACATTAAATTCAACATATAAAGCAAGTAACAAACAATTAGAATCATGTCGAGTATATAATACAACTTGGAGTTCAAATTTTAAAGCACCTACATCATTGAGGAAAGAGTTGTTAGCAGAAATACACAGAAGTGGAGATCATAGGCTTGATTGTACATATAATCACACAAGTAAAGAACACCAAAGTAAAAATTCTAAAACAGCAATTGTCGAGAAGATTCCTAGCCAAAATGTTAAAAGTGATATTCCAATAGAGAATAAATATAACACATATAAAAAGGAATCATCATCAGTAGATAAAATTAAACCTCAAACTGAAATAAACGAGACAAAGACATGTGTTCACAAATTGCAGGAGAAGAAGTATTACACTTTTACAAAGAAAAATAGTGCTCATGGTGGAAAGACCGATATGGAAAACGCTGAATCGTTGGAAAATATGGATTCTACGTTTGTGAAACCACTTCCGAAGTTACAGAAACAAAAGCAGCATATTCCGCGAATGCTTTCGAAATTACCGCAGTTCCTTCAAAAATCTAATCCGAATCTTGTATCTAATTCTTTGAAAACCGTTAATATGACGGGATATACAAATGCATCCACTTTTGGGTACATGAAAGGTTCACAGCCAAATATTGTAAGAGACGTTGAAAAGAGTCTAACAAATAAATTATATTCTCTGGGAAAAATGAAAAGTGGTTCTGAGCAAAGACTGTTGGAATTGAATTCTGGTGTGGGAGAGCTTCAATTATTAGGTGCTGGAGGATCTACAGAGAGTATTGAAAGTACCCAAAGTGCTCACAGTGCACCCGATTTAGATGATAGACTCAGTACATGTTCAGATAGCAGTCACAATTCGTGCACAACACAACCAATGAATATTGAACAATTACAACAGATAGTACGAATGCAAGAAGAAAGTAAGTTATATTTTATATTAATATAATATTAGTTTTCACATCTAACTGTGATTATTAGGTTTGAGACAAGATACAAGACCTCAGTTAAAGCGAGTGCTAGAAAATACATGGATAGATATGAAAACAGATTTACATTCTGCTATAGTTAAGAATGGAGTTGATGGTTGTGAAGGTGATGATTTGCCACTTAGTATAGATTTCACTTTTAAAACGAGTTCTCCAATATTAAGTCCAACTAGATCTAGTCAGTCAATAAATACTGATGGTAAGCCTACAATCTATAACATTACATACATGACACGACATAACAATACATTTTCTCTTATATATATTACTGTATTTTGAAGGCCAATCTACAGAAACTGTAATAAAACAACAAAATGATACAGAGGTGGTGAAAAAAGTCGAGGTAAGTGTTGTTTGTTTTACATATATAAACATTATTTAAAAAATGATATAAAAACGATTCAACTGTGTATTAAACACTAAATGTCAGGCGTTTAATAAACCAATGATGAAAGTTGAAAACAAAACAAGACTGCGACAACCAACGAATTGGAATAGTGGAAATAGGCCTCCAAATGTTATGAGCGCTATTCCTAGACCACCATCACGCATACCAGCTCCCCGGTTTGCCAAGCCAATTGTAAAGAACATTCAAGGTGATATAAAACGAGGATACATGTAAAATTTCAGGGAGTACTAAAAATCAAAGTATGCGTTCTTGAATACCATCCTTAATCTAATCTGTATTCATAATAATAATTTGTATAGAAAATATTTTAATTTATGGTCTTGGAGGGATAGATGAAGATTCTTACCTAATATGATAAAAAAGTTCAGTATTAAATTTCCAAGGAAATAAAAGGGTGTAATTAATACCGAGTTCTTAACTTTTTCCAACTTGTCAGTTCGTGTTTCTCTAAAAGATCTGTTATAAAACTATTACAGTGTAACGTTTTAGAGTAGGTTTGGAAATTTAATTATTAGTTACCTATTGAAAATTTTGTGATTTTTGGGTCTTTAATGTTTTAATTAAGACAGGATGTAAGATTATTTAAACCAAAAATTCCCCTCCAAATCATTTTTATTTTTATTTTTTTATAACTATTATTTTTACTGTGTTTATGTTTCTATTTTAATTGAAGGCTTTTAATCCATTGCCAGATTACAAATTGCTATATTTGCAACAAAGGATGTCCCTATTATACATATGAAAATATGCAGGTAATTTTTTATAAAAATGTTGATAATATGACACGAAATTGTGTATCAACAAGAAAGTATATGCTTGATAAAGGGCTAATGATTTAATGTATGTGGCCTATACAGAGTTAGGTACACAACACTTTATGGTATATTATTAATTACCTTCAAGCAATAATTTCTTGCTGATTTGCAAAAACTATACTTTTAACTATTATTTTGATATCAACTTCTACAATTTTATGTTTTCAATTATGTGAATACTAAAAATTGTTTATAAAATCATTCACATATCATAGAAAGATTGATGTCAATCGTAATATTAAAAACATAAATTTTTAATAATTCCATTTAAATGGTAAAACAACTTTGTATTTGCCGAAAAATGATAAATTATACATCATATAAAATTAAGAGATGTCCTATGGTACACTCTATAATGGCCTTCCATTGCATAATAAAAAAAGTATAAAACCAAAAAAATGTAGTTCAAAATAAAAGACTGGAAAATTTATGCAAGGATAAACTGAGTAAATTTCTGTTTGTTTCTTAAATAAAAGAATCTTTAGTGAATCTATAGTAAATACATAGAAAGATAGTATAACATTTTTTTATATTTCCAAACATGATAATCAGCTTCTTACCTTTTAATAATAAAGAGCTTTCTATACTGTGTGAACGGGAAAACCTGTAAAATATATATAAAGAAAAGGGTAGATAAATTATTTATCATGTATCTTCTATATTTTATTTCCGTACTGAAATTTAATTTTTTCCCTCTAAATTAAAGAACTAATAATCATAACATATCACAGTGTATAGATATTTATAAAATTATATTAGTTAAAAAATATGTTTATACTAAATTCAGGTTACACAATTATTTCAGTTGTTAATAAAATGGTATATTAAATATAGAAACTTTATGAACAGAAATAAATGGGGCATTGATAAAGAGTCTCTCAAAATATGAACAAAAATTAGTTGTTATTGTGTTGTAGATATTGAAAATAAATTTTACAACCTATCAATTTTCAATATTTTTTAAACATATATATTTAGAAAAAATTGTTGGCTCTTTAAAAATGTCCTACATGTATACAAGAATATGTAATACATCTCTTCCTACTTTCTTATAGCAAGAACTTATGTTAGTTATCTTTGTACTTGATACTCTATTCAACATTCCTCTACTGTAATTCTTTGCTTGAAGAAACAACAGCAAGAGGAATAATGAAGTGCTCATATAGTAATACACTTTTCAGGATATTATTGGTTTTGAGCACACCGTTGCAACTTGTCCATTTGTCATTGAATTTTAATGCTACATATTTTATGATAAATCGTTGCGCTGGTTGCGTTATGTTTGAATTTGTAATAATATGTGCATGAATTTACTTATTACTTATAACATGTACACCACAGAGTAAACTTGACTATAATTCATTAAATGCCAATAATTCTATTTGATTGATCTGGTAATTATATATTGATGGATAAGAGATTAGGAAATAAAAAAATGAAGAAATCTAGTTTTACATGATCAGAGTTTTTAAATATTTTTAAACATTATAAAACTATTAACAAAAATAAAGCAATAGCAAGAATAATAACAAATTTAAATACAAATACAGAAAAGATAAAAATAAGATTCTTGAATTACAGTTTCTTCGTTTTATTAAATGCATATTTATGAAAAGAAATTTTGAAATGTATTCATGTTGTAAATAATAAATATAAAGTGATAGTCATGTTATATTCTTTATTTATATCTTTAAATGTTAGACCTTAAGTGCCTTTATTGTATTATGACAAAAAATGTCTTTTTATACATTCAAACTAATGAAACTAGATATCTGCTCATTAATTATACTGTTCAGTATTGGTGTAAAAATTAAATGTGATCTTTTTCTAATTAAAGCTTATAGTAATAAATATTTTACAACTGCAAAATAAATATTTTATGTAAAACCACTTTCCAAATTTTGTATATTATAAAACTACTTTATTTAAAATTAAAATTACATTTTATTTTGATTTCTTTCTTATCCCAAAACACTCTTTGCTGATTTCTGAAATTATAGCTTTCATTACATAAATTGTAGGTTTTGAACTAACATATACAAATTTTACAATCTGCATTTATTTTAAAGTGATCATTAAAAATATAAACTAATAACAAATTAATTACAGTTTTTGTTTATTTTCTAATGCATGCACACACACTCACACACATATTAAAGTGGTATCAATATGTATTTAAATACTAGCTAGTGCTTACATTATTAAAATCAAAAATAAATTGATTATGAAATGTTACACTTACAAAACATCCAATTGATATCTTAGACAATATTAATACTGTTTAATCATATAGCACTAATTAATTTCTTTCTTTCAATAAATTATTTTTAGCTTTAAATAGCACCGTTCTTATGAACAAAATGAAATTTCAGAAATATAATACTTCCATAGTTACGAATTTTTAGTATTTTCGTAGATGTTTCTTAATCTTTTGTATAATTAATTGTACATTTTAAAAACTTAAAAAATACTTATTTTATTGCAATCAATGGAAAGAAAAATCATTTATATATGTGTGTGTATATACATATTCAATGTATTGAATTTAAGGTTTAGTTAGAAAAATTTAATTTTTATACAACTTTTAAATGTAAAGAGATTCCAATGTGTAATTAATATTATGTAAAGGCACAATATTAACATATTTTTGGTATATCTTCCATTGTCAATTGTAACAGTAATTCTTTTGAAATAATTGCATTTATATTAATAATAATCATAATAACAATAGGTGTACTGTAATAAAAAGTTCGACGTATCTTCTATACACTATAAATAGAAAAATTCCTTCTCATTTTCTTGGGCAGTAAATTGTGCAGTACTTTAATACCGTTAATATGCACTCTTTGTGATAAGTTTGATATGGAGTACTATTTATGTAAACATACTTTATAACAGTATCAAATCATAAGTCTTTTAGAAACTGAACAGTGATTTAATTTGCATCTTTTGTTATTATGTTCCATGATTACTGATCGTATATGGTATTATTTGTCATTGAACATTCATATGCAATGCATTATTATCATTACTATTCTTAATACAGTTTTATATTTATAGTACAAAACGAAATATATAATACAATTAGTGTTAACAACAATGCAATTGTAGCTGTTGTCTTGACATATGAATCTGATTACCACGTGTATGTTTAACGTTTAAAAATGTTATTCGTATATAAGAAAAGTGAACACACGATTTATACTGATTCTTCTTCTATCCAGTTCCAATATAATAATTACTACGAATATATTTATAAAAAGAAATCACTGCAATCTATTGATTGTCCGTTGCAGATTTTTCTGACCAATATAGTTTACTATCCATAAATGTGTAATAAACTGTGCACTTAATTATTATATTATATTCTTATTCGCAAGCTAACTTACTATCAAAGCTGCTTAAAGCAATCGCAAATGCTTGCAGCGTGCACAATGGAAATCTGTAATCCATTGTAAAAACATCTTCTGCTACACGACCAAATTGCATGACAACATAATCAACTGTAACATAATATTAAAAATTAATTTTCACAATTGACTACCTACATACCTATTGAAATATAGAATACAAACCGTCGCTATCATGTACGACTTGAAAATTCTTTACAGAAGCCTGCGTTACTCGTCCATGAAAATTAAGTACGTATGATTGCGTGTCATCATTCCACACAGGAGTCTTATTATGTAATTCTATTAAGTTATCCATATTTTTTGTTTTCCAACGTTCTATAAAAAAATAATTTGAAATAATGCCACAGTCCTCTCAATATTACAACAAGGATTTGTTCAGTAAAATAGTAATAACAATATACCAAGTAATGTTTCTGATTCATCTCTCGGACAAATTTCAACCCTTTTTTGATCCGACGTCATTCCAGGAATGATAACAGTCATTTTACGCGGCCCTTTGAATCCTAAAACGTTTGTGTCGTATATTACTGCGGCTAATTCTTGTCTTGGGTTAAAGCGATCGTCACGTTTATCATCCTTTATTAGTGAATATCCGTTATCGTAAACGGTAAACTGTGTCCCCAAAAGATTTGATCTTAATTTTCCAATATAAGACTCTCCTCCTCGTGAAAGATCCGTAGGATCAGTGGAAATTAAATAATTACTCGTTGTACTTTTTTTTCTTTTGCGCCCAGCTAATAGAAATATCTGTAAATATAAAACCGACTATCATTTCTATCTTTTAACAAAACACCAAACGATTATATAGAATCAATGCATACTTTTTTCCCATAATCTCGTTCTAAGTGTAAAAAATAGGTTGGGTAGAGACCACGATCCATACCCTTTCTATCACGTGTTATTCTACACTTGTAATGCATTTTTTTATTTGCTGGTTGTAACACAAAATGCTCGATATTTCCTTCCACGTTTCCTTCGAGTTCCGGACTCTGCACAAAGGGTATAAATTTAACATTTTAAGTAATTAATAAACAATTTGTCCTTATGATCACTACTTGCTTACTGAGGAATTATTTTCTCTGTTAATAAGCATACTAGCTCCATCCGATGGTGCTACTCTAAGGGGTGAAGAACATGGTAGAGATTCTGAAGGTGAGTGTATATCTATAGGTGATGATTCTTCATCTGCACAATCAGTAGCTTCCATAGTTTGATAGAAACCTCCCTCTGTGCTCACTTCTGTATTAAAACAAATACATGTATATTTCTGTTACAAGTATAAAGTTTTAATCAATATACCATTAATTCTTGTTTCTATATCCTTATTTTCTGAAAATGTACTTAAATCAGGATTTGTCTGTGATATGCTAAATTGCAATGGCCCATCATATCCTAAAATAAATCAAATTTTTACATATGTTACAAAATGTTGTGATGTTCTAATATCCTTATTTTTTATATCCTTTCTTAAGGTACCTCGAAGTTCTTTATTTGGATTCATCCATTTTGTAGAATGGCTTGTAAGCTGAGTACATGATATATTAGATGCTTGTACCATTCCTCCAGCACCACTTTGTCGTTTTTGTTTCATCTTTTGTGCAATTAGTTGCCTCTGTAACACAAGTTCTAGATTAAAATTTACATACAAATACATTAGTATACTTCTTAAAAAAAAGTATATTACTTTGATTATGACATTTAAATTTAATGATTTAAAGTTGACCTACTTTTTTTATTCTTATGTATATATGCACTACAATGAAATTAGTTATGAACTATCACAAAAGATTAATACAAATTGTTAAATTTGTAAATTTATAAATTTATAAGCTCAGTTGTTCTTCTAAATATTAATGAATATCAAATATTCTTAAATTATTATATGCACAACCGTATATCACACGTATACCTGTTGTTCAAGTTTCTGTTGTCTTAAATCTAAAGATGTCATACTGCCAATATGTATTAACGAGAACTGTCATATACAATTGATTTCCAGATTAATTAAACTTGTCAGAAAACCAGTTTGTTTACCCCAAACATGTACCGTCGCCCATGGCTACCTAGGCAACCGAATGATAGAGAATTGTAATATATTTTTAAGGCGTAACCGCATTAGAAGAAACTGTGAGCTTTAATTTTAAAATTGAATAATGATTTCAATAATAATTTTAATAATACTTTGCTTAAAGTTTGCAGAATTCTATACCTCGTCTGTCACGGTAGAATATATGTATAAGAATTGTATAATACAAGTTGGTATAGCAGGATGTGACCCGAAAATGAGGGTATTATTATTTCAAAAGATATACTTCCTAATCCCCCTGTGGCTGGGGGGTTTAGAATACAGCCACGGTATCCCCTGCCTGTCGTAAGAGGCGACTAAAAGGGGGCGCAAGAGAAAGACAGGAAAGAAGAATAAAAAGTATGGAAATAATGTAAGGAAAGAAAATGTAACGAGCAAAGGAAAAATGTAACACGAAAAGCAGAATAATGTAAATTGAAAAAGGCGCGGGAAAGTTTCGAGAAGGGAATACTAGCGCCACCAACCGAGAAACAGCGGAAACTACACAACAACTTACCGATTACAGTATGATAAGTCGGTAAGTAGTTTCCAGAAAATAACAATGTCCGCTTCTCGCGTTGAAGAACTAATCAGCTACTTTAAATCACATAATAAAATTAGAGAACAACAAAGTCATTCGGCCAAAGTGCACAGCGTGGGATGGAGCTGCGATGGAAAACTTTTGGCCTCAGGTTCCTTTGACAAATCTGTTTGCATTTTCTCTCTTGGACCTGATCGTTTGGTACATAAATATAACCTTAAATACCGGCATTTTCTATTATTTGCTGTTGTATATTCTATAGATTTTAGTTAACTTATAGTTTCATTATATATTTATTTACGTACTTTATTAAAATATCTATTAAATTTAACGTTATCATTCTAAAAAAACTGTTGCAGAAGCAAGAGACAACTTTTAGAGGGCACGGTGGTAGTGTAGATCAATTGTGCTGGCATGCCTTTTATCCAGAATTATTGTCCACTGCAAGTGGAGATAAAACAGTTCGTATATGGGATACAAGAACTCAAAAATGTACAGCAAATATCAGTACAAGAGGGGAGAACATTAATATATCATGGTCACCCGATGGAAACACAATAGCAGTAGGCAATAAAGAAGATCTGGTGACTTTTATTGATGCAAGGGTAATGAAAATTCGTGCTGAAGAACAATTTAATTTTGAAGTGAATGAAATATCATGGAATAAGGATTCTGATACATTTTATCTTACTAATGGCCAAGGTTGTGTACACATTCTTAGCTATCCAGACTTAGAATTATTACATGTAATTAAAGCACATCCAGGAACATGTATTTGCATAGAATTTGATCCAACTGGAAGATATTTTGCAACTGGTTCAGCAGATGCATTAGTTTCTTTATGGGATGCAGATGAATTATGTTGTTTAAGAACATTTTCAAGACTAGAGTGGCCAGTGAGAACTATATCGTTCTCTTATGATGGACAGTTATTAGCTGCAGCATCTGAAGACTTAGTTATTGATATAGGTGAAGTTGAAACTGGAGAAAAAATTGCAGATATACCTGTGGAAGCAGCAACTTTCACAGTTGCATGGCATCCAAAACAATATTTATTAGCCTATGCTTGTGATGACAAAGATACTTATGACAGAAAACGCGATGCTGGTAGTCTAAAAGTATTTGGATTTGCCAGTGATTAAAACATTATTTTTAAACTTTTTTATTAAAATATACGATTATGTAAAAAAACTATACAACTTGCTTTCTGCACCTCTCCTAATATATTTTAGGATCATAATTTATAAATAACTGAATAATTTATCATTCTGTCTTAATTTTCGAGTTGTCTTAAATAATCTTTCCCTCAAACTGTTTTTATGTGAAATGAAACTGTTTGCGCAGCCAAATCGAATTTGACAAGTTTTCAGAAATTTAGCCACTTATGTCTTCTGTTAAATATATGAAATTGTATGTATGTACAGTTGTGAATACACCTTGATATATAGTATTACATACATATAATACAAGTCTCATGTCAGTAACAAAATTCATTCGTATTTCAGTGTTGATACTTTGTTGACATGGTTACCAGAATTCATTTATTGCTTGACCTTCTTAACTCCCAGACTATTGAACCTTTTAAAAAATTATAATAACTCTTTGTCTTCATGATGTCATGTTTACAAAATCATGAGATTAATTGCGAGTGTCAGTACACACTGACATTCATGGATAATGTTGTTGAAAAAACGTTTTCTGAAATAAAAGATAGTTTTACTCGTGTACCTAGTATTCATGAAGTGGATGAAGAGGACACGGATGAAGAACATGCTTCTGAACATGAATCAGAAACTTGTAAAGATGTTCAACAAATTACAGATATAACAGAAGCTGTAGATGAGGATTCCATGTATAGTAATGAATCGTTTTGTTCTGATGAATCTTGTGATGAATCTGAGGGTACCAATGTCAGTCCAAGATCTTTAAATGATTCACATTTTTCGCCCCAAATTAATGATAGCAAATGTGATAAGGATGATAACGAAGACAAAGATAAACAATCTGAAAATGTAACACAGAACAATGATATAAATTTAACTTGTAAAAATTCAATATGTGAAGATGGTTCTATAGCACTTAAACAAGCAAAAAGTAAAAGAAAAAACATGAGTTTTACAGATGACGAACTGCGGAAGATTGAATGGGAAAATCAATTACTTTTAAAAAGGATAATGGCTCAACAAAGACCAAAAGACAAAGTATTTCATGAAAATATACAACAACCACGAGTAAGCAGCTCTGCAATAAATAGAAGGAAATTACAGAGAAAAATAGAGAATGAAAATATAGTATGTATAAATATTTAAATATAGCAGAGATCATAATGGAAACATCTGATTATACATATAGTTGTCATAATTTATATTATTAAAATATTTTCAGTTACTGCTTCAAAGGATACAACAGGCTAAATCGTGTGTTACGAATACCATGACAAAACCCGGTTACAGACAGACAATTTTATAAAATATAACAAACAATTTTTATGTTTTACACTAATCAAAATGAAAGTATTTGGTAATTTTTTGCTTTTTAAATCAAGAACTTGTAGTACAAACCTTGTGGTTGTGATTTACATATGAATATGTAACTTTTCGTAAATATGAAGTTTTGTAAAATGTCTAGTACATAAAGACAAATAAATATACAATATTCTTTTTATAATAATATGAGCATCTACCAGTTATCTAAATTTTAATAATTATTTAAATTTATACAAGCAATTAAATACCTTATATATTATTATGTATAAAGATTATTTATAAAAGTAAGAAATTAAAACACAGCAATTACCAGTCTTGAAGAGTAGGTACACATTTTTATTTTGTTTTGTATACATCACAACTTTGTAAAATGTTTTGAAAACTTACCGAAGAAATTTCTACAAGTCAAGACTATAAAAATCACAGTTCTCACTCGTTCCAAATAACTTAATTGTTATCTTTTGTGTAACATCAAGACCAACATCCTTTGAGTATTGTAATCATTTTTCATGTACGTGTAAAAAGTACAAAAAAATGATGATGATACAGAACCAAGGAACAAAAACTTATAAAGTAGGAGTTTTTGTATTCACGCATTAACATGGGTTCCTTTGCTTTTTGGTTGTGAAATCTTATTTCAAATTCAGGTATACGACTTTGGTTGGTCATCTAGACTCGATATTATTTAAACAAAAAATGTGATTTTTTTCAATAGCAGAAATTTCAGCCGTAACATAAACATAGGCCAACAAATGATAACATAAATATTTAACGAGTACAAACAAATTTTGTCCGAACTTACGCGATATTATTATGCGAGGTACTATTTAACAACATATCACAATACGCGAAACATCAATAATAATAAAAACCAGCTAGTTGTTTTTAAGCACTATCGATCACAAAAGTGTGACTAATAAATATATCATTACTTTTCATTGAAGAAAAGGAAATTCTCAATCAGGTCTAGATATCACAAGACAAATATCGAAAATTTTTGGGAACGAGATTAATCTTCGTGCTTCTTCTTCCAACATTCTGAAGATGATGGTGTCCATATTGTACTGAGTGAACGAAATGGATCGAAACCCGATCTTTCCTGAAATAAATAATTAAAATATATAAAACATTAATTCTTAGAAAAGAAAAAATTTTCATATTTGTTTGCACAATTTAAAATTACTTGTGTATCTGATTCTGTTGGTAATGATGGTAACTGGGAAATCATGGGAGGAGTGGCTGCACCCCATGGACCTGCAGCCCATACCCCTCCTGTATTTACACCCCAAACACCGCTTCGTTCTTCACCTACTGCTGTTCTGGTATACAAAGGTTCCCAATTTGTTTCTACTGATGCCCAATTGTCTGAAATGTTCAATTTATTATACATTTTTTTATTATACAACATTTTATAGAAAATGATAATACCTTTTAACGTATCCGTCAGTATCAAAGGTTTTTCCGGCGGTTTTGACGATTCCAACTGAAATCCACTTGTGTTATCAGATAACAATTTAAGCATGGAATTATTATCTTCCCATAACTGACACCTTGTATCTTCCTCAGGACTTTCTAATTCCATCAGTGGTTCATCTGTTTCTGGAAGATCATCGTACGGTACCAATTCTCGTTCAAACTGGAAAGTATCATTTACATTAAGATACATGGAAATGAATTACATTTTCGTATGTGTAAAGGTTTAGTTACCGGTGATTCCGTAAAAGCATTTATGAAATAACTATTCGAGTGCTGTGTGTTATTCTGTATCTTCAAAGAATCCTGACCGAGTGGTTTTTCTTTTTCGACAGATTGAATACAGAGAGGCGGAGATTTCGGTATCATCGTATATTCCTTCGTATTTTGTATCAATTCTTGACCCGATTGCTGTTTCATATAATCTACGTCTTTGGTGTCGTTATTAAAGACCATTGATAAATTATGCGTATTTGTTTGGGTTTTATGTAATTTGTTCAAGCCTGAGAATGGCGAAATACTTTCTTGATTCCGTGCCACAACATCACTAAATCTAGCCCTATTTTCACCCCAGCATGCTGGCGGTGGTGGTAACGGAGTAGAAACTGTTCCTAGTGTCCGAGTCGGATCTTCCCTTTGGCTAGTATTTCCGTTTAACGATGCTGCTGTAAGAAAATTAAATAAAAATTTAATATTCAAATTCAGAGATGAATATAAATGATAAGATGATATACTTTTTATATGTCCTTTATCAATGCCTCGACGTTTCTGAGATCCTTTATCTTTTCTAGGAGGATTTTTATTTTGCCTAGGTATCTTAAACGATGACTCAACAGTGCGAGATGTGTGAATATGATGTTTTATGGTAGATCTTGTATTTGTTTTCCATCTGTTTGGATTATTATGTCTGTCTTTATCGTACTCATCATCATCGCAATCACCTTCATAATTATCTCTATAATCTACGCATGGCACAGGAGCAATTGATTGAGGCTTGGTCTTCTTATTTACAGGTTTTCTTTGCAACTTCTCTGATTTCCCACACGATTGATCAAAATTCTGTAACTTAAATTCTGTTAAGATATATTCATTTAAAATACTTAAATAAATAATTATCATTATTCTTACCTTACACGGTGGTGGATCATCTTGAACAGAACTTTCTGTTGTCGTAGACGACGTTTCTTCTTCGGAAAGATGAATGTTATTTCTTTGACTACTATTCGATTCAAATTTTTTAAAGGATACGTGATTGTTATTGCTACTTGTAACTGTGGTTTGTTTCCTTTTATTATCTAATTTACTAGCACGTGTATTATTCAAAAGTCCTGTCGTGTCAACCTGAACTTCATGATCAACCAATTTTGTTTCCTCTTTAACGATTCCTCCTTGATTAGATTTCCCTTTTCTATTCGTAACCGGGCTTGTTTTTGCGAATGCATTTACAGTATACTTCTTCTCCTGAGTTCCCTGAATATCTGGAAATACGTTTTCCCCTACACAGTTATCCGTCTGAATCTCTTGTACGTTGTTTTGTTTTTTATTATTCTTCTTCTTGGCACCAAGCGTAATATTGCTTATAATATTACTATTATCTAAGGTCGATTCCTCGTATCGTTTAAACGACAGTAAATTCTTCGTCTCGGTATCTAACTTAAATCTGCGTTCTTCATCTGCAGACCAATCAGGAATTTTTAGTCCTTTTTGTACATTATCTTTATCTTTAAATTTTTTAACGTTCATCAGTGCCCAATCTGGATAAGTCTCTTCTTTCTTCATTATCTTTTGCTTATCGTCATTTATTAATTTCTCCTTTACGGAAGTCGATTCTTGCGTTGAATGTACAGGCATGTGCGATAATAATCTTAAGTCTAAAGGAGGTTGAACTGGACTTTCTCTTGAGAAGCTAGCTATGGCTCCTCTTAATATCCGATCTGCTTCGAGAAACGAAATAGCGAGAATACATATTAACAGTATGGATGAAAGACTTATGGCTGCCCAGTGCACAACATATTCCCAAGACGGTCTTGTAAGCGCAGCTGTACAAGCTTCCAAAGAATGTGGAGGAAGTGTTGCGAGTAAATTAAGTATTACCATACCGTTTTCGATGTCACTATCAGAACCTAAACTGGTTGATATTAAAAGTTTTCTTTCGACACGTGACAAAGTAAAGTCTGGCGTGAATGCTATTTCAACTTTCTTCGTCGCGTTTGGGTTCAATTTAAACGACATACAGTTTAACACTTTGAAACCATAACCCTCGCACCGTAATCCATTAATATAAAAATCGTACACCTCTATGGGCAACTCTCCTGTATTTCTTGCCATGAAAGATCTTTTCACCGTCAGATTTGGAACTGGATTTCGTTTAAGTTGTTCTCCTGTTATTAAAAAAGAAAAAAGAAAAATGAAAATGTGCTATAATTTTGTTTTGTTATACTCATTCTTATTAGTATATAACTCATTGATATTATTTGATCATTTTAAATGAAGCATTTTCAATAATCTCTCCAGTTTATTTAAACGATAGGACGAAAGTGAAGAAACGTACATACGTTCACAATCTTTGAGATGTTTATCCGCAAGTTCAAATAATAATGGTGTAGTAGAACCTGGTTTTCGATTCCCAAATCTAAATTGTGCATTCGTTCCTTGACCTATCACACGCAATACTTCCAAAATAGTCATATTGTTTCTAGAAAAATTGAAACAAAAAATTTAGAAGCAATATATCTTAATTGAAACTTTTCGCACGCATAAAATTTACCTTATATACAAAAGTGCGGATGATAAAGATGGTGAGAAAGGAGTGTATGATACTCGAATTGTTCTCGATTCCAAAGGTTTTAAATATAAAGGAATCGACTGTGGTATTACCGTGACATCCCATTCTTTTTCAAATTTTTCTCGGTCTACACTACTTTCTTCTAATTTAAATTCCTCCGCAATTGTTGATCCACATTCCACGCACGTGAATTTGAACCTGCCCATAACATTATATGAACATTATTTATATATGCATCGTTATTCCAAATAATATTTGTTAATTTGTGAAAAATGTACGTACTTGGCAGGTAATGAATGATAAAGTCTTGCTCCTTGTGGATAATTCCAATCCATAACTAACTGTATTATTAAAGGACTGGTACTTGGATTGTATACTTTAATCGTACTATACGATGTATTTCCAACTTGTGTTAATGGAAACATTAGAGCAACTTTGTTTTTGTTATTACCAAAACCAGTCAATAAACTGGGCCAATGTGGTTTTATATTTAAATAAAATTTGTGCCCCCGAACTTCAGTTGTATCAAGACGCATCGTAATATTGTCCCAAGAACGACCGCCTGTTGAATTAAGAAAACGTGTGTATCTTGTATTTAATAAATTTAAATCAGAATCTCTTGTATGCGAAGGAAGAGCTAAAGTGTTCAACCATTGCCTGCCAGCTGTAATATAACAAAAAGATATTTATTTAACAATATACATAAAACACAAGATTAATAAGTAATAGTAATTAAGAATTTACCATTACTGTCCAGTGACAGGCCTAAGTAACAATAATGCTTACAAGCCATTGATGGCTCAATTCTTATTGACCCAATATAATTTTCACCTTTTGTTATAACAGGCATTGATGCTTCTTCTAAAGGAATATATTTTATTCTATTATCTTTGTTGACAGGCGCAATTTGAGTTACCTGCATGGGTCTTACAAATGTCGAATATACTTTTAGCTGTTGCACGCAAATTGACCCCTGCACATTAATTGTTATATCAATAAATATTATCTTTCTTATCATTGATGTAATTACTTACGGGAAAACAATCCGTAAAAATAAGTTTCTTTAAAGATATCCTTCCATGTGCAACTCGCATATAAACCGGTAAAGTAAATCTTTCGTAAGTTGTTCTAACAAATACATCACCTACGATCGTGGCTTCTTCAACCATTGGAGTTTTTACTTTAATTTTAAAAATAGCTAAATAGCCAGGTTTTATGTATTGCTGAAATTAATATATATATATATATTTTTTTTTTTAAATTTTATTTTACAATATGCGATTTATGCGAAATATTACATACTTACATTGCCTGTATGACTGCATACAGTTATATTACGAAGCTCTTTATCTAAAAAATCAGCTGGACCTCTTTGGCAACCCATAAGTTCTAGCACCGCACCGGGCATATTAACTCCCCATCCATGCAAATCTATATTAATTGGATTTTGATTTTCCAATGCAAAGATAGCTTCGTTTTCAGTTCCGCTTCCTACAGTACCAAAGTTCATTGTGCCCTCGTCACTTTCTCTTTCTTCAGGAACAATTTTTCTTACTTTTCCATCGTAACTCAATAATGGAACTTCGGTTACGGAAACATTCGAATGTATTAAAATTGACGATTCCATTTTTACGTTATCAGTTTTCCTATCTTTTGCGAGTTGTAAAGAAAATATATTGACCTTTTGTTCTGGCTTTATTACTCTCGGGATAAAATTTTTTATCTGTAAAATTTAATATCACTTTGTTCTTTTACAAGATATCGAGTATTCTCTTAAGGATATTAGCAGCAAATCCACGTACCGTAAAAAGTGATTTTACATGCGACGACATTGTGACATTTGTGATAGCTAACGGCAATTTAAATTTATTGACAACGCTAAAATTTCGTGCTTGATTAGATTGGAGAGAACAATAATGTGTAATTGATGCGTTTACTTCTAATCCACCCTGTAGAACTTGTGCTATCCATGGTATTGTTAGTTTTTGACTAGATCCACCGGGACCTATCGCTTTTATCACTAATTTCCCTTTAAAATGTTGTAGTTCTAAACCAGTCTTCCCTAAATAACAGGTATATATTGTTGAATAATATAAAAATATATCAGAAAAAATATAGAGTTTAACCACATACAGTCATAAATTAATGCTCCGATGGCTATCGGTATATCCGTATCCCCTGGAATTACCGCTTGTTCAAAATGAAGTTTCAATGCTTTAGAAACAGGAGTGCTAATAATATTCTGTAAAAATATACAATAAGTATTCTATTAACAGAGGATAATATATTTCAACCACCCACCATAATTTTAATCGGTTTTTTTGCCGAGTTCTTTAAAGCAATGGGATACTGAATGGGAGGTTGTAATGAACCTCCCATGCCTAAATTAATTACACCAGAGCTTCCACCCCAATGAAGACCAGCCCCATTTTTCACTTCAACTTCGACTGTTACAACAAGTACCTCTGATGTATTATTTACTTTAAGTCTGTAATGTGAAGAGACGTTTATAAAACCGAATTTATTTTTATTGTTAAATAAAACGCCACGAAGGTACAAACCTAATGTATGCAGTATGATTTTTTTCTGTGTAAGCATTAAAATGTAATCTTATGATAGGCTTGGTTTGATATGGTGGGATTTCCCATAATTCACGTGAACCTTCAGCCTCTCCTGATGGCAATTCCAATTGAAACTCTCCACCGCTACTATATACTTCTAAAACCTGTTAAAATCCAAGGAAGATATAGATAATACACGTAGATAATAGAAAATTAATACTCCCATTACATACTTGTAAAGCTTCTGCATGTGGATTGTGCATATATATAAGTGGAGTAAATGTTGCATTTAAAGGTAATTTAACACCCACTACAGGTCTGAGTCGATATGGACTACTGACGCTTATTCCCTTTACCTATTAAAAAACATAGCTGTACTTTTAATATAGAAAAATATATCGAAAATTCAGAATTATAAATATAATAAGTTTGTTACTTGGTACTTCACAGTTCCATCTGCAGTATGTATAAAAAGATGTGTATCGATATCTCCTTCGTCACGACCGAGAAAAATAACATCAAATGTTGTGTTCCCCAATGGTGGAATCACCTATAGAAATCAAACTGTGATAACTTAACATTCATGATACTGTATCTAGAAATGTATTGTCTTTCTTTTTATATATATGTATAACAAGTTATCATGAAAAACTTACTTTATTTCGAAAGAATGATGCATGGAAATGACGTGTATTTCCAGAAATTGATAAAAGATGGATTGTTTTGTTATGATCTCTATTAAACAAGATCACAGTTTCTTGGTGGGGTATACCAAGTTGTCTAAGCAAAACAAGATTCTCATTGTACATAGATTCGCTTAGAATCAAAAAATTAATTATCATAACATAGTTACCTCTCCTTGAAATCCAAAACATGTGGTTTGAAATGAACATAAGATAATGAATCTTGTATTTTATCTTCATCTGATGTTGTATCCCTTGAAAAATAATTTTAGAAGTTTAGTACATTCGTTTATAATTGTCAGATGTACTTCTAATAGTGGAAATTGAAAATAGGAAAGGTACAAGAAAAATTAGTTTGAAGTAATCACAGTTAGTAAGCAGTGTTTAGAATTTGATAGTTGTTTAAATATTGTACAATGATGAAATGATTAAATGGTTAAAATACTTGTTAAAACATTAAATCCTTTATATATATTATACTCTATAATATATTACACTAAAAAATTTATATTTACCACATCTATACCTACATAGTTTTTGTATCATTATATTAAAATAATCAGTTATTGAATTAGTATCTTTGTTCTAAATAGATATTATATATTTATGCTACATATAATCAAATCATCAGTAGAAGACTACAATATAATATATAAATATTTTAAAAGTAAAGAAGAAAATTTATAATAAAAACCTTTCCTACTTCCACTCACCATTATTTTAATGAGTATTATGCTTACCCAGCCCCATGTACTGTATTAGCAAAATCCTAGAAAATAGAAACATAATAAATTATATGATACTGATACAAATAATTTATGCTTCAAGCTTTTCTAAAACATATTAACGTCATTTCATCTATCAAGAAGTAAAATTATATTAACAACAATATACCCCTGATATTTATTATTATTAAAATATTCTTCCAGAAGTAATAATGCACCAACCTTATGCATAGACATTGGTATATTGTCCAAAAGGTATTGAACATCATTGTCATCCTGTACAAAGGCTGTAATAAATTTAATGATATTAATTACTATTACAAATATCACTGTTAGCAATTATTTGTTACTGTCGTTAGTCATAAACAACATGATCACTATATTTCACTTGTACATTAACAAAGATCTTTATAAATATCAATGTACTATTAATATGATAAAATTATGATGAATATGTTGAAAATTATTTTAAACTTATAGTGATATCTCAAAATTTTATTTATTTAAGTACAATATAACACAATACAACACAGAAGATAGAAAAAAAACATTGTATGAAACTTTCATTTAAAATATAAATTTATTTCATCTGAATAAATGCAATACAAAAATGATGGGTTAATATAATGTATATTTTTTCAAGCATACAAATACAAACTTCTGTTTTTCTTTAAAAATAAGGATTACACGACCTTTGAATAAAATGAAGAAAACATTACATAAAAATAATGTTAATAATGTGGGTTAAATAGAAGTGTACTTTTTTAAAATGTATATTATTGTGGGTAAATGAAGGTAATTAAAATAGTGTAAATATATGCTTACCATTATTGTGCCCGTGTAAGGACGGTCGAATTTGTGACGTCAGCTCGAAAAATGTTAACAAGAGGAGGTAATAAAGTACTTTTAACTCAGTCATAATAATAGTCTCACTGTGTTGTTTGCTGTTTTGTCTTTAGCAGAAATGAAAATCCGCTTTCGGCCATACTTTTGCCACTATCGAATTCTGAAGTATCGATTCCACTTCCGTCCGATTTGAAACCCTTCCACAAGTGAATTTCGTGCAACCAATCTGACGAGGATAGATTATATGTAGTTCTTGTATCTTTTATTATTATGTCAATATACTGTTGATATTTAAAACTCCTTTATCTATCCACTAATTGCATATTTAATTTTTTCTCTAGAAATAGTTCCCTTCTCTGGAATATAATGAAATTGTTACTTTTCCACTTAGTTCAATTTTCTGAACGATTATCATTGCAGACTTAAAAAGTAAAGTTGCTTTTTTGATTGAAGCGATATATGACTATTGTTTTTACTATTTTACTATAGGAAAATTTCCAATTTTACTAGTCTATTCGAATGTTCTATTATATACCGAATAAGAATGTAAGCGCCATCTGCTCACTGGTCATTGTACATACATAGTACATGCATACATACACGGTTACCATACCAGTGACTACAGATCCAAGACTGGACATCTTGAAATTGTTCCTTGACGAGCGCAATTTGCTAAATAACTCCGAAAGGAAATAGGGTAAATTAAATAATAACTCAGCTGCTTTTTTTAAATGATTTATTTGAGAGGGTGCATGAAGTGAATACACGTTTGTTTTACAATTATTTTAATAATGTTTCGGTCTCGTACTAGTTTTGTACTAGATCGATACCCGATCAGCTGTGACATTTCGCTTCACTGCTTATCGATCGATCATCCAGCAGTTGGTAAAGTCGAGGAGGACAAGAAGGGCGACCCAGGCCTCTCCTAGCAAGGATTTGGCGCCAGGTCGAGGCTGCCATTAGACTGCCATTAGACATTAGACCTCCTCCCGGAAGACGTGGGAGGCTCCGACGTTGGAGCCTCTCTGCAACGTCAGTGAAGGTCACCGTGGTGGTTTTAATGGGTAAAAATCCCACACTACTCATCGCCCCTCCATCTAGGGTGTGATGGGTGTCATTTCGAAGATTTCCACCACGTAAAAAAAAAAATTTCCTTACTTTCCCTTCCTAAACTTTCTTTCTAACTTTATATGCATCTCTTACATCTTTCTATACGGTACATACCTGAATTCTTTACATCTATGCATCCCTGATAATAAATTGCATACCCCCTAGCGGCAAAAATGTGAACTAAATTTTCGATGTCGAATCAGCGTCATCTGGTGGTCGAAAAAGGAACTAAACCATGCCGAAATTTTGGCCCTCTGGCGGCAAAAATGCGAACTAAATTTTCGATGTCGAATCAGCGCCATCTGGTGGCAGAAAAAGGAACTAAACCACGCCGAAATTTTGGCCCCCTGGCGGCAAAAATGCGAACTAAATTTTCGATGTCGAATCAGCGCCATCTGGTGGCCGAAAAAGGAACTAAACCATGCCGAAATTTTGGCCCTCTAGCGGCAAAAATGCGAACTAAATTTTCGATGCCGAATCAGCGCCATCTGGTGGCCGAAAAAGGAACCAAACCATGTCGAGATTTTGGCCCTCTGGCGGCAAAAATGTGAACTAAATTTTCGATGTCGAATCAGCGCCATCTGGTGGCAGAAAAAGGAACGAAACCAGGCTGGTATTTTGGCCCTCTGGCGGCAAAAATGTGAACTAAATTTTCGACATCGAATCAGCGCCCTCTGCTGGCAAAAAAGGGAACTAAACTTTGAAGAAATTTTAATTTAAAATTATTTTTCTCGAGACTTTACTTACCTTTACTTACCTTTACTGGAACTAGTCAGTGGCCATAAGTATATTATTTATAATATATTGTTATATAATATATTAATATAGTCCACAACTGCGACGCGCTGGTTGGAAGATGGTGGGGGAACGCAGCGAGCTCTCTGCTAATCGCTTTCCACTTCGTTTGGGAGTATCGCCAATCAGGGCGAAGATGCGTACTGGGGATGCGCGAAGAACGAAAACTGGTCTTTTCGCAGTTATGGACTGTGGTGAACTGCGGTATATAGTCACTGCTATACCTGGCCATAACCTTAAAAGTAAACAAATGTATATAAAATATAGTATGATAATTTGTCATATTTAATTTCTGTTTAACATATATAAATATTGTAAACATTAGTAGTCATTATATTTTGTTGGTTATCGATATTAAGATTAAAACATGCGAAATACTGGTATGTAACATATCTGTGTCCTTTTACCATCATTAAATTTGATATGAAAGTGCCCTGCAGATGTGTTACTTAATATTTATTGCAAATAAAACAGGTAAAAGGGGTGACAAAAAGAAGCTTTCATGGATCTACAGGAAAAAGATAAGATTTCAAAAGTCTAAGAGAGGTACAGAAATTACAAATAATAATGGAGAGGAAGATAAAATACCTAGAATTATTGTGCGTAATGTACCATTTAAGGTTGGTGTATTTCTTTTTATTATTATCTAATTCAAAGTACTCTGTTTGCATTAATATACTTATCTTTATTGATTTATGGTACTAGGCAACTATAGAAGATGTACAAAAATTATATGAACCATTTGGTCAAATATCAGATATAAACTTTCCAAAACGTGCAGATGGTACACCAGTTGGATGTTGTTTTATTCAATTTAAACAATTAGAACAGGCATCAAAAGCAATATTTAATACAAATAAAAAGGAATTCCTTGGTAATTCATTAGTTTCGTAGTTTTAAACATAATGAAGATTAATAATAATTATTTGATGGTAATAAAACATTAAAAATCTAATTTTAGGTAGGATAATAAGTAGTAGTTGGGCTATTCCAAAATCTAAATATTCTGAAAAGCTAAAAAATGAATCTATAGTGAACCTAGATAATGGTAAGGTAGATGATAACAACATAACTAAAGATAATGCATTAAACAATGATAATGAAAATCAAGATTTTGATAAAAGTGACGATTTTGATAAAAAGGAAAAATTAACTCAAATAAGAAAAGAAAGGAGAAAGTTGTTGAAAGAAAAAAATCGAAAGAAAAGGGCAAGAATTATAGTAAGAAATTTATCATTCCAGGTAAGATACATTTATGCTTATCAATGAATTTTTTTTATGATTTAAAAGCTTTATTTATTTTATATCTTTAGGTAACTGAAGAAAATTTAAAAGATCATTTCTCTCAATACGGAACAATTGAAGAAGTACAAATTTTGAAAAAAGAGGATGGTAAACATGTGGGTTGTGCATTTTTACAATTTAATTATGTACAAAGTGCAGCTAAAGCTATACATTATGCCAATTTGCAACCACTTCTTGATAGGCCTATTGTAGTTGATTGGGCTGTACCTAAAAACAAATTTTGTAAAAATTCTGAAAATGAAACAAACGGTGCGGTGGAAGTAAAAATAGAAAAAGACAGTGATGCTGAAGATGCAGATCTGGCTGTTACAACTGGTGATGGATTATGTAGGTAAGTACATATTTCAGTTATTGTTAACTTATTTATTAATTCAGAATTAATACATGTACTCATATATTAATTTTGTATGACTGTAGTGAAGATGAAATAACAGATGCACATGACTCAGATAGCGATGATTTAGTAGAAGCAGAAGTTAAATCAGAATGTGAAAATGAGGCTTTAGATCAAGAATTGTCTGAAGTTGATGAAAAAGATAAAGTAAATGAGAAGGAAGAAATAAAACGTCCACGTTATGAATCTCATGATGTTTCTGAAGGAAAAACTGTATTCCTCAAAAACGTACCATTTTCTATAAAGAATGAAGAATTAAAAAAATACATGGAACAGTTTGGACCAATTTATTATGCCCTTGTATGTATAGATCCGCTTACCGAGTATTCAAAGGGTACAGCATTTGTTAAATTTAAGGTAAATTTTTATGGGTATTTAATATTTGATAGCAAACTTTAGAACTATTTTTAATTCAAGTTCAATTTCAGAATGTTGAAGATGCTGAAAAGTGTCTATCCGCAGGAACTGAATTACAAATGGAAGATCAAATAATTGAAGCACAAAGAGCATTAGATAAAAATGAAATCGAAAATAAAGCAAATTCGAAGCATCAACGACAAAAGGATTCTAGAAACTTATATCTTGTGAAAGAAGGAGGTAACATTAAAGAAAAAGTTAATAATTAAACTTTTCTAAGGATTACTCATTGTATAAATATTTACTTTTTAGTTGTATTAGCCGGAAGTCCCTCTTCTGTCGGAGTTTCTGCCGCAGATATGGCAAAACGATTACAAATAGAACAATGGAAATCACAGATATTGCGGAATTTGAATATGTTTGTATCCAGAGTACGTTTAGTTATTCATAATTTACCAGCTACATTAAATGATGATAAGCTCAGAAAAATAGTTGAACAACATAGTCCTCCGAACGCAACCATTAAAGAGGTTATTTAAATTTTAATATCACTAATGGTACAAGTTTTCCTGAAAAATAATTTAAATTAATTTTATAAAGGTACGAATTATGCGAGATCTTAAAAATGTTGATATGAAAGGTGTAGGAAAGTCGAAGGAATATGGATTTGTTGCGTTTACAAGACACGAAGATGCACTTGAAACTTTAAGAAACATAAATAACAACCCAAATATATTTACCCCAAAACGAGTACGTAATATATTATAAATCAAGGTACAATTAAATAAATTCATGTTTCTACATATACTTTTATTTATTCAGAGACCAATAGTATCTTTCTCAATTGAAAATCGAGTCTTGGTAAATGCTAAACAGAAAAGACTTCAAAAGAGCCGAGAGAATAATCCTCTTTGTTCGGAAAATAATAATAATAATAATAAAAGAAAAGGGGAAAAAGCAGATGCGGAAGTTACAATAAAAAAATTAAAAGTTGGAAATGTAGATAAATCTGACAAAAAATCGTATGTTGGAATGATTGGAAAACCTGGTGAAAATAAGTTACGATCGAAATTTAATATAAAAAATCAAGCAATTTTACATAATCAAACTCTAAAGAAAGAAAAGAAGATGAAGAAATCTTCTAAGAAGTTAGACATAAAAAGAAGAGCAAATATTGCGAATAGAAATGAAATTAAAGTAAGTATTCATTTGTGGATATTAGTATATTACTACGATTTTAATCATATTTGTCTTTGCAGCCTAAACAGGGAACAAAGGTACACGCAGATGATGTGAACTTGGATAAACTTGTGCATAAATACAAGAATACATTGAAATCAATAGAGCTGAGAAAGTCAAAGTGGTATGAATCATAATGTCAAATCATTTTGAATGGTGTAAAAACGAATGAATTTTAATATAATGTATAACATAATGAAACTATTTAATAAAAATATTGTATTAACAAGTTTTGTGTCTTTATTATGATGTTAACCTTATAAAATATTTGAAAGAACCGTCAGTCTTACATTCTAAGCAACGAGTAGATAGTTCACCAATAAGAATTATTGGTATGAAGTAGGCAATAAAAGCGCACAGTGGAAGGGATTTAAGTGAAAGATTGAATTCGACATTTAGAGCTAGCCTTTTTTTCCTTTATTTTAGTCGATTATACTAAGTGTTTTGCATTTTAAGGAAAAAGTGAATCTGGAATGCAAAGGAATTTATGCAACGAGTATCAAAATAACGAAAAATTATGTTAAAGAACGAGTTTAATCAAATTCGACGACTATTCCCCTCCTTGGAACAGTCTCCCCCCTCAAATAATCAGTCTGAGTTGACGTTAAAAACGTATAATAGTTGGCGGGAACTCTTGAAGAATAAAAGGATATCTTGTACTCTTGTTCTTCTCATTCAAAAGTTGTTCGTCGTGCACGGTGTATACAAAGTCAGTACGATTAATTAAGTAAAACGAAATGATAACTAAAATAGGTAATTTATCTAAACCAATTTGTTAGCTTGTTGGTATAAGTGACTGTGATTTCTTTGTGTTATGTTCAAATTATTATTTTAATACAGCAACAGACTATATTCATATAACACTGAATTTTAAGGGAATTTTACTATACTTTGGTAAGTTTTAAAGAAGTTACCTTTGATCTGCACAATGAACTTAAATATTATCTAACTCTAATTTTCAATAAAAAGAAAATACAAACTAGAAAGTTTCCGGCAATTATACTTGACTTTTCACAGAACCTTCAGAGTAAGAGCAGTAAATTATAGTTTCCACTGAAATGCCAGACGACCGCTATTAAATGAAATAATCCTGACCTGTTTTTCTTTCGTTCGAATAAAAATAACTAAATATCGCTTACGTACATTCACATGTTTTCGAGATAATTACTGAAATTGTTATAAAAGTAATACATAATCCAAGGTTTTACATTCACAATAAGCCATTTTTTTATATTACAGGATGAAAATGAACATCTTGAATTACGAATTTATCGGATTACGGAGGCATATCATTAAGCAATCAAGTAACATTATTAGAACATTAGAAACTTTGGCAACCGAAGTGGAAGGACAAGATTGGTCTCAATGTCGTCCTTACTCTGCAATTCCTGGACCAAGACCTATTCCATTCTTTGGCAACACGTGGCGATTTATACCTTTCATAGGTATTTTTGATCGACTGTAATTTTATTATTTCCGTCACACAATTCGACGTAATAAATCTATTCTATACGGTGTTAAGAATTTATAATGACCTCTAAAATCCGTAACTTTTGAGGATTAGAAGAAAGAAAGTAAAGCGAGTCTTAAAAATATTTTATAGAAAGAACATTGCGCGATTATAGTATATTTAAATAAATTGTGCAATCACTTTTTTCAGAAATAACTGGGAAAGTAGTATTTAAAGATATTTTATGGATATTCAATTTGCAATTTTGTAGCCTGAATGCTGTGCGCTTACTTTCAAACACGTCGGATTGCCATACATTAGGGGCAGTGCAAAAATTCGATTGGCTAATTCGTTAAAAGACCATAATATCTTGGAAACTATTTGAATATTCTAAACGTTACACCTACGTACCAAAATTACAAGGCTAATTTATTCCAGGTGACTACAAAATTCATGCAGTGGATCAAGTATCGAAAAAATTGCACAATGAGTATGGAGATATTGTGAAAATCGAGGGTTTACTAGGCAGACCGGATATGGTTTTCATTTACGACGCAAATGAAATCGAGCGTATCTTTAGGCAAGAAGAAAGAATGCCATACAGGCCTTCTATGCCTTCATTAAATTATTACAAGCATGTCCTTAGGAAAGAATTCTTCAATGAACACGCTGGCGTAATAGCAGTGTAAGTTTTGCATGAATATTGATGAAGGGGAGCAACTTTATAAGCGATTAAAGAAAGAAAAAACTAGAACTTATAAATTACGTTTCATGAGGGATATAGTTCTTTTTAATTCAATCGTAAAATTGTACATCATTTATTTACTATTTCAGACGATTCAGCTGAGAGAAAGGAAAAGGGAACACTAACATAAAATGAAATTGCACCTCGTTGCTGTCATCTCGCGAAAGTATAAGCTTTCATTGTAATTGCTACAGCATGTTCCTTTTGTAATCTAACGCATAATACTTAATGCCTGAAACGAGTGAAGCATGTGACATGTTTGCTTTCACACATGAGTCATCCACAGCTTCATAATGTTTGCAGGCTTCATTACACGTTATAATGGTCAAATATTTGAATTACAAACCTTCTAACGTTGTTGCTTAACCTTCCATTTAACAAACCACGTGTATCGCAAATATTTGCCATGCAGGTTGAAGATGTACTCCTGAACGCGTTAGAATTACACTACTTTTCCTTTACGCACGCTCTTTAACGTCTAACATTTTATCAACAATACCTTGATCAACAATCAATGATTTATTATTGATTGATTAATTTGAAAAGAGCGCGTTAAGAAGTTAAGAGGCTCTTTTAAATTAATTGTATGCAATTCGATCTATACGTAGCATGAATAATAAAATGTATAACTCGGTTCCAGAAATTATTCTTGTCACAAGGAGCGGATGAGGAATAAATTTCGTGAAGAATTTTGCTTAAATAAGGGTGAAATATTTCCCTACGCGTGTCGCATCGTGTTACTGTTTAGAAAGTAAACCTTGCATAATCAGATATGGGTGCACCTTATGGCATCACTTCCTGCATGACAACTTGGCCTGCAATTGCAGTCGGATGACATACTTTCCTAATACCCGCATGACCAAAATGCTAATTATCGTCACAGTTTGATTTTGATACAATGATTTCAACTTCCGTTTGTGAGATGCTGGTTGATCAATAATTTATAACAGCGAAGAAGCTATCAGATATTTCATATTTTATCTTTTACATCACAATTTTCTATTTAATGTAACTTGAGAAATGTACTCGTGAATGTCAAGATCAGAATCGTTAAAGATACCTGTTCGCAGCGCATTAAGTTTACTAATGCACTGTTACTGTATCTGGTTATTAATGATTGCCAAGAAGAAACGGCAGTCTCCTAATAAGAAATGAATCAAAACCAGTGTGACCACTTTCCCATTCATTATTCTGGAGGTGGGCAAAGTAATAAGATATTTGTATTTATAGCAAGTGTTTCCATTATTTTGTAGATTAAAGAAAAATTGAGATACTAAATCAAAGAAATAATTACAGACATGGTGAAAGTTGGTACAATTTCCGGAGTAAAGTACAAAAAGTAATGCTGCAACCACAAACTGCAAGAATGTATGTTAACTCTATCGAGGAGGCGAGTACTGCGTTCCTTAAAAGGTATGGTGAAATGATCCTCTTTCAAACGTCGCTCGTGTATCTTACCTTTCACCCGTTTACACTGTCCTTATTTTTTCCGATACCATTTGTGTAACGTTACTAAGGCGTTTATGTTGGCTTCTAGAATTAGAAAAATACGAGACAAGAACGACGAGGTGCCTGATGATTTTCTCAACGAGATCCATAAATGGTCCCTCGAGTGTAAGTGAAGAAACGTAACACTCCCTAATATAATACCTGTTTCCTTCCGTAACATAAAATAGACCCTTCTTATATATTTTTGTACATTAAATATACAGTTTTCAAATTTGTATTCAACTAAAATTATAAAACAGAAAAAAAGGTTCCAAGCAGCGATCGCGTTATTTAGATTTTATGTCGAACAGACCCAGGTACTTTTGGACAATGTTTTTTCAATGACCCCTTGGATTCAAACGGTTAAGACGATGACGGAGCAAATATCTTCAATTGAGTACCTACTATTTATTCTATTCACTAATTCTTCACTCTCGTTGGTAAGCGAAAGCCGTCCTAAATTCGGATCTCTGAAAGGTATTCGATTTCTTTCTAAATTGCTGTTCCACGAACGATGGAAATAACGGTACCGCAAGTAGTTGGATTGTAATGTGCCCCAAAGTGCTTTGACACAGATGTGCAATACCCTTCACATTATTATTTATTAACTTGGGAGTAAATATTGCTAAATTAAATAAATCATTTGAATGATTAAGCAAGACCTTCAACGATTAAAAAAAATTTCTATTAATTCACACATTTCATACGAGTGCAGTAGATAGGATTTTATGATAAGAAAATCTGTACCATTTTTTTCACAGCCATAGCAAGTGTAGCCTTGGACGTTCGCCTGGGCTGCTTGGATGACAACGCTAATATCGAAACGCAGCAATTAATAGATTCTGTTACTACATTTTTTAAGAATGTAGGAGTATTGGAACTGAAGATACCTTTCTGGAAATTATTCAGTACACCCACGTGGTTAAAATATGTGAACGATTTGGATACTATTGTTAGGTGAAATAAAATTCTTGATAAAAATAGGATCCAATATGTAACTATAATCAGTTTCTTTTGTTAAAATGATTACAATTTTTTAGAATAACGTCAAAGTACACGGCGGCCGCTCTTTCGAGAATACAAGAAGGAAAAAATTCTGGCAAAGAAGCATCTCTGTTGGAAAAAGTTTTAGCTTCAGAAAATAATACCAAATTAGCCACTGTACTTTCTCTTGATTTATTTCTAGTTGGGATTGATACTGTAAGTGCTTCGAATAGGAAGTATATTACAATATTAAATTCTATGAATAAATAATGTTCATTTCATTTATAGACATCTAGTGCGGTAGCATCAACTCTGTATCAATTAGCTTTACATCCGGAAAAGCAAGATCTTGCCTACAAAGAAGTATGTAACATTTTTCCAAGTAAAGATACACTGATCGAAGGAAAGCACTTGGAACAACTGAAGTACTTGAAGGCCTGCATCAAAGAAACTCTGAGGTTCAAGCGAAAATCTCTAATCCCTTAAGTTCTCTTAATCTTAAAAGCAGTAAATTCTTCAAACTATAATGTTTAGATGTACAGTTAACATAACTTCGTTTTAGAATAATGCATATGCACTTTTTATTAGAATGTATCCAGTTGTTATCGGTAATGGTCGATGCATGACCAAAGATACGATAATTAGAGGATATCGTGTACCTAAAGGAGTAAGAACATTCTTTATTTTTCTTATAATTTTACGAATATTGTTGTAGCAGTATGTGATTGTAATATTTGTACCTTTAGGTGCAAGTGGTCTTCCAACATTACGTAATAAGCAATCTTGATAAGTATTTTCCACGAAGCAAAGAATACTTGCCAGAAAGATGGTTGCAAAGCGATGGGGTACGTCATAGTTTCGCGTCTCTTCCTTTTGGCTATGGAAGAAGAATGTGTCTCGGTCGACGTTTCGCTGAACTCGAAATGCTCGTCGTTATTAGCAAGGTAAATAATTCACGGATACAGGATGTGGTACCTTTCACTACATAATTAATTTTAATTATGTAGATTTAATGACAATGTAATAGAAGAAATGTCAGCTTTAAATTTAAATAACCGGAAAGCGGTATTATACAATTTCTGTAATCTTGACATTTTTCGAGAAACTAATTACGATTGCGAACAACGCGTAAAATTGATAATAACACTCTGTAGAGTTTTATTGCGACAGCCCAATCTTAACTACGGTCCCCGTTAGTTTGTCAGCGGTTACAGTAAATGCCCACGAACAATAAACCTCGTGCACACCTGGCTAGTCTTTCACTGTTTATTACAAGGAACAGTGTACCTCTTTAAGGTGTCATTAATCTGTCACCTTGATGTCGTAGGATCCTCACAGCTACCTGAGTAATACAGTTACCTGAGAACTCCAGTGCGCACTCCTAATTCTTACTTAATTCTTTTTATCAACTCTTCCTTCTGAATATTATTTGTATATCAAAAATATTGAATTATAAAAGTTTTACTTTCACGCGGAATTAAAAGTAAACGCAGAAAGAAATTGCAGTTACTTTCACTAGCAATTGCTTTTTACTTGGAAATAATAGAAAGGCGGTAATAAAAGCGTACCATTTCAAAAGAAATGTCGCGTCGCGTCGTTTAAACACGGTTCTATAATTCCTCGAATTTTATTACACCCGTAATAAAATTCGTTGACAATTGGGACCTTGGTGATTTGAAGGATTCTAGGTACGGATTGTCTTCAACTACCTGAAATTTTATTGCGAGAAGAACAGAATATTCTAGAATTCTTCAATTTCTCTAACATGTATCAAAAGAGCGACAATTAATTCTTTGCAATAATTGTTATTTGTTTCAGATTTTGCAATACTATAAGATAGAATATCATCACGAAAAACTGGAATATTACATCAATCCTATGTACACGCCAAAAGGACCTCTAAACTTGAAATTCATCGACAGATAATAAATATCTGCTACGATTGTATATAAAAAATAAAGGGGTAAACTCGCAGTCAGTATCAATACAAGGTTCTTGAAATATTTTCGACTATCAGAAAACTTCTTATTTATTTGGTGTTATCTTGGCAGTAATTTGAATTTCAGCTCCCCATCAGGAGCGTACATAAATGTAACTTTGTAATTTAGCGGCTCATGGTGGTACTCCAATTTATAAGATCGTATTAGCTGAAAAATAACAACATAGAAAACGTGAAATTTTATTCATTTTATTATGTATTAAAAATGGCATTCGTTGGATACCTTAGCAAGCAAGACTTGCATTTCTAAATCGGCGAATCTTCTACCTAAACACATACGCGCACCATGACCGTAAGGTAACGATGCAAAAGGATGTAGCTTCTCGTTGGAAGATTGCTTAAACCATCTCTCTGGTTTAAATGTTTTTGCATCTGTTACATATTCTTCCATGTTTCCCGTTATCACTGTAGGAAACACTACTTGTACCTTTAATAAGTAAATTGTATGCATGTATAACTATTATTGTAAGCATGCACTCTAGTAAATCTTAAAGAGATAAAATAAGTAGTTTATAATGCACTGTTACAAAATAGTTACTTACTCCCTTTGGTACTCTATAGCCAGAAATTGTGGTGTCATTTTGTAATGTTCTTCCATTCCCAATTACTGTAGAATACACCCTGAAACAAATGAAGATTATATTAGCAACAAGTTAAGATTATGTATAACTTTAACTAAGTGCTTATATAAATATATTAATTAATATACCTGAAAACTTCCCTGATAAAAGCTTTTGTGTATACTGCTCTATCCAGATGGTTGTTAGTAAGGGGAACAGATGGATCAGGAAGAATATCTACTAATTCTTGATGAACTTTCTCCTGTTCTTCAGGTCTGGTTGCCAATTGATATAATATTGAACAAACAGCCATTGAAATCTATTAACATAATGTTGTAAGGTAACCTGCTATCCTTTACTAATAACTAATTGAAGAAAAATATTTGTTTTCATATACCGTATCTATTCCAACCAAAATCAAATCTAATGCAAGTATATAAGCCATTTTAGGGTCAGTTTCTTTGGCTAAGATTCTTTCTATTAAAGACAGATCAGCTTCATTCACTGATTTCTTCGTTTTCAGCCTCTCCACTGCTGCATCAATGTATTTCATGCACACCCTGAAGAACACAATATTGTTAATCATTATCACCACATTACCATCATATTGATAACAATGATAGAAAGTGTCTGGAAGCTCGACTCACTCAACAAAATAATTCATATTGCGTACGTATCTCGACCAAAGTGGAGTTGGCACGTATCTCCAGTAAGGAGCTTTTAATTCAAGCACAGCTACATTTCTTAAAGCAAATTTTGCCCCATCTATGATCTTCTGAGGTTCTGAATCTGGAGTCAAGTTTCCTCCTAAGCATCCTAATCTCACATCAAGTGCTACCCTACCTATACCTGTACAAGAATTCATTAAGAAAAATGAATTACAGGTAATGTTGTTCAAAATATTTTTGAGCAAAAGAGAAATGGAAGAGAAGAAAAGAGGATTTCAGAAATTTAAAATTACATTATAATTTATACTTACATTCTAAAGCCCACTTGTGTATTTCATTATCAAAATCTGCTGGTAATTCTCCATCTTCTCCTTTGATTTCTTCCATTCTGAAAAAATAATGAACAATTATATTGTGTTCCACTCTACTGAATTGTTTGATGACTAAAAATATAGATGGCTCTAAGTTCAAAGCTCCAAGTTATTTTCATTGAATTCAGATATGTCTAAAGTTCAACATGCCACGCGATGGCTAAAATACTTCAATATCCAAGGACAGTTGTAATTACCTTTTTATAAAGTCGGACGTGACCACTTCAATGGGCGTTATATACTTTCTTACCGTTTGTGGCTGAAGAACTGGTTTTTGGATCCGTGTACGAAATTCTCGCCACGGTTCACCGTGTCTGAACAAATGCAAATATTTTATTATCTCATCCTAATCGCGAATATAAAATTGGATATAAAGGTCAAGAATATTAATGACTGACGACAGCCTTCCAATTTAACCGGACAAACTGAATGGATTTATGGAAGAAGGATCCGGCGGAACTGATAATTCGCATATATACATTTAATATTAACACATCCCATATTAACATATTAAATGTTAATATATTCAAGATCGACGACGCACCGCATGCGTCGGATGCTATTTATTCTATGGCGCGCTATAAACGTTTTGTAAGAAAATTAATATTGTTAATCATTACTCAACGTTTACATTATCATAACTTATTTCTAATTCTTTTTTTAGATAATAATATACGTACACTCCAACGACGCCAGGCAAATCTCCAAAGAAATCCTTTCTTACGACGCTTTTATAATGAACCAAACACGGCATCGACGGTCTGAAAGGTGTCGGTCCTTCCTGTCTGTAGATTTTCTCTATCTCGTCAGCATCATAGACAAACAACAAATCTGGTCTACCAATCAAACCAGTCAAACGGACTATTTTCCCATACTCGTCATGAAATATCTGCGATACTTTAGCCATGTCGGAGATTTGGTACTGGCCGATAACTGGAAACAAACGCCACGTATTTCCAAGAATCGGAATTGGTCTCGGTCCTGGGATCTCTTCGTAGGGCCTCGCTTGGATCGCGGCATCGTGATCAACCGTGCAATCTCTGGTCGCGGAGGTCACTGTACCTGCAGGTAACACACAATAGAAAACGTACGTAGGATGCATTCGGAATTGACAATGAAGGTAAATGGGTAACTCACGCACCAAGGTGGATCCGTCGCGCGGAGGTCGAATAGTGTAAAAATATTTGCGACTTTCGATTGTAGAATATTATTTAAAACGATACTTTTTTTTTTTTGCAGGATTGACAATTTAGGAAATATTGAAATGGAAATGATAATTTCTTTTAAGTTTCTTATTACCTGAACACAAAGATCGACGAAGAATATCCTGACTTTGCGAAAGTCGACGTATCATGTTGAATTGTAGGTGGCAATTCATTCTACGGAGAGTATAATAAATTATTAAAGTATAAATAAGAAAGATCATAATTAAAAATTGTAAGTATCTTAGATTTATGTAAACTAAAAATTTATTAATCCCCAGTTCGCGTGGAACGTTTCCGGCCAGGTCTAATTGACCCACGGTTCTCTATAATTAACGATGTCCTTACCTGGGATTCATTGAAAATTTTCCGGTCCGTTTCCCTGGGCTTTTCCGATCGGTTTCCCGTTATCGAGAAACGTGGTCACCGCAGGTAATACTTCCAAATCGACTCTGCATTCTATCACAATTCTAACGTTTCTAAGCAATCACCAGCTATCTTCTTTATTGCCCGCAATCGCGTGGAGTCTTGGGAATGGAACAATGAAGAAAGAAACAGCCCGGATGCACTGTTTCAAAGAGACTCTTGGTAAATCGAGACTGCACGAAGTAATCGAGGTGAAATCCCCACTTCGAAATCTCCCTCCATGGGTCACCTTCAGTGTATGAAAGTACTTTGGCTGAAAGAAAATCTATCATGATGTTCGAGATATACTTTCACGTTTAATTCAAAGAAAGTTTCTTATATGTCGACACGGTATGAAATTCGTCGAAGATTGCATGGTCTTTTTGTATGCGGTAACCGATGGAAAGTCTAAAAGGCAAAATAGAGTATTCGTTAGTTTCAAGAATTGTTTTTAAGAAACTTAATGCTATGATTTTTACAAAATTATTATTTCTAGGATTCCCTATAATTGTGGAGCTATTTTTGCAACTTGACTTAAAATGATTGTAAATATTTTAAAAAATTACCATGTTTGTTAGGACAAACGTTATACCACAATCTATTGAAGAGAACATGAGTATCTGGTATTCAAATGCAAGGAGAAAACTATTGACATAGTTGATAGGTATACATGCATTCTTTTACTATGGAAGTGAATCAATTAATAATTACTTGAATTCATTAAAAACATTGTGACTACTATGTAGGTGAAAATGAATTAACTTCTCATGTAATTATTCAACAGCATAGAAATGTCCTTGCGCTTTTATTGAATTAGGTAATTGGGTGATACGCTCAGTAACTTTATTCATACAATTATCTATTATTTATGAAGTGTGAATTTTGAAACCGGTTTTGCTTCTTATCACCTATCCGTGACCTATTTTAAACAAAACATTGCATAACTATAGGAGTATTTGTGTACATATGGAAATACATACAGACATTCTTGACATCTACGCCGGAAACTATTAATAGGTTTCTTTCAGACACACCAATATTAATTGTAAATCAAGCAGAAGGTTTTTTCCTCGTACTAGAAAGTGCAAAATAAATCCTTGGATATTAATGAGAATAGGACAGGTAGACGTTTCTGGAAATTTACTGTACTCTTCAGAGAGGGTCATTTTAATCTAGACGGAAAATTCAGCGACCCTGATTATCCCTGTGGCCCCGTGAGGTTCATACTTAGAATTTTCACGGTAACTGTTATTTATGCAGCTTACAAATACAATTTAAATATTATAAAATTTCCATTTTATTTTTTGTAACGCATTCAGGATTCTTAAAATATAATATTCAAAAATATCTATTTCAGATATTCCATGATACGTTTACTATTCAAAGTCGCTGAAAACCATGAACAATTGCAATACCGTCAGTAAACCTCAATAAATCCAGGTAAGGTACCCGGCGAATCCTTCAGCAACTGAACCGTACCGAGCCTTCCTTCTAAGAAGCAATAAAATAATATACCTCACGTACCACCAGGATTCTCCCTGTTTGTCTCCTACTTGGTGTCAAAGAGTAGGGGTAGTTACCCCACGCCAAAACTATATTAAGATGTCCTGAAGGGTTGCCGAGGCATTTGTAGTACTTGTTCCGAACGATTATCCACGTAAGCGAGATACGCGAGTGACAATTTACTTTACAAACAGCATGAGTGTAACACGCCAAGGACTTTGTTTGTAAACACGTGTCTTATCGAAAGTGTCCGTTTATACATCTGCGTATAGAATCAAGCGAGTGAAATTAATTTGTTTTATTAATTATACGAATCAAAATGGTTGTGCCGACGATTTGGATTAGAAACAATATGCTGTTCTCCGGTGAACAATATGTAAGTTATTTTTATTCTTCTTCTTTTCATTCTGGAAGATTTTCAATTTATTTTGGAATATTCTTCTTACTTTACTTACTTTTTTTTTTACTCCAATGTCACGTTCACCAGATTCTCATTGTTATTGTCAAATTCGTGTTCTGATACGGTTTCTCTTCGAAAGTGTAATAGCGGAGATTCTATAATATTAATTTTAATCGTTATTCAGCAGGAAAGACAACTTACCGATGCAGAATTGAAGGTTCAACGATCTCTTGAGAAACTCTCTGTTCCGGATTGGTACTTGAATAAACGTTCGACCTCGCCGAAAATAGTAAACGTCGATCCGATTGAACTTCGTCCGCCATCCTGGAAATGTCCTCTGCCTAAGAATTCTTCGATTAATTCTACATCTTCCGATTTATCAGGTAAATATTGTTAAATATTAACTACGGTATATTTGTTCATAAAACTTGAACGTTTCAAATAACATTTAATCTTTAATTTTAGATACACCAACAAAAGCTTCCAAGAATAACAACGAAAAATCGACGAGCAATAATTCACCTGATCAACCGAAGCCTCCAGAATCCAAACAACGAAAATCATCGTCAAAATCTCCACATACGAAAGAAGAAATATTCGACACATGGGTTCCAGAAGTGAATCTACCAGTGGACATCAGTAAGACGTTTCCAAAAGTGTCACCGTCGAGGAAGATTCATAATATTAACATTGTTTTTCCACCGGGGCCGAAGGTGGACATTTTCGACAATCAGGATTGCAAAACAATTTCAAATAATTACTCCAATTGCAATACTTTCCACGTACAGGAGCAATCAGCTGATTTCAGTAGGAAGAACGAAGAGTCGCCTTGTAGAAAGAAAAATAATGTTCAAGAGGTCGTGGAAACGCCTGTGAAAACTCCGACCACCAGAGGAAGCTACAGATTTCGTACCACGTCTACTCCAAAATTCACTCCAGCAAACTTGTTCTCATCCACCGTCATCGAGGACAGTCCAAAACCGAAGAAGAACCTTTCTAAGAATATCCTAGAAAAATCCTCCATCTTTGAGAAGAGTTTCGGGAGCAACGATCATTCAGATTTCTCCATTGATCATTGTCGAAAACCGAAGAAGCTATCTCAGGATCTCCTGGAAAAGACATTTGTTTTTGATCGATCGTTTCAAAGCATCGAAGATTTATCGACGAACATCAGTAGAGACAGCTGTATATTCGAGAAGAACATACGTTCCATCGAACCCATCTTCTTCGAGAAGGACGACGGGGCTCTGTCTACGTTAAAGTCTTCCTCCATGGTCCGTGACATGGTGAAAAAGCTAGAGGTGTCCAAAAACTCCTCCCAGACTCCCCAGAAGACGTCAACGTTCACCTGGAACAAACAAGCACCTATTCAGATTAGAAAATCTACCTTTCAACTAAAAACCCCAAGTATGTTCCAGGAGAAGAGATTCAATCTTGCTTCCAGAAATCCTCGAGAAGAGAAACCGTGTCTCGAGACTCAGTCACCTTGCACCAGGTTCCTGAACTCCAACAGAAAGTCTACAGAATTGGAGAACGTGGTGAGGAGCAAACATTTGACCAGAGAGAAGGGTGTCGTGCAAGGACTCATCGGCGTTCTAGCCGAGAAGGTGAATCAATCGACTTTACCTCGCCAGAAGCAGGTAGCAGAGGTGAACAGGAACTTTGTAAAAAAGGTGGTAAGCGCATTGGAAAACGCAGATAGATCAAAGAACGAACAGGTGCCTAAGACCAGAATGATCTCTGCGAACGAGGACACAGGAAGTGGTAGCGACTCTGAATTTAAATCCTACACAACATCAGTTTCTCTTAAGGATACAGACAGCAGTGATTCGGATCAGAGGACACCCAGTCCGAAAAGCGACGAGGACAACAGATTTGATTATAGTTACATGACGACAACTAGCATTCATCAGGACGATGATTCTGTCTACTGGATACCCGTGTCTAGGTGCAAACTTCCAAGAACCAGCTCTCTAATCAGCATAATGTCCAGGTTGTCCGGGAATGGACACTCTCCCTGCGTCAGTCCCATAAGAAGCGAGCACGAGGAACAGCAGACATGGGGTGTCACCTACAGGAGGACCAGCAGTTTGTCCAAGAAGCTGTTCAGGATTGATGAGACTGTTGTGATTGATTCTGGATACTCTGACAAGTCGGACAGATCTGGAATCAGCTCGAGATACGAGGATAGTAATTGGTCAGAGGACAATCAATATGATTCTGGGTCGGAATGCAAGTACACGAAGGTGAAGAGGTCCAGAAGGAAGTCTATAGTTAACAACTTCCACTTTTAATTAATATATGGAGATTTGTTATTTGATAGAATTGAGCGAGGAGTGAGAAAAATGTAGGATGTTTATGGTACTTGATTTAATAGCGAAGGATTTTGTAAATTATTTTGTGGGGTAGAAATATTTCAGAGATAGTGGATATTTGTATAGATCCTTGCTTCGATGCTCGAATGGATAGTTAACTGAAAATTAGTATGATTTACTTTCTAGTATTTCTGAATATCCTAAAATTTCAAGCTCGAAGCAAGTCGAATAATATTCAATATTTTTCGAATATTTCCAATTGGTTAATAAACAATTAATTTCGAAATTCGTCGCTTCTTTAAATTTATATTGATACAAATTGTAATTATTAATTAGAGTATAAATGTAATCTTGATTATTTTATTTTGTAAAATTCACATTGTATGCGAGCGTGTGTGATTGTGTGAAGAAATAGCGTTAATTAACGAACAATTTATCCGTGTTCGGCAAAACATGGTATTGTTCATCAGGTGTAAAATCGGTTCAAGTTTTAGATGGAAAAAGTCTATAACTCTGGTGATTCGAGGAAATGCCTAGAATTTGGAAACATAGTATCTAGCTGCTATTTAGAAATAAATAGTTTCAAGCGAAGAAGCTAATATTCCGTAATGAAAATATTGTTGCGTTTAAATTAATTTGTTGATCCTCATTGCAATTTCCATGTATTAGAAACTCTATTAAAGTTTGAATAAAATGAAGAATTTGAAATTGTAAAAGATGATTGTATAAAATAAATTTTAATGTTGACTTATTTGCTTTGCAGTAGATAAATGAATACAAATGGAGAGATAATTTTGTACTGTTTAGTTGTAAAATGATATCTTAGCAGGATCAACTTCCTGCAATTAAATCTTTATATACAAAAATATTTTTATTTGCAATTCTAAATGAATGTAACTTGTTTCTTCTTTAAACGATTGTAATGATATTGTTCAATAAATAAGATATGACACTGAGAACGGTTTTTTTTTCTTTTTTGCAAGATTATTATAGGATATAACGGAAAATTGTCAGAGATATTTTTGTATCAATCGTAGAATCGCGTGCTATTTAACGGATGCGTGACAAATTCGTGTGTCGAATTATTAATTGACGATTGAAATTCCAGGCGATCAACTATTATCGATGTAACTCGCGTATGATGACACACGAGACTCCTGTGAATAAATAATCCAAAAATATTCACTTTTCTTCTTTGTTTAGATCAGTTTAACAAAATAGAAAGAAATTTCAATACCGATACTCGAACCGCAATGAATTAATCCATTTCAAACGAAGTATACATTCGAGATCGACCTCTGCTTATATTTATCATTTCATAGGATGACAATTGCCAAATTAGTAATCTCATCATTACAGTTTCAAACGTCAACGTAAACGCGTCAATTAGAAAGTGAAGAATTGACATATATAGAAAATTTCTAGTGAGAGTTCGAAAATAAAAATCAATTATAAATATGGCACTCAGATTAACAAACAGTCGTTCAAAATCCGCATCAGATATTCTAGAGGAAACTACGAGAAATAAAAAGAAATTTGAACAACATTACTTCACTGAAAATCGTTACAGAACATTCACGTTAAAAGGCTTCGAAGAAGAGAAGACAAGTTTCGTTGAAAAGGAACAATCTACACCGAAATCTACACAAAACTTTGTGAAAAAATTAATAGCTTCTTTGGAGAAGAAAAACGAAGCCTGTAAAGCAGATGATGAGTTCTTCGCTAAATATTATACAAGAAACGATTGTCCCAATAAAACAGATAATTGTCGAAAAGAAAATTTAACAATTGAAAATAAGATTCCTGTTCCGGGAAAAAGTGTAACAGGTAACAATAATTGCGTAAATAAAACACCATTGAGAAATTTAAACAGAAACGAGTGTAAAATAAATGATGAAAAATCGTATTGTAATCGGTATCACACTTTTCAATCGGTATACGAGTCCAATGTACGAAAAAATGAAGAAAAGAAGTATGGTTTTTCTTCATTCGATCGAAATCGGTATCGAGTTGAACGAAAACAAATGGAGATTGTTAAGAAAGAAGAAGAAAATACAGAAAGAAGGACAAAGTTCGTTCGAAGTAAATCTTTCAAAGATTTTTTTGGATCTATGTTGAAATGGCGAAGATCTAGAAATAAGAAACCTCAACATTTTATGTCTTGCGATCATTTAATCGAACAATCGAAGAATTTGAATTCCAGAAATGGACAAATATTATCCAGAAGTTCTTCTTCTTTACAAGCTACGGTACTTCAAGATTGTGATGATAAAAATATTATACGGGTAAATAAATATTTCTTTTTATTCATAATAATAAACTGTATTGTTGTTGATTTTACTAATTAAATGAAATATGTAGAATAAGGAGCGAAGAGCGACTATTCGTCCAATTTATGGTGGGAGAAGAAATGAACAACTATTGGAAATATTGTCAAAGAAAAAAGAAGATCTTGAAAATACAGAACACCTTCTGAAGCCTTCTGCGATCAAAGATATAGCAAAGTGTTTCAATCAACTGCCGAATAAATCATTGATTAACAACCAGCTTAATGAAAGAAGAAAACTACATGTTAAAAAACATTGATAACATAGTTAATAGAACTCTATTTGTTTATAGACTATCTTAAAATTTTATTTTATCGTTCAACTTTGACTTTAATAAAATTAAAATTACAAAGAATAAATGTAAGACATTCATTTCTGTCCTCAACCCATTTCCTGGTTCGATTGTCAACGCTATATGTCCGATCACGCGATATCGCGTGGTAATTCGTCGAAGTTCAAACGTTGCGGCACACAGTAAGGTATTTTAGAATAGATGTCTCTGTATGTCAGAATGTTCAATGGTTTAATAAATATAGGTGTTGTAATGAAATACAATTTTCCGTCGTTATATGTCAAACTTTCTGATACTTTATTAAAATAAATCATTACCCGTGCGTAACAATCATCATTGTCTCTGAAAATACGCACAGAATTTTCACGGACTATGCAGGAATTTCCGTGTGTCTTATCTGAATACGAGGAAATAAATCCTCTTCTTTATAAGCCTATCACCTCGACTCAACGAATCAAGGTATTCTTTCGAACTGTCAACATATTCCTATTATAATTATTACAAATGTTTTGAAATTGGCATTTTTATACATTTTTTAATTATTTTCCAGTATACATGTTTCAACACATCACCCAATTATATCATATTGGGCTCAACCAGTGGCAGTATTTACCTGTTTTTAAGGAAACCATGCACATTTGTACAGTTGATACCTTTATCGGTACATAAACTTTTCTTAATTTACTGCAGTAAGAAACTAACTAATTTGTTTGATTACTTTAGCACCACAGTTATTATGAAAATGGTTCATCATATTGAATTTTATATTAGGAAGGATCAGTTTCTCATGTTCTCATATCACCTGATGAAAAAACAATTGCTTTGACAACAACTCGTGGGACAGTTTGTCTGGTAGCTTTGAAGCCAGCACCAAAATTATTAGCCATATCAACAGAACATATTCAAGAACAAATTAATTGCCTGTGTTGGAATGATAATAGTTCTGAAATATATATCGGAGATGGCAATGGTAAAGTTTCTGTGATGGTGATGTCCATTTTTATGGTAAGGCTTCATTTTTTATAGTTAAAATATTTCTAATTTTTAATAATAAAGATGCATACACTTCAGGTTAATGGAATGTTTCAATCACCAGCTTGTATATTGATGAACCTGGATTCTGCTGTTGTGCAGCTTAACTTTTGTTCACCTTTACTGTTAGTGTCAACACTGACACGCTGTTACATATGTGATACAGTACAAGAACAATATAAGCAAGTAGGAAATAAGACAAGAAATGGAGAGTTTGGTGCTTGCTTTTATAAAACATACCTTACTGATAAAAGTACCTTAGTTACCCCAAAGGAAGAAAGATTAGTAAATAGGAAAGGTTCTTTTAATTTTATTCCCGAGGGTAACAGTAACATAGAAGAAGGAAATTTTCCTCAAATTTTTTGTGCTCGACCAAGTTCTAGGCTTTGGGAAGTATCTGCAAATGGAACTGTTATGAAAACTCATCAGTTTAAAGAAGCACTAGCTACTCCACCAGTAACAATATGCCGGCCAAACATGAGAAAATCCATGTACCAGAAACCAACAGAACAAGCCTGGATGCCACAATCCATTAATTTTTCTCATTTATTCACCATTGCAGAAAAATATTTATTTTCATATACTTCTACTGGTATATATATAATCGATCCTATAACTGCAACTGTAATCTTATGGAGCAATGAATTTTCAAACATAAGCGTTGCAGAAACAGTAGAAAACGAAATATATTTGATGACTTTTGATGGAAACTTTCATTGTTTAATTTTGTCTGTCTTAGATGCTTTGATACTATGGTTGTATAATAGAAAAAGGTATCACGAATGTTTAGAGGTATGCCTTCTATATAAAACACAATTAAAACAATTAATAAATAGCACAGAGATTAATGCTATTTGTAATATAGAGAACAAACTACAGATACTTAGAGATGATGAATTGTCAACGTTACTACATCCATTGATAATTTTACTAGAATCTAATTCCAAAACAAGTCCAAAGAAATTGGATTCAGGCATCGTAGTCGTTAATTGTGGAAATTCAAACTTGAAAGAGGAGGAAAGTTTCAGGCATAATTCTTTACCTTATTGTCTTTCACAAAACAATGAAAGTCCTTGTGAAACTGAATTATCAGAGGGAAAAGAAACGTTAACTAATTTACTGGAAGATTCTACCAATGAAGTAACAAAAATTAAAGATGCAAATTACAATACAGAGAATGTACAAAAGAGTAACAATGAGGAAAGAGCAAAAATTAATGAGGAATTATACTCAAATAAAACTATAACACAAAGGATACAAGCAGATTTAGAAAGTATATATGCGTTAATTGATAATATTAAACCTTCTATGGATGAAGAACAGTTAGAGAAAATAATTTTGGAAATAGATTGGAAAATGAACGTTCTCAAAGATTCATATGAAATTTTGACTGAATTAAAAGGTTTCGTTTATGAAGTATTAAGAAGTGTAGAATTATATTATTTCAATGCTCTATTAGAAAACATTTCAGTACAACTAATACAGCCAAGTGATAATGAAACTATTATAAAACAGATAATGAAAGCTTTTATTAATATAAATGCACAAAACTATAAAAAGTGTACCTGTGGTAGTCCATGCCCAACAGATGAGTTAGTTGAACCAAAGTTCCTGGGGATTGGTAGATACCTTCTTAAAAAGATTATAGATGAAAATAAAGAACAGTGTATAATATTATGTAACAAAGTACCTTATATGTGGCGAGAATATTTACCAATCTATGTGAACCAGCACGGTGTACTGATGAATGATTTACTACGTCAGTGCCTTCAGATTAAAGATAATAATTTACTTTCCACCCTTTTACCATTATTAGATGGAAAACACTGGAATCTTGTAGCAACATATGCAAAGGAAATGCAGGAAGGGCAATGCTTATTTTGTGGTAAATCTATAAGAAAAGGAAACAATGAAATATTAATAAACTGGACTGCTGTGATACATGAAATTATGAAGAAACAGGGACCTGATGTTGCCATGACACTATTAATAAAGTTGGAAAAAGCCATCCCAAATATTTCTGTCGATAAAAGGTGAGTTTTATTTTTTCAACCATTTGAGTTGCGACGAAATAATTATTAAATAATCTGAATTTGTTTCAGTATATTTCAATCGCTAATATTTACAAAAATCTTATATCACCATGGAATGAAACATGCTATCAATTTTAATAAAAATACTTTAGAATCATCTGAATATAATACAATATGTTCCACAAAGGTAACTAATGTCTTTAGTAATTTTTAATGCACGTACTTATATGTTGCATACATATTTTTTATCTTTTACAGATACGAGATCAGTTAGTAGAAGTTATTGAAAAAGATTTAAGTAAACCAGTTAATAAGAATATATTTGGAAATGGTGCTCATCACTGGGGAATGCATTATCAAAATAAATTACATACATGTCCTTGCTGCACCTTATCTCTTCAAACGCCGGTTCTGTTAGGTAACAATGGGATCGCAATATTTGATTGCGGCCACTCTTATCACGTAAATTGTATGATAGAAAAGAAACTTACAGCCTGTAATTTGCATTCTTGAGTAAACATGCATCAGAAACAGTAAATCTCGTAAAAGATATTAACGTACAAGTGCAGTTCTTTATATAAATTTCTGAAGAGGAATTGCGCCTTGCTCATCTAGTCTCTATAAATTGTTCGTACGTGTATATGTAAATTTATTGTCTTTATACAAATTGTTATCACAGACTTCACGATTTAACACAAATAAATATTTATGCTTCAGTCTTTTGTAATATGATTGAATTTCAACTAATTAGAACGTTATACAATTTTGTTTTTATAGAAAAAACAAGTAATAGAAATTACAACAAACTCACGTTTGCAATGTAAAAAAAGTACAAAGTTATAATACAAATAAAAATGAAATCGAAAATCTGTGTTTGGTAATTTTCAAAATAGATCACTTAATTACTAACAACTAAAATAACATAATACTCCAAATAAAATAACTATCATTTACTAATTTTCTTACAGTTTAAAAATAATTTCATTATTTTCTAAAAACTAATGCCATTTTATATCCGTACATGTATGGTAATTTGTACTTTGGTTGATCAATAATTACACATGTAATATATTTTAATTAAACAATAAATTCTAATTTCAGTTTAACACTTACCTTATTATATTTTTATTGTCTCGGAAACATTTATGCAACTTGAGGCATTCGTTTAAAAAGAAGAAAGGATTACAAGCAATTTTGCAAATTATAATTCAGCAATGCCCCAAACTACATAAAATTGTCAAAATATTGTATAATATAACTTTCTCTTTTCACGCTAAACGAATTTTGTTACGCAGACTGAAAGTGTTAGAATTTTCAATATTTCTTAATTAAATTAAAAGCACATTCTCGTGTTACTATATTAAAATATTGATTTTCTGATTAACGACCATCCGACTAGGTAGATAAGTAGCCTCTTTCATCGCTCTACACCTTATATCTATTACAAAAATTTACAATTTTAATTATTCATCATTCTTAGCATTTGCAATACAACTAATCTCAATAATAGAAAAAAAAAATCAAGAAAATTTTAAGTAGCATTAATATCATAAATTTCCGTAATATTCAGAGTTGTTTTCTTCTTATTCATTAATTATTCTATTAGATTCATAGCTCCGGTGAGGCTTATGGCAGTGTTAAACCGGAAGTCGATAAGAGGAGCCATAGTCGAGTAATCGTACGAGAACTAAAAATTGATTTCCTTGAAAAGTGTAGCCTCGTACGAAACAAATGCTGTTCTATACATTTGACTTATTCTTTTACGTAGTCTATTTACATTATACACCCTATACATGTCACAGAAAAACTGGTGATCCAAGACGAATCAATTAGGTCTGCATTCTAATGATTTACACTTACCCCTTACCTCCGTAAACATTTCTCTTCAGACTTATGTGTATATTTAACAATTATAAAAGAAACGACATGCTGCTATGAGAAAAAAGAGGAATTTCCTGTATATGGCGTGTGTGTGTCATCGAGAAATATATAAATTCTTAAACGCTGTTATCCACTAAAAAAATACGCATTTATAATACATTGTCCACGATTTTTGACTACGATAATTCTTAACCCTCGCACGACGATTGCAGGGTCATTTTGACCTAGCTACAAAAATAAAATATGCAAAATGTAAAAAGTTGATTTTAAAGCTCATGCAGAAAATATAATATTTACACGTGAGAGTGTATTTTAAATTTCCTGTTAAACCCACGACATGTTTTAATTATGGGTCAAAATGACCATAATCCAGAACGTCCATTTTCTGAAGATTAACCCATTAATGCCTAGAAAATATTTTCAAGATAACACTTTCTGTCATAAAGAAAAATAAATGCAAATATGTAGATAATACTTATGCTGACGCTCACGCGATATCGCGTGCGCGATGGCAATTGTGATCATAAAAGACACAGCAGAACCTTTTGGGTATAATAATTTTGGGTATTAATGGGTTAACAATATCTGCTGCAAAACTTGCACAAATAAATGACCTCGAAATTGTGTAACAATAATTTCGACTGCTTAATAAGAGATCACAAAAAGAACAATTATTTTAATTTCATGGAATGTTTGCTGTACTATTAGCATATGTTTTATGTACAATTAAATGTTTCTCTTTAGGTGCTTATCGAGATCACAGAACATGATTCGTAGTTATCATATATGATACTTCAATATATATGTTACTTGTATGACTATTACACACTTTACTTAATTATATTTGATTGACAAATTTTATATAATGCAAAAGATATGTATAATAATAATTATACGAGCATGTACTAGTAACTTCTTTCTAAGCACTTTTCAGTGCATCAAAAAATCGTAATTCATTTTATGTATAATACATATTAAACATTAAATTTCATCTCTTTGAGATACGTTTACAGATACGTTTAAAAGATTGCGAATTGGTGTTTGGAATGTTATAAATTCGTAACTTGAAATTAATGGATATACACTTTTAGGGCACCTAGTATTTGAGCGTACGGCAATTTTCTTTTTTGCTTTTTAATACTGTGCCTTGAATAGCATAGAATTCTAAATAGAATGAAACAAAGATAAGATAGAATTCTTATGCATTTCACTGCATAATTTCTAAATGCGCTATAATTATACTTACAAAAGTGTCTAATGTTCTTTGATTTTCGTCATGGTTTCAAGTGATTGTTAATTATTCAATTTTTTTTATATATATTTGGTAATTGGCGAAACTATACGTTATATGTAATACTATTTAGTACAAAGCGCTTCGTGTGCGAAGAATTAGGTATGCATATAATTATAAAAATGATAAAGAACAAAATATAATTTCTATATAAAAAGAGCATCGGTTAAATAATATAAAACATTAAAAAATAAAGCTGCTGATAAAAACATGTTACAGCTCTTTGTACTATCAATTAAAAAAAAAAAAATACAGTTTAGAATTAATCATTCAAAACGCAATCATGATTAAAAAGAGAAATACATTCAAGATTTAATCAATGATATATAATAAAATATTTCTCTTTTATATTGCGTAAAGAAAGAAACAAAACTGAATTCTCCTAAAAGTTTTGAGTTGATGTGGCACAAATTTTTTGGTATTTTTATATTATCAAATCATATCAGATATTTGCTCAAATGTTGTATCTCCATAAAAAAGAAAGCAAAATTTCTTTTGGGCTCTCGTTTTAAATCGTTTACAAGGAGAGCGCACGACAATTCTCCCTAAAACTCAATAAAGGACAAGTACTTTTTTAATTTAAGAATTGAGCAAATTTTAAATCGCAGATTTGAGCTTTAGATGGATAATCCTAATATTTAGCACGCCAAAAAAGGTAGGAATTATTAAACGAATCTAAGACAGTGCAACGATGCACTATTTTGAAATCTATACAAAATTCTTTAAATTCTGGCCAAATGAAGAATCGTGGCTTCTTTTTAAAGAAAAATGCCATCTGTTAAACAATAATAAGAAATAGCCACCATATAAATTTCGATATTTTAGTTAATCGCAGTGAAAAAATTTTGTATCGAATAGTTTGTACATAAAAAATGACGTGTATGTGCATTTCGAAGATTTTTAACAGCTACGATTACATTAGATCTTTTAAAAACTACACTTATAGTCAAATTGTTGTTCATAAAAATGAATCTCATTGTACTTGATTTGCTTCTTTTTGAAACGTTGTTAATCCTTTGCAATCCTGAGTTCAAACACTTCTTTTTAAGAAAAGTAATTCCTACTAATGACCTGACATAAGATTAAAAATAATTAAGAACATGCTTAACTTCCATCAATCTGTTAACACGTTGAAAATGATTGTGTGTAAACACTAAAAATTCCACAATACAATGATAGAATTGTTTGAAAAATCGCAGGATACTATTTACAATCATTTAACAAAATAATAAAGGTACAAGTTAAAACGAATCGCAAAGGATTAAAAAATATAATAATTCAAATGATTAAACCATGAATTAGTCATACTTAATTCGGCAATATTTTACTACTATGTCTCATAGTAAACTACTTGTTACTTTAAAAACAAAAATGAAAGAAATGGCACATCAAAACATAATCGTTCAGGAGAACGTATGTGTGATATATCATGCAAACCGTTCCCTTGTATGTTACAACATAAAAAATTCCTTCGTTGGAGGATTAATTAGTCTTGTACTGTACTCTGTGAGAATTCTTCGTCCGTTTCCTGGTACTTGCTACTAATAGGTACCAGACGCTCAGCCCTTTGCGGTCCTCTTCCCTTTTCATTCTCTCTAAAAAATGACGCGTTTCGTTAAAAAAAAGAAAGAACATATTCAATCAAACGATAAAATAAATAATACACTACATGATTAATTGATCAATGTTAGACAACTAAAAGAAATAAAGGTGGGAACCGGAAAGGGTTCAGCTAAATAACGAACTATTTCATTACAATAAGAACTAATTATGTACAAGCTGGTCTCACAGAGCAATTATCACGTGTATCTTTTTAATATATCTTTATGTAGAAATTCTATCGAAAGGTGAAACCGTTCACGCTTATAAATGCGATAAAAATTCGTGGTACAAGCGAGAAAAATTATGATATTTTGTTAAAAATAAATCAAAATTAAAATACAATTTTGATTTATTTTTCTATACAATATCGTTATTTTCTGGCTTGTACTACCAATTTTATTGCAGCCTTATATTTTTAAATATTTTCTCCCTTGGAAGTAATAAATTGATCACTAGCTCGTTTCACATTATTTTCAACCCTTTCATGCGCGAGAAGTGCTCGCAATACCTTTTCGCAATTGTACTTTCAATACAAATAGAACAAACGTAAATATTAAATAAAAAAAAAAAAAAAGAAGAAGTGAAATTGAGAAAGAAATATCCTGTCTTCTTTCAATACGTCCCGTCATTATAATTACTATTCTTTCATTTCATTCATTTCAACGTAGTGCTAAGCCTCATGGGTCATTGGTGACCCACACAATATGAAATATATTAACTATAGATAGTTCTTTCATAGAGAAAGCTTGAATTGAAAGAAAAAGGGATGTTAACGCATTGATTGCCATGGGAATGTCGTCAGTGACCAGCACCTTAAATTTAATATAATAAAATAATTGATAAAAGTAGAAAGAAAATTAATTAATCGCATTCTTAATAACTATTGCATTTAATGTACCTTTCGTGTGGCAATCAATGTGCTATACTTTAAAACATGCTAAGCATAAATATACAGTGATATCGTCTGAAACATGAAAGAATTTGTGTATGTGTATGTTGTTCCATGAAATACATCATGTTTCTCTAATCCTTGTCCAATCAAGAACGTTACGAATTACATATTCTCAAAAATATGTATATCTAATACTATATAATATTTTTGTACATTTGGTTCTACAAAAGAAAATCCTCGTCAGGATTTAACTCTTGATTACACCAGGATCAAATTGTGTGTAATGCTCTGAGAGTTATCTAAGAAAAATGACTTTTTGCACAATGATACAGGAACTTTATGTTCTGTGAACATGTTAACGCTTTCGCAAATATATACTGTGCACTATTATAAACAACCTTCTTTGTATCAAATGATACTTGAAACAAATATAGAAAGAACAAGAATGATACTTGTAAATATAAAAACTAATTTCTCAAAGTTACCCAAGTCAACATATTTTCTGATTATATATTACATGCTTTTCTTCTCTTGAATCTTATAAAAAAAAACAAAAAACACTTGGATATTTTTGATACATTAGTTTTCAAGCACACGCCTGCTACATCGGAACGACCAAGTCTCTTTTACCAGACATTGTGTACCTTGAAATAAAACATACTTTTAAACAGGTTGAAACAATTATTTGATCGTATCCTTGGTACTACACTTTTGACCCCCTTAATGAACACCAAGTACAAGAAATTAAAACGAAGGCGATGAAGGGGATCGAAAGCGCACGGATGTGTCTGATTCTTAAAAAAATTGGTTGCACCTTTCGAGTATAGCCACGGGGATGTAGCACGAAAAACAAAAAAAGTAACATTTTTTTTTTTTTTTTTTTTTCAGGAGATTATGTGTGCTGATGAATAAAGTAAAGACACGTTTATCACGTATATTTTTTTTCTTTCTTTTTTCTCATTTTTTTGAAAGCGTATATATGTATTATATTAAGATACAATCTTGCATCGTCACGGGGAGCCAGAAGATGATCGACGAGTCCACAGTGAAATCTTCATTGTCCGGATGACCTCTTCTTCAGCTTCAAACCGCAACTGAATACCACACCTTTTCGCCGTGCTTATTTCTTTCATCACTTGCCGTTTATTTTCATTGACAACACATACTTGTTACTCTCAAAAACTAAATGAGGGATATTTTGCCTTAAACATTACATATTTGTGTGTATATATATATATATATTATATATGTATTGCGTGTAGTGTACGCGTTTCGTATCCTTCTTTCTTTCTTTCTTGGATTAGTGTGAAGAACAGTGTACGTCGCGTAAAAAGAAAACAAAAAAAAAAAAAAATATATCATTGATGGAGTTCAAAGAAACATAAATGAAACTGTTTGACAGCCTCGTGACGTGAGAATCCCCCATGAGAACCCCGTGATACCTTGCTCTAAATACTCCCAATAAAACTGTAGCGAAAAGTTTTTATAGAGAGACACTTTCCCAACCAATCTTTTCTATCTTTAGACGCTTTACAAACCCGATAAATGGTCTGTATTACATTTAAAAATAGATGTATTGTATATATAAATGAAACTTACGAGCATCCAGTTATAATAAGACGCGAATAAAATAAATTATAAACGAGAGCATGAACGAATGCTTTCTTTTTCTTACATCTATCAGGATTTACGTAAATTACTTGTATTATTGAAAGATGCTCTGAAACTTTGTACTTGTAATGACAAATTTATAGTTGATTCAACCCTTTGCAGTTTAATATCAAGTCTAATTACCACGTTAATTTTTTATATCAAATGACTTCGTTTTAATATATACTACCCTTACTTTTTTATAATAGTACAACATTAATATCAATAATATTTCATTTGCCTTTGACCATTAATAGAAAAAACTTTGAAAATAGATTCAGATTAAATTACAAAGTGTTGAATCATTAGAATGACTCGAATATCAATTAGTCTCATAAGAATTCCCGAAGAGTCCCCTTCAGATTGTTAAGTTCTGACATATAATATAAATGTGCTTTTATTCATCTATATGATCTATCAACCATATAAAATTTTATTAAAATCTGAAGGAGAGACTTGGACGGTTTTCTTTGCCAGCTTCAGAGCTTCAGAGCTTCATGTATTAACAAATGATCAGGAAAGTGTCCAGATACTCTTTAGATTCAGTTATAGAAGAGATAAACGTGCCGTCCTCTTGGATTCGTTTCGATGGGCTTGCAAGAAAATCAAACACGACGAGATCCAGCTAAACACTGCATACTACATCTTGCTGTTCTTCTTTTTCTGTGTGTCTCTATTGAGAATCCTTTGTTTCCTTTTTTTTTTTTTTTTTGATGTTGTTTCTCCCATTGTATAATCATTTTAATGTCTCGAACGATGCGAAGAATCTCCTCTTTCGTCACGACGATCTCTTTCACGTTCTCGTTCCCGTTCACGCTCCGGTTCTCGTTCTCTTTCCGATGGTCTCCGGCTTGACTCTCGTTCTCGATCTCTGTCTCGTTCACGCTCTCTGTAGCGATCGTCATAATACCTACACAAGTCACGTCAGCCAATTATCTTACTTTTTAGCGGTGTACAATTATTTTGTTTCTATTGTATTCTCTTTAACACTTTGACGGCCGTGAACTTCGTGGAATCTGCTTGATCTTGAATAGTAGGCCTTCTGCAACGTGGCTTCCTCTCTATTTATTGGGAAGAATCCACATTTACTTTTTAATATTCAAACAAAGCCTACCGATAAATTAACAGATTAATGAAAAGCTAAAAGACACGATAAAATGACCGTCAAAGTGTTAATATTTACATTTAGTTAAATCTTTACACGCTAAACTGTTTTTCTAATTAACGCTAACTTTCTCATTCACAATTTTCTTTTCTTTTTTTTTTCTTTTTTTTTTAATAATATAATTACATTGTTGTTCGTCCGGTTTCTAATCTTCGAAATTACCAAGCATTACAAGAGAGAAGAGAAGAATATTACTGCGAAAGTAATCCAATAGAGTGTACATTTATTGAGCTTGAGACTACGATTGATGACTCTAAACGTGCAACAAAAATTATATTAATTATGATAAAAGTTGAAAGCTGATTCGAATTCTTAAATCCCTAACATCATTACAGTAACATTTGATTTATCCGATGTTTCATATTAACTCTGCTTTAATCTGTTCTTAAGGACTGAACAAGATAGAATTTTTTCATTTTATAAAAAAAAATCTACATGCATTCACTTTAATGGAAAAAAAAAGTATAAATTACCTAGACGCCTTGGAAGACGAGACGGGAGCCGTCTCTGGCGGTTCTTCTTTTACTCTTGGCCTGGCTGACTGACGTGTCGTACTAATGGAAAATTCATACTTTGTTATGATATATACGGTTACCAGGCTAAGTAACGTTGCTTTAGTTAAAACAAACTAATATTACACAAAGAAAATATTCAATTCTGTTTCTATATCGAGTCGTGATTTATCAACGACCAGTCATTCAATTAGCACTTTACTTATTCTACTGATATAACATGATTATGCAAATGATTGAATTGCTTTTCTTTTTCTAGTTTCTATGGTACATTATCCTATCTGATATACACTACATCAGTTTATATAGGTTATGTGAGAGTACATGTGTATACTCACATATTCTTTCTTATAAAAGTCTATAATAATATATCGTTAACCTGTAACCATTATAAAATACTTAAAGGTAATATAATACAAAATTGATTGATACTGCGATGTCTCAACTCGTATTTACATGGTTTTAGGATTACGATATGCCTAACTGTAATAAAATATGTATAATACATGTACCACCTTCACACTAGAATTAAGATCACAATTTTATTACATGTATTAAATAAATATTCGATTACCTTAAAACTTAAGTATTCCGTTTTTTTTTTTTTCTTATCTGATCTTTCTCTGAATTATACATGTAATCATGTAATGAACGACATAAATATTATAATTATTCCATTTTACTTATCTTGTATGTACTTGTATTTCATTAAACACATATTATTGAATACTATGCATAAGAATTAATTATTTAATTTATGAATTTCTATTTACTACTGCTAATAGCAGATGACATAATGTTTAATACTTGGAATGAAAAATGTAACTAGATCAAAAATTAAATAATTAGTCCTCTTATCATATTTTAAATACATTTAATAAAGACTCCATTTGCAATATTATTATTAAATGAATTGTAGTAGACTTTCAGCAAACCTATGCTTGCACTGCTTTCAGAAATTGTACAATCATAAGTAATAAAAGATATGCACATTATTTTACACAACTTGATAATTACAATGATGATTAAAAAAAAAAATTATAATTTCACAGAAAGAAACAAGAGGGAAAATGATACTGATGTAAAATATGATTAGTCTCAAGGTAGAAGCTACAATTTTTCTTTAAATTTTAAATACTTTGATTAAATTAGTTTTCATTGATCAGAAAAACTATATTACACAGCTTCAACCTTTTATTTTTTATTGGTGCAAATTAATACGATTCAGAGAACATTTTACGATATTAAGTGCATTCGCGCGCACACTTCATGTTGTGACAAAAATAATTTGCTGAAATATTGATAACATTGAATACAAGAGTTCATACTTCTTTCCTCCAGTTTACAATACAAAATGAAAATGCTAATATAACGCGTGTCAAATTATAAAATTACATTAACGGTTCATGTGTAGTAAAATTTTGAATAATTTACAATATAATTTACAACTCGCAAACCGAACTGTTATATTAATTATATCATTTTCATTACATAATTCTTATATAAATATTCCTAAAACGTTATACCATTTAAAAATTGAGATCGCAATATTATAAGTTTCTATAAGTATTGTAAAAAAAGTTATTTGTCTATTATTTTTTAAAATAATAATTGCTCAGTACTATGCTCGGTAATGGGCAAAATACTGATAAAAAAATTCTAGAAACGATTAATGTGTTAAATTATCGTATTTAACCCTGTTGCTGTTATATTCATAAAATCAATTACTTTTATACGACTAGAGTTAACACCTTTACAATCACTAACTCAGTCAAAATTGTTACAGATAAGAACGATATTCTGCAATTAGAAAATGTGTTCTTTCAATTATTTTACAGCGAAAGGGTTAATTAATTCTATCATATATTGGACTGCAAACTGTAAACATCTTATAAATTATTATTACACGATTCTATGAAAGTTATCTACGACTTTTATCTGTAATTTGATGAATATCTCTTAAATAATTAATTGATACAAACGATACGAAAATAAAAATAAAGTTACAGTAAATAATTTCAATTTCTAGAAACAGTTCATTTTGTCCCAACTGAATGTGTTCATTACCTAAGTAGACATTACCGTTTTACAATAAATTCGATTCATAAGTAAGTATTCACACTATAAATCAACGTATTCTCTTCTAAATATGCATTACATTATTACATACTTAAATTACTTGCATTTTTACAAAACTTTGAACTATTTATTGCTATATTAAATAGACATTCGACTGAAACAAAATTTTATCACTTGGGTTCAAATGTTCAAAGAGTAGCATACAATCAATGAACTTAGTCTATTTAAGTAATATCGTTTTTACAACGATATCATTTTATGATTAAGTTACTTTTGCGGTAGATGTAAAACTTTTTAAAGTACAAGATACTTTATCTGACTGTATTACAATATAAATTAATTGTAAATATAAACTTATAGTATGATTTTTAAATCACACGCATACGCGCTATGATTAACGAAGGCTATCAATGAAGCTGTGACTGTCGATAAATTCTTGACTGAATTGGATAAGGTAGATCCAATAGTGACAGTTAAAATAATTATGTGAGATGTTAGCTTACCTTTCTTCTCTGCTTCGCTCTCTATATTCGCGATCTCTTTCGCGTTCACGATCCCTCTCTCTGCTTCGTGATCTCTCTCGAGGATATGGTTCACTATAATAACGTTCTCTATCACGATCACGATCCCTCTCTCTTTCACGATCGCGTTCTCTGTCACGTTCTCTGTCTCGGTCCCTGCTTCTCTCCCTGTATTCTCTGTCACGACTCCTTGATCGCTCACGCCTTCTTCTGTGACTGCGTTCTCGATCGCGTGAACGTGATCGTTCTGAAAGAAGAATATTAGAAATAGATTAGAAATAGAAAAAAAAAAAAAAGAAACAGATTTACTGTAAATAAAAGAAGTTTACCTCTACGTGCGGATCCGTAACTTTTGGTTTCAACGCCGCGTAAAGTATCTTGAAGAGAACTGATTAATATTTTGCATCTATCATCTGCAGCAACTTTAGATTGTTTTATTAGAGAAATGGCTGTAACCAAGGTTTCTATAGCACTTGCATATTCCCCAGCTGCGGCATCTGAGACTGCTCGAGCAATTGCAGAGGAAGAAACTGTTCTATTTCTACCCATTATTTCTTCAAATTCTTGCTCCGTTAACGGAGGAGGTCCTTCTGGGCGATGGTCAGGTCCCGGCGCGCCATAAGGTGGCTATAAAATGCATGTTAAATTTTTAGCCTTTCTAACATTTTTTAAATTAAAAAAAATCTTTGAAATCTTTTAATAAACTAAAGTAATAAATACAGAAGAATGTACAGTGTACCTGTGCTGCAGGTGGTCCATAACCATGAGGTGGTACATGGGGTGGTCCATGAGGTTGACCGTGTGGAGGTCCATGCGGAGGGCCATGAGGTGGACCATGAGGCGGTCCATGCGGTGGCCCATGAGGCGGGCCAGGAGGACCTGGTGGATGTTGTCCTGGATGCTGATGAGGTGGTCCTTGTGGGAAAAATGCTGGATTTACATGCGGTGCTGGTCCTCCAGGAGGTCCTTGCGGTGGTCCTTGTGGTGGTCCTCCATGTCCAGGTGGGGGTCCTCCTGGACCTGGTAACATTCCTGATCAATATCTATGTTAGCTTGCAAAAACATTTATAGCAAGCTTTCAAAACTACTTTTTCTCTGTAACTAAGTTGATAAATATGTTTTTTTATTTTTTTACTTAGGATATGCTTGCACAATGTTATAGCTTGTACTCAATTGATTTTTATGAATTCAGCTTCTTTCTTTATTCCACTAAAATATCATAACTTCATAACAAAAAATAACACATTACTTTTTATGTTATTTTTGTCTGAAACACCTTGTACCTTCATACTCCTAAGCATAAATTTCCCTCAATATCATGCATTATATGAAGAAACAAAGAATAATAATATTAAGGTTCATTGAACGTTCTAAATGTCTCACCACCCATAGAACCTGGAGGAGGTCCTCTCTGTGGTGGGCCTTGACCAGGTTGCGGGCCTTGCATATGTTGATGTTGAGGGAAACCTGGTGGTCCCTGAGGCCCGTGATGCATCCCTATGTACATTGAATAATTATATCAGTGAACTTCTTTTATAGTAATTTTAATACATGGTGCTTTATTATTTAAATGATCGATTAAAATGTGTGTTTTCTTTTATACTTGTTTTTTATCATCATTCTAATACATTTTACAATCATAATTTTCACACATCTATTCTATCATGCAGATTATAAACTGTGGAATGGGGAAATTATACAACAATAGTACACGAAATGCAGGAAAGGCAGAGAACATGAGTCCAAGATGTTTCAGAGTATTATCTATTGAGAAGTATGATACTGCACAAACCTGGTGGTCTATTCCATTCAGGACGTGGTTGAGCACCCCTTGGATCGCCAGGAGGACCACCAGGATGTCCCGGTGGACCGCGTGGAGGTCCTTGACCAGGGGGACCAGGTGGACCACCGTGAAATTGCTGAATGGAGACAAACAAAGATTCTATTTCAATCTACCGTAATTAAATTAAGAATGACTGTGTATGTTTCATAAATAGTAGCAAAATATCGATTGATCAGAGTAAATTAATTTTGTTCTATAAATTTTGTAATGAAATATTATAACTTATCAAGATATCAGAGCCAGTTATTGATTCATTAAAAATCTTTCATCAATATGCTGCAAAAAACTAATTAACCATTAAACAAATTGAAATTAAATAATTTAAGAAATTTCTGAAGAAGCTTTTCATGTTATACATACCTCATGCATTGCAACTATCATTTATTTAAAACAATTTCGAACAAAATATAAAAGATTGGTCAACATTAAAAGTAAATATAGAATAGAAAACTGATTTATTAAAAATTGAAATGATTAAGAAAATATCTGGAAATAAAATTTAATCAATATTCACTTCCTAAATAAAAAAAAAATTGAGGATGCATAAATTGAAAGAGTTTTAATTTACTATTTATCAATCTTAATGATTACAAATTAAACATTTAAAAATAAATATGTATTAATAAATTCAAAAAATGAATCATTCTTACAACGTGAAAAGCAGAAAAACAACACATTATGTTACCTGTGGTATATGGTAACTGGCTTCTGAAAGGTCTCTAGTGCAACTCTGTTTACGCGGAGCGTAAGACATGTAAGTGCAAAAAATATTCTTGTAACTTGTACCCTGATTATGTATCAATTTAAATAACATATGTTACCGATACCTTAAAAATCCATATTTATCAATTTTAACTGTAAGATTAACATTCCCTTGGTAATGTTATGATAAAAAAAAAAAAAAATTGTATTTCGTATAAGATTTTTAAAATATCTTGAAACATATATCATACGTTAAATTTTATATACAAAAACAAACCACATGCAACTACAGTTAAGATCATTGAAAACAGAAGTTATATACCATTCCCGGGGGCCGATGTTGACCGGGGCCTGGTCCAGGCGGTCCCTGTTGGGGTGGACCACCAGGTCCACTTGGACCTCTTGGTGGTCCAGGTGGACCATTAGGTCTTGGGCCATTCCACGGTCCTTGTTGATATCCCGGAGGTGGTGGACCTTGATTAGGATGCCCAGGTAAAGGATGATGCGGTCCTGGACCGGGCCCCATTGGTGGACCGTGCATGCGCGGCGGACCTTGTTGGCCGGGTCCACCAGGCCCTGGTGGACCCATACCTGGAGGTGGCATTCTCTGTGGTCTCACACCCTGTGGAGGACCCATCATCATCCTAGGACCATGATTTTGTTGCGAATGTTGAGGGTGTTGGGGATGTTGTGGATGCTGTTGATGAGGCGGCATTGGTGGCTGATGTTGATGTGGATTATGTGGGCGCTGACTCTGACTCTGCTGAGGAGCCGGAGCTGGACGTGTTTTACACTGAGACTCAAACTGTGAACACATACGAAATTTTTAGAGACATGTCCAGTTTAATTATAAATAATGTGTACCTTTCACAGAAAATTCATATACTTACTTGATTCAAAGCTTGTTTAGTAGGAAAAGTTACTACTGGATTCTGTCCATGTAATTCTTTTTTAGGTAATCTTTCCATACATATCCTCATACTTTGTTCTGAACCCAGAGATATTACACAAAAACCCTTAGATTGTCCATTTGCACGATTTTCAAAGAATTTTACTTCCACAAAATCAGATACACCAATGCTTTGTACTGCATCAGTTATATCTTGATCGCTTGTCCACTATAATATAAACATGTTATATTAATATCTGAATTTTTATTTCCTTCAAATCACTAAGCCAAGAACTAGTGGATATGCAAATATTAAATTACTTACCCAAGTCAAATTACCAACATATAATTGATGACGCCTCCCAATTTGATTTGGTTGAATGTTATTTCCAAGTTGATGATAGGGTGCACTACCATTTGTTTCTTCATTAGGTGAAGTAGTATCACCTCCACCATCTCCACTGTTTCCTGTAGAAACACCACCATTACCACCAGCAGGAGCTGCTATCACATCATCGTATAAATCAACGCCATCACCAGCAAATTCATCCTAAAAAAGATAACCAAATGTGTATTGTAAATACGCTAACATCAGAAGAATACAATACATTATTATTGAAGAATATATTATTTAAATTATCTAGCTCAATATCTTAAAATACTTTTTGTTCCTATAAAATATTAATAAATACTTGTACATATAACAAATGATTATAAAAAAATTTTATTAGAAAAAGTAAAATAAAAAATAAAAATAAAAATATTGAATTATTAATATTTGTAGAAATAAAATGCTCCATAGGCACTCATTAATTCCATAAACATGTGCAATGAAAAAATTCACTTCCTGAATAACCACGAATTGTTCCGCTGCAAATGAGCAAAATAAAAAAAATTTACATACAAAAGAAGCTACTAGTTATGAAAATAATAAACACGCTTTCAAAGAAAAACGGTGAATCGCATGCAGCAATAGAATATCTATTAAAATTAAACTGCTAAACGAAATGGACGAAAAAGTGCAACGACATTTGCCTTACCGCTAACACCATTTTGCTTTTCTTGCTGTGAATCTGTATTACACGTATTTGCTTTAGTATCCCGATGCAATGAACGTGCACACAAAGTACACTAATTATGTAACAGAATACAGAAAATGTTTATCAACTGTAATAATTGAATGGAACAGCTACTCGTCACGAATGAAATGTATTATGTTAAAACTGATGCCTCGCCTGAACGAGATTCGGACACCGCTTTGGAGCAATCGTTACCGTCTTTCCTCCATGACGCCGAACATACCGCTATACTATCGCATTTTTCTCACAGTTTCAAACATTTTTTATAGAAGCAGTCGATTAACAACAACGTGTACCCACCAACTTGTTACTTATTAACAAAGATAAAATCGAATTACCTGCGCGAAATCTTGCTCGAGATCGTCGGCGTACAAATCAATGTCACCGTCCGCCATTTTACGTACACCGACGCTCACTGCATTTGACGAAGGCGCCAAGCCTAAAGGAATGGTGTATTATAGGAGAAAACGTGTTAGCGAATTACGTTACGTTTTCGTCCCAAACGGACGTGACGTCACTGCGCCATCTTATTCTCTTTCGATAAACTATGAATTGAAGTGCAACCTGAAGTAGAGTTACCAACATACTCACATAATAAAATTCAAAAAATTGAAGATTTTTCTTACTATTGAATAAAGAAAAACGTTAAATTTGATCATAAAGGTTATATTTCTTCGTGTTTTTAAAAATTTTGATTCTTTGTTCTTTTATGTGATTCTACTTAATCTTATAAATAAGTAGAAATAAATAAGCAATCGTTCACAATCTTGCCCTTTTAGCAACTTACGAAACAAAGTTTACCAGAAAAAAATTACTTTTCAACAAAAGCACTCCAAATATGGTTTATATTTCATTTAAATAAGTTAAAAAATTAAAGGATTTGAATTCTGTATTATAATTATTTATATAAATGGGTAAAATTCATTTTTTAAAGAAAAATAAAGTAGGGAATTTTAGAATTGCATGATACTGGCACTTAATGCGAACAGAAAAGAATACAAGTGAGCTAATTTCGTATTGTACGATTTACTAAAACGAAACTACCGACACAACGACCGGTTCGTTGTTCGTGCAGTGGTTCGTGTCTTCTTTTGTGATCAGCTTCAATTCTGAAAGGTATATTTTCCGCAATTAGCAACAATTTTATTCCTTCGTTTCAATATTTTCGAATAACATTTCTATCTAAATATAATTCCATTTCGTTTTTTGAAGTTTTCACGCATTTATAACCCTGAAAATTGTTACTTTTTTCTCCGTCCCATGTGCATGCTCTTTACACTTTAAAATTGGACTTTGCGATATCCTTTCTTTGATTTTCTGACCAGTTAATAATTTACCAAATAAAAAAAAACTAAAGAGTACGATAAACTTAATAATTGTATCTATCAATTGACGGACTAATGTAACTTCCGTTTTTTTTCATGATCTATGCGTTCCCTAGGAAATAACCTTTCTCCCTCGTGAACATGGTGACTTTCAAATGTCAGTTTAACATCGTACAGAAATCTAATTTGCTTGAATTTCTATATATATAAATGGCTTATTATAACATTTAAATTGTACATATGTGAGTTGAAATTTAAGAACATTTCAAAAGTCATAGCAGAAAGTATATCGTAACGTGCAATTAAATTTTTGCACGTTTGTAAATTGATCGATGATTTTGCTTTATGCTATATTATTCATTTTTGTAAAAGATTAATGTTTCGTTTTAATATTCTTATCTTTAATTTTATATATTGCGTATGTAAATTCAGTTGTATTATTTAATGCGCCGTTTTCTTTTACCTTTCCTCTTTTGGAAAAATTATAAATATTTCTTTTACATTATATTTTTCTTAACAAGTTAGCCACTTTTATGTTAATCTCAGATTTAAAAATAAGAAAAGTTTTTTTTGTATTTTATTAAATATTTCATTTTTTTCAATTACTGTTAAGAATAATTTCATAATAGTATTGCAAAAGTAATTAATAGGTCTAGTATACCATATGTTTATAATGCAAACATAGATATGCTCCTAAGTTTTATATTTTTGTAATTTACATAAATGAGTAAACTAAGAATATGTACATATGTTTAGATTTTAAAGTGTCTACGTAAAATTCATTCCCTATTTTACACATATATATGTTATAATACATCAAAGAAGTAATAAAAATAAAGTACATGATATGAACATTTACATTACAGTATTTATAATTTTGCTTTTTACCTTGTTACTACCACAAAATTTGATAATGATCTTCTTGAATATATAATTTTTTTATATAAAAAGAAACAAATCTGGATTATAGTACTATGACAACTGACCCAGAGCGTGCTGGCGATAAGAGTGATATGGAATCAGTTGAAGATGAAGATGATAACAACACTTCAGAGTTTACCTCCCAAATTTTACGTAAACCTGATGTGTTAGCAGTTCTGCAAGATCGTTTTTCTGCCCCAGGATTAGAGGTATTCAAATTTCACACTGTGAACTGTAAAACAATAATTGATAATTAATGGTTTCTATAGAATTAAAAGGAATATAACAATGTTACAAGTTGTATAACTCATATACCCTTGTATGACTTTATTGTTAGCAACATAATGTTATTTTTGCAATATTTAAACACATTATTTCTAATTTATGTTACTTTTAGCTCATAATTAATTGCATTCATATAATTTCCTTTTGTTATATAGCCAAATTTTATTTCATCCATTATGATTTGATATAATTTTAGTTTATGCGTGTACCCAATATTGCTTGTTTAATCAGCTATTATTATAAGCTATATATGCATTGCTTGTGCATTGCCTTTTCAAATAGTCTATGTATTTAATGTTGCTCACTTCATAAAAATAGATATAATTACTATACATTGATAAATATAAAATTGATACATCTATTATTGAGAATATTATTGAGAAAACAATTGTATTCTAAACAGTATTTTCAATTTCTAGCAAATGCAGAATCTCCCAGCTTCTGTAAAACGCAGAATTAAAGCTTTGAAACAATTGCAATTAGTTACTACCAATATTGAAGCAAAATTCTATGAGGAGGTACATGCCTTGGAATGTAAATATTACAAAATGTGTGCATCTCTTTATGAAAAGAGGAGTGAAATAGTATCTGGTGTTCATGAACCAACGGATGAGCAATGTGTATGGGAGAGTGATGATGATGAAGAGGGATTAACTAATGATTTAAAATCAAAAGTGAAACTTGAAGATGATAAAGAGCAAAAGAAAGAAGAGTATGTTTATTTTATTTCTATTAGACATTATATTTATTTCAATGTTCTGTTGTTTCTTTTTCAATTTTGGTTTATTTTGTAATAAACATTAGCTATATTAGCTACAATGAAAAAGTTTAATAACATTAAAAATTGGTAATTAATTTTAATTATTTTAGAGAACCAAATGAAGAGACTAAGGGCATCCCAGATTTTTGGCTAACAATATTTAAAAACGTTGGAACATTAGCTGATATGGTTCAAGAACATGATGAACCAATACTCAAACATTTGTATGATATTAAAGTAATATTTCTCGAATCTAATCCAATGGTAAGGTTGAACAAAATTTTTGGAGTTTTTTGGAAAACGAAATTGCATTGAAGATAATAAAATTTTGTTTTCAGGGTTTTGTTCTTGAGTTCCATTTTGAACCGAACGAATACTTTACTAATTCGGTTTTAACAAAAGAATATATCATGAAATGTACTCCCGATAAAGATGATCCATTTAGTTTTGAAGGGCCTGAAATATATAAATGCAAGGTAAATATCTTTAATTTAAATGTATACATTGTTTGTTTATACATATTAACAAAGACATTGTTTAAATCATTTATTCACTTTTTTTTAAAGGGATGCGTAATTGATTGGAAAAAGGGAAAGAATGTCACAGTAAAAACTATTAAAAAGAATCAAAAACATAAGTCTCGAGGGTCCATGAGAACGGTAACAAAAACTGTTCAAAATGACTCATTTTTCAACTTTTTCAATCCACCAGTTGGTATGGTCAAATAATGATTTCTATATTATATATTTCTATTTTGTATGAAAATTGATTAATTTTGTATAATTCTAAATTATTCTTTCAGTGCCAGATGATGCAGAAGCAGAGTTAGATGACGAGACTCAAGCTTTGTTAACAAGTGACTTCGAAATTGGTCATTATATTAGAGAGCGTATAGTTCCTCGCGCTGTACTATACTATACAGGTATGCCTCCATTATTTTTTTTTTTTTTTTAATAAAGTTGCATTACTTAATCATGAAACTGATTAATAAAAAAAAAATAAAAACAATTTTATAAGGAGAAGGCTTAGAAGACGAAGATGAAGACTACGAAGAAGAAGAAGGTGATGAAGACGATCCCGAAGATGAAGATGAAGATGACGAGGAATCTTCTCCGACTAATGCACCGTCAGGTGGGAAACTACAGGGAAATGAACCTAACGAGTGTAAACAACAGTAGAATTATATACAAATTATGATAAGAAAAATCGTTCATGCGTACAGTAAGCGACAACACACGAAATCTGACCGATAACTGCCTAGATAACCTGCACCTATGGCTCCGACCTAATCCTGTTCGTACCAGTCATCTAATCATATCATGTCTCCTATTCCAGATCAAGCCTAGAATCTTCGACATACCAGTGACAAAATTATGCGTACCTTCCCTTTATCCGATGTTGACGATGAATAGAAATACGGCTCTTTAACAGCTACGATTTAATAATGTCATAAGCATAAACGATTGCGCTCTCAGCTCTACATAATCATTGTCATTTTTAATTGCTTTATTTGATACTATTGTTACGTTTATACGCAAAAAGGAAGGTTAGTTGAATTTTTTTCAAAGCGCACGTTGATCTATGAACAAATTTTTGGGTATTGTTAAAGCATTTTTAATACAAAAATTAAGAAAACAGCAGACAGCACTTTGTTTTTTCTCGTCGCGTTATATACGTAGTGCCATTTCCCCCTTTTTACATAAACGTTCTCCTCATAGAGGTTCTTATAGTTTTCCTTATGTTACATCAAATAACATCCCTTTTATACAAATTTTATACTAAATTGTTTTTCCTCCAATTTGTTGTGGACTGAATTATACTGGACTTTGAAATCAACAAAGTTTTTCTATGTTACCTTTATGATAAACTTGATCAATTTTTGAATAATATTTTTATTGTGTACATGATAACAAAATATAAAGTTAACATGGTAAGTAAGAGATTTAAATTCATTCTAAGATTTCTTGTATTAAAATCAGAGCTTAATGAAAACAATAAGAATTAGTATAATTCAAAGAGCTGCAAATTGAATAAAATTAATATTGTATACAAAATAACTTTTATAACAGTAATATATACATAATTATATATGTTTATAAAATTACTGTTCAATATTAAACACAATAAAAAATCATTTAGTATAATCAAATTTTTCATTAATAGTGTACTTTTACTTTCTGAAATGAAAAAATGCATTGTGATACATATAGAATATTAATCAAATCAAATGATAACAATATGTGATTATCAAATTAATGTTTTCTTCTTTATGCTGTTTTATCTGAAAAGAAAATTCGTTAGGGTTATGTTTCTAGCGACATCTTTAAAAAATTGTTCAATACAAAAGTCAATGCCACTTGCTAGGCTTTGTGGTTAACAGCGTGTATAACCTAATCGAGAATGGAGGTAAAAGATAATTTTCACATTTACGTTGGATGTAAATCTGGAGCTTTCAAAGGTAATTATTAATATATTAATTTCAATTATCTTTGAACGGTTATGTCTTTCATCGTATTTATTACCTAACCTAACCTAAGAATACTAATGATCTACAAATTTGATTTTATACTTTTGTAAATAGGCATAAGAATTGAGCCAGAGAAAAATGTGACGCGGAACATTCAGAACTTGGTATTCATAAAGGATAACGATGAAGTTACAGCAATGTCATGGGGCGATGATGAGGAAAAAGAAGTTTTAATTGCATGTGGAACCAAAGAGATTGGAAGGTTATATATACTTAAATTCACCAGAGTCCATAACTGCGACGCGCAGTTTATACGGCCCTAATATACGGGGTAAAACAATAGTACGGATGAATAGGAAGGATGCAGAATGATAGACGTGAGTAAAACACGTGCTACCCGTTATACACCAAATAATGCACTGACGCGTAGACGCACCGCGAGGAGGCGACGCTGTGCGCAAGCGTATGGGAGTGGGGGTATCGCCAATCAGGGCGAAGATGCGCACGAAAGAACGAAAATTGGTCTTTTCGCAGTCATGGACTCTGGTGGCGGTCAATATAAATAATAATTTACAAACTTATACAAGGCGAAACTAATTGTATCTCTTTTTGAAGGTAACTAATGATTTTCTTACAACTTTCAGTATAAAAGTTTACGACACGGACTATACAACATTTACATGTTCCTTTACTTGTGATGCTGGAAGAGGAAGAGTTAATGGTATATCACGATACGACGAGTAAGTGTTGTTTAAAAAATTTACTTAAATAATGCCATATAACATTTCTTTTTTAACACGATATTTCACGACAGAGGGATTCTGACTGCTGTTGAATCTGGAGAAGTTAAATTGTACAAGTATAACGAAAAGGAGGAAATCCTTGTAAATGCTGGAGCAAATTTACGTAAAATGCGTCACTCGAAAATAAATAAAAAGATAATAGCTACTGGAGGTTTTGAACATTATCTAAAGCTGTTCGATTTAGAAAAACAGAAACAAGTATTCCAAGCAAAAAATGTACCTCCCGATTGGTTACAGTTAAGGGTTCCTGTTTGGATTTCCGATATGGACTTTATTCCTACAACAGAAAACATTGTTACTGTTGGTAGATATGGACATGTAAGACGTTTAATTACAGGGTGATTCTTTTGCAACGCGAACCAAAGGCGATGCCGACAGTCGCTTGAGAGCCGTTTTCTATTGATACGTACGCACCCACATAACCGTGCCGGAGACAGCTATGTGGATGCGGACATATGAAAAGAAAACGGTAGCATGTACAATGTATTATAAATATTTCCCATCGTCAATAACTTGCAGACATTAAGAATTTGTTAACATTTTTAAAGGTATCCGTGTATGATCCAAAAACACAAAGGAGGCCTGTTATACAATTACAATTAAAAGACGAAGCAATAACAACATTAAGTACAATGCCGAGAGAAAAGTAAGTATAACATATGATACGTATTGTTTTTCACATAAATATAAAAATCATACTGATATTACAGGCAAATCATAATAGGGACTGGAAAAGGTAAAATGAAACTTGTAGATTTAAGGAAACCATCTAAAGTATTAAACACGTACAAAGGATTTCTTGGTAGTGTAACCGGAATAGCCTGTAGCACAAGCGAGCCTTATGTTGTTAGCGTTAGTTTGGATCGATATTTACGGATACATCACATTGATACGAAACAATTACTGAGAAAGGTAAAAATGATTCAATAATAAAACTGTAACTACGTTACGAGCTTGAGCGATAATTACAATACAATGCGGTTAACGAGTTACTTTACTTGGCTTATGTTGTAGGTATATTTAACATCTAGGATATCTTCCATCTTGTTACATTCAGGATTTTCATTACCGAAAGAAAACAATGTTAATGAAGATTCACGAAAAAATACCAACGGTGTGGATGAATATTTAAAAGAAGAACATGACAACGTGCCAAGAGACCAAAATTCTGACACAGATTATGATATTTTATTTGATAAAATGCAAGTTGTTGGTGATAAGAAACATAAAGCAATGACTGAAAGGAAACGTACAAATTCGAGAAACGATTTAACAATAGATAATGAGATTGTAAGTAATATAATATTTTGGTCATTTTTGAAAAACGTGCAAAATATTTATATAATTATACTCGTTTCATTTATAATTTAGATATTCCATAAATCTCCGTTAAACAAGAATGAGAAACTACCAAAAAGTTCCAAGAAACAGAAAACCTCGAATCTAATTTAGCTGTAAATAAAATGAGACGAAGTATCATGTTCTGTGTATGTACATAAGTAATATTATTTGTAAATTATAAATAAAATTGCAACACATTTTTATGATACTATTATGATGATCTTCTTTGCTTCACGCATGATTAAAACTTCTTTTATTTCATCGTTACCCAACAGGTCATATCGTTGTGACTTTGGCTCAATAATTCTTACACCAATTTACAAAAATGCCAATATAAGCAAAAAAGAAAGTTTCTGTTATGAAGTATTTTGTCACTCAGCAAATTATTCTTTTTCTTTTTCATTTGAAACTTACATGTATGTACAAGGGACAAATAATATGCTACTTGGTTATTGTACAATTTATTCTTAATACCTTGTTCTATATATTGTTTTGGTTCACAAAATACAGCGCGTATCAATTTCAATGGTTTCTCAACTATCAGCGGGATGTTTTCTTTAATATTAAGATTTTTGTTATTTTTGTGTTGTGCTGTCGATACAATTGTGACGATATTGAAATTGGACGCGCTGCACAGGATGATATAGGCTACTGTAATTTTTTATATCTAAAAACTAGAAAAAGTGAACGTGACAACTTGTAAAGTTGAAACACGTATTTTGTACTAAAAGGAAATAAATGTTCGCAGCTACAGCACACTAAACTCTTATTCGGCTATTATTTTATCAGCTGTACAAAAATCATTGTCCACTACGCCTCTTGTTAATTAATACTAACATAAATTTGCTTTATCCTGACTGCGCTCGTGTTTTTATTTTTTTTTTTTCCTTTTTATCTGAAATGGAATATTTATTCTTATTCTCATAAACGTACCTAGGAATAAATTTACTAAATTACAGGCACTGTCCCCTTCAAGAATTAAGTGTTTTACCCACATTTCTACAGATAAAATGGAACTTTGTGCCAAAAAGGAAAGTACGTTTCCTTGGCACAGAGGCCATTTATATACAAATTTCCACATATAGATGTAACATGCAGAATTTATAATTCCATCTCTTTCGTGCAGTTAAGCGTAAAACAAAGTCTCTTTCGAGAAGAAACAGTTTTAATTGATCGTGTTTGTACAGGAATGCTTTCTGCCACTCTTATAATTTTTCGTTATTGAAACACTGTTATACAACGTTGAGTGGAGTTCACGTTTCACGTACATAGTTCTCAAATAAAATTCATTAAAATTTATCAGTGATTTTACTATTTATGTATGATTTTTATACAAACCTAACAGAAAATTAAAATCAGTATGATAAATAATTAATAAGAAATAATTTGCGTGGTTTTTTAAATTAACCATTTTCCTCCTCGTTTTTTTTTTGTTTTTTGTTTTTTTTTTTTTTTTGATTAACCATTCTTTACATACAACAATTAGTAACAATATAAAATATAATTAGAAAACGTTTCATTCGCATTTTACGTGCTGTTAGTTACATCCTCCTTAACGATTACATAATATTATACAAAATGTGGTCACAGATCATATAAAAGCTTTGCTTTTTCATTTTTCTCTATTCCAAAGGAAACTTTATCAACGTAACGTAGTTAATTTATAAAAACCTCACTGTAAAAAGCATATACAAACATGATAAAGGTACTCAAAGAAGCGATATTAAATAAAGTTATATCTATAAAAATCTAAAATAAATGTAAAATAAAACATGTTCAGAATTAAATTTGATTGTAAATAATTTGAAGAACATGCCATAGTAGATTCGTTTTGAAAAGTATCGATTTAAAAAAATTGGCGGCAGCGTATGTTGAAGGTAAAATTGTTTCCTTTTTTCATGTTTTGTAGGCCTTTTAATATTGAACAATATACTTTTTCGTTTTAAATAATTAAAAATACATAGATCAATAATGTTAAAATTTAAGGATACATCTTGAATTGGGATTCATTTAATTATTACTTTCCTGTACAGAAATGTCCTGGTTGCAGATGCATCATTTAACTTGCACGACAACACAATCAATTTCAAATATTCTAATTATTATTTCGTTTTTTCCTGTTCATTAGTTATTATATGCGTACTATTACCGTTTAGTAGCTATATATCAGAATCGGTTATTAATTTGCAAAATCAAAAGCACCGTATTTTTTTTTTTTCTTTCCTTTTCTGTTCTTTCTTGTAAAATGTATCACATGCTGTGCAATTGTTTAAAACAGAATTATTTATTATGCGCGTCAGTTTCGAATATTGAAATCTCTAACGTGATAGTTCACGAACAAGAAACTATTCTTTTTTCTTTTTTTTTTTCTTTTTTGTTGTTGTTTTTGTTTAGGATAAGCACACGAGATATACATATGTAGACATCTGCTTAAAACTGTAGCCTTTCCGTTTCTGTCAGGAAAAAGCGTGGAAGGCCTCTGTAAATGAGGTCCATATTTATTAATTATGGAGCACTCTTTCGATATACGTTAACGCTTCTTTCGTGTCCTGTTGATACTTCCCTTCGAGCTGTTTCAATGTAAATAAAGTATTACCTCTAATTTCTTTATCTGAAATAAAATACAAAGGTTCCATTCAAAGAGTGTAGTAAATGTAAAGGATGAAACAAATAGGCATTCGTTTCTTCTAAAAATTGTGAAAGATTTTCAACAGAGGATTGAAGAAAGGGCGTAGAGATATACCCTGAGCAGATAATGGCGTAGCAATCGTTTCTGGCAAGAAGCTCGAACGTCTATGCTGAATACCGTTTGTACCATAAAAAATTAAGCTTAATCAACTTTATAAAGTATGCAGCGACGCATCATCGTTAGTTGTCGCGCGTCCAGTAAACCGTTTGCTGTCTTCTCGCTCAGCGTGACTTAGTTATTTCTGATAACAGTTGTTCTTTTGACAAACTGATCGAACGAGCACAACAGAGTAATTTTTTCTTTTCCTTTTTTTTCTGGTTTTTTCTTTCTTTTTTTTCGCAAATTCTTAACTGCAGGGGAATAGAAGCATTAAAAACAGACGAAAAATAATATGCTTATTCGTTCACTGTTTGCTGTTTGCTGTTTTTGCATTGAAAATTGTGACGTTAAAGTCGTATTATATTAATTCACAAATGCGTGCTTAACAGCACGTTAGAACAGCATTCCCTCATTCTCCTCCTGATACAGTTACTTCTCTCCATGCAGATTCTTGAGATTGATTTACTAAAGCAGACTGAGGCTCAGAAATATCTGACGTCGCGGGACTTAGCGGTGGACTAGGTGTTTCGATTATTACTTCAGATTCGTTTACTTCAGCTGTATCTTGTTCTGTAACTTCCGCTTCACCATCGGGAATAGAAGCTTCGGATTGCAGAGAACTCGGTGCCTTTGACGCAATTGAATCCTGTGCTCTTAAGGAAATAGAACTATCTTTATTGCTACTGCCATTTTCACCTGTAAATGAACATTTGTTTCTGTCATGTACATGTTTTTAGTTTAAAATATACAATTTACAAAAAATATTCTTACCGCAAGGCCTAAGAACGAGGTAGAATAGTAGATCGGATAGGGAAATTATACCAATCACTTTATCATCATCATCGACCACTACTAGCCTATGGACCTGAAAGATAGGAATAGAAGAAAAAATAATTTTCACGTAACAGTACTCTTTCCAAGTAAAAATAATAAACAATTAAAAAATTGTACTTCTGCTCTAACAATCTTTTCCATAACGGTAAACAGGGTTTCATCTAATTTACAACTTTGAACTCCTTCGAACCATTCATTACGGTGTTCATTTGCTTCGCGTAATGAAACATCTAAATTGTTATATGTTTTTTCTGCTGCTAAGTTCTAAAAGACCGTTAAGTATGATTAATAATCATTGAGAGTGGAAAATATGTAGACTTATCGTTAGACTTTGAAAATATACTTACGATAACATCAAACTTTGAATAAATGTTAACTAATTTTCCATCAGAATCAATAATTGGTAATGCTGAAACTCTCCTTTCAACAAATTTTTTTAATGCTAAAATTATGCTAGTTTCTTCTGTTGCTGTTTCTATATTTTCGAATGTACCTATCCTTAACTCCCTCAATGTTTTATTAGTGAAGGATGGTTTTGGTAGCTCGTGTATCTATTGTTAAATTAAAAGTAATATAATATATAAGTACTATCGATATAATTTCTCGTTCGTCTTACTTATACTTACATAAAGGAAGAGGAACCTAAGAATTCGTTTGTGTGTCAAAATATAGAGAACATTTCCAGTATCCGGATCTATCACAGGTAAACGATGAATTCTATTTTGAATTAATGTTTTAATGGCCTCGTACAAAGATGCATCTGGGCTAATGCTCACTAATGGATGAACCTGATCCTTTAAGACTTCTGCGATAATTAAAACCAAAAGTTAGATGGTTATATTATTAATATTTATGTTCAAACTGTTATGAAATAAAACTATTTACTTCTCCATGTATCTAACTCGTGTTCTTCCAATTCATCCATTGTTACAGACGGGCTGGTATAGTACATTTGTAAGATTTTTATAAAGTCCGTTATAGTTAACATTCCAACAAATTCTTGTCTTCCACTGTCCCATAAAGGTGCAGCTCTTACACCTGCGAGGAGAAAAGAATTGTTAGTGACAAAAAATAGACGAATCTTTGATCGAAAAGAAAGGAAAAAAAATAGAATAATTATTATTTACCATTGTAAACCAGGGCGAAGAAGGCCTTCTTGACAAGGAGGTGCGTGTCGAACACGACTAGTTTGGCACTGGTCGGTATTAGGTCGTAGCATTTGTGAAATTTAAAGAACTTGACGAAAATTTGTGATTCGTCCTCCTCTGAAAGTCCAAACAGTTCACAGTAGAGTAATGCTTTCTGGTTGCGACGAAGCATGCTTGACTGTTACGATGTCACAATGTTGTTTTACAGTTTTTAAAAGTTTCTCTTTGAATTATTGCACGCGAAAAAAATGACTTATCGGGATAAACGTAACTTGTACGATTACGAATTGACACTATGTACTTGCATATACCGCAAAACACTTTCATCTTAATACATCGCAAAATTCTATTGTCAACAGAAATCAAGAGGAGCTGACAATTATATAAGAACACTATAGGAGAAGAAGTGGCACAGTTTACGTAATTTTTTTTCATCAACAAGAATCACAGAAATAGATACAACATATACATAAATATAAGTAATCCTTGAATCAAGAATTCAAATCGTATAATTTTCGTTACCACGTTAGGATATCTTATTAGAATTGTTGTATCGCTATGAAGAAAGTTCGGTTTCTCAAATTTTTATTTTTCCACCCTGTACAATTCACGTTGAAAATTGAAATCAACGAGTAATAGTAGTTAACATTAAAATTGAACATTCAAGAAACATGATTCAATGTAGTGGTACTTGAAAATGATCTGAATATTGGAACACTTATTGCTTTATGACGGTGATTGGTGCTTCAAACTTTGAGTAACGTAATAATTAAAGTTAATATTTCCCGTCTTGTGTATTAATTATAATTAAAAAATTTGCAACTAAAGATAAAGAGCCCCCTCTCATCCTCCATTTCTTAACAGCTGAAATACACAAAGCTGTTTGCAATATCTCGTAATACGATGTCAAATTATACTGAATATAAAAGTAGACAAATTATAAATCACACAATTTGTAAATAAAATATTAAATTCACCAATTTTCAGAAAACAGCAATGAATAATTGCACTTTAATCGTGCATTCTAAATGGATCAACTGCATATAACTGCACTAGTCGTGAGATTTCCATTCACACGAAACTTTCACGTTATAAAAAAATATCTATGCAATAAACTGATAGCAGCAACAAGCTTGCTGTTGAATAATCAACAAATTATTTTGGCAAATATTTGATGTAAGAAACTCAAGTGAAACGTAAAATTTCGGGAAACATTCGTTAAGGTTTCTACGCGATGATCATGAAGCTACTGACTGCTGAAGAGATTGTGCAGTACATTTAAGCCTTCGTTGCTCGAATGAGTACGCGTTACAAATAGACCAACAAAGAGACAGTGATTATTACTACTGCAACGACGACAACGACGATGACGACGAAGAGCGTCGGTATGGTTCTTTTAAGTTTAGAAAAGAAAAAAAGAAAAATCCTGAAATGAAACATTCGTTTTATATAAAATCCTATATTTTGTGTTGTGATTGCTATATATGGGAGCTATCGACAATTGGTATTGCAAATTTACTACACTGTAGCGTGAAATTAATTGATGTTTTTGCAAGAAATCAAGTGCCACGATATGAACCACAATCGAATTGAAACATAGTTATTTTTACTCTTCAGGTATGAAAGCAACTTGAACGATCATTGACCTAACACGCAACACGTATCACACGTACTGCGATCGTGAATCACGTTTTTTCTTTCTTCTTTTTTGTTATTTTTTTACTCGAGAAAATTAACCAGAACATTCACAAGTTCTTCTTCGTTGATTCTACTTTTGTTGGGCTGAGAAAATTGTGGTGATTTTCAGTTATCTGTTTACACAGAACCCTCCCTCATCGTTACGCTTTAATAAAATGATATTGTATATATTTTCTCTAGCTACTACAACACAATCGAGTCACGATTGCAATTAACGAATCTTGTTGTTGAATGTTCCCTTCTCCTCGCTAATGATATACCCCCGCGTTGTTCCTTTCCAATCGAGACCCTGATTTATTCAATGAATGATATTTTATGGGAAAATTGTTATCTTGTTATTTAATAAAATAACAAGCTTTCTCGGCAGTGAATATAATATGTAGGTATTTATTTAAGGAAAGGTCTTTATCAGTGAAAATGAAATGTAACGAGAACAAAAGTGTTAATTACATGATGGAATTGAATATTATTATTATATGATATATTAAAATTCTCGAGAATTTTGTTTGGTTTGAAAGATTTCAAAGTACCTTTCTTAAGAATCCAAGAAAGCTCGTCTTCGAGTGGTGGATTCTCCACTTCGAATTCCTTGATGAGATCTCTCGAATAAATAGGATCATCGTCTTGACTCCACCAGGCAGTACTGACTTGCCTCAAGGTAGCTACTCCTTTACAATTCGAATAATAATGCAGCGCCAACATTATTTTCCATCTTTGCTTCTCGTAAACGAACTTTTGGCCATATTACCGATCCTTTCCACGATGACATCGCCTCGAAACTCTTACGATAGCAATTCTTTTCACGATAAGATGTGCTTGCAACTTTTTATTTCACCGTTCATCATCCAACCATCATTATTCCCTTCAATAATTATCAAACTTCACTTGTGAACGATTTTAATCGTTTTACCTTTCATCACTATTTCGGTTTAATCTTAATTCATATTAGCAAACACTGTTTCTTTGCTCTTTCAATTTCCTATTGAAAAAAGTTTTCTCTATCACACGTTTTAATTGGGTCGTATAAATTTGAAACAGATTTTCGAGTTGTCATGTGAATAATGTTCATTCTAAAAACTCTTTTATACAAATTTTGTTGAAAATAAAGATAATTTAACTTTAATTAGTATTCAGTATTCGAATGCCATTTTTCAATTTAAATTTTCGGCTTGCTATCTTAATTTCTTCTTCCTCTTCCTGAATTTCCCTGAATTTGTGTAAGAAAAGATACTATAGTATCTTGAATTCTAATTAACCAATGATGTAATTTCATGAAAAGACCAATTGAAAAAATATTTTGAGTAATCTAAAGTTTGAGTTATCGATTATGAACTCTCATTTACGAAGACGAAAAGAAGAAACTCTGGACCGATAGAAATTTTTCAAATGACTGGACGAAAGAAAAGGGTACTTTAACTCGGAACCAAATAGAATTCATCTTACGTTTACGACACGACGAGGCAAAGGAAATTCACTAGGTACGGATTAAATCTGAGATCGAAATAGAGTTTGCTTGGCGATGACACTTGAAACGTTGGCCGAATCTCGTGAAAAAAGCAGTCAACAAATCTCCGACTCCTACCTGCCAGACAAATTTATCCCTCCTTTCAACTTACCCTCCAAACATTCAAGGATTCATCGATCTTTTAATCGGTTTTTGCCGAATGTACAATTTTAAAGAGTGACAAACGATTTATCTGGATAATTAGGTATTTTTATCATCCCTTATTCCATCGTGGAGCAATGTCCTACGTTGTCAGTTTCAATTTGAAAATTGATTTCATTTAAATATACTCCTCCCGCTCTATTCGGATGTAATAAATTAAGATAAGTTGAAATTAAAATTTTAAAAAAATTGTAGATTTTACGAAACTGGAAATCATCGAAGCGTTATTAAAAATCTAAACGACTGGATTAATGATAAATAAAATAGCGAAAGAAAACTGAATATAACATTTGTCGAAGAATTTGCACGCCACTGCAAATATACAGTCTATAAATAGATGCATTTCTATTGCCAATTGGTGGATACATGACAGGTAATTGACAGTTGGCCCGGACGTAAGGTGGTCAGTCTAGCTACTCTGCCTCAAAACCAAGTATTTCTCATAATATAATAATTATCAGTCATAAATATTTACGTTCCTTCCTTATCAATTTTTCTTTTCTTTTCTTTTAATACACATTTTCCCGTGGAAAAAGTAAAATACAAATTTTACTTTTCTTTAATTTTATTTAATACAATGTTTATTGCAATCATTACTCACTCGTGCTGTGTATCGTTCAACGACTGAATATCATGAACTGGAATTTCAAAAACTTTGGAACGATTATCCGTATACTTTCTTTAATAATTCAATAAAGAATCATCATAATAAATAAATATTTATTTTTTCTTTAAACTACCACCTATTACCGATTTAAAATGATTAAATTGATTAAATAACTAATTTGAAATTTCTTAATTGCACAATTAAACACACTGATGTGATCATGAATGATTAAAAAAAGTGAAGTATAATTTTGTATGAAACAGTTTTATTCTCTGTACTGGAGGAGAAGGATCTTCCAAAGTTCTTCTGACGTTGAAACGAACCATCTTTTCACCGAAAGAAATGCTTTCACCTGACAACTCGAAATCTACAAACGGGGACCTTCTCTCTTTTAGATCCAAGTAATTGTCGCCGTTTGATCGATCGCGTCGCGAGCTTCCCTCAGATTCGTCCTCTTTTGCGAACCGAATAACCGAATAACCGAACCGTCTCTGACTACTCTCTGTATTCCTTCTGTTGCTACTCGACCGGCCACCACCTCGTCGACGATCATCGTCATCGTCATGGACGATTCGTGCCAAGAATAACTCTCTGCACGAAATCCAGGCTTCTTGCCAAGAAAAAAGTTTCCTCAAGATACGATCGGACATTTTCCCGCCTACTTTTTACCGACCGTGCATTGGTAGTTTACTTTTCGATTGAAAGATCGGTACAGGTAAATCGTACCTTTCAAATGATCCAACATGGAAATAGATAATAAGAGAAATTTATTGAAATTTCTTATAGAATCAAGTTGAAAGACGTTAAAGAGAAAAGCAATAGTAGCCTTGTAATAATTATTAATTATTAAGCAATCGAGCATCGAAACATTGTGTAAATGACATCGTCTGAAAAGGCTGTTAAGGAAAATGAAGGGTTATACGAAAGCTCGACGACGTTAAGCCTTTCTAAAGAAATTGGAGTGACAAATATTGATTCATCAACGTTTTCAAATATCCAAATAGGAGACATAATGAAACGATTTTCGGTCAACTTCTAATCGAGAAAATTCCTAATTGAAATTAAAATGAAAATTCTACATGGAGTTTTAAAATCAATAATTCATTGTCAGTGATAACTTGTAATAACTCAGGATAAATTGTAATAAACGTTAAATTTTAATTAACATTACGGCGTGGCGTACACCAAGCATCGAACATGTTTATTCTAAAATCGATCAGAATCCCATATATACATACATGTACACTTATCGATTGTTTGGTATTAAGAATAAAACAGTCCAAGAATACTGCCAGTCAATCGATATGAACAACTACATATTGTATTATCAAGACTGTTATTATTATACATAGGTGGATATGAATGAAATGTTTTAAGAAATATTTCATTCTTATTAACAAGTATGTATACATCTACATACCCCTATTCAATTTACCAATACGGTACAATAATTATAATTGTACATTATATCGGAAAATCTAATTGTAAGTGATCGTTCTTCTGCAATTTATTTTTAACATCCATATGAATATGAAAATATACCGAGCATATGCATATGTACTTTTCAGCTGGAAAAGAATTACTTAACATTTTCATCGAAATTTCTAATGGCAAATAAGGAAAATAATCAGTTCTTTACAATGGTCGTGACAAGTTCAAGTTCATCGATCTCGTTGTACACTACCGATAGATAATAGCAACTACAATATAAGACTCTACTTCAAGATCAATAATGTAGTATGTATGTATGTAAGTACAACGTTCAAGCGCAGTCAGTTGAGAAAATTCGAGTATCAGTCGATTTTCCAATGAAACCTAGACCTCGACCTATATAATCGAATTATAAATAAGCGTTCCCTTCCTGGTCAATGTTGCAGTAAATCCCGTGGAAATCCGTTGAAACGCGTGTAACTTTATATCTATAATATAATTTACGTGCTCTACTAAATTGTATAACGGATGATATCCACTATTTTCGATATTTAACCATTCTTTCTATACTCGTGTATTCAACTCGCTCACTAATTTCTAATCGAAAAGGTTTCCACGACAATCAAGGCGTTAATTACACATATGAATTGTGTATAGTACCATTTTTCGAAAGATAATGGAACGTTTTCCACTTGTACGATCGAGCTACTGAAACGTATTACAATACCTCAAGGGCAATTGTGGGTTGGAGGGATGAGAGATGGGGAAAGAAAAAATTCCATTAGCTCTGTTTGCCGAGTTTTCGTGTTTATCGGACGCGCGCAACTCATCCCCCATGACCTAGACCCATATAGAAATGTGCGAATGCGTGATAGAATGCGTCAGAGAATGCAATCTCATTTACCTTCCATCTAGCTTATCCCCTAATCTAACATCCTCTTTCATCCCCATTTACGGGACATTTTTCTAATTCAAACTCCTCCTCTGTTGAGGATAATTTAGATTTTCACAGTTTTTTTTTCAGATCCTGTCTCTATCTTTGTCGAGGTTGAACGAGCGAGCTGGACTCCCGGGAATTCATCGATCGCAACACCATACACCCACGATACAGTAGGAAAGAGAAATACGGGGTGGATCCCGGTGGCACGATTTCAAGGGAAAATCTATAGACCAGGATCGTGCACGTAGGAAGCACTTCCTGGTTTGATTTAAACCTGTTGGCTGATTCAACTCGGAATATAATTTAACACACTTGCCTCTTTGATGTACGACAGAATACCGTTTCTAGTAATCGACGACGACGATGACGTACGAACTATTGTTTCGAAATAATAGCGCAAGTAATAATTTCCATAGGATTCCTTCTACCCGATTCGTTGATGCAATTATACGATCAATTTTATTTCTTGATACGAACAGCTAAGATTTATTGTAAAGGGTATCTATTATATATGTACACGGTTATTTCACTATAATTTGTTCAGAATTTCCTTCTGTCCCTTATTTACGCAACGCCACTTATTTATAAATACATTACCTGCTTCATCGATTTTACCAGCGTTCCTATCTTTCTCCTAGAGCTTTCCTGAAAATCTTCTATCAGCTAAATGTACTCGATGGTGATTGTAATTGTGGTTGTGATCGCAACTATCACACGATCGTGCGAGTAAAATAAAAGTAGGTACATATCTGCTACTTAGAAATATTGACACAAGATTATATATTATTACATTACATTTCGAAAATTCTAAATACTGTTTTTATCAACACATTGTGACATCGTTTCGTTCAATAATTTATCAATTTATTGTTAATCTTTTGCAACAACTTCACTTTAAAATGCAATTGATATAAAAATAAATGATTATATGAAATTATTGTCTGATAAAAGAGGGATTAAAATAGAAATATTTAGATAGAAGAAAAAAATAAAACTCACCGAGATCAGAGAGCGAAACTTTCTCCAGGAATGGGTCTACCACTGGTAACTGAAAAAAAAAAGAAACAGAAAACACAAATTAATAATGATTCATTGTAAACGTTAAATAAACCATATTATAATTACACGTGCAATATATTGTTTATTGTTTTAAATTACTTTATAATGAGTAGGAGAAATGAAAAAAGTAGAAAAAGACAAGCAAACGTTTGCTCGAGCTTGCAGGTAATATCTCTTTTTTCTGTTTTTCATGAAACAGAAATATAATAATAAGTACCAACGCCTTCTTCAACAGAGATTTCGGACTGAACGGTTGCCTCTTCTTCACGTTCGTCGTAATTTTCGTGTACCAACTTGACAAGATACCAGACGAACTGCTACTATGAGTGACGCTTGGTCCTTTAGTGACACTTCCGGTCGGTTCACTGGTTTGTCGACGAAACACCATTTTCACATAAACGTTCAATTTCAATGACAATTTCGCGATGACTAATTCAAGAAAATCCTCCAAACATTTTTCAAACACGATTTCACTCACTTCACATTACAATTAGACTTTTTATTAACTAGACGACTTTCGAAATCATCATCAAGAAGAAGAAGAAGAAGAATTAATTTAACCAAGTCACTCATAGCATGATCGTGTACTTCGATTTGTTGTAGGAAAATAATTGAACATTGAAATTAAGAGGCAGCGTATGAAGCACATTTTAACAAACGTATTTTTTTCCTCGATCACGAAAGATAACTCGTATAGCAAGAATTTCCATGAAAGAAAATGTAACGTTTCCAGTTTACTGAAATTTTATTCTATTATAATTAAAAGGAAAAACATACCGTAGAAATAAAATCACGATATTATCGGGGCAAACATTGTAAGACGTTTTATCGTTAACGTTAATCGATTATAATTGTCGTTGATCGAACAATCATCAAACGATCATCGAGAAAGTAGAATAATACAATAGAATGACAATAAGACGAGAGCATTTCGATTGCCACCACTTTCTTGAATGCACTGTGCCTCCTCTTTGAGAAATGGACGATTGATTCGAGTAGCACAGATGCCACATTGGCATTGAACGTCGATCACTACTCGAGATGAATACCAATGAGTTACACTACCACTACACTTTTAAATAAGTAAATATTAAAGGCTGTACATAGGTAAAGAATTTCCTTTATGCTTCCATTTACGATGTAAATCGGTGTTTATAATATTTATCGAAAAAATGACGAAACTACGTAAGATAAGAACAAGAGACACAGCGCAACACGGTTTCTGTGAATCACCAATCACGCTAGAGACGCCTCCGTTTCTTCCCATGGATGTAGCTCTTTTTTCTTTCCTTTTCTTTTCTTTTCTTTTTTTTGTTTCTTCTTTTTTTCTGTTTTTGCGACGAGCACAACATCAGCAACCAACTTGCTCGTTCCGTGCCAAGAATAGTGATACCGCGTGGATAACCATACAAAATACACGTAACAAGCACAATAAACGAACGCATAATGAAACGAGACACGACAGGCGCCAACCATCATGAACGATCTGCTCATTTCACCAACGAGCTTTCCTCCTTGAAGATTTTTTCAATCTTTTCTCTTCCAACAGAAATACCTTTCAATGTTATAGTCGACTTGTTGATAGAAAATTGCTTAATTTATAATTTTGCGTTCCAAGATTATTTTGCTACCTATTTCTTAAGGAAACACTGAAAGTGCATTTCTACGTAGTCAATAATTCTGCAACTATTAATATCATTCATTGAACGCGAACTTGGCGTGTCTTCAAAGAATCTACATGGCGCTAACTGAACAGAAAATAGATCGTCTTTATCGAATCTTTGCCTTTACCAAATCAAACAGGGAAATATTATAATTTCAACGGTACAGGAAAAGAAAATTATGATAGAACAGAAAATGGATTCTGTATCTTTAGAATTGCTATCTTCCTGTGAGAAAAAAAAAAGGAAAAATGAACCAGAACCAAAATTCATCGTAAAAAGCAGCTGTTGATTTGACAACTGGGATTACGCGCTATCGCATCTTTGTTGAGTCGAAGCTTAAAAAAGGAGCAAAGAAATTGATTCTAAAAATATTACCTACACAGATAGTTTCTGGCGTTTATTCAATCGGCTACTAGCCACACAAGTCGATGAAACGGTTATAAATTATCAGAAACATCAGAGGTGTGCCTACCGACATGATCTTGAATCAACTCTCGTTGCAACGTATCTACATATTTCGAAATGTTCCAATATTTTCAAATTTCACGAGTGTAATTCAATTCAATAAATTGATTAACGCGATAATTTTTCTTCAAGAAACAAATCATTAATCAGATGTAGAACAGAAGAATATTGTACGAGCATTTTAGCTCTCGTTGTCTAATAACTGTCCACGTACACGAACACAAACAGAACGTACGACTCGAGTCTGGATTTAAACGGGACACCTACGCGAAAATTCCATCAATGTACTCCAAGTCGTGTAAATGACACGAGAATCGTTATCTGCAGACACGACGTTTTAACATCATTCACGTATCATTTCTATTTCCCGATAACAAAAGATCCTAAGAGAAATTTGTCTCATCTTTAATTAATTATACATATATCATAATATAATGATATCCTGAAATAGAAAAATTACCAAATGACACATAATTAATGACCGTATCGTTATGCAAAATTCCAGTCTGTACGAATGACCGATAATCTTATAATAGGAAAATTGATATCCGTCGAAATTTACATCAGCCGCGCCGCAAAGTAAAACGCTACTCGATGACACTGCTATTCTTACAACAGAAATCATCATCGACAATCTAATTATACTCGCGGGAGGAAAATGTTTACAAACCAGTCAGAGTAAATATTATCAGTGGCTCGAAGTTAAACGGGCGGAAATTAATTAACGACGTAAAGAAACGTTACAAAGGTTATCGTAATCGAGCAATATAACTACGCGAATTACTCGTGTATGTTATTTTAACATATAAAAAATCAATTTTTTAAATTTTATAACATACGTAATAATAGAAGAGAGCTAAGAAATCGTGAAACACGTTACTTGTAATTGAATTTATAAACAATCGTAGCAATTTACTGGAGTAATTTAAATCCTTCAAACTCGAGTTTAATTAAGGAAACTCAGAAAAGTGTTAATCGTTTTACTAATCGCAAGTTTTCAGGATATAGAATTAATGACAAACTATTGTAGAAAAGAAACTTTTAGAATCTAATGGAAAATTCAATGAAAATTATCGTTATCTCTATCAGTCGCGTATCGAACCAATATCGTTTCTATTATCTTCCTGCCGAAGGATTACTTCTTACTTCTGTGGTAATTTATGCAATAACAATTGAAACGTCAATGTAAAATAATTTCCTCAATGTGTCTGTAGCAACAAGTGTTCTCTGTTCATTGGTAACGTACTGTTCGTCAAGGTCTTCGGAGAAACGTCATTCCCACCGGGCATCGATCCTACAAATTCAATTTACACTGACCTACCACACTATCCGCGTCTAACTTGTCGTCTTATCAGTCTCGTGACTGTGAACCTGAAGCAAACAGCAAATTGAATCTTGTAATTACAACCCTGGCACCTGATATAATCATCCTCAAACCGTCTAAAAAATTTCCCTGGTTAGAAAAGAACTATTTCTCGTCGGTATCACCTTCAACCACGATACACTGACTTAAATCACGCGCGAGGTAGTTTAACATGGTCGTTCAATCCTTTTCCATCACGTAATAAGGATACACGCTTCGATGAGAGATGAAAATTACGTTGAATATCAGATATGATTATTCAGATTTAGGTAGATGATTTATTGGCAGACAGCGAGACCGAGATCAGAACGGTTGCTCGCAGAGAACTGGATCGGTTTGCGAGCCGGCCTACTCTGCAACACGTTGTGTGCAGAACTTACAGCATGGCGCGTCGCGACGCATCAGCTTGTGTGCGCGTGATCCAACAAACATGTGATTTTACCATCTTTTCGTTTCTCTTCTTTTTCTAGTGAAAATTTCTTATTGAATTTTCTTCCGTCGATCGATTACTCTTATTCGTTCAGTCATCGATTTTTCCGTCAAATTTCGACGATCGGATGAGTAGGAACGAGTGAGAAATGTATTTCAAACGAATTTCGAAACGGAAAAGCAATTTAAATTGGAAATTTTACTATGCCATTTACGATTGCAGAACACCAACTTACGCGTACGGTTATCAAACGTACCGTTTTATCGTTCGAATAGCCACACTTGTACGGTTAGAGCTGATAAAAAATAGTTGCATCAAGTAGTAAAGGTAAGCTAAAAAAGAAAACGTCGGCTTGTTGCATTTATAATAGATTTGAATCGTTTAACAATAATTGGGATAGCGAAATAACGCGATATTTCGGCAAAGATTTTTTTAAATCTATCAAAATAATTATTTAAGCGTGAAACAGTTTACTATGTTTTGTATCCTTCGGATATATTTTCTGCAATCATTTGCAAACTTACACGTTATAGTTTGCGCGTTACAAGATCTTTCCGTTATATTGTATTATTATATATATGTAAATTCTTGAAGAAGATCCAAGAAGGGAACTCAATTTTCAGCGTACTGTTCTTGAATCGTTCCACAGCGGTTACATTTTAACTTTCAATAGAAACACGTCTATTTTTCAAGGTATCTTTTGTTGAAAAAAGAAATAAGCAATCATAGCTTCTGGTGAAATTGATAGAAAAGCTTCCTCTGTCAAAACGATGTGTCATTGGTGATTTACTAAATGGTCTTTATTTGAATTTCTTTTGTAGTTAGAAGGTTGAAAGAAAATTGAAATGGTCAATGCTACTGTCATTATCAGATTCTGTTCGAAAAACACGTGTAGAATTATATAAATCCATGCACGTGTCGCTCGAAATACAATGTATTAAAGAATCGGCAACATTTCTCAATTACTTTACTCAATATTTTTTTTTTTTAGATATCAACTTATTTACTAATAACGTATTCATTAGTCATATGTGATTACATTGATAAAATTAAAATGTAAGAATTTCTTCAAATGATCTTTTAACACTCAACCCTTTCACTTTGGTCATACAAGTATGAATGCAAAATTACCGATAACAAAGAAATCTAACGTTGATAATATAGATAACATTTTACGGTATACCGACTGTTTTATGTACCTTCATCGAAAATACAAGTATTCGCCTTTACCGACCATAGTAATCCTACTTATCGACAGTCACAAGTTCCTCGATACAGTTAATTAACGAGAAAAACTAATTAACGATACACAGTCTTGTTCTTGAATACGTATTCCGTGACGGTACATAACAAGGTGCATGGAAAATGAACAAAAGAAAAAAAAAGAGTAACCTTGACCCATTTTGCGAGACGATGGAATAAACTGTAAAAAAGACACCCCCTGCTGCTGCTGCTGCTACTACTCCCCTTTTCGAAGCTGTTCGACCGAATATATCCCCTCTTCCTTTCCTTAACGTTTCGAGCTTTCATCATGACCTAGATTGTTCCCTCTGCCGTTCGGCGAATCGATATTTACAAACTGTACACATGCGATAAATCGTTACGATGAGAACAATTTGAGCAAAGGTAAACGTAAACAGTCTTATTTTGCAAAAGTAGAAGCTGTTAGATTGTGCAAATATATTGGAAACTTTTCTTCTTCAAGAAAAAGTAACAGAGAGGTATCGAAACATTTTTAAATGTTCACTGATTAATATGGGTTCATGTGAGTTCATATTTCTAATTCCTGAAATAAAGAGCCTTCAGGTTGATAAGTTCTTGATAACGATGGGCAATACACTGGCGATTAAAAAGGAAATTTCGTTGCTTCTAACATTTGATAATAATAACATTATTAGATTTAACAATAATAGATTTCAAAGTATGTTGACCTCTTCGCTTCTGTAAACTTGAGCAATCCACGATCATTTTTTTTATGTTCAAGTAATCCTTCATTTTAATGACCAATTAGTACAAAGTATAAACATAATTTTTCCTTGTTTCGAATGTGATTTTACCATCCTCCTAACAATTCCCCCTATCCCCCTATTATTTTACACAATTACATATGTATATATAATGAAAATGAATACTCACCCCTCTGGAATCCCTGAAGAGGATAGCAGCGTGCACAGGATCTAAGTAGGCATCTGAAGCTCTATGGGGGATCGCAGGTGTACCCAAAGAAAATCTCCTTGCACCAGGATCCAAAGAACTTCTTCTGAGAGCTCCTGTAATTTACAATTACACACCTTTGTTAATTGAAATTTCCATAAGGTTGAAATCAGCAAGAAATCGAGTGTCTGAATATAAAATAGCTGTTATTATTCCAATATGTGCACTTTCAAATATCAACAATGTTTGGACAGTAATTAAAGTTGATCAAAGTAGGCCACCATTCGAATCGGTAAACTTTTATCAACGTTATCAGGAATAAAATAATACATATAGGTATATTGTATACGCTCGTTATTTATTCTTTCGCCCGAATATACTCAATTTAATATCGATATTGAAAATAAAGTTGGAAAAAAGCAAATCCTACAGCTTTATGGTAACAACCACGTGCCAGAACGTGCTGAACGTTCTAGCCGCAAATGAAACGCGTTTATCTCGATGCACGTGTGTTTTGCAAAATAAACTTTTTCGCGCTGAAAATGTCGAGCAAGCGTGTTTAATTACCCACGTATACGTGTAAGTGTATGGGTACACGAAACCGGAATTCGTTCTCCAATTTCAGAAATAACTGGTCTCCTCCCTCTTGGATTTTCTTTCTGGTTAAATATCGTTAGATATACAAAAATAATGGCAATTTTTGAGGAAATGAAATCGAGAAAAGAAAACGTACTTCTTCGTTGTGCGTATATTTCGAGTTGATATCGCTCGGATGATATTTCAACCCACGGCTAGTTAGCTGGCATGCTCGATCAATTCTACCTTGAATAGATTTACCGTTTTTCCGACCATTTTACCATTAAAATAGAACAACAAAAATGATAAAATACGTTTGAAAAGTATTTTTACAGAGAGAAAGGTTGCAATACAATTTAATTAACCTGAAATTCAGGAATAAGGGGAGCTTCTCTCTGAAACGAAATGAAATAGTAAGGTGCGAGGGGAGAGTGTAACTACGAAATTTTTTTTATTTATTTTTTCTTTTTTTTCTCTTCACGAAGGCCACTGGTGCACGTTTCATTCGCACGATTAAATTCGCTTTCTCAGCTTGAAACGTTACCCTGAGCTTACCAGCTTATCAACTCTATTTATTATATTTCGTTCTTACACTCCTCTTTATAAAATTCTCGTTAAGCAATAAAAATAGATAAATAACGATATAAATAAGCGAGATTTCAGTGTAAATGATTCACTGCAAAACTGATAGAATGATGAGGAAGAATGAAATGAACTAGCACACGTGTTTACCATATTCTTTCCTAAATTATCGCCATAATAATAATAATAAAAATCATTTAACAAGATTACAAATATTTTTCTCACATTGATTGCACGAATAATTGAACGAGTTTCGTGAAAAGAAAAATTTACGTTCAATCATGTGTGATAGCCGTGATTGCGCAAAATTTTTAATAATGTACATACTGATGCCACCTTAAACGATGACTAACGTTTTACGTATAAATATAATGATTTTTCTTGTTTGACCTTTCGAATGATTTCTTTCTATCGAACATCTAACCGCGTCTCCGAAATAAAATTTAGAAAATCTCATCTTTTGACGATTAAGGTAACGTTAAAGATCCGCGGATAGACGAGAGAAATTGTGTGTATTAATTGTTGTCATTTAAAGAAGCAAGTTATTTTCGGCGACTAGTTTAATCGTGTCGACCTTGTATTACAAAGTCAAACGGACTCGAAGAAACTGCGTCAACGGACGCGAATCGTTGCAGCTGCACATACGTATGTACATTTGAAACTCGGAAAACGAACACGTTCCCTTCGAAGGATATACATATACATACTTGTAATTAAAATAAAATCAAATGAAATTTTAACAAATTTTTCAAATATTCCACGATATACTTACTTACATAGGTGCGATATGATTGAATTGAATTTTATTTAATTAAATTCGTTGTTCTACTCACCTATTTCACATCAATTAATAAAGCTTTAATTAATGTTTTTATTACAAAACGTCTGCTTATTATTAGTTAGAAGGAAGACAATGAAAAATTTCGAAAGATAGAATATTCGACCGTTGACTAGCTATTTTATGTTATATTATGTATATTAAATATGACTGTATTAAGAGTTTGCATTAAAGAAGATGAAAATAACCTTATTATTTTCTGGCTACGATGTACTACAATTATACGCAAGATTTAAGAGGGAAAGGAGAAGATCTCGTAGGATGTAACTAACGATAAGTACTGTATGTCGACGTTTGGCAAAACTTGCAGAATCTATAATGAGCCATCATGTAGTAAAGCACTTGGTAAAAGCGGAATAGCAATGTGATCGGGTCAAGGTGATCAGCTCAATGTTTCAATGGAAAGTGAACTTCACGAAGGTGGTGAGCTTGCAAAACGTGAAATTTTACATAAAATCGTTCGTTAACAATCAACACGGAAAATAGAAACGTGCCGTACGATTACATCCTTCCTGATGGAAACAATCATGAGAATTTCTATTTCTACTACGAGAGACGACGCGTTAACAACAATCAATTTGACGTGTCAAAACATCAGGAGCCTGAAGACGACGCGGGCCTTTTTGGTTTGGTGTCAAAACAAATTGCACAACTAAATGATCGTGAGTGTGGTAGGAAAATGTAGTCAAGAAATTTGCCAACGTAGCATTTGCCAATAAATAGGTGAATAAGTAATTGAATAAATAGGTAAACAGATAAATAGATCTGGTACGATACAATATTTAAATATTGAGAAATCGCTAACCTACTTAATTTACGATAAATCAAGTATCTGTTATAAAAAGTGATAATAAAAAGTACTAGGTTCGTTTGGACAATATTCTTTGGATCATTCCAAAGTGGACTAGATGGAAGATTGGAATTGAAATTTTCGAGAAATAGGTTCAATCGAACGCAGCCGAGGAAGCTTGATGAAACATTGGTACGTCTGTTACCTTGCCTGAGTATACTTTCGTAGATTCTGTAGGTTGTCTCGCAATCGGCATCTCTTAAACTCGGATGTCTAGCACCACCATCCAAACTTTGACTTCTATTACGAAAATCTTCTTCCTTCTTCCGGGGTGGATCCTGGCATTCGCTTTGTCTTCTTATATGACCCAATCGTCTCCCGAAATGTCTTATCATCTCTTGAATGCTGTAATGGTGGTGGTGTTGATGATGATGTTTCTCCTGATCACCGGTAGGACTAGGCGAGGTGGGTGACGCTCTGCCGCTATTCGTTTGGTGCATCTGATGTATGTGTTGAAGAGGATGATGATGATGATGATTCGTCTGATGCGTGTAATGACTGTTCCCGTGGATCGTGTGATACACCGAATGATTGTTTGCACCGTGGTAGAGGGAGGAACTATGATTCGAAGAACTGGATCCATGAGAGGAACCGTAAGACGTGGAAGAACCGTAAGAGTAAGTCGAGCTAACTGAACCACGCGATATCCGTTTCTGTATGTGTTTCTGGCTTAATAATTCTTGTAAAATCTTCGTGTTCTGTTGTCTAGTTGTATCCGATGCGGATAAACTTTTCTCTTCCTGATTAGGCTGGGCGACACCGGTTCTTGCGTCGCCATTATGGGATCCATGGTGCGACAATAGATGGTTTATACCGTGCATCTTGCTAGACGAGCTATTTCCTCTCTTCTGAGGAACGTTTAAGCTATCTGTTCGATTTTTCAAATCGTATGCGTCCCTTGACTCGCACGTATCCAGTGGAGCTGTAAAACATGACAAAGAATCTGTTAGTAATATTAAAACTGTATCGTTCGCATCAATTCGATTATCATACTTCCACGTAGGTAAACCTAGCTACACGTATACCGTAATATTAAATAATAACAAGCGTTAATAATCATACAATTCGCTGGTGAACCTACTGAAAATTTATATTACCAGCTTCCAAAGCTTACTGCTGACGCAAATTCTATCGAAATGCTTCCCTAGATCGAAAAGAGGAAAACAGAATTACACATTTGTAAGATTTCTGTTAAAAATAGACACTTTGCTTTTATCAATATTTTCTATGAAAATTGAGACTGTTCATCGCTAGATTTATATACGAATAAAACGATGAATTAATTGTTGGCAAGATGAACGACGAGTTTTGTAAACATCAACTTTGTGATATAACTACGTAGTGAATAGGTAATTTTATGCGCGCATCTGGCAGGATCGCAAAATTACCAACAACTTGGATCGATCTTTGGTAAATAATCAAGTTACATAATTACATGTTTAACAGTTTAAACAAGCGAAGTCGTTTAATCAGACAGAAAAAATGAATTTCAACACATTCTCTATCATAAATTTCCTCCTCGTGCCGAGTTATATTTTTCTCAATTATGCACGCGATATCGCGTAATCCAACTTTTAGCGATCAAAGAATGTGTTAAACTTATTTGTCTATTCCTAATTAGTAATTACGATAATTACGATACGTAGGATGGTATCACGATTAAGAAGAAAAAAAAAAAAAATAACAAACAAGACGTAGGTGACGAGTAAAAAAATTCACTGCTTAACGACTTATTATGACACTACGATTGAAATACCGAGCACATCCTCGAGCGAGGGTTAAATTAGAATTCAGGAGGAAACGTTTAGCGCACGCGACTGATTGTGAGATTGGAGGAAGTAGTCAGAAGCAGCAACTATTAAGTTGCTTCTACGAGTACGATTCCAACAGCAAATCTTTTCTATTGTTACGAACAAACGTAACATCGTATAAAATCGTTAGGTTGAAAAAAAAATATCGTCGAGTTAAAATTATTCAGATTTTGCTTAATAATGCAACTAAAATGTTAACTTGAATTTCGAACATCCTATAGATAAATAAATGTCAAATACGTTAACAGAATGTATCGAATAATTAAAATAAATCGGATCGGATACTGCGATCGATTGACAAATTGAAGCATAGCGTGAACCAAATTCTTCCCTATTACCGTCTTTTTTTCCCTGGTTAAACAATTATTATAATATTTCCTGGATCTTGAAATTAGTTGTATATCGGGAAATTTGCCGATTTTGACAACGTGGTCGTCGATGTGGCAAATTTCGGGGTCGTCAGAGGGAAACTGGGTCGTATCGATTGGACTGTCTCTCTCCCCGTTCTAGAGAAGTGCATACGCTCAAAGGAATTATTATACAGTGCTCCTAGTCTTTCCCTTCCTTCTCTTCCTTCCCTTTCTTTTGTTGCAAGCACGAGATGGAGGGAAAAATTGGTAGCGAGTCCAAGTGAAGAAACTTGGTCGCAACAATAACGAAAGTAACCGAGGCCTTTCTAGACTTTCTGATCTTTACTTGCCACGATATTACTTTTATCTTATTCCGAGCCAATGTTTCCTTCACAGATGATCAAACTTTTTGTCTTTCTCAAGATTTTTTTACCAAGTGCGCCAACAATTACATACTATGAACAATTTCATTATGAAATTAGGGAACGATCTATCGTTACTATTACTACGTTTTTACATTTATGATTACAATTTACAACTGCTTTCTATACCGCAAAACTGAATGTAGAACATTCTTCCCGAATGTTTCCCCTGTTCGATCGATGCGATACGATGCAATGCGAGGTATGTACTCCACTTTCGGCGCAATTCGACGCAATTTCGATAAGGTTTAAAGGTCCATAAAGAGGCGATAAACCCGAAGAATAATTATTTCGAAAATCAAGGTTATTCGCGAGGGAAACTAAGATTTTCCATTAAATCAAATCGCTTCAGAAATACACGGAGCATTGAGAAATGAATCAAGTTATGCAACATGGTGCAAGTACAAAACACATTTAAGAACACGAAAGTAACTCTAAACATAATATTATACATTCATTTATTTACATATATTATTATGTAAGCTACCTTCTTTCAAACACTTTTCAATATACTTCCAATATATTTATTTCCTCAGTTTGCCGCGCAATTTGACGAACAACCTGACCTTTAAAATGTCGAACATAATCTGATTATGGTTATACTATTAACGAGGCAGAGCAAACAAGTCCCTTTTAGACGTGCTGAACAACACCGATGCAACAGCATTGAATTTAATCTATCTGCCGATCGATATTTTCTCGCAAAATTAATAGAAATGAAATTATACCTGGCTATCTAGTTTTTCAACTAATTAGTCTGATAATATGGTGATACCAGAATTTAAGAAATCAATTATTTACAATCTAAGAATCATTGGTCTTTCGCTTAATTTACATTACATATATAATATTATTTTAGCCAGGTAAACTGTTTAAAGTTTCAAGATGCCAGTAACTGTATGAATACCGATTACATAAACCTGTATTGACGAGAAGATAAACAGGAAACTGATACCGACCGACCTTACGCGCGTTGATTTAACACTCGTCCACTTTTGTCTCCTATTTATTTGTCGGTGCATTTCAACAGTACCTATCTACCTATCTAAATACTGTTGATTCGTGGTGTAGAAACATTTGGAAAGTTGCAGTTGCACTAATTGTTGTGCGCAAAGTATTAGGATGAGTCAATCGTAATCCAGATCTGGGTGGCAAATATTTTTTAACAAAAGAAATTCTGTACACTGAAAAATCGTACGAGGGATAATATATAATTTGAAAATGAAATAAAATCTTTTGTTTCCCTGGCACGGTTACCATTTTAACTGCATACAAGGTGGTCATCTTTTTAACGAATGCATATACATTTCGGACGAAGCTTGAGAAAAAATATTCATGAACAAGGCGAAGGCGAAGGATCGTGGGAGAGGACGCTTCAAGGCTATTTAAATATGTCCTGGTACATTTATAAATGTCCTCACGAGATTGCAGAATAAAATAAAAAACTAATTAGAGTATATTTAAGACTTTTCTATAAAAATATTTGAAGAAAAAAAAAATAGCCTCATTAGTTTAAAAAGTGTTAACATATAAAAGATTTTACATAGAATTCGATTCCACTTCTGCCGTTTAGGTATACTAACAATCAAATGATTTTACTGATTTATATCATAAATAGGTCATCTAGTAATCTAGTGTGATTGATTATATTATCTACGTAGAGGATTTTTTTTCTATCTTGCAAGCCATCCATTAAAAAAAGAAATGTTACTTTTTTAAAAATCTTGAAAATATCTAAATATTTAAATAATAGATACGCAGCTACTCATTGTTAGAAGAACAAACGGTCGAACTACTGCGTCGTATACAAAATGTCTTCCTCGTTCAATGCTAAAATGTATGCATAATGAACTATTCGAAACGAAGCCATAGCTAATAGAGGTGGAAAAATTATTCTTTATCTCGCACTCCACTTTGCACGCCGCGTCGCGACGCGTCGCATCTGTTGTTGTTGCGTTCGAATGTGGAAAAAAGGAAAGAAAAGTTGAGGTAAAAATAGCGGAGATTGAACAAGTACGATACGGAAGTATTCGATAAAAAGTTTACGGGTCGCTGATACTGGAAAACGTAACTGGGTCTCTGACGTTACAACATGTTACACTGTTCGCGTACTCTTTTAATACATACAATGTTGACAGTCGTACAGTTTTACAATTTTACAGATTTACAACTGTAGTATAAAGTCGACACGAGACTGGAGGAAAGAAATTCGATTAAAATGATAACCACGTTCTCTAGCTCATTTTACAGTTTCTTTTGGAAACCTTCCAGCCTTTAAAATACATATCTGAATAACGAACAGATCACCTCACTTCGTATATGATTCAAAGTTCGTGTATTTGAATAGCAATGATAATTCTATTCGGTCAATGATGAAATTTCTTATATATGTAAATAATTATAGCCAACCGAGAGGATCGCTTCTTTTTATTTCGTTTTGAAATTCAGAAAAACTAAACACTTGGCCATACACAAAGTACAGTGTATTAACTACCTACTTGTACATTTACAGGTAGCAAAAACCTTGAATAAATTGGGGTATACAGGTGTGATTTATATTATATCATCTCGACAAATTGTAATTGAATTTAGAGAAACGAAAGCAGCTAAAAAATACAGCAAGAGATGTTACTAACAAGATTTTCAAAGCTTTTCAACACTAAAGTACTACCAATTTAAAGCTTAAAAAACTTCTAGAGAAGGAAACCACTATTTGTTTACGATGCCAATTCGAGCATGCGTGTGAAAACGACATGTCTGACAGTGAAGTAACCCATGTGTATGATAATGATAAAAATGTGTCACCGTTTCATTAGGTATACGTTTTCTACTTAAAAGTCAATTATAATTGTAAGTGAAGAACGGTTTTAGCGTTTCGCTTGATTCGAAAACACGTTTCCGGTTTCAAACATCGATACGATCGATATGTGGATTTTGAAACCGGTTCTCCAAGGCCGATGAAGACCCGGGGCTGCACCACCATACCATATTGCATTCATCTCAACGACTATGCATCTGCTATACGTATGCACTTTGAAAAATATTAGAATTATTAGCGAAATTCTTCGGTTGTTTTCTTTTTTAATTTAAATATTTTCCAAACTATGGACTTTTTTTTATAATTCATTTACTATACTTTTCAATAAGTAATAAGGTAATAAAAATGTCCTTTGCGATTTTTTTTCCCCCCAGAAATATCACTTGAAATAGTTAGGCCTGGTTCACAGCCAGATCTTTTTATGTTATATACAAAGTATAGTGGTGGAATAAAAAAGACGAAGGAAGGGTATCCGTGAGAAAAGGGTCCCTATTCCTGTTTAGAAACGGAGCCTGCCTCTGCTATACCGTCTGACCTCGTCCTATCCTTGCAACACTACTTAGGGATTTCAGAAGTTGGCACAATTGAGGAATGCGGCTGTTAGCTACGTATTGGACTCCTGCTTACCCCACCTTTTTACACACGGTTACTCACGAAACGTGCTGGCATCAGTTACTTTTTCTCTTAACAAACAGACTGTGTTATTATATTTCCGAGCTATTCATTATTTCATTTATTTTTTACTACAACTTTCATCTACGGGTACCTTCTCGATTACAAATGAAGACTCATTCGCCTTAACACGTTCGCTACGAGAGCCGAGTACCGTTTAACCCTTTCGCTAAGCGTCAATATTGGAGCACGCGATATCTAGTGACCGGCGCCAAACGTGTTAACAATCTATTTGAATACTTTTATTTATCATACAATTAACTGACATCGTTTTCAAATATTCCCAATAGTTTAACTGTAAAATCTATTTTTATCCGAAATGATAATGTTAGGAATAAAAAAGTTTCATAGACAAATGAAAATTAACATTTCAATTACACGTGACTTGCAAGTTTAACCTTTAAATCTGACTCCATCCCCGGTTAGGAGTAAACAAAATGCAAAAGAACGTTTTACAACATCAGCATCAGGGATATATCTGTCAAGTTAAAACAATAAAATCTTTAGACTTGATCGTTCCTTCATTCTTTTTTTTCTGCCTCTTATTTATTCTCGTACGGCCATACAAGTGACGGCAGAACAGCTAATAGAAAACACGAGAATATCTAAAATATGTACTTACTTATGCGGGTATCACACCACTCTGACCCCTACTCAAACTACCTACTTTAACTATACAATACAACCGGCAAGAATTTTAAAACGTGTCTGCTGCATTGACAGACAAATTGGTAACAATGACAACTACTACCACTACGACTACTACTACTACTACTACTAATACTACGACTAAGAAAATTCGGCTTATCTCAGGAATATTACCACACTGCTATTGTATTCAAACTTCATAGATATATGTGTTAGGCTAAGCCCTTCACCTTCAAATGGTGCCGGCTGATTTCGCCGAGAAGGGGTAAAAAGAAAAATTAGGTTAGGTTAAGGTTAAGGTTAGGTTAGTTTTTTTTCCAATTTAAACCATAAATTCGCTTAAGAAAGCTACAAGTGTGGTATCATTCCGAAGTCTTACCCCTTTTACATTAAATTGGAACGTATAATAATTCTTTGTCGGCATTATTTCAGGGAAGCAACCGTGAAAGTGTAGGTGCAGGAACTAATAACTAGATGGACCGAGATCTAAGCTCTGATCTTTTGATATTCTAACCATTAACCTTTTTACACGATAAACCTGTTTCCACTCTTTCACTCAACCAAAATTTCTGATATTCGGTATATTACATTTAATCCAACTTTACTTTTACGCAGACTTTAAGCTTCGTACGATAATGCATCGAAGATAAGCTCAGCAGTAAGATGTTTATATATGTATATAAAAGGTAGGAAAAAATGTTTTAAGTAAAAATTAAAAAATGAATCAATGAAAGAATGAAAGATGGAAAAATTTCTACGTATTATATGTATATATGTATGTAAATAATCCCCCATAAATGGAGCACATGAAAAATATGTATGTACACACTTACCAACTGTTGCAGGATCGTTTGAAGCACAACCAGTGATCTTCGACTCTTCTTTTCACTTTCAAATCACGCTACGCACTTCGCGACATTCTCATCTGCCTCTTCACGTTTCGTGCACTTTTTCAAAATCTTGAAATTCTTCAACACTACTACCACCACCATCACCACCACCACCACCACCACGTGAGATTACGTGTTTTCTTCGCATAACAGAGAAACAGTCACTATCACTTAAATAATTATATATATATATACATACGATGATTTTTCAATCGATAAGTATTCACTGAAGTTCACCGACAATATCGACAGATCGAACGTTTTCCGAACACGAACACGTATTCACGACAATTCAAAGTATGTAGGAGTAATTTCAAGGTTACCATTGGCAAGGTTTGCCTGACGAATCAAACAGTTATCGCCGATGAGAGTCGCATCGACAGCCGTATAAAAGCTACCGAAGTCTGAAGGGCGAACTGAAACGTACCGGTTCGTCTACACACGCCTGTCGCAACGTGCAACGATGTTTACATTTACGAGCGTAGCTCGTGTCTTTAATGACACGTTCTCGTCGCAGTATTTTTGAAAAGCCACTCGACTTTTATACCCGTCGATGTTATCGTGGGGAAAAAAAAAAAAAAAAAAAAAAACACCAGACGCGCGAACAGAAGAAAGGAAAGGAGTAATAATTCTCGTAAAGTATCAGACGTTCAGTATCGGAGGCGTGCGAATTTCCTCGATATGACGTGACGTTACGTTACATTTCGCACGTACGACGCCACTTTTTTCCTAACGATTCGTCGTCGCTGCGCCGTCTTCGCTGCGGACTGTTAATTACGAATTACGAGTACCTAATCGCTGGCCGGATAAGAATAATCCATCGTCTGTCTACTGTGCACGCACCAGGGAAACGTTGATAACATGTAATATTTAAGAATCACGGTCACTGATCGCAAAAATCTTTAATGAAATCGAAACGAATCACTCGGAATAAACACGTGCAAACCGTACGCGTTGCGGTACAAAAACGTTCTGAGGCGCAGGTCCCATCGGCCAGCGGCATCGGCTACCCTACGCTCTACACTCTACACTCTACGCTATACGAGCCTAAGGAACATGCGCAACACCGACATCTCTCCGTTGAACGATCAACTATTTTCAAATGTTTCAATTCAACGGATAATAAAATTTTTCTAATGCTTTGTTATTTTCAATAAATTATCTAATAAGTATAATATACAGAATATTTCTGCATATCTGAATATTAATTGACAATTATACAATAAGAAATTAATATTAATCTTTTAAATATTTCATCTTATACGTACTATGTTATCTATATACCTTACCATGTATTAGAAACATAGTACATACTGTGCATATTTTTGCTTTATCTAATAGGTCAAATAAAATTACCTTTTCTTTACTGATTGTCACTACGAATGCGAGTAATCGTTAATTCGAATTTGCTAGCACGCGGTTCTTTTATCTGGGCTGCCCTAGATGGCGCGTACCTTTTATCCCTTTTTTTTTCGTTTTAGAAACTGTCATATATCTGTATAATTATCAGTGTCGTAAGAAAATCTGACATGATACAGATACAATTCAGCCTTATGCTTTTAATATTATAATGCTCTCGTAATGCCCTCGTTATGTACTTTGTCTTTTCTATAGGTATAAATATTTTTCTAGCTCTATTTAATTTGTGTCTGATTGAAAATCAAATATCGATTTCCATTTCAAACAGTTATTTAACATCATAATTTATGAGAAAAAAAATGGAAATTTCTTTAAAAAAATCAGAAAAAATGAAATATTTAAAGTGACATTTCTCTGTTATTTCGACGCGTACGTGTCATCTTTCTTGATCTCGTAATTATTGTTATACAATATATACAATATAATCCAAGAATAATCAGACACTCGAATTCTAATTAAACGTAATATAGTTGTTTATATGTACCATATGTATGTTTATAAGCACATATAGAATATACATGTTTACTTGCTTACCCTGTGCTGCTATTTGTGCTTGATGTTGGGCTGCAGTCCTCTATAACAAAATTAAACATTACGTTATTAAATAAACGTGTCGATTATATTTCGATAATAATAATTACGAAACATTTGATTACACGATAGGATAAGAAATATCAAGTACATTTTCAATAATCAATCGTATACCGGATGCTTCAAGACTCTTCGAATCTAAAGAACGACTTCTTGGTTTTGCACCAAAATAATCATCCTTCTTTCCACCTTTTATCCATCGAAAATACGAAGACATGTTGCACTCTTAACTTGTAACACACTTTCACAACGTCCCTAACTGATCATATAATTTTTTATTAATCGCATTCCTCTGAAATTTAATTATCATTATCATTATTTGCTCGTTCACTCCAAATACTTTGAATAATTGCAAGTATTTTGTTGGGAATTTCTATAAAATAGATAATATTTAACAAGCAACCGTGTTGAAGCATGTTTAGTTGAAAAATTTCAATTTAAAGCATACGAAAGAAATCATCTGGTTATGAAATTAACGTTTGCTTTCCAATCTACTTATATTTGAATACATATACATATCTATAAATATAGATATTGTAGATATAGTAGATATTGATATGTAGCAGCTAAGTACGTCGCGTCGTCGTGTTTCTATGAATTAACAAGTGAAAACCGAACGATGATAATACGCAGAGGTCACATTACAGCATTGTTTTCGCTAAAACTGTCCTTGCCGTCACATACATATGTACAACCGGAAGTGTAAAATGATATTACACGTAGGTATACGAAAGAAACGACTATTCTTTGATATTGTTCAACTTTCGAAGCATCCGAGTCGACGCTCGTTAAGAAACGTTCAAGATACAAAACGTATTTTATTCAATAGGTACAGGTGATATATCAGAAGAAGTAATGTATACACAGGGTGATAACATGGACAAATGATTAAATTTGCATTTTAAATTATCCCCTGAAGCGACGTTTTCTCGATCAACGCTCCCTTTCTACAAAAGTAGTATTGAAATAGTATTAATTTATAAATACACGAGAGAAGAAAAATTGTTCAAGAAACAGTATGCGAATGTATTACCAGTCTATGAAAATTAAATAAACAATCTAACGTAACGCATATGATAGTCCCCATATGTAACAGATGCAAAACACAGATGTCACATTAGTGATCATCTCATTAAGAGACTTGTTTAATTTCTTTATATTTTTCCTCTATATTATATAACTTTACCTTATACAAAATCAAATCACTTATATTATGTGATAATACTCGTTAATTATCATGAAAATTGTACATTGTTTATCCAAGTTTATTACTCCATAAATTATTAAATAGTCATATTTTCCAGTGAAAATAGCTATTTTGCACTGTTTTGCATTTGAAGCATCATAACACGTTAAGTAACGCTGCTACTCATCATCTGATAAGAAACAATGAATAAATTCCACAAAATTATATTATTATTATAATAAACATATTAATTCAATCTAACGTTGTTCTAGTAATTTAATTAATTTAAATAAATTATTCAAAATGATGATGTAAGTAACTGTTGAACATTTCTATGCAAACGATATTGCTCCAGAGTCTAGTTAAACAATGCTTCTGATTTGCATAGTAGGTTATCACTTTTCATAAGACACCCGATGAGAAGAAAAGAATTTGCTCGACATAGTTTGCTTTTCAAACTGTGAATGTAGGTCGTCAAATAATAAAACAGTTGAAAAAAGAGAGAGAGAGAAATAAACAAAAAATGTGCAGAATTCAACTTGGAAATAACGAATTATGGGGTAAATATTGAACGTTTATCAGAAAGGAAACACAGTAAATATGTCTACAAATATTTCTGAATGTAGCAGAGCAAACGTTGTTCCGGTTTTAATAAGGATCCATAAATTTAACGAAACGTAACCATGCCACGCAAACAAGATGATATTGTTAAAGTTCGAAGGGACGCGTAAGTTTTAAAGCTTGCATACGTGCTGAAAGGTAAAAGGGGAAAGAAAGGGTAGCAGGAACTGCTGGCTTTCAATTTAGAAGAGAACCGAACAATAGAGAAGAGCTTCGTCGACGAACTCGAGACATTTTTCGTGACCGTAAGTTAACATTCAACGTCTTTTACGCCGAAAATCTGCAGTTATATGCAAAATAAAGGTATAAAGGTAATTTAATTACGGTAATCAACGTGTTAATTGAAACGAAATTGAAAAGATCAAACGACACTTCTTGAAGAAATAGATATACTAATCGAAACTGTGTTAATTATATTAAAGTTACATTTCGAAATGAAACATATACGCCACAGTTTTCGTTCATTGGAACAAAGATCACGAATAATGATTGGATAACTACTCGAAACGAACACATTCGTTAATAACGTCAGAATATTAAATACTGATTACCTATCGATGCAATATCGCTTCTGTTTGTATTGCAATTCAAATTAGCAAATATTATTATCTCCGATAATAACATTCAAGAAAAATTAAATTAAATTAATCTATAATTTATAAAATAATATTATATCAAATTAAATATTTCACGAATAACTGTTGCTGTAAAAAAGGAAAAGAAAAGAGAAATGTTTTGTAATTTCACAGTCACAATTTCACAGATCATCTATAATAGGATGTAAAAACGTAGTTAAGAATTTGGTAAACGTTATCAATCTTAATCACACGCGAATCACGCGAAGAAAGATGCGCTCGTTATTCTAGCACCTTGAACATTACACGTTCCGCGACTCACTCTAACTGAAAAACTCGCCTTTGATTCCGTCTTTTTCTCCGTTCCATGTTCGCACACGCAGAAACTTAGGTTTGTTACACGTGCATACACACGTGTCTTCTCCCACCGAAATTCAAACGTTACAGTTTCAAACAACCATTCGAACCAGCTGCGCAATCAACTCCATTTGCATGGCGAACCGTTCCACGACTAATGAAAAATTCTAATTAAACTAAACCGAGCATCGACTTTCGCATCTGATGTAACATGTTTCTGATAACACGAAACATATTTCGACACTATGATACACAGGCAGAAAAAGAGTAGCATAGTCCATTCCAGTCCATCTCCATCTCAATAAATTCAATAAATTTCAATTAAAGTGGATTAATTTTATCCAAGAGAAAATTTACTGGAAATTCAGGTGTGATTAATAAGATTTGAGGCGTACAAATTCAAAGTAACAAAATTTCTTAGTGTAATGTGAAACTAACTAACAGAGGACCGCTTTCGATAAATATCATCCAACAAAGATCCTCGTTCAGTTTTTAATTTAGAATCATGTTTACTTCGGATGGAATTTTAATAGTAAAGACGCGAGAAAATTTCAACACATGCTACCTATTAATCACATCGTTACGAAAGTCATTAATATTTCATTAGCGTATTTGATTTGTTTGCAAGAAAAATGACAGGCCAGAAAACAACGTTACATGGATTATGCACATTATGCACATTATGCAGAAAGACGGTAGCTTCGTAATATGAATTAGAAAGAAAATCGAATATGATTGCAAAGAACTCGAGGTGACAAGGTTTTCTACCTTTACTGTCGACGTCAAAACATGTGTTCTCTTCTTTCAGAGATCATTCTTTTGTTCGCTGAGATACCATTGTCAGAAGCAACCAGTCACGCTTTGTCGAGAGAGGAAACAGTGAAATAAAGTAGCCCAATGTACCTACCTAATGTTCAATTCTTCGTTTTAAAATAACAAGAATCAAGAAACTAAAGATGTGAAAAATTCGTTCTAAATTAATTTCTTCTTCATTTTTTCGTTTCTATTACCTTCTTATGGAAATTGTTTGTTTTAATGAAATAATTGTTTTTAACAAACTTCTTTTTGTTTGATTTTCATTTTCTTAAAGAAGTAATAACTTTAGTCTACGCGATTCTTTTATCAGTCGTTACTTACAATGGTAAAACAGAGACTTATCGTATACGCGAACTCAATCGGTAATTTTGATTACCACTTTTACATTAACAGGTATATGTAGTAAAAAAAAAGGGTTTCTGTAAATTACTTACCGCTTTTCGTTTGTCATCCGAGCTAAGAGCGCTGTGGCTTCTATGCCTAATGAGATCCATAACTTTGCTCACAGGATTTCTGCTGCTTTCCGAACCAGCTCGCGGTCGTCCTACGGGTTGCTCTCTGCCTTCCTTATGATCCTTGCTATCCCTGTGATGGTCTTTATCTGTATGCACATCTGTTGATGAACTACCATGGGAACCTCTGTGCAACGAGTGCTGCAAAATCACCGATATTTAATTAATACCACTTTTTCGTTCCCTTGCTTCCTCTTCTATTTTCTCCTTTTTCTTTTGTACTATACTATACTATAATAAATTAAATTATCATTCTGAAATAATCGATAGCACTTACCTGTACAGCACTTTTCATGTTAGCTATAATACTGGGTTTTCTTTTGCTGGCATCAGATTTACTTCTTGGCCTGAAGGCATCGAAGAGTGCTGGTTTTTTGGTAGGGCTAGCAGTGTCATCGACAGTACTTCCACTTCTTCTACGTTCAGCGCTATTACTACGGCTATTACTGCGGCTAGTGGATCCAGATCGTGTTCCCGAAGCTTTTCTACCACCTTTGCTCGAACTCGACGAACTCGATGGTTCAACAGCTGGCTGTGGAAGAGGTGTCGATTTCCCAGAACTAGGAGCACTTCCCGAAGTCGGTTTCCTAATACTTCTCGAATGCGATCCCCAAGTACCTGTTAGAAAAATCAACAACCATCGTCACATTATCCATTTAGTCAATAATATATAGTATAAATAAAGAAACTGTAATTATGATATTTAATTAAATACGATTATCTGACCTGCTCGAGGCCTGTGACCCTGATCTTGAGAAGCATGATTCGAATTATCTGCATCTTCGGTGACGATTGTTGGCAACGGTTGCGATCCAAGTTCCTGTCAATGATAGACACAGATTATTATTTATCTACACTCTATACATATGTACGTATATAATTCAAATGAATTCTAATATTATCAATTCGATTATTCAACATTTCAATCGAAAAAGAAAAAGCTTTCTATTTCGGTCAATGAAATTTTCTCTTGTTAGTCACGTTATAGAAAACTCGTATATTATTTTAATTTTATTATAAGATCGTCTTATCTGAAGAAGAAACATGTTTACGAAGAAAGGAAATTTCAACCGATTATGATTACAAGTAGTAGGTATAGTAGTGGAAATGAGCAATTCATTCAACAATAAAGACTAACAACTGTGTGTGCGACAAAAATAACGCGAGACGAAGAAATTTCATTGTTTACAGATCTACAGCTATACAACGTACGATGATTAGATATCATTATTTAATTAACAGCTAGCCGATACAACAATCAGTTTATATTTAACTGGATAATTTATCATTGCATTCTTGTAAAGCATCTTCCAACCGGAAATTTTCATCACTAGAAAATTATATTTTTATATAAAAATTTCGATCAATTTCTTTTTTCTTTTTATCTTTACCGGTATAGAATATAGAGATATATATTGTATGTACATTTTAACTCAACGTTGTTGAATTAAATTTTGATTACATATTTAATTTATCAATGTTAAAAATTTATCTTTTTTTTAAGACAAGTATGGTTAAACTGCTCCGAATGGATTCCCAAATGGTAATTTTATACATTATATGACGGTTTTCAAATTATACTTCTTTTTTCGTACCCTTTTCACGAAATCTGGAACTAGATCGTTAAACACGCTCTCGGCAGTTTCTTGAAGAGTTCTCAAAACAGAAGCTTTAAGGATCATCTCATGGTGAGATTACAAACGAGGAGGAAATTTTTCTTCTTCGCTACAACCTCCTATTCTTTCTATAGAAACATATATTGTTAATTTATTGTTCGCGCAAATCAGACGCTGCAATTCGCAATTGACGCGAAAACGTATCTCGTTTAATTTATTCTCCCGTAATTTTGTCTTGAAGATTAAACTACAAGACTATCGTTGAAAAATTCATTTCACTATTTATAGTATCTTCATATCAATAGTTGTGAGAAAAGCTAGGATTTTTCTTAACAACCCAACATGTATGTACATGATTGAAAATCACGATTCGTTTCGTTCACTGTTCTTAGTTCGACTGACATTTTCAATCCTGACTGTGTTACATTCTGACGTCTGACACAGAATACCAAGTATACTACATGCATGTATACGTATGTGCATGTACATACATATGATGCAGTTGGTAAGGGTTGTTATGAAAGCAAAAATAAATCTACTTTGAAATTTATGGCAGGCACACACAGGAAACAGTAAGAAAATTAAACTATTCAGCCCCACGTGGAATTAGTAAATTATTCAAGGCTAAGATCCTTTTTCCAGATCTCTAAGTATCTTTTGCGAGAAAAAATTCATCTTAAAACTGATCGTTTCATGAAAAGTGTTGGTACAATCGACGATGAGAGTAGTCATCTGTAACTGGGTTAGGTTAGGTGAATATATAGGTTCGAAAGAGGAAAATGCGGATGCCAAGAGGAATAAATAACAAGAATGGTTATTTATTGGAGAAAAGATAACCAAACGTAACCAAACAGACAATTTATATTAGAACTGTATCAGACTTTGAGCATGATGAATTGAACCAGAAAATATTCTTTGATGCTGCATACATTTGTATATCTATGTATATCTAGGTGTACAAATGCATTCAGATATATGTATGTATAACGATGATCGGAAAAAGGCAAAATTATATTGGTATATAGAATAATATAAGATAGAAAAAAGAATGTGATTAGGAAAAATTAAAATTAAGCATGAGGCGCGCGATGAATGTGTTACCTCCGGAAGTGGAGTCGTTTCAAAGATTACAAGGTCAATAAAATTCTCTTGTTTTTTTTCCCCCCCTAAAAAGATCCTAGCACAATTACGTACTGTATAATTTTCTTTTAGCGACTAAAAGAAAAATTTCTTAAATTTACATAAATGTGACTGGTTTTTCTAAAAAGAAGGTTTTATCATAATCTATACAAGTTCGAAGGTAAATTAGATACGTATAAGCAAAGGCGCGGTACTTCAGACTGAATTAAAAGTTATACATATCTATTGATTATAATCTGTATAAATACATCTATCTTTTTTTGACAAAGAAATTCTGTTATATGTACCTCTCTTAAGTCTAATGCAGTTTGCCAATAGTTAATCAGTACTTGAGCTAAAACAGATAAGATTACTAAGTATCCCGATTGCCAGAAGAGATCAGAATGAACACGGTTCGTAAACGATCCAAAAAAATGTTCGATACATATTTCAATCGAATTTAATTTTATATTAATCGAATTTTAATTCTGAATCGCTTTGGAAAGCTGATAAAATATCATTAAAAATTAACAATTTTAATCAATTAGACTTACGCACGTACGTATACTTTATGCTTAATTCATAGTCTTAAAGCATAAAGAAAATGCGCCTAACCTAACCTCAAATTAAGTTCCATCTCGTATCCGTTGAGATAGAATTATTATATGTATGTGAACGGTACATGATGATTTATTTTACTAACGTCGATGAAAAGAAAAAGAAAAAGGAAAAGAAAACACGTCTTTCGAATAGTACCTTATACGTTCCATGATATTCCGGGCAACGATCTAAATACGGCACAAGAGAGTACTTTCGAAGTCTTCCCAACGACACTGTCGACATATTTTTCACGCGTTAGGTAGAAATTAATGAACCACAGTGGTCTTTCTTCAAATATTCATAACAGAGGGGCCGTATATCCATCGAGATTTCATCAGTGACTAACATCACCGGCACTCGTCTCAGCAGGGTACACAAGTCACGAGGAGATTCACTATCACCTGGTAATGGTATCTTTCGGTTTTGCCGAGAAATCGTATCGATAATAATTTTCCCTGAAGGATTGTTATACTTAATGTTCTCTTATCGCGGATGAATTGTGATTAATAAGATAATACCTGGTACAGTTTGTGTACATGTACGCGTTCGGGTACACTGATCGTTTACAAGCATAAGAAGAAACGTTCAACCGAGATTTCATAATATTCGGTATACATACATATACTCGTACTCTGATTGTCAGTTAGGATTTTATTTTTCACAATTACTCTTCCTATAATTGAAATCATCAATTATACCGTTCCAGCATTTTACTTTATTGTATTAGTCATTTTAAATCTATCATATAGGTCCAGATTCTAATTCAATAATGCGTGAAACGTTGTTAATTCGCTATCGCTGAATAAATACAATAGGATCATGTTACCATAGCAACTGTCATTGATGAACTAAACCTGTTGATTACATAGACTATATGTCTGTTTCTTGTTTCTTATTTCTTAGAAGATATAACAGGTTTAATATTGAGAACTTTGAATATTTCTCTCATCGCTTACGAGTATATGTATATATTACTACAAAATTTTTATTAGGCAAAATTAAATGGCACAAAAATCTAAAAATCAAATGCTGGATCGCATAGCACATGTGTAAAATTTTCAGTAATGAAACATTTTTCGAATTTGTATTTGTAAAATTCTAAAGCTACAGCTTGGCCCAGTTGCATGGGACGATCTGTATGTACCTACATATAATAATTGCAAAATCACATTATCCAATTTATCAATTAAACCAACTTACGATTCAACTCGTTTAAACATTATTTTAATGTACATGATGTTCTGTTAATAAAAAAAGAAGAAAACCGTCAATCAGATTCAAAAATCTATAATAGATGATGAAAAGTAACATTGCTTTTTTTCATACCCATAACGATTTTCTCGGAGATATCTATAACATGGAATCCTAATGAGCTTATACAAGCATTCAAATTAAGGGAGTACAATAAATCACTCGATTTATAACAAGTTGCAATCACAAAGATCACGGCACGCGTTTCGAATGTTCAATTACCATTTTTCGTATCGAATAATTCAACCACAAGATGGCGGCCTATTCTTGGCCTATCCTATCGCCATCTAACGATCACTGCAAAACGCATGTATCAGCAACACAGTGTTAACTCACAGCGATAAAAAAGTTTCCTTTCTTTCGATCTACTATGTAAATAATACTTACTTATGTAAGTACAGAGAAAATAAGGAAACAGATGAAAAAAGAATAAGTTAACGGGAAAAATTGTCGATTAAAATGATGAAAGAAATGCAGTATCTATGAAAATATCGAGACTGAAAATAGATTTACTGCAGACGCAATGTAATTACTCACGATCACTTCAAATGCTTGTAGCGAACCGAAGCACGTGTAAAATTCTTTGTACTCTAAAACGGGCATATGAGTCGTCGGACGATCATGTTACGCAACAAAGAGTAAAATATCGCAAACAACAAATGAAGCGTTCATTTCGTGTAATTTGACGTTGGTTCGTTTTCAGAGAAATACAGTAATTTTAACGAGAATTTGTCATAGAAATTTGTATATTCAGTCGTTTTATTTATCTAATTTGCATTAAAGATGATGCATATCCCTGCAATGCACCTTTTATTCCTAATTCTTTTCCAAACGATGGATTTTTCAGTTTTCAACGAAACGAAACTATCAATTGATAATTGATAGGATTTCATATGGCAATTTGAAACGAGGAAAACTTGTTTCGTATAATTTGTTAATCGAAACTAATCATACCACGTACGAAAAGCATCCATGACGGAGACCTTACGTGTTCAGGTATCTGTCATAACAGCCCTGAACGCATTGTAATTCGTCTTTCAAGCAAATCGATAAAGCTTAAAAGAAGCCTTATGTGCCTACCACCCCTTCACCCTTATCCTCTCCCATGAAACATTGTATTAAAGATACATAATTACATACACATGTCGAGATCTGGGCCAAACCATGTAGCGAATTTCGAATAAACAACATTCTATCGTTTATTAGCTTATTAAGAGATTTTTTTCAAAAATTAATAATTCGATATTCCAACTAACATCCGTTTATCACGGTTCCAATGGTTTATCGCTTATTCGACGTCTGTTCTGAACTGGTATGAATTGTCTGACGCGATATGCGAAAAGTGAAACGAATTAACATGTCATAATTTCGTCCTCTATAGGTTTTCTACTTTCTATCTTCTTTATGTGAAAGTTTCGGATGTTTTTTTCTTTTGTCAACACTATGATAGAAAAGTATGTAATAATAAAGTGTAAATAGGGCAAAGTGAAGCCTTTAATAATGGACAAGAAATTTGTTAAGCAAGATGAGACCAGTTGATCGAACATTTCTTTCTACTTTGCAAACCGTGCCTATACATAGCTATACATATTGTTTACGGAAACTGCACTCGACCATGATTCGCAACTTCCGTCTTGCGAATAGTAACTACGTATAATAGAAATCAGGTTTTTTGAAATAACGCGTGGTAACGATCGGGTTAATCGGTGCCTTAGAAAACAAGATGGCAAGAATAAAAAGAAAGAAAGAAGGAATTCAGCGGAACGGAAAAGCCAGTCGATTGATTGTACACTGGCGACGATTCGATTGGTCGCTCGTGACAACCATAATTTCACTGCTGATCGTGCTTAACGACCACACCTCACTGCTTGTGAACGGCACTTTAAATGGTCACTCGTTTACAAGCCAACACGTAGCTTCATCCAACTCGTTTTTCATTCAGAACAACCATATATATATATATAACCGTATCAACAACCGATCCAGTTTAACACATTTTTCATCATTTTCTGTTAAACTATAAATTATAAACTATGAAGAATTTAATATAAGAAATGAAAACTTTTTAAGAAATAAAAATTCTGCCGTTTGCACCGTTCTTCACTTTCTCATAACCGTTCATGTCTGCAAACAAATTTGCAACGCTGCTCCTCTTGGTAGTAATTAGTCAATTAATACAATTAGATGGAGTAGACTGTTTCTGTTATGTCCCGTGTACAGTCTGTTTAAAATGATCGCATACATAAAAAGTTTGCTATATGGAATTAAAATACTTGTGAAAAGAAATAAAGAATACCTTCTAGCTTTGTTTGCATTTGATCTTGGAAAAACTCTGCAAGTTCTCGCCTCGCGTTCTTTATCAACTAGATAAAAATGATAATAGAAAATGGTCCCTTACCTTTCTCTTCCTTTCCTGAACGAAATCCACCCTACGAATCCACACTTCCTCGGTGGAATCGTAATCCAGAGTACTGGAGCTACTAGCCTGACTCTTCATTTCAATCAAACTGCTATCAAAGAATCTTTTATCGAGATGCGGACTAGGAAGAGGGCTGGTTCTCGAGAAGGTCATGCTGGTCGAGTAACTCGGTGGATCCGTGGCAGGAAAAGTCATGCCAGGACCAGTGGTGTGCCTCCTCCTTAACGGAGGCTTCGTCGTTGATGTTGGCGAGGTAACCGTGCACGTGGTGAATCTAGAAGTGGTCGTCGTACTGGTTGTCGGAGTCGTTAAAGTCGTCGTCGCGGTCGTCGTCGTGGTCGTCGTCGCGGTCGTGGTCGTCATCGTCGTCGTCGTCGTCATCGTCGGTGTCGGTGTCGGCGTCGCCGTCGTTGTTGTCGTCGTTATCATCGATGTTGTCGTCGTCGTCACCGCAGATGTCGCGGTTGGTTTTGACTCGGAACTAATCAAACTGGGTAGATTTGATTTTTGATCGATCTTCTCCGAACTCGACTTTTCGGAAACTGATGGACTAGATGCTTTCGAGGAGAGACTGTCGTTTTTCTCTTCCGACTCCTCCGTCTTTGAAGTATCCTTTTTAGTTTCGTTTGCATTTGCCAAACTTTCCACATTTTTCCCTGGAACAAACAGAGCAATGGAATGATCAGATGAGAACGTCTGCTTTCTTTCTTACAAAGAGACTATTATTCGGTGCGGGTACACTTTTATCGCTAGATTCTCAAGGTTTGCAGTTATAAAGGATTCTCTGTTATGTACTCGTCGCGTCAGATCGATTTTCTACGATTATGTACCAGATTGCAAAAGTACTCGTATCCTCTCGATTAATCATTCTGCCCTCCTTAGCTCAATTTCGATACGTCCAAGAGAAATTCCTCCATGGCCACGTCGGGCTTTACTCAAAAGATAAAATATATTAGATATATCTATATCTAATATAAAAATGAAATGTTTTGAAAAGATGAAAGAATCTTATTTCCCATTTTGGTAATAATCTATAAATATTAAGAGTATCGTTGGGTTAACGGAGTGGCTTTTCGCGCTGTTTGTAGAAACGTTGCCAAACGGAACTAAACGAAGCTAAACCACTGGCCACACGCTAATCTTAGCTCTCATTGAACGAGAACGAGCTCCTCTTAATAGCTCTTTGCGCGTTTTAATGCTCGATTCGTGTGTTTCGTAATAGGCATACTGCTTTTCTCATAATCTATCGCGGATGTAGATACGTCGTACTATAATATAACACATATTTTCAATCCCTACGCTGAGTTGTTCACATTTTAATTGCGAACCTATTAAGCTATACGATACGGTATGCTTTTCTTACCCTCCTCGGTTTCGTATTCATCCTCTTCTCTACACTCGGACAGTCTCCTGCCCCAAGGATAAGGACTATGCGTCTGATTTCTGGATGGTAACCTGTTTACGTGCGAAAGAAAATAATGATGAAAGAAACTATCAACACCATCTGAATCCTCGCCAGAGGATTGCAGCATATCCTTCAGCGCAGCCAACGAGGTGATAGTATTGTAATTAATAGCAGAAATCAAGTCATCTTCGATGTCACTGTCATCGGTGGTGTCGTCATTTTTAGTCGTTTGATCCTCCTTTTTCTTTTCCTTTTCCTTTTCCTTATTCATCTCCGCCGTTTCTTCCTGTTCGGTTGTAACCGTTTTAATTTGCTCCGTCTTCGAAGCCTCTGTCTTATCTTCTGAACTTGTTTCAGATTCGTCGTCCGATGCGCTGGTTGACGTTGTACTACTCGAAGATTCTTCGTCCTTTTTACCGTCGGTTTTTTCCTCTTTCAGTTCGTCCTCGTCAGAACCTTTGCAGCACTCTTCCTCCTCCTCCTCTTCCTCTTCCTCATCATCATCATCATCATCGTCGTCGTCGTCGTCGTCGTCGTCGTCGTCATCATCATCCTTCTCCTCCTCTTCGTCATCTTGAGACACCGTCTTTGGTAATTTATTCGTAGCCTCGTCATTTTGACCAATGTTCTCTAGATTTTTCAAATTCTTTAAAATCTCCTGTTTCCCTAAGTTTTTCTTTATCTTTACATCGGTGTCTTCTTGACCCGTCATCTTGTTCTGTTGTTGATTATTGGCGGTCACATCACAGTCGTCCGACTCGTTCTGTTTGTCACCACCGGAACTCTCCATCGAGGAATCTAAAAGAGAGAATCAGGCTTGTTTAAGATGTTAAGACCGATCGATCGATTATCGGATATAATATATTAAACAGATTGCACGTATCTACATCTACGCTTGATGAGTTTATTGCTTTCTTTATTATCTGCATCGATCAGATAAATGATTTATAAATATATATGTATGTCACTCGTCAAGTATAAATTTGGAATTTTACCTACATATTTCACTTGAAAATCGCTCAGAATCTAACGTCTGAACTTTGACAATTCAATAAATTTAATCTACTGATGTTACGATACGATGATGTTATTTAAAAAAAAAAGAAGAAGAAGAAGGAAAAGAAAAGAGTTCCTGAAAAGAAGTCTCATTTTTGTACGTGAAAGACTTTCTTCGAAACAGTTAATGATAGGTATACACTGTCTACTTGGCTATTCATGACAACTCATTCAAGATTTTCATACCGCTGTCTAAAAATCGTTCAGAATTTCTTTAGTGATTTTCACAAAGGGGAAACTTGAAATAAGTTGATTGATCGTTAGATTAACACCAATAATATAATATAATATAATATAGGAATTGCTAGTTTCAAAGAAAAAGAAGAAAAAAAGAAACTGGTCGATAAGCTGGAAAATTCGTTAGCTAACAATCTTTCTAATCTTTTTTTCGAATCTTAATTAATCCACCATTGAATTTACAATTTAAAATTTGCAATAACCGTGAAAAATAAATGAAAAATCTGAGATTTAAAAAAAATTTGATCAAAGATAAGTGTGTATGTAAATAGATACAGGTACATATGTATCTATTAATGTTCCTTCTACTTTTTTAACGAGCAAACATCTCTTTGTTGCATCGGTGAACACGTCACTGGCGCATTGCGGTAACTACGCCCTCTATTTCGTAGCCGTGGAAACGTTTTTCTCTATAGCAACTTTTAATATACATACATATGTAGATGTAAGTACTTACATCACACTACCATATGATCAATCTTCTTCTAACAAACCGAAAGAAGAAATATAATAAATTGTTGTGACGACAGGAACGAAATACGATCGTGATTCTGTATTTCTTTTCTTATCGTTTCCTTTTACACCTGCTACATCGATTATACTCAAGAAAAATACTTTAAACTATCAAACTATAATATAATATTATATCGTATTAAATTATTATTCTTTCGTGATTAACAATCGTGAATTAAAAGAAGAAAAGAAAAAAGATATTTTTACAGATAACGCGATTTATTGGCTTAATCTATTGTGTAGAATAATTTCGCAATGTAGGTTTAATGGAAAATCGCAGTAGTCGGAGGTTCCAGAAATGTTGTAATAGTAAAAAATTCATTCGATTTCATAAAGATATGAAATGAACCCCTTTTGAAACACCCTGGAAAATATCAGCTGTTTAAGGGTCAGTCGTTTACAGACTTTTACGGATAATGTAGCAACAGGTAGTGTACTGCTCAATAACAAAGTTGCTTACTCAACGAGGAGGCAAGCTTCCCTTCTACCATGGAATACTCGAACACGAATTATATCATATTCATATTTTTAGATTTTACTATATCGTTACTATTATACATATATTAGTTGAATGAAAGAAAGAGAAATATGGAGAAAAAAGTATCGAACATTCTGAACGAATAAACATGATTTATATCTACCTGCGTATATGTATATAGCATTAAGGATATTTATGGCTTCAACATGATAAATAGCTTAAATAGACAGTGTACACAGAAATAATTTTATCATACGATTGTAATGATAGAAACAATAGATAATGTTCGCCAAGTAAATGTAAGCCTGATAACTTTTCCACGTTATTTGTATTAGTATCGATATCGATATCGATATCGGTATCGGTATCGGTATCGGTATCAATATAAGTATGAATGCAACAAGAGCATAATTCATAAATGGTGAGCAAAGTAAACGCCATTAATCGATACAAGTAAACGATAGAAAAATATGAAAGCTGTTAACGGAATATGATTGGTATTAACTGAACGTTCAGATAACACTTGGAATAGGTTAAAAACCGATGACACATTAGAAGAGAAAAAAAAATCTAAGATAATTCTCCAAGTTGCTACTAATAGTAGCTCCAGTGACAAATCGAAAAATGAATCAAGACACCTTAGAATTAATATCTCCTCTGCTCCTTTACTACTCAACTGGTTCACTCCTCGCGGTAAAGCCAATCTCGGCGTTAGATTAATCGGAAGTGGAAGCGCGAACAGGTTCGTTTAATAAAATCTTGAGAAAAGTAAATGCGATGGTGCGAACAAATATCGCGGCAACATATGCGGATCTTTGGCAACAAGCCAGACTCGTTTCGCGAATACTTGTTTACCGCGTGCTAGAGAATGACGTAAAGCTCTATTGGGCTCGTGGACCGATCCGAAACACGTGACAACGTAAATACATACGCTATACAGAAATAATCATTTCATTTAACACGTTCACGACGGAGTGTACCACCGATGGTAAATTCTTGTCTGTCCCATGGGACGAGATGATCCACCGGTGGTACATAATACCGCTGTTCACCAGAGTCCATAACTGCGACGCGCAGGTTGGAAGATGGTGGGGGAACGCAGCGAGCTCTCCGCCAATCGCGTTTGGGAGTATCGCCAATCAGGGCGAAGATGCGCACTGGAGATGCGCGAAGAACGAAAACTGGTCTTTTCGTAGTTATGGACCACCACAATTGTTTCATCGGGCGGGCTATAGCTATAGTCATAGCATTTAAATAACTGATTATTGTAATTAACAGATTTTTGTAAATCCCGCCCCATGGCTGGGACACTAGATTCGGGCCCCGTAGCGAACTTGTTAAAGACCCAAGTGAAAATGATTAACAAACTAGAAACGAACGCTCGATCGATTCGTTCGATCAAACATCTATAAAATAAACGGTCAAAGCACGCGTTCAACATCGAATCGGGCCAAGTTAGATTTCAACACAAGGTGTGTACGTCTACACTTACGTACATACACCTTGTGATGAAATCCTAGCGATCGTAACATGCTGATAACACTTTATTGAGCGCGTATACGCGTTTACACGACGCGACGGACAAATTCATTGATGACCTTTATGTAACAGCATTAACCAAGTGATTGAAAGTTCGCTTAACTTTCGAATCGTGATAACAAGATTGAAATCAAATCTTCTAAGTACATTATGTTTTGTCTGGGCTGGTCAATGTCAGCTTACGTATATCGGTTATCATGATAACGTCGCGAGGAAATACACCGTCAACTTTTATCGGTTCTTGAAGAAAAATATCGACTTTGTGCAAGTAGCAAGAACAATAAGAGCAACATTGAAAAAGCTAGTAGCTAGCTAGGTTATAACAATAAGCAAACGAAGGCGAAGGCGAAGGCGAACACGCGGAAAAAGTAAAAGATTCCTGTTTCAACTGTTTCTTGAAAACATTCAACAGTAGTTACATTCCCGTTTTACTATCATTATTGAAAGCGCGTTTACATTTTCTACTTACGAGAGTCAGCTAATTTGCAAACATTGCAAATATAAATGAGATATTCTTATAGAAATACTTTGGATCACTTTAAAATCCGACCAATTCTAATCATTTATCCTGGAAAATATAATTAACCCTAAATGTGTAGCTTGAAACGAGTTAATAAAGAATAAAGTTGTACACAGTAGCTACGGTGGATAGATTAAGTACGCTCTGAAAAAAAAAAGCAATTGAAAAGTTGGACAATTAGAAGGAAAACGTGTGTTGAACATTCACGAAAACTAGGGCAGAAACGGTGAGGTCAGTATCTGTGATAATAATACAGAAAGATAGAAGGAAAATAGTCACCGACATTACGACGCTCTACTACACTTTACACTCTTCCCATTGATCATTATTCTATTAAAAATAAAATGAAAATAAACACAATGATCTGTCAACGAAACTTGATAAATTTATGATTGATTTTGAAAAGCTATTCACTTTAGTATTGAAATAAAAATCTCTATTATATGTAAAATTAAAAAATCAATGTAACTTGTTTAGGGAAATGAATTGAAATGGACAAGAACCATCTTCTTTCACCCTTCACAAACTGTCGCTAAAATTCTCCGACTTTCCTCAATTTTCCTCGATTTTATTGCTTGACTACATCCACGTTATACGATCAATAACGTAATCGATTCTCTTCTCCCCTAATACCTGTTAACCATCCAATCTCCTTCGTTTGATAGCAGGGTGCAGACACGCGACGTACACTCATCGACAAAAATAATTTAAGCAATATCTTTATACATATGTTTGACGATGAGATGTACTACTTACAAGGTGACCACACGTCGTAGAGGAAAGCGGGGACAAAAATAACAATTTCGCTTTCACAAATTAACTACGAATCAAACCATTACCTCAATTACTTTCTTCTTCTTCTTCTTCTTTCCTACAGTAAGCTATCAGACAATTTTTTTAATTATTACAAGTTAAAGAAACAGCGCAGTGACAAACACTTTTCTATCCACACTATCCTTGATCGTTGCGCAAGTATTTCTGAAAGTGAAATCGATAAAGGTCGATGTACCCAAAGAGTTATACTTTTCCAGAATAATTGGAAGATTAGCTTTCCGTGAAAAACATAAATTATCTAACAGCTTTGAAGCGAAATAACGATCGATAGATAATTCTAACTTTACTTGTCAGTACAAGCTGTTCAAGCACTACTTAATTGTTCTCCAAGAAACAAGAAAACGAATGATTTCGATAGAAGGTAGCGTTAAGTAAAAAATTCATTGTTCGTTGAATAATTTTCCTACAGGCGTAACGATTATTTATTGTGCGTCAATGAAGCAATCGGTAGGAATATATGTAGATAATACTTGTATACCTAAGGAACGTCTGACAACTGAGCACACAGGTTTTATAGAAGACGCGTTGCATGAACGCTGGTCAACACTAAAAGCAAACAGCTGATTCTCAAGGCTTACGCCCACGCTTTATATGTATTACGTTTATGCGATAGTAACGAGTTGCGTTTCAACTAACCTACGACCTACCTACACGAGATACGATAAGAATACCTTAACCCTTTGACACGACTATGTAATATAATACATACCCACATAAGTAGGTTTTATCCTTTTCTTATCAAAAATTAGATTATTCATAGACACTTATTGTAATACAAAATATGAATAGAAAAGTCCACTCTTTAATTGGCAAGCGACATCGGTTGTCTAACGTTATTTTCGACGGAATTTTTTGGCATGATTTGAAAGCAATTTGCCAGCAATTAAAGCGTTACTTCCTTCGATAAAAATCAGACACCGGACTACAAGTTAAATTAACTATATCCATATTTCTATCATCAAGTAAGTGTCTCATTCATTCTGGCCTTACTCGATATAATTAATCACCACTAGTCAACGGAATAATTCTATCGTAAGTGATGATTTTTCAAACCGATTTCCTCGTCAATTCTACTTACTTCTGGGGAAAGTTTTACTAAAAAATTTCGAAAATTCGCAAAGTTATATAATAATTAAAATTGCAAAGGCACGCACCTATGATCGGTAATAATTTTTTATAAAATTTAAATCTTTTATTCAAATGCGATGAATACCTACTATGTAATAAAGAAGAGAAAGTTTCCAGAGTATAGAATGTAGAGCGTAGAGGTTGGAAAAGTACCGAAAGCATATGACGCCAATATTCCACCCTGTAAACCTACAGAATACTTTGATTCGTTGCACACTTTGACATTTCTTTAATTACATACTGTAATTAAAAAATAAAGAAGGTAAAAATGCTGGTAAAATGACAATTCGAACCGTACAACATTTGAAATTGAATTAATAAATCAGCAAGTTTAACGTTCAACGATTAACGATTGTTAACGATTCCTATTAGAATCGGACTAGTGGATAACATTCCATGTGTTAATAACAGATAAGTATGTTAGAAGAATTTCGACACGTTTTTTCCTCGGTAAGACTAGTTATCGAGGATAATCGGTAGTAAAATAAACCGTTTAAAAGACGCAAATCACACAACCGACCGGATCGTTATAGAATTGCATATATGGTCAGCTAGAATCTGGAATGTAAAAGCGAGAATAATAATTGCGGACCGCGTGACAATCGCTGAAAACACGTGGTCAACATCAATTACGCATAGTTGACCAGCAGTTTAGTAACCGAGAAGAAATTCCATTAGCTAGCTGCTCTTGAATTTTTTATCATCAATCTTCAATCTTTAATGCAGAGAAGATCGCGTTGCAACTGTTTCGCAACGAGAACAACCAGATGCAGAAAAAAGATAATTCAACAACCGTGTCTTGTTGAACAAATGTTTTACACTTTGATCACAAAATGAAACGTGTCATAGAGTTAACAACAAGCGGCACGAGGAAAATCTAGTATGATGTATTCAAACTCAATTGCCATCGTCTCTCTAACACTTGCCACACACAAATAACACACCTTTCGATCAAATTGACCCTGATTAAAAAATTTCATCGTCGGATTAAAATTGAAAATCTAAAGGCTGCTTTATGATAATAACAGCCGGCTTTTATTAATCAGAATATTGAATATTTCTTGCCTCTACAACTTGAAAATGTAGTTGACAAATTTATTGCCAGATGATATCGAATGTAGGAGATGTGGAATGTCGAATCAACAATATTTAGATTTAGAATTTAGAGCAACGAAATATTGAAAGCGCAACTAACAAGAGGCCACCGCTTATTCGAAATCTTTTGTTTATATCCACGTGCGATGATCTCATCGTTGGCATGTTCGTGCTACCCGAACGCTGGAAAACATACAATAATTGTACGAACCGAAGGCTAAAAAGATACTTGCGAAATCGGAGCAAAGACAAAAATAACCTTGAAACTTTACATCGCTTTTCCATCGCGACACCACGATTACCATTAAAGCAATTACAATATCATCAATTTCTCCACCGGAAAAAAAGAATTCCTATTTTAGAAATATTCAGCTACTTCCCTGGCAAACGTTAAAGTACTAGAACTCAAACACGCCGTCTATGAATCATCAGGTTGTTAGATATTTTGATATGTTATAATTTTATAATGGCACAAACATCCACAGCCTGGTGTTCCAATTGATGATCGAAACGACGCAACGTGACGTGATTTGACGTGACGTGACGTGACGTGACGCAACGAGGATTCACATCTGATAAAACGTGCCAAAATCCCCTCGGTATCCGTTCTTTTTCCGCCTTCGTCACGCTGCTTACGCGTCAGCTTCGTTTTCGCAAGGGTTTCAATTTCCTCGTGCGACCTTTCCGCGTCCATTCACGGTTACCCTAAATTACGCTACCGAAAGAAAACGCGTTGCCAAACTGTTTTCAAATTCGTAGAATGCGTCATGATCGAGAAAGTGTGCAGAAAAAAAACAAGAAGGAAATAAGTTTTGACTAGACGAGAAGAATGAGGATGATGGCGAGCCATCTTGGCAACCAGATCGGTAAATCCCTGTCGCCGCGTCCGAGTGTCTGCATTGAGCATTGAGCACGGAACAAGGAGAACAGAGCGTTTAGCACTGACATAAGATGCTATTCACGCCCAACACTACCTCATCGATGATCTTTCTTACTCATCGTATAAACGAAACAAGTATATTTTCGGCCGTGAAAATTGAAAACGCCAAAAATACATGTTTCAAATTATGGACCATCGGCTGACCTTTTTTTTTCTTTCCAAAATATTAACTCCAAATTATTAAAATTCAGCTGTTCAAATATGTATGCCACTTCAGCTGTTCACAAGCCAAAGTGATTAACTCCATTTCTGGAATTTTTCCAAATTTTACTGGTAAAACTATATTTGAAGAAAATACAGAAAAATGAAATCTTCAATGCACGCGATTGTGCAGTAAACTGAGAGAATATCGATACTTTAGCAAGTAAGTAAGTAAGTAAGTAAGTAGGTTGGTAGGTAGATAGGTACACGTGCATCATCTCGAACCTCAAATATCCAACAAAAGTGACCCGTTCTTTTTTCTTCTACAATTACAATAATAGGAATAATTAATTACCATGTCTACTCTACCTTGCAATTAATCCTACTGTTGCGCTACGGTTACGTCTACGTGTTTGCCTTCAACGTAATCCCTGATATACTGACGATTACGATAACCTTTCCTAATGACAAACAGAAGCTTCGAATTTCGTGCTTTCAACGAGAAATTTCGTGACTGTCAAGTGTAAAGTGTTAAGTAAGAGAAAAGATGATAAATCATGTTCGTGTACATACACCAACCGGAAACCTATTAATAGACTTCTTTTTTTCATCACATCGGTTAGCGAACGAATAAAATCGATTAATAAATCTTTCGTCGTTCATTCATTTTTCTACTTACGATTCAATTGAAATAAGAAAATGTATATAATGTATAGGTACAATAGCAAGCAAGGCCTTGATAATATGGATTCCATCCAATTTTTAGTTATTATTAATCTTTTCGCTACCCGATGCTGACTATACGTACTCATTTACCATTACCACTTTGACTACCATATGTCTACCTCTACCAAAGTACTTATATATACATATATGTATCTATGTACCTATCTACCTACCTACGTATTTACATATTTAAGTGCCATCAATTTTAATAAGAATCTATCATTTATTTTCACTGAAACAACCATCTTATCCAAACAATTATGAATAATTTCATTATTCATTTAGTTATTTAGGTATGCATAAAATTGAACGGTAACATAAAGTTTGTCGAACGAGACTTTTGAATTTAGCCGCGCATGTAACGATACATAACGCGGGTAATTAAAATAGTCTAACGACAGCATTCGACATGGCATTCGAGTGGTTCGTCAAAAGAATAGAAAAATCTCATTTACCCGTCCATTCTAATTATAATAAAATGATAAAATAATAGTATCATTTTCTTGAACAATTTACAAGTTATCTCGTTTATGAAACGCTGAAAATATACAGATATGAGCACGTGCAAAATGTGCGCTCGCGAATGAATGCCACGTAACGTATCAAAAGTAAAATATAAAATATAAAATTTCAACATACGTGTATGTATTTACCTTGATACGATATTCTGCAATGTCTGTAAAATTATCGAAAGCGAAGCAGCGTTGATCTACGTTGATAACCGTTCCGGTATATGGCTCGGCTCTCTTTCCAACTAGCCAAGTATCCAAGTATCCAAATATACTTTTTATACTTTTCTTAATTGCAGTGGAAAATGATTAATATCGGAAAACGTTATCACTGATTATTCTCCACCACTGACAATTAATACTGTACACTGTCGATAAATAAGTAATGCCGGCACAGTGCTTCTTTCGAAAATCAAAGTTAAGTACAAAATGCCGACTCGTTTCAACGAATAATCGTTAAAATTAATTTTCTAAATCCTCTTTCTCCTTTCACCGATCTCCTTTCAATTGTACTTCTGATTTATAATACGTACACTGTACTGCTTGCGTTGAGGTTAGGTTTTGCATTAAGTACAAAAATCATAAGAGCCATCAAGTGACGTCGTGACCAGCCCTATGTATAACTTGCTAACACGTCCAGTGTAGCTTTTCCTTCTTTAAATTCTTTCCAATTTCTTGCATTCGGACAACGGGTATATGTACGTAAACAATATGCTTCAGGATCCTAGAATCCAGTGACTCGATAACATTCGATAACCGGCTAACTTTACGCTTTTCACTGGTTATTCCAGATTTTCTTCAATTTATCAAACCTTTGCCAAATTATTTTCGATTCCGTTGATGATACTAGTGTGAAAAATCACCACCAACACCAACAACACCACCACCACCACTGTTACTACCACTATCACAAGATTCGTTAATCTTTTTTACACATCAACGTAACGATCGACCCAAGTTTCACGGAATTTTCATTGCATCAAAAAGCCCACTCTGAATGCGTTCAATTTCACCACTTGCAATGGCGAGCTTCGTCTCCCTTTCTTCGTGGCAACAAATGATATATTTATTTATTAATCTTGCATAAAAATCAAAATCGTTCGATACTCGTGAAGGAATCTTAACGATAATCAATATACGGTAAATAATCTTTTCACTTTCAAACTTGTTCAGCGCTGCTACTCGTACACTGAATGACACTTAACCTAAGCGCGTCGTAAAAATACCGAACGCACTACTCTCGTGCCTAACTACATATGTAAGTAGGATAACGTTGCTTCTCTAACCTTGAAAATTTAACTTTCAACTTCAAGCTTAAACTTTACAAATAATAAGTACAGAATAATAAGTAACGAACATCACCGATTCTCGGTATCCTCGTTTCCACTCTACAAAATGACTCGTCAAGTTTTTCGCCAACGATTTTTCTCGATTTTTGCAAATATCTATTTACGTATATTTTCTATGTATGTACTTCCAAGTAAAGATTTCTTTTGTTCAATGATCGAGGCTATGGTGCCGCGTTGTAGGCCGTAGAGCGGCCGGCACACAGGAAACCGGTGACAGTCTCGAGAAGCGCACACCCCCGATCGCGCATCCTTCCTGGAGCCCTGGCAAGAGCCAACTGCTCTGCGCGCTTCTATGCCAACATTCAAGGCGGTCCCACAACCGATCAGCTGACCGAACTAACCGTTTATATGTATCCGATGTAAATGGTGCTTTTCTTTGCTCCTATCTTTTAACGCAAACCTCTTAGATCAAAATATCGATACGTGTAATTTAAAGAATTAAACAGAAAAAGCATAAACCACAAAGAAGAAACAACAATTCTTTATCCCCCTTTACCGTTCAATGTAATCGACACTTTAATTTTTTATTTCCAGCTAAAGAGGGCACCACCTAACAGAATCTTTACGATACCCCATTTACCATCAATCCTTTTTCTTATATTTTACCATAATTAAATATACATACACAATACACGTACTTATGTAAGTAAGTGCATATGCATATATGAGTCACAATCGGTGGAATTTATATACAAATTATTAAAAATTATTTCATTTGTCATACATACCTACTTATACTTGATGTCACGAGAGTCCATAACAGTCCATAACTAAGTCCATGACTAAGCGCACAGGTTGGAAGATGGTGGGGGAAAGCGATCCGCCAATCGCTTTCCACTTCCGGTGGAAGTATCGCCAATCAGAGTGACAATGCGCAGAAAAGAACGAAAACTGGTCTTTTCGCAGTTATGGACTCTCGTGACATCAAGTATACATAAGTACATACACACACGTAATATATAATCCAATTATTATTCATATGTAAATACCGATGTCCTTATTATATTGATTATAATAAGTTAAGTAATGCAGTTATTACGTATGATATTTTTATGAAAATATTCGTATAATATAAAAATATCGTTTAAACTTTACTATGCTTTAATCAAAGTAATGATTAAGTAAAACGTTTAATCTTTTCTCAAGTTTCATTCCAAGGCGTATTTTTTAAAATACATACATATATATAATATGTAATATGTCATCATTTCGATGTTCTTTATTGTTTATATCGGAAAACTTTGCGCAGTCGCAAGCACACGTGTACATACACGTATCCATATAGTATAAAAATGTATAACACGTGGAAGCAGTTTATACATTTCTTGCTTTGATATAATTAATCGTTTTACAGTAGTAATCGAAAGCTGAAGAACCATTTTATTTTTCATACGGTATTCTAGATTATTTTTAATATTTTATCTTACAATTACTCTAATTTCTGTTAAGAAATACTCTAACACCATATGCAATACTGCATGCTAATATTATATTCTGTTCAATTCAATATCTGATAAATTATAATAACTTTTTACAGGTCAACAGATTTAAAAAAATTGTATAAAATATACATAAAATGTGTGGAATTTGGGCTCTCTTTGGATTAGATACGCAACCTTCAACTCATATTTATCAAAACTTTGGAAAAATAACACACCGTGGTCCAGAAGCTTTTAGGCTTGAATTCGATAGCAGAGTTAAAGTATGATTTTAATCAAGTTTTTTAAACTTTCTTTTATTCATTTTTTTATTAATATAATAATTATGTAATGCAAAGAAATTTTTTTAATCTGTATTTTTAGAATGGCTATCTTGGATTTCACAGATTAGCAATTGTTGACAGTCTTTGTGGAATGCAACCAATGAGACTTTATGAATATCCACATTTATTTCTATTATGTAATGGAGAAATTTATAATCATAAAGAGGTAATATTTCTTTGCTTTGTTGTTTCATTAAAATTATTTGTATCTAATAAATTTATTTATTATTTCATAAATTTCATTTTATCAGATCAGTCAAGATCATGGATACAAACGTGTTACTAAATGCGATGTTGAGGTGATATTACATTTATATGCAGATGGTGGTGTTGAAAATGTTGCTAAAATGTTGGATGGTGTTTTTGCATTTTGTTTAATGGATATTAAGACTAGAAGAATTCTTATTGCCAGAGATCCTTATGGTGTTAGACCAATTTTCAGATTTTACTCTAAAAATGGACAACTTGCAGTTTGTTCTGAGAGCAAGGTATTTAAAGAAATGAAAATTATCTGTATGCAAAACCCACTTTATTCTCTTCAAATTTATGTTCAGGGACTTATGGGAATAACAAAACAAATTACGTCTGAATCAGTATTGGAACCATTTCCGCCAGGTTATTACGAGGAATACGAAATCTTAGATGATGGTCGAACGAAATTATTATCAAAAGTTAATTATCATAAACCTGATGATAAGCCTAGCTTTAAAGTTTATGTTCCTTGGAATGGTTAATTAAATTATTATTTAGAAAATACTATTTATAAATTGTAAATAATCATTGCATTGTATTACATCATCGTGTTCTTTTTCTTTCAGCTTTAAGTAATTTAGATGTACATGGAAACATTAGAAAATTACTTTCAGCTGCTATAAAAAAAAGACTGATGACCGATAGAGAAATAGGTTGTCTATTATCGGGTGGTCTTGATTCAAGTTTAATCGCTGCTTTACTTGCCAAACATGCAAAAGAAGTAAATTTGCCATACAAAATAAAAAGTTTTGCAATTGGTATGGGTGACAGTCCAGATATAATTGCAGCTAGACAGGTTAAAAATAATCTTTTGTATTTCCATACAACTGCGCAACAGAATAAATAAGTATAATAATTATTAGGTTGCAGATTATATAGGGACAGAACACCATGAAGTAATCTTTTCTGAAAAGGATGTAATTGAAATTTTAGATAAACTCATTTATCAGTTGGAAACATTCGACATCACTACGATTCGAGCTTCTATTGGGTAAATCTACATATACGAGTATAAATACATATGTACATATATGTATATACACGTCTATTTTGTTTCAAAGCATTCTTCAACTCTCTCTTAAATTATTCATTTACATCTATTTCATTTCAGCATGTATCTCGTCTCAAGATACATTAAACATAATACGAAAACAACTGTAATATTCAGTGGAGAAGGTGCAGATGAACTGGCACAAGGATATATATATTTCAGAGATGCACCTAATGCAATAGAAGCTCATAATGAATCTATTCGATTATTAAAAGATATATATTTATATGATGGCTTAAGAGCAGATAGAACTACTAGTGCATTTAGTTTAGAACTTCGCGTTCCATTCTTAGACCTTCAATTTACGAATTATTACTTATCATTAGATGTTGCTTCTAGACAGCCTCAAGGTAAATATTCGTATAACAAATTACTAATAATAAATAAAGTAAACAAATACAAATGATATAATTATACAATTGATACAGGAGGAATTGAGAAATATTTATTACGATCTGCATTTGAGGGAACAAATCTATTACCATCAAACATATTATGGAGACATAAAGAAGCATTTAGTGATGGTGTGACATCAATTAAAAAGTCTCTTTTTCAAATTATACACGATGTTGTAGATGTTCGTGTATCGGATGACGATTTAGAAAAGGCTTATTTAAAATATCCTCATTGTACTCCAAAGACCAAAGAGGCATTTTATTACAGGTAAAATCAGTTTGTGCAGTAATGTAAGCTGTCTACTAAAATTATTCTTCGAAAAAAAAAAAGAAACTATTTTTTGCGTTTTAGAAAAGTGTTTGAAAAACATTACGAAGGACGTGCAAAACATTTTGTACCATACTTTTGGATGCCGCGTTGGGTAACGGGAGTTTCTGATCCATCTGCAAGATTTATTGCTCATTATGCAGCAGATAAAAAAAATAACTGTATAAAAAACGATAAAGACTAAATATGCAGCAATAAATTGATATTGAATATATATTTGTAATTTAAAGTTGTAAAAAAAACAATCTATTGCTGATCCTATTATAATGTTTTAAATATAATCATGTGAACAAGTTTTGTAAATCAAATTGAATATTTGTGTAAATGAAAATATTATAGTATTCCTGTAATTTTACAAATCAATATTTCAAATATATAAGAACAATATCATACCAATGAAGATTGTGCCAAAATATAGAGTAATGAACAACACATCACCATGGTGTAAGAGAAAAGAAAAAAAAATATTAACGGTAGCAAACACACAATTTTACCCCTGGTGGGACTCGAACCCACAATCCCCGGTTTAGGAGACCGATGCCTTATCCATTAGGCCACAGGGGCAGGTACAAGAACGAACTTATTTTTACTACTAGAAAGTATATATATATATACATATATCAAAATGTTTAATTATTTCTTATTATACCTATATAGCTGAATTCCAAGATGGGGCGATACGTATACATACGACAAAGTAAGAAATCAAAAGAAACCTCTTACATCAAGCATAGGTATCGCGGCTGAATACAAACGATGTGTACGGGCGCAGAATCGACACCTCGACTGGATATATGCAACGTTTAAATGCCTAGAATCGACACCTCGGCGGATATATGCGACGTCTGGGTCCCAATGTTTGTTGCATATATCCAGCTTTTACTGTATACTGCTAAATATAAGACCACTAAATATGCTGCTCGGTGTCACAACACGCTTGCATAAACGAAGCCTGCTTGAGCCAATTGGAGTTAACATGCGCAGAACGAACGAAAACTCGTAGCATGACAGGTACAGTCTATCGGTGAACTAATAATATATTTTCAGTGATTGAAATTCATATGTTACATATTTAAGTTATTCGATTCATATAGAAAATAATTGAAAAATGACAACATCAAAAGAATTAAACTTAGCTAGAAAAAGTCTTGTAGCATCACTGGGTGAAAATGCAAAAGTGTAAGAGATATTTCATTTTTAAGAAATATGTTAAAATTATATTGCAAACTTCAAATACAGGAACAAAGTTAATGTTTTATGCCTTTTGTTATATATGAAATTTAACAATTTCAGCTTTATAAGTTGTTTTTAAATGTTACCTTTTAAAAATACACATGTATTGTTAACAGGTATTTTGAAAAAATGAAGCTATGGTTTCAAATGAAGGTAATTAATACTATTTTATGATTAAATATTTTAATACTAATTACCATTAGTATTATTATGATCTATAAAATATTATTTCAGACCACAAAAGAAGAATTTGATTGTGAGGCAAGGAATATTATGACAGAGGATCAAGTTCATCTTCACAATGAGTTTCTTCTTTGCCTGTTCAATAAAGTTAGAGGTTTAGCTGCTGCTGCACCTATTCGTAAAATAGACAGAGAGAAAGCTATAAAAGAAAAGAGGCTAAGATTAAAACGTAAATACAAAACTGATAAGTCAAATTTTGAGGTATAAAAGCAATTAGTTATTTCAACTAATCCATTTGTTTTTTACAATGAGATTAACATAAGATGAACATAAAATAAAGGTTTTTGTATTTTATTGTATAGCCTGCAGATATATATGTTGAGGTTTTGAGCCAAACTTCATCACCTGTTGGGGATGAACCTATTGGAGCAAATCGCTCTAGTGCCCAAGAACTCGTGTTGCCAGATAGAACTTTTGTTTTAGCAAGATTAATGCTGGCAGCATGGGAAAATAATATGGATGGAGCAGAAGAGAATACTGCCCACATAGTTATAGCTGCCACACAAATCTTTTTAAAAAATATACTTACAGCAATATTTACAAGAAGAAAGGGGTATGCTGTAAGGGATGGCTCTTTTATTTATAATATCGGAGAACCAGTACCTAGTTCATGGAAAAGAAACTCTATTCACATATCCCGTCCATCGGACTATAATGTTACAGAAATGGTAGATCCTTATGGTCAAGTACCTACAATCAAACCAAATTTTGAAGAAGCAGAACAAGCAACAGCATTTGCTTATGCATGTTCTTCTCAAACTATTCCCCCTCCATTAAAACCTGTTAATACAGCTGATTTACAATATACGCTGAAGGTAAGAGAAAGTAATATATTACGTATATTAACAAACTTGATGATTCAAAATACTGTTTTAATATTATCTAATACTGTTCTATCATAAACAGATATACAAAAATCTTGTCAATAGCCATACTATTTATGCTACTAACATGGAACGTTTATTTACATACGCAACGCATCAGACATGGGAAGATCTAGAAGCTAAAAAATTATTAAACTATCAACCTGCAACATAGTTAATTATTTCTGTAAATAAATAACAATTTAAGGTGAATAATTTACAAATTGCGTATTAAAAGTTACATGTTACATAAGATTTTTTACGAGACATACTTTGTTAATAAAATTAATTTTTAAAATACGTGACATATATGATTATTATTATACATTATCGGTACGTTCAATGGATAAATTTTATTTTATCTTTTGTTTTTATTTTTTTTTTAACATCATTCACATATATGTTATAAACAAGAACAAAGCAAGCTCATTTTACTGGAGTTTATTTGGACCTTTATAAATTATTAGATAGATATTTAATCTCATTATTGATGTGAAAAATATTTCATACTTTTACTTGTTTTTTGAATTTACATTCTTATTTGAAATTTACCAGCTTTAGTAATGTATTTAACCCCTTTAAATGGTTTATATTTTTCTCCATACATATCTAGTCGATTAACTTTTAAGCCAGAAACTGCTAACTGATTTATTGTAAAATGAACCTAAAATAAAATACTTCAATTATTCTGTATAATAACATTATGTATAAATCATATATACATACGTACATTAATTGCAGGATTAGACTCCAATACACTTGCAGAACTTTGGATAGTAATCTAAAAAATATTATGTATGTTTTCTTACATTTCTTTAATTTCTAATACTTTAATGTTATAGACTCTTTCATTATTATTATTATTATTATTATTATTATTATTATTATTATTATTATTACTGTACCGAGCCTCTTAAATTTGGCAATTTGGAAACATCTATTCTCCCAATATCCCACAATAATATTTTACTAACAGGGTCAAACGAATATTTTCCTTGATTAGGAGTCAATGTACAATTCAATACTATTTTTGGCATAGGAATTTCCAATGTAACATTTTCTACCTAAAATATACACAGTACTTGAATATCATATTAATTTCTATACTTTCATATAAAATAAAAATGCATACAGTTCTGCCAATGGTTTGTTTTGGTCCCACAGTTATATCTAATCTACCACCTCCTGGTTCTTTAAGACTAATGTTGTGTCTTACGTATATTGGAATTGCTACAATACTTTGCGATCCTATGTGATAAGAAAGAAGACGGAAATTACCGTCCGGTGGAATGAAAGATAATATTCGTTCCGACTAGAAGGAAAATTATAATATTTTGTTAATATTATTAGTAATTTCAAGCTCACAATTATTATTATTACCTCCCATCTTTTAAACCGAACGCAAGGATGAAAACTGACATCATCAAATAATCTAGGATTCATAAAAGAAAGAGTTAAGTCTGGCATACCACTTAACTTTATACAACAGTCAATCTGTAATTTAAATAGTGTTTTCAAATATTCTTATCAGTGTTGAAATAACATTAATGATATTATAGAAAATACACACATAGCCTTGGATTTCAGCAAATACTGTTGCACCTGTTCTATCAATAATAGCATCCACTTCTTCCACAACATCAAAATAGGCTTCATTATTTGTATACTTAACACCAGTACGTCTCCAAGGTACGTTAGATAGTTGTCCACTTGGCAATATCGCGCTAACACTGTAATTTATAAATATAATATCAAGCACATAAAATAATTTTTGCATTTTATTATTGACAAATAATTAAAATATCTACTTAGATTTGCCTGTAACAGTATTTGCAATAGTTCTTAAAATATTTGGAGGTTTAATAAGTTCTTTTAAGATGTTAGATTCTGTAGCTAATGGAAAACCATTGTCCAACATTTCATCCAATAATTCATATACAACCACATAATTTTCTTTTATGATAGTTTCTGTACATTCGCTGAAATAATCTTCAAAAGTGTCCACTACTCTGTGTAAAAATTCAATTACAAATAATGGTGGAACTAGAATAAAAAACTGTTATTTTAATAAGATCTTACATCTAAAGCATATTAGTGCTTGAAATTAAACAAATACCTTCTGTCATACATACTGCAACAAAGAACATATTACATCTGTATATACTAATAAGATAATGATGAGGTGTTGCTATTACTGGTGGTGTATCCTCTGGAGATAAAACTCTTCTCTGTTGATCAAAAAAGTAATCGCACAATGATCTTGCAACTGCACTTTTCCAATGTTTCTCCATAAATACATCTCTGTAAAATTAATATTCTAATTTTATAAAATAGAAAGATCCTTATTTATTAAGGACTTTTAATTGCAAATAAAAATATTTATCCCTAACATTATATGCTACAGATGGTTTATGTATTTTAATAAGATACATGTATGTTGTTAACCAACTACTTGTCAAATCTTTATATTTACTTGAGTATTTAAGATTAGAAACTTACCCTGATGAGTTGATAATGAACAGACTATGTATCATTTCTTATAACGAGTTATTTTGAACAGCTTTTTAATCAAAATTATGTGTTAATTTTAACTGGAAAGCTTAAAATCGTTTTTCGTATGCTTAGATAGTATGTGTATACGTATTTACAAATTTATTACCCACTCATGCATGTAACCCATCCATTTGAAAGCTGTATTTATACGTATTTATTGTATATATACTTGATGTCACGAGAGTCCATAACTAAGCGCACAGGTTGGAAGATGGTGGGGGAACGCAGTGATGGTGGGGGAAAGTGATCCGCCAATCGCTTTCCACTTCCGCTGGAACTATCACCAATCAGAGCGAAGATGCGCACTGGAGAAGCGCAAAGAACGAAAACTGGTCTTTTCGCAGTTATGGACTCTCATGACATTAAGTAAATATACATATAGTAGGTATCAGTATTACAGTTACAACGTTTCCGTAAAATTCTAATGGAAATAAATACGATACAATTTATATTAGTATAATAAATAATAAGAAGAATCAATGTGTTTGTAATCTATCCGAAATAAATCCGAAATATAAATTGATCGAATACTTGAAGCTTATACGGTGTCATTCGGTACTTTTCCCCTTCGGTTTGTATTTTTAACATTATTAATCTGATAATGAATGAAATTACCAATTGGGAAGAAATAGAAACTGATGGTAATTTATTTTCAAGTAGATGTTTTCAATTATATATAACTGGTATCCTTTTAAATATACATACATAATATGTTTTTCAGATTTTTTAAAACAGTTTCTTGACGGTAAATCTAAAAAAGCTGATGTTAATCAAGTACTGTCGGTAGCTAAACAAATAAATAAGTTAGGACAAGGTAAGTAACAAAATTAAAATATTAACTGGATATTGTTAAATTATGAAACATATTTATACGTACTCTTTATTTTAGCTATCGAAATACTAAACAGCGAATTACAAAAACAAGTATTAGCCAATCATGAAGATTTATTATCGCAAGCAACATGGGTTGAAAAATTGGAAGGAGTGCTTTCGATAATGCAATCTCATGTTCAGGTAAAAATATCATTATTATATAAATAAATATACATTTTTAAAATAGCAGTGGTTATTTTATTTTAGAGCTTGTTATCAGCTGTAGAACGTTTACGTGGAAAGATTGTTGATCCTTTTAACAGAATTGAGACACAAACAGTTGTTTTAGCAAGACTTCATGAGACTTCTGATTTGTTAAGGAGAGTTGCTAGAATGCAACATTTATCAAAACGTTTATATTCTCAAATGACAAATAATGTACAAGGACCTGATATTATAAAAGCTGCCAATAGTCTTCACGAACTTGGTATATTAATCTTATGTTCTTATCAATTTGATATTTTATAATATTTTATAAACTTTTAGAACAGTTAATGATGGATACAGATTTAAATGGCTTAGATGTTATAGCTGATGATCAGCAAGCTGTAAAAGCTCATAGAATGACAGTACAAAGACTAGCAACTCATACATTAACTCAAGGTTTACAGACAATGGATAGAGGAAAAGTATATACTTAAATAGATGTGAATTTTTGCAAATGATATTGTTCTGTACAATTAATAATTATAAAATTATAACAACCAGATTAGTACAGCTGTACAAGTATTCGAAAATTTAGGAATTGTAAATGGAGCTATAGACAACATTATGGATTCTGCTTTATCTGAAATTGAAAAGATTGCTACAGAATCTTTAGATGTGACTTTAGCATCGAATCATGATTTTGGAAAAAGAGGAGCACCTGGAAGGGCTGCCATCCCTTCTCCTGGTTCTTCTGGAAATTTACGTACACGAATTTGGGATAATCTTGAAAGACTTTTTCAAGATACACTGTATACACATTGTTTACAAGTAGCTGTACAATTTTATTAGATGTAGAAAATAAGAACTTTCTTAATATCTAATTATTTAATTTTAACATTCAACAACATGTGCTTGTGTTCATGATTTTAGATTGAATTATTACAAAGAATATTATTAGAACACCATATAAAAGGATTAGACGAATTATCGCAAAAATTTTGGGACAGAGTGAATTGTCTACTTTCCAAAGTATTAATCGAACGTGCTCAAGGTAAATTGATTACTGCACTCTGTTTTCCTGCAAGAATTAAATAAAATATTTTCGCACTTTCAGGATCATCATTTGTAAAACAGGCATTAGAAGGTGAATATCCAAAATTTTTAAGAATATTTTTAGATCTAAGTAAACGATTAAAAGAAAGATCACGAAGTATTGGCATATATCATATTGAGTAAGTATAAAAATATTTGAATAAATGAAAAAAAAACTTTAATTTGTACAACATAAAATGTATAATTCGTTTTTAATTTTCCGTAGTCGTAACGTATTATTACCTTTTGAAAATGCATATTTATCGCGTTCTGTATCGCGTTTGTTGGACCCTGTACATACTATGTTTTCTGGAGAGGGATTACCGACGCAGGATGAAATTGATAGTCTCATACGCACAGTAACAAAGTAAATTGAAACATACGTATATGTCGCTTGTATCTTTGTTACTACTGTTACAATATATGTATATACATTAAATATTTATCATTTTATTTATAGCGAATTGAGTGTATCATTAGTTGATGATGGTCTTTCAATAGTGGTTGCTCGGAATGTAGGCAAGGCTATAAGACTTTTCTGTTTAAAATGTGAACAAGGATTACTCGTGGGTGGAGAAGCTAGTCAAGTGATTGATTCTCCTACTGCTGTACAACAGACAAACGTGTTACTTGCAAATCTGCTCTATTATCTTTCTAGTCAAATAAATCGTGTAATAGCAAATTTATCAACTGGCTTACCATCCGAAGGAAGCACGGTGATTACTGTAGCTCTTAAAGAAACTGATAAATTAACGAAAAATATATTATCGCCATTGTTGGCTTCTATCAGTGATGCCATTGAAAGTATTATTTTAACGATGCACGATGATTCAGAATTTCGAGAGTAAGTATTGTGTTTTTCACATTTAATTATTATTATCATCATCATCATCGATATTGTACCGCTTAAGTACAAATTAATTATTATTTTTTTTCATACAGTCCTAGTAGTCCTTTGGGAAAAGAGATAAATTGTTCGCTTTATATGCGTGAATTACAAGGATTTATTTTACGATCTGTAAACACATTTCTCGCACCATATAAAAATCAAGCGGTTGTTGCCGAATGGTAAGCAAATTACAATTAGTAATGTTTTGCATTAAGTTTGTAATTAATTAAAGTTAAAATACGTAACTTTATTGTTTTTTAAGCTGTAAGACTGTTGCTTCACGGTGCATTGAACTTTTCCTAAGACATGCTTGCTTGTTAAGACCATTAACAGATTTTGGGAAAGCAAAGCTTATCGCTGATTTCAATCAGGTATGTAAATAAAAGATACGTCATGTCAGAAGATAATGTTCAGATATAAACGTAATTTTTATTTAGATAGAAGTAGCTGTTGCTCCATTATGTAGAGGTGGACAACTCGGATCATCGGAACAACAACAGTATAGAACACTAAGAGCATTGAAAGCATTGATTCCGTTTAATCCTGATGAAATTGTTCATAAAGTTTTAGAAGGTGATGGAGACTGCGGCATACCCCGTTCACTCGTTCTTTCGCATTTATTTTCTACAGCACCCCCTGAATTAGTGTCTCCGCATCAGGTATGATTATGTAAATTTACATTATAATTTTTCTTTAACGAAACTTAATTATCTGGATAGTGAATTTATAAACTCCCATACTTAGAACGCAAATTGGTCGGTGGGACGACTATCACAATGGATGGATAATCATCCAAAAGAAAGAGATAGAATAAGCTTTTTTAGCGGAGCTTTGGAACGTTATCAATTAACTGTCAGACAACAGAATCTTCCAACATTTCATCCCTTATTTCCATTAATGAAAAAATTAACTAATTCAAATGGACATTAAAAATCTAATGAGTGTGTTACGAAAGATATGTATGTACGTATTTTATTAAGTATTTTTCAGATTTATATATAAATATAATAGAGTATGTATTTAAATTCTGTATAAATAATTTATTAATAATGTTAACAAATAACTGTAAAGGAAGAGCATATTGTAGGAGGGTTCGAGGTAGATGAAATCACAGTTTCGTTAAGTGATCAACTAATAAGTTTGAATATATAATCTTTTAGAGAAATATATTCCCACAGTAAGTGTAATACCTAAAAATATAGACCAATTAATCCCATGTTTTTTTGGACAAATATACGTCGCTGGTGTACCAATATTATCATCCTTTCGAATCTACATTAAAATAAAAATGGTTTTGGACAAAATATATTTTGGACAAATATAAGATATGTATACTTATATTTACCTTTTTCGAGAGTGCTCCCATTTGTTCAAGTTCCTTTTTGAGCATGCATAGAGTTTTTTGTGTTTTTACAATTCCTTCTTCATAATTAGACATTTGTTCTTTGGTTAAATGTATATTGTTATCATTTGCTTTTAGTAAATCGTTCTTAATATGCTCAAAACTAGTACCGATAATTGCAACCTGTTTGGCTACTGTACCTAAAGAAACTGTACCGTCATATAATCTGAAAGAAAGGGATGATAGCAATTTCTAACATTTTATTTTGCAAGATTATAACATTTAAAAGCGAGCATACGTATAAGGTAAAGACTTATCGATTGCACCAATACTCTGTATACTCCATTTTTTCCTATGAAATTTATGAAGATGTTCTATAAATTGAATTCTATGTGCATTAATTTCTATTCCTAATCGGCAGAGGTCTTGTTCCGTTAACTTTAAAAAAGCTTTAAGGCTCGTCCCTTGAAAGATGTAACTATACTTTTCTAAGCCCATTCCATGTAAAATTGTAAATACGTCGAAATCTATAGTTTTATTGCTTATATTAGTTAACAATGGAAACATATCCATCCAATTATACATTTTAGCTATTTCATAAGTAGGTATGGTTTCTTCTTCTTCTTCATTAAAATGTAATAAAGATAGAATCTATAACAATTATATGAACATTATTTTGTATTTTATATCGTATTAATGTATAATTTTCATTTTAACTTACTTTATCATATCCTTTTATAGAAGCTATATCTTTAGCAGTTAAATAATTAATGTCAGTTAATGCAACATTGGCTGT